GGCTCTCAGCAAGTAACTTGACTACCGCTAGGCGCCCATTCTCAGCGGCATATGAGATGGCTGTGCGGCCTGCATCCCATCCCCTCGGGGTTTTCCAGTTGATATCAGCTCCTTTGCCAAGGAATAGCTGTACTAATGCCAAATGGCCCTCGGCAGCAGCACAGCCCAGAGAGATATGCATATGTGATCTGATTATGATAGTATGTCTCGTCACATATTATCATGCCTTCGTAAATTTACCTTCTAATTATAGCTGTTTCATTTCACTAGATCGTTCAATTTTAACTACTATGCATGAAGTCGAGAGTCGTTTTGCGTATGGCCCTTTTTATTTATCCAAGCCATACTCTGCTACCACCTTCTCTGCAGCTATCATTCCTACCTGGTACGCATAAGTCTGCGTATGGCAACTAGTAGATGTTAGTGGTGAGCGAGATCATCGCATTATTGTCACTTGCCTTGGAAGTATTGGTAGAACGCTCAAATCGACTACCCTCAGCCCTTCAACACCGAAGACTTTGAAGTTGATATCGACAACAGCCTCGTCCTTCTTCTCTTCTCGTCCCATTTTCAGCGTTGAGCACATGTGCCATGTGCTCGACAGGTTATCCCTCCAAAATTGCAAAATGTCGTCATCACTGTCAGACTTTGGAACCTCAAGGTAGCCCAGGTTATCCTTTTGGAACTCGGGGCTCTGAGTGACTTTCATTGTCTCCCTCGTAGCCTCGATGACTGCTCGTCTATCGTATGGATGCTCTAGGTAGGAAGGCTCGAACGTGAGCGGCACTGCGGGGTCTGCTGACTGCAGACGAACTTTGCCCTTACCCATGCTATTCAGTAGAAATACTAAGATGGTTGAGACTGCGGGGGTCGTATCCGGGGTGGTCCAATATTCTGGAACTGTAAGATTGAACAAGATTTCATAGCTCGGAACCGTTGGTGCGGACAGTCGCTTTCGCTCGGCATCTGGAAGTGCCGCGAATTCAGGGCTTTTCAAGATAGCATCGTTCTTGAAGAACCCAATACTCATACCGCAGCCGAGATTCGCGTACTCTCCACTTCGATAGAGCTGCCACTCCCGGAGAGCAGCCTTCTTTCGTGCCGGGTCTCTGAAGAATGCCGGCCTGTTGGAGGCATGATCTGCCCGGATATACTTGAGCAATATGTGATAGTGATCCTTAAAATTCTGGCCCACGTTTGGATTCTCATGTAAGAGGGGAATCCTGAATTTGGAGAGCTGTTCTTCTGAACCAATGCCACTGTGCATCAGGATTTTGGGTGAGTCGAGTGAGCCAGCTGAGATAATTACTTCTTTGGAAGTGTTGAAGGTTCTTCCATCGATGAGCGCAATACCTATAGCTCGTTCCTCCTGGAAGAGCACTCGATGAACATGCGCTTCCGTGAGAATTGTGAGGTTCTCACGCTCTGGGTACAAGACGTCGGCTGCCGTAGTCCTAACTCCTCGGTAGGAAGATAGAGGTGACACAAAGAGACCTAGTCCCTGCCCATTCGACCCATCAGGGTTGATTTGGAATCCATTTGCCTTCCATACGTCAATCATTCTAGTCATCTCCTGATCCCATGTATTTGGGAATCCAATATTCAAGGGTCCACTGTAGCCATGGTCTTCTGGCTTAGGGTTGAGGTATGCCTCCATCTCATCAGGGACCTCCCCCCTTTTCCCATGGAAATTCTCCAATGTCTTCCAGCGCTCATGAGCCCGACTCCATCTCCAGGCATCATCTCCAGTCAAATCAGCTATCGTCTCCAGATCGTCTCGAGGACCCTTCGTCCATACAGTGAAGTTGATACCGCTCGAACCACCCAAGCCCTTGCCGCGAGAGAGGTCAACCTCCCTCCCACTAACACTTGTTGTTGGAATGCTCTTGTAACTCCATGTCTGAGATGAATTCAGCATCTGTATTTGTTTATTACCGTCAACTCGGAGATTAACATCGCTGTTGTCTCCGCCGGCTTCAACAAGGAGAACTGAGGGTCGCTGTTTAGCGCTAGCCAGCTGCGTGGCTATCGTGCAGCCCGAAGGCCCAGCGCCTACCACAATGAAGTCAAATTGAGTCGAGGGAGCAACCATTGTATGTGGCTGTCATTGATGATGATTAAAAAGTTACGTGAGCATAGGAATGTTAAACATTTTATAGTAAGAGCCGTTGCTTCTTGACTAGCATAAAGAGATGTGGAATCACCAATGTAATCTTTGGAATCAACAAAGCCATGGCCCCGATTGATTCCATACATCTAAGGTGTTCAATATCTTACCCATAAGCACTGAGCTTCGGTGGACCGTAAAATGAATCAATTCCAGAGTCCTCGCAGCTGGCGTCCTTCGTGATTGCTCGGAAATAGGCCGCTTTTTATTTAATTTTTCGTTTCTCGATATCTTAAAGCAAGCAACAGTATGCGATTCTCCACAAGAGGTTAGACGTTCTTATCAGATAAAGCATCACACCAACAGACTGTGACAGTAAGCCAAATCAGTTGACTCATTTGAGAAGTGTCATACTTGTTCTAAAAAAATTAGTCTATCAGTCCTACTAACATTCCAGTTGGCAGTGACTGATCCAGTATAACAAAGAAGGAACACCAGAGGACGAAGTAATCAATACGTAATAATTAGATCAGCTATCCAAAGTATGTGCATTTCGCAGTTGGTGCTCTGCACGCTCTCTCCGTAAGTGCGGCAATATAGTCCGGCAATATTGATGCGGTGTCGTCTCAGATCAGCTCTAGGCACCAGCCCTTCCCAGGCCGTTTGGTCCCGTTTCCTCATCATCATGTAAGCTGTCAGAGTCTGACTTTGTAGAGAGTGATGTTTCTCTTTCCCCTCGGAATCTGGTGAGTCTTCAGTCACTCCAGCTCATGCCATCAATTCGTCATACCTACTCTCGTCCAGGTCACTTTCAACATCGAACATTGGCCAGATACTGAATCGTGGATACCGGGACCAATCATTATGCTCTCGATTTCTGGTGCCATAAGTAGCGTCTGATGGCACTCTTGGATCCTTCATCGCCTTCCGTAATCGGCGAATCTGGTAGTCTACAATGCCACTGAGTAATTTTCGTTCCCCAAAGTCGCAATGATTGATGAGATCCGGCCAACAATACAAGCGCCGTACCACCGCTCCGTGGCGATAATATGGCTTGACATTGTAAAAGCAATATCGATTGACGGAGTCCGATACACAGCCGACCAAATTGTGCTCGTCGGCGGTATCACTTCGGTAGCATACATAAATCTTCTCCAGAGAGGGAAAGGCCCGCAATGCATATAAGGTCGCACGATCCTCAGAAATTTCCAAATCATACTCAAGGAAGGTGTGGGCCTAGAAAACGCAAATGGAATTTTTGGGCAGAATGGCGAGCCAGCAGATATTTCAATGATATCAACATCCTTGTTGAAACGTATCAGGCCGCCTGACTCTTCTGGGAGCGTGTCTGGGAATCTCCTTATAGCGAAACTGCGACTTTCGCGGTGAACAGCCAAAACCGTTGCTAAAATATCTGCTTGCCATGTCTTCCGGGGACATGGCCAAGTAACGAAGGTAGTTTTATCTGACTCATCCGTATAGATACATCATGGTAGTATAAATCAAAGACGATTGTTTTGGTGGCCAGATTGGAACAGAAGAGTTCCCAAATGCGACATCGAATTTCGATTGGCAAGTTGCTGAAGTATGAAAAGGAGCGTAAACGTCTACCGGCCCGGTAAACCGCGGCGCTGGGTTTGATGCTCATGGAGCCGCCTGCATATTGTCAAGTCCGCTCATTTTGGGGAAGTTTGGCTGAGCTTGGGCCGGACGCGCCCCCTTTTGAGAGGGCAGTGGGAGGTGATCAAAGGTTTGTATGTCTGGATGTCCTTGCCAGGTATCATTTCTATGATTGTTTCAGTGTAAGTGTCACTCACTTCGCTTTGGGTGCGCTGGCCACTGGCGTTTTTCTTATTTGACCAAAGTACAGCGAGAAGTATAGATAGTTCAATGCGAGGGGGGAAAGTACACGAACTCCAGGTTCTTAAGAATCTTGGAATACTGAAACTGAAGGAGGAAGAAGCAAGCAAAACATGTGTTGAAGCCTTGAATCTGCTGGACCGACTTGGCCAGAACGTAAGCCACAATAATGCAGGCACCCAGAATACAGGCATCTATTGTCTACCTTGGTCCAGGGGTAAAGATAAGAAAAAGGTACGTCTACTCCTTTGCCAGGGTAATAAATGTTAATTCTTAAACAGTGAAGATACTCAATGTTGAGAGTCATAATATTTATCAAGCTCTCGAATATTCAGTTTAAAGTATAGGTCTCTTAGCTTTTACGGAGGTAGTAACCTCTTATTCAGGAGGTAGTGATATCCTTGCCGAATTAACATTTATTACCCTGGCGAAGGAGTAAAATAAGATCAAGCTCGATGATGGTTTTTTGATTTACCGCTTGACAGCAATGAAAATTGAACATTGATGGACATAAGTAGAGAGCCCTTGTGTCGACTTCCTAATTTTTACCCTGAGAATGTGTGAGGTATCCATCAGATAATACCAGGACTGACCAATAATTATTGCTGTAAACTACATGCACAAACATAACCAAGGCATAGTTGGGCAAGAAAGCATTGGACACGGACATGAGAGTTCCATCATCTCTCTACATATAGTATGCTGCCGAAAAAGAATACGCTGCGGCCGGTCGACTCCTCAATAACGGTGCAGATATAGGGTCACGACCTTTCCGCACTTCCAACATAAGACTGAAATCGCTCCCCCATACCGTTTAGGAGACCAACTAAAGCATGGTCCAGATGCTCCTTCACGCAAGGCCAGCCCAGATGCCAAAGATGTTCTACCCAGGTAGGGACTATGCCACTGTTAAGGGGCATTCCATGTTGATATTTATTTGAGCCTCATCAATTCGGCAGCTTGGCAAGATCTATGGTTGAACATGCGAGAGACCAATCAAAGGCCTGTAGGTCAATAGAAAGTCAATGGGAAAAGAGAAAATACCGTCTTGTCTTTAGTAAACTCCAGGGATATTGCCCAAAGTACCGACAAATCGATTTTTCGAATTCCAGTGCCTCACGGTACTAGGTCAGAAATCCAATGCCGGATCAAGAGCCCTACGCGCTGCAATGTGATTGTAATGCAATGTTCGCCAAAAGAAGTCTCTGTCAATTTGGTGGTCTGCACTACACTTAGTCTTTCTATAGCCCCCTGGATATTGGTCGATAACCTAGCGTAGCGAGGATTGCTAGAACAGCACATCTGTCGAATTGTCTATTTACGGTGACCTAAACTCGACTCACAGCACGGATCGGGCATGACTTGAGGGAAAAGTACGCATCTTCTTGCGAAGCCCTGCGGTGTTAATACAAAAACGGGGATAGACACAGGGGCGGGAAGTCCAGACCTTTAGCGAAGGTGGCTGTGGCGCCACCCGAAGCTTCAAATTGTGGCTGGTGAAGCTCTCCAAATTCGGAAGCAACGACATCATCGGCCGACTTCAAGCAACGTCAAGCTCCGAGTTGGTACATTTCTCACATTCACCGTTCCCCAACACCGCCTTAACAGTAAAAATGTTTCGCTTTGTAAGTCATTTATCGAGGGCATTTGAGTCTCTCCGGTGCTCAACAAAGCTTCAATGGCTAATCTAAACTCTTCAATAGCACAAACCGAAGGACATTGTCACGCTCTTTCACAAGGCTAGCTCCCCGGCCTCCATGCGCGTTGTCACGCTCCTGAAACAGGCCTCTGCTACCGCCACCGAGCATGCGACAGAGGATCAAGCCAGTGATCACACTGCACAATCAGACAGCTCACGGGCAGAGTTTGATCTGAACATCACCGAAGACCCGCCGACTGCCGACCAGCTCCAGACTATCCTAGAATACGTTGGCAAGCCGAGGATTTCATCTATAGTGAAGGGCGCAACAACAGAGAATGAGGCCCTGAAGAAGTTCAAAGAGAGTGCCGAGAACTTCCAACGGCCAGTGGTATGCACTGTTGCCTTGTATCTGTGCAGGTTCGCTATGATGCTAACGTCTTTGTCCAGGTGGTTGACTGGAACAATGGCAAGGCCACTGCCGGTGCCAACGAGTCTGAGATCCTGAAGATGTTGAATGAACTTAAGAAATAGTAGGAACATCATGTTTATGATATCCATATGTAAAAAAGAAAGCAATGACAAACGCTTTGACTATGCTTGAGACGGAGTCTCTGATTGTTTGTTGTTTTATGAGTCTCAAATGAGATCGTGAACACTCCAACATATTTTGTCGGGATCCAAGAAGCAGGCATGCTGGTTGATATGAAATGTAGCGGGTTGGAAGGCATCATGGAATTCCATGCCTGATGTGCATCTCAGTCATTTGTATGATGCCATGCAATGTTTGATGTCGGTCTGTGGAGTGTGGTGAGTATCCTCGTGCCTCTTTTGACTGACTCACATGCTGCGTGGAGGCTTCCAGTTTTGGCGAATATCTAACACCAGGGAGTTTAAGGTGAGAAAAAGTGAATGTCGCCGAGTTCGTTTGTTGTTATCAACGATATCCCCCTTTCTCCATCCGAACTGTCCACCGCCAAACACTCCGTCTGAAACTACAGCAACGCGCGCTCTGCCAACACTCGCGTCCTCGATTCCTTCCCTATCACAACCGCATCTCGAGAGAATTAGCCGATCACTGATTTCCAGACTCGACTGCACCTAGCACCTGTCACGAAACCAAATCCTTACTTTCCTCATTCCTACGCCGTTACCTTTCTTCCCGAAGAGGTATACCATCTGACCGAAAGTCCTCCCTCATCGCCCTTTCCATCTTCTTTCTGTCTCTATTTGGGTTCTTTTGCTCCCATCCAGATCACTCAACTCTCATCCTTGTCGCGAAGCCATCAGCCTTTCATCGCGACATCGTTTCGCATCACAAGTAGTAGTCGCGAGAAAATAGCGGCCATCTTTCCCTCTTCCGAGATAACCACAATAGCTTCACCCTGAGTTTCACCCTCACGATGACTTCAGACAACGTACAGGTACCGTTGGCCAGTACTCAGCCAGCCGAGCCTAAGGCAACTGGCTCGACCTCTTGGGTCCACGTGTGGTGTGAAAATGGATGGAAGATTCCTGATCCCGTCATGGGTTACTACACTCGCTTGCCCGAGAACGCGGCATGCAAGTGGTCTACGGATCAGGGAAAGAACCCGAAGCGCGTTGTTCATCATCCTCTTCCGGAGCGCCCATTCGACCATTGGGGAGACGAGAAGGTCCACCAGTTGGCTGCCCATTTCCGCCAGAAGTACCCCCAGGACATGGCTGGTCTGAAGCGACCGGTGCTGTTCGAGGATCTGTACGAGTACTTCGACGGCAGAGACTTGTATTTCCAAGGCGCTTGGAACCTCTGGAACCTCATCAATATGCTTTTTGACGAGAACCTCCTATTGGCGCCTGAGCTCCTCGACGCTTTGCGCAAGGAGACTGACGATTGGGTCACCGGTTGGGCAAGCTTCGTCCCCAATCGTCGAAGGCTTATGAACTGGGATCGCAATCTGGACGTGCTCACAGTCCTCTGGCCTAGTGAATGGTCTTCAAGTGGTATCTCCGAACTTGACGAGTCAAAGCTGGGCATGCTCCGAGTCTCCTTCGTCAACTACTATCGTTGCCTGACTGGCTATAATCATGCGGTTTCCCCCCCTATTGATGGGAACCGTGATTCGCAGAATGGCCATGCAGTCACGACGTGGCTCAGTAAGTTCCCATTCCTAGATATATTTTGTTTGAAAGCCCACTAATTCTCCTGCAGAGCAAACATACCCCTCTCAGGGATTCACGCCGCCTTTCAACAGCGTTTCTCATGTGGACCATAACCATAAACCAACCGGACTTGCCAACACTGTTCAGAACAAGCCTACGGGCCCGAAGCACCCTGTTATTGTGAACGGGTCGAAGTCAGTGGTTCCAAGAATCAGGAGATCGGATGACACCTCTCCCCTTGCGAACAAGGGCAAGAATGCCAATCAAGACAGTGACATGCTTCGAGTTGTCAGCACCGACGGTGGAAGTCCCGATTCTGAAGGAACCTGGAAGAGCGACTCTTACTACAAGCCGGGACAGCCTTCGAAAGAGCAGGACGCCAAGAAGTCGCATCAGTCAAGCATCTCTGACCCATCAGCTAACACAGAGCCATTCCCGAAGCTCGCTGACTCTCTTCCGTTTCCCTACAATTCTGCCACAGGATACGAGTCGTCTTTTGTCAACCAATCAGCTGGAGGCACTTACGTCGAGAAGCAAACTCCCTTGGCCGTCACCGGCTCTCAGAGGCCGCAAACTGCGGTACCCGTTCAACACATGACCGCTGCCAAACAGGGTGCGCCGTTCACAAACGGAACCCAGAGCTCTCAATTCTCTGGGTATCCGCCACCATTGTCACAGCCTCCGGTTATCAAGACCCAAACCGCTCAAGTGCCTAATGCCTACCAGGCACATTTGCATTCGACCCAACCATTGCAAGCCCCAGTCACCAACGGCCCGATGCTTAGTATAATGCAGCCAGGCCAGATGTACGGCCCTGCTCCGCCGGATCTCATGGCCATGCGTGGCTCTCAGCAAGTCCCGCCTCAAGGTGTTAATGCTTATACGGCTCAGACTACGCAGGCAGGGTTTCCCCAGCCTGTTACGCCGATGATGTACCCTCAGATGGCAATGCCTCGTCATATGGTATCAATGCCCATGCAGACATTCAAGCCGAATCTTGTCACTCAGCCCCAGGAGAATGTGGCCCCAAACCGCCGTTTCAGCAATCATAGCAAGGCGCGAACCTCCCCTCCCCGCAATGGTTGGCAGACAAAGATTCGAGACGATCCCATCCATGGGGCCGTGTATGTCCACAATCGTCTTCAGAAAAACGGTAGCGTGACGGGTGTGGGCAGTCAAGGCCCGCAAGTAAACCAGCAAACAGGCGGTGTACAGGATGTTGGCGTTCATCAACCGTGCAAGAATGCCAACCGGAATAGATCGAGCGCGGATCTAGTCTTCGAACAATGTAATTGCTGGCGATGTCTAGCTTCATCTCGCAGCATTTTCATTCGAGACTTCAAAGAAGGTCTCCTCCAGAATCAAGATACCATTAACGCGTTCAAACGCTTTTTCAGCAAGTACGGCCAGATAGAGGATCTTACGTGTCGTGGCCTAGGGCCTGGCCGTCCGCACGCATACTTGAGGTATGTAGTCCAGATTTTCCTGAAATAAATGTACTAATTCCAATACAGATTCTCACATCATACCCAGGCATATGCCACTATTGCCGCTCTGCAAGGACCGAAGTACATCAACATTCCAGGCTTTGGTGAACGGGTGTTCGTGGGCTTCCCGTATTACTCCATGTATTACAACAAGAGCCCTAGATTCCAGAATCGTCATGCGTCGACTTCTGGATCTAGTACTGCTACGGTCAAAGCCCCTCAAGGCTTCCCATCTCAGCAAATGGTACGTCAAGAGGTCCAGCCTCCTCGCAATGGCCTACCAATGGACCAACAGGATCCCAGGATGCCTCCTTATCCTGGCTTTGGACATCCAGGAGGTGTTGTTGTACACCACCCGCTTCCAGCCCGTCCACCTATCCTCCACGGGGCGTTCTCGCGGCATCAAGACCCCAGGAACGGTGTTGGCTCACATGTGTCCGGACAGGTTGCCCAGCCTTCACAGCAAGCAGTGTTCGAACTATCACATCGACCGACTCCGGAGTCTTTGCAACGAGAGATCGACTGTCTGGATCGCAGCAAGCAGGGCGGGTTCCCGAGACCCCCTTCTGCAGAGTCCACGTCCGAGCCCATGGATCTCGCGAGCACGCCGTCGAGCAGCCCGGCCACTATCGTCGGAAATCAGCCAACAGTCAACCCCCCTATCACTCCTCCCGATCAGAGGGATTCCTCGTCTTCTTCGAGTGGTCAAGGTTCTCAGGGTTCAAAAGACAAGCGAGCTCAAGCACGCCATCCAGCGTCCAATTCAGCCGACAGCTCTACCTCATCGATGACGGGCCAAGCGGAAAACCCTCACTCAATTGACCAAACGGTTCAAACCGAGGAGATGGATGGTCTCATTCTTACTTTGTCGACCGGCCTGAAGCATGGTGATACCAGTCCGTCAATGAGTTCAGCGTCGTCTCGGCCCAATCCGACTCCTTCATCAAATCAGAGTTCGAGTCACGGCGACCCAGTCGCTGAACCTAAAGGAAGAACAGGCTCGGCGGCATGCGGATTCCCAGAGGTCCCCCCGTCCAATTTCAATCCCGAGAAGCAGGTCACTGACCAGACTCGAGATTCTCCGGACCAGACCGAGCCCGATCCTGAACAGCCTCGACAGATTCAGGATAAGAAGGTGAAGTATAAGAAGAACAAGGCAAAGAAGAGGCTGGCAGAGATTGCATCCGGTAATTCGGCTGGTGCTCAGGCTGAGCAGGTTGAATCCCAGAGACCTCCTTCCTCAGCGTCACAGGGATCTTCTACGCTTGGCGGCCAGAAGAAGCAGAAGAAGAAGAGTCACAGCAAGAAGAAGAAAGCACAGCCATCTGAATCTGCACAGGTTGTCGCTGCTGTACAGCCAGCTCCTGAAGCTGTGCATGAATTCACGGAGGAGCACACGGAGGCGAAGACAGAAGAGTACATGGAGAAGATTAAGAATCTGTTTTCTCCCCCTACAACGGCTAACAACACACCTCCCGCGACTTCCCCCAAGGAGCCGGAATCTGTTGTCGAGAATAAGCGCAAGGGCTATCGAGCCAATGCTGGTGGCTCACTGAAGATGCAGAAGAATCGACCCCCTGCGCTATCTCAGAACACCTTCAAGCGCCCTGAAGGCTCCGAGACTGCTCAGCTGTCCACCATCGCTGAGGCGGCTCCCAAAGAAATTGCAGAGAAAGCTTCTGAGATTTCTCCGACTGCACATGTGTTCACCAATCAAAAGTTTGAGATTGATCAGATGAAGTCGAAGGGACAGTCTTCCAAGGAGCCAAAGACTCATGAGGCTACACCAAAGACTGAAGTCCGCATTGGCTCTCTCCCACCTGGATTCGACCCCTATCCTCGTCCACCGCCATCTGCGCGAGTGTCACCCCGTGATGACGTCTTTTCCCCTAAGAAAGATGACAAGAAGCCGCAAGAGACGTGGATTCACGCCGAGAGTGTCAAGAAAACCACTCCCGAAGATAACAAGCACTTCATCACCCCAAGCCCGTCCCCGAGAAAGGCTACCGCCGCAACTCCTTCTTCGATTAAGAGCAACCTGAACCCGTCTGCGAAGCCCTTCACTATCCCGCCTCCTCGGTCACTTACCCCGACCAGCACCATGCTGACGACGAGCACGAAGCATGGTCGGCAGAGCTCGCACATCTCGACGCATTCCAGTGCGCCGTCTACCTCATCGAGGGTCTCTAGTGACCGTCGATACTTCACTCCGCTGGAGCAGACACCCAAGGGCGTTACGACTCCGCCTTCCCCGAAGAAGGGAAAGCAGTCCCAACGCCGCGGTTTTGGGGTCGGCGCTCCGCAGGATGAGGGTAGCAACTACAATAACAACCGCAAGAAGAACACTGCTCGTCCGTCCCAGCCTAAGGAGCAGAAGAAGAAGAGCAGCAAGCCAGCCGAGCCAGCGGCCCCGAAGATGAGCGCTGACAATTTCCCCGAACTACCGACCGCCAAGAAGCCCCTCGTGGATGTAGCGGCGCCGAAGCTTATATTCCCAAGCACTGCGTGGCAGAAGCCGAAGGAGTCTGGATCTCCACAGGGGTCTGGTTCGTCCAAGGCGTCTTCCAAGCAGGGATCGCCTCAGGGACAGGAGAAGACACCGCCCAAGAAGGACGTAGAGAAGAGTCCAGTTGAGGAGGGCGAGTTGAGCCCCGCGGAGTGGCTGTTGCAGAAGCACCGCAAGGAGAGCATGAGCTCTCAGAACGTTTGAGGTGCACTTATGGAGCGCCTGCAGGAAACGAGAAAACCAGGATATTGTATGAACAGGAAACGACTTTTGGGCCCGACCGAAGAGGGCATGATATCGAGTGCTTTCAGGAATGCATTCAAGTATTGCTAGGCTGATTGTTTAGCTTGACTCCGGATAGTCTGGAGCACAAACACCCCATGAAGGAGACGATGGAGGTTATCGTCAATGAACTGTGTTAGTTATATAATCGCTGCTAGTCAGAAGTCAACACCATTCGCCAAAGCCCCGTAATATACTTGATGTGAACCTTCATGCATGGAATAGTAGACGTGATACACTTGAAGTCCAGGATTCTATTCCCTTAGTATCCACATAAGTTTTGGCATTATACACATGGTTTTGACATCGCCTTTCCTGCTCAACCCCACGCTCATACACCGGTCTTCACAAGGGTTGTGACTGTCTCCTCAATCTGTTTGTCTGATAGTCCCTCTAATGATTGACTCTTCTCTTGACCGAATTCTGGGACCCAGTTAGTTATGCCGATTAGAGGCGTGCTTTGAAGCTGGGAACGCACCGTATCTTGCGTAGACCTTTGGTGATGTGCCGGCCGCCTCTCGGAGCATGATGGGAATGGAAGGGTTGTGCTTCTTCATCGTCGGGTACGTCCTCGTCAGGAAGGACCTGTAAGGAGGTGCAGCGTTAGCATGGAGCTCTGTCGGTAGCTGAGGAGCTGCTCCGAGATGATGCTCACCTTGTGGCTGCGCTCTGCTCGGATGTCTGGCAGAAGAGGAAGCGGACCTCCTTTAGGCCCTTTGTGAAAGCGTATTTGGTCGACATGATCGAATTGGCCCTCGGCGTGGCTCCGCTACAGGATGTGGTGGTTCAATTGGGGCGAGAATGCTCTGCGGTTGGAGGGAAAGACGCAGCCGCGAGGGAGAGCTTTAGAAAGATTGACTGACGTTCAAAGCCGAGATGCACAAATGAGTTGCATAAGAGAGGGTTCCTTGCATAATCCTCCTCTAGCGTGGGCAGCTGTCTGCATAAGGGGCACGTGCACGACAACGGGGAGCCTACTGCTTATCTCCGTGTGGCTCTCCAACTTTTGAGCCTCCATCATCGGACCTGTCGAGGGGGAAATAATTCTTGGTTGAGTCAAATCGAAAAGGAAGCTATCCGCCCGCTGCCGCACGACAACGACTTCGCAAGCAACCTCTCCACTCCAATCCCTTCGCCTCCAACGCCTTCGTTCATTCTGGCATCGACACCGGCTTCCTTTTCTTCATAAACACATACCCTCGCACCAATCCGCAGGTCAAAATGTCGTCCGCAGCCAGTGCCTTCCGCATTTCGCGGCCTCTGTTCAGCCAGAAGTTCGCCGCCCAGTCCCGCAATGCCTTCACCCGCACCACCGGCTTCCGCGCACAGTTCCGCCAGCAGACCGGCCGCCGATTCCAGAGCACAGCCGCCGGCGCCGAGACGACGCAGCAGATCAGCTGGTTCAAACGCATGTGGGACAGCCCCATCGGACTCAAGACGGTGCACTTCTGGGCACCCGTCATGAAGGTGCGTTCCGTCACAACTCCCGCCAGACCACCTAGACTACGGGCGGTTTCTCTACTACCTCATCCGGGAGCAACTTCTCGTTTGATGGGCAAGACAGGCTGACTAACATATCCTCCCAGTGGGCCCTCGTCATCGCCGGCATCGCCGACTTCGCCCGCCCGGCGGAGAAGCTCTCCCTGACGCAGAACGCCGCCCTGACGGCCACCGGCACCATCTGGACGCGGTGGTGCCTGATCATCAAGCCCAAGAACTACCTGCTGGCCGCCGTCAACTTCTTCCTCGCCGGCGTCGGCATCGTCCAGTGCACCCGCATCCTGCTGTGGCAGCAGTCGCAGAAGAACAGCCTGCCCGCCGTCGCCGCGGACATCAAGGAGGACGTCAAGGAGGCCGTCAAGGCATAGAGGACTGGCCTCTGTAGATGTTCTGGTGGGAGATAGGGTCGGCTAGATGTGACGGATCTGGGATGATCTCGGTTGAGACGAAATCGTTAGACGAGCTACGAGGGCAGCCGCTTGTCTGTCCTCTGACCACTTGCTGCCAAGGAAAGCAGTGGTGGCTCAGATGAGATGGAATGCAATGTGAATGCGGACGCCAATATCTACTTATTGGAGGCAGACAGCTCGATCACTAAATAGCTTTGATACGAGTTTGGTCGTCAAAGACTAAGTCAGGGGGATGCAGTGTGTACAATATTTGCAGGCTTCGTACAGGTCATTTTGATACAGTTAATGCAAATACGGTTATTTCAAATCAATGGTATCAATTTTCTTTCCTAGATCAAGCAGCGTAGCTCACGACGCCTTCTACGTATGCATAAATTGACCCCTAGCCGGTATTCCCTTTTGTAAACCTCAAGCCCATTGCAATGAAGAACAGGGGCCCAAGGTCCAAGGCCCAGCAAAGCAAATCCCCCTTGTTATCAAGACGCCGCCACCCTATAGGTTTTTTTTTCTTCGCGGGCTTCTAGTTATACATTTGGTATAGCTGCTGTCGTAAGATAGGGCTTCTTTTCTCATTTCGTAAATTCTCATGCCCATGGTATCAAAAATCCATTTGCGAGACGTCGATCGATAGGTGACCAGCCCAGATCGAGTCATTGATGTAATCACAGTGAAGGGACATCCGTGTATCAGTTCCGTCCGAAGATAGAGCGCATGAAGGACTTAGATGGTGCAATATTCAGGGATGGCCGTAACTCCTACATCACGACGCATTCTTCCCCTTGCTGTTTGCCCATCTTGCTTCGCGAGATGCGTTCGCGTTGCCGTGGTCCGCTCTTACCGGACCGCTTGAGCTCCTCGAGGCGCTCGCGAGCTTTGGGGAAGTCCTGGGCTGTGATGTTTGTTAGTCGAGATGGTTTCATCTATTGAGAAATAGTCAACTTACCAGCTGCTCTCCAGTACCACCTCTTCGCATCCTCCAAATTCGCAGGTACGCCGATCCCCACTTCAGTGAAGTATCCCATGGCATACTCCGCCTTTGCAAGGCCAGCCATCGCAGCCTTTCTTGCCCACAGGTAGGCCTCGGTATCGCTTTGTCCAAGGACTCCCTCGCTGCCAGTAAGATACCATCCACTGAGTGCCAGCTCTGCTTGATGCTCTTCCTGCGTGGCAGCCTTCGAGTACCACATGATAGAAAGTCTTGGGTCGATCGGACAACCCATCAGGCCGTATTCATACGCACAGCCAAGCCTGAATTGACTGAACTTGTATCCAAGATCTGCAGCTTGTTTGAACAATTGGAAGGCGTAAGCCTCATCGCGGAGGATGACATCATTCGGCTGGGCGCTTTCGTATAGGAGACCTAGTTCGTGCAGGGCATGTGGATTCTCCGTATCCGCACGTTCGGCCGCTCTCTTGAGCCAGCCGACAGCTTCCCTGGGGTTCTTGGGTTGTCCGAGTAGACCCTTGAGCAGGATCATGCCGACCTTGTACATGGCCGGTGTGTCGCCAAGAGTCGCCGCGCGCTTGTACCACTGGATTGCTTTCAGGGGGTCCTTGCGAGTGCCACCGCCCTCTTCGTTGCCAATCTCGCAGCACACTGCTGTGCGATAGGCAGCAGCAGCGTTACCAGCCTTCGCAGCTGACTGGTACAAGGTGAAGGCCTCCTTGTTGTCTGGTTCCGCTCCGAACATTCCCCTGCCGAGACTATCGGCGAGGAAGAACATCGCATCGGGATTTTGAGCACTGGCCAGCTTCTTGAGTATCTTGTGCGCGTCTACAAGGTATCTTTCTCGTGCTCTCCCGCGAGTTTTGGGGTCGGCCACACTTGGCACCAGAACTTCTGAAGCTTCGACGAGCCTCTTCGCCAGACGAAGAGCCAAGTCTTGGTCTTGCGGAGTGACCTTGACCATCATCCGTAGCCGTTCAAGTTCATCGGCAGTGACTGGTGCTTGCGTCTCTGCCTTTGTTGGTGTAGGTGTGATTTGTGGTAATGGCGGCGCGGCAGGATTGCTGCCCGGAGGTGTTCCGCCGTAATTTCGGACAGGGGCTGGCTTGCTCGCCATCTGGCTAACAAGAGAGTTAGGCATCAATCCGGGTCGAACAGGAGTTGGGTGAGAGGGCAATGCATCAGGACTCGGCCCCGAAGGAGGCGAGCGTCGACGCATTGCGGCAGGGTTGCTAGGGAGCCCTGGAGCTGGAGCTGAAGGAGGTACATTCCCCGCACTCGGATCATAGGCTTGGTAACCTCCATTTGGCGCCGGCATGGGAGGTGCATCACCTGCCATTTCGAAGACTGCTGCTTGCGGCTGTCTTAGATCAGGTTGTGATTTTGTTCGGCTGACTTCTGGAAATCTGTTGGGACCCCTTTGCGGCTCGATGGGACCAGTTTGCATCGATTGATCAAACGAGCTCCGTCCCCGCTGGGCAGGGATAGCATCAAAATTGGGCATTTCTGATGAAGCAGCTGAAGGAGGATTTTGCCGGGGATATTGTTCATTGCTCCTGGGCCGTCCGTAATCATACTGATCGTAAAAGTCGTCAAAAGATGCCGGGCGTTGCTGTGGCGGTGGCCCATATCCCTGATCTTGTGGACCATAATCCCATTCTCCTCCCTGCTGCGGAGGTCCTTGGTTCGGATAGCCTCTTTGCGGCCCGGGGCGGTGACTCTGGGATGTTGACGGCCTAGGTGGCATGCCTCGGCCAATCGGGCTATTGTAAGGAGCGCTGTCAACGCGAGGAGGTGGAGGAGGCATGTCACGGCCACCCATAGGCCCATTCGTCGGCATGGTCATTGTTCGCGAAGGGGGCCCGAAACCATCCTCAGGAGGGTAATCCATGGGGGCGCCATAGCCGCGCTCTGGGCCGGGCGCGCGCCGTTGATCTGGATAGCCTTGGGATCCATAGCCTCTTGGAGGCCCCGGGGGTCCGCGAGGATCATCCATCGATGGCCGGTTGTAGTCATCTCGAGGAGGAGGGCCCCGTCCAGGACCAGGGCCGCGCATGTTTGGCGGAGGACGGCCCTTCCCAGAAATACTCATGCCATCCATTCGAGTCAGAATTTGACTCTCCTGGTCAAGGTCTGTTTTCCTATGTTGGCCAGGAAAGGCTGGAAATGGGCTACCACCGAAGCCTGCATCAACAGGGCTTGTTGGCCCATTCCCTGGCTGTCTTGGCCGGTTCACTGCGAGAACAATTAGCTACGTGTAAGCACAATGGCCCGAAAGTGTACTCACTGCTCGGATCTGAGTTGGCGGATCGATCTGGATCAGGTCGTCCACGACCAGCAGGACCGTTAGGGGGATAGTCCCTACCGGGACCCTGGGGACCAGGCGGATATGGTCCACGCCCACTTTCTCCAGTCGGCCGTCTCTGCATTTGGGGACGACCTCCAGGACCAGGAGGCCCTCTTCCAGGTCCATAGTTATCTCGGGGAGGGTAGTTCTGATTCGGGGGCCCTCGCGAGTTGTAGTTCATATTATCGTACTGTGCATCGTAGTTCTGATCATAACCTCCACCACCGTAACCGTCGTCATACCCATAACCGTCATCATACCCGTATTGATCATACTGCTGTGGCGGCGCATTATATTGTTGTTGTGGAGGTCCGTTTGGGTATTGTCGTTGCGGGGGAGGTCTTGGGGCTCCCGGTCCGTTGTACGGACGTTGTTGGGCTGGATAACCACCTTCGTACGCCATGTTGACGACTCGAGAGGTCGAGTCGGTATCCAATTATTCTCGTCTCCGCTGGCGCGAATTCGACAAAATCTTACCCGCCGATCTTCCTTCCTCTCGGCGGCTCTCTCGTCCTTGGCCTCACAGCGGATATATGTTGTAGAGACCAAGTAGCTGCTAGGCTGCAGTAGAGCAGAAGTGGAAAATAATAGTTGTGTCACAGAGGTCTGCAATAGGTCTAGAGCGCGCGCATTGCGACCAAGCTGTGATGTGCGTGTCCTATATTGGTGGATGGCGTTTCGGCTCAATGCTGATCGACAGTTTCGGCAGGGCAGGCGGCGGAAGCGCGGTTGACAAGGAGGGAGAGATGTTTCCACAACCAGGTTACCTAGTTATGCTGCCGGCTCTCGGAGTCTGGGAAGGAATTCGATTCGGTCTGATCTGACCTGGCCTGAAAGGAGTGGTGGTGCCTGCGGAGCGACAACAATAGCCAGATCGCTCTCCCCGGGAGTGTCTGGTCTAGAATAAAGGAAGAAAGGAACGGAATGGTAGTGGTGGTGGTTGTGTCAACACAAAGGAATGGAAGCTCGCTGGTGTCACTCTTTAATGGGCTGAAGAGTAAGGTAGCGGGTCAGTAGGTAGGTACTGAAGAGGAGGGGGGGAATGGATTGTGGCGGGGGAGCCGAGCAGAGCGAGAGGGTGAGAGACGCCTCCTAAAGTAGCGCCGTTAGTCTAACCATGCAACCTTGTTGCTCTCCCGCATGCTGCTGCAATCGCTACAGGCTGTGTACTGTGCTGTGCTGTACGTACAGTCAAGTAAGATTGATTGATTGTATTGGACTTGCAGCAAGGACGTACAAACATGCAGCTCCAAAGGCCAACGGCGGAATGACATGCAGCATCGCTGAGGGAGACCTACAGAGCAGGCCGGGCCAGATTGTCTATCGAGTCCGCCCCCCCTCCTACAATTTTACACGATCCTAGCTGAAGCCTGAGCGAATGTGCCAGGTCCTGTCCCGGGCATTGTCCAGTCTCTAGCGAGAGTGCTAAGCTGCGAACGAGAGGACGGCAGGAGGCAGGAGGCAGGTGCAGACTCGCCGTTTATTTGTTGTTATTGTTGATGTTGTGCTACCTGCCTACTGTATCATCGACTCATGCCATGCCAGCCAGCCGAGCCAGCCAGCCAGCCAGCCATACATACTCGCATCATGATTGAGACACCAGCCTCGTAAAAAGTCACACACACGATAGCATCAGCAATCAATCAATCAGTTCCATCAATCCACTCACGAATCGCCCGGTGCGGCCTTGACTCAATCCCACACAGCACCAGTGTTGTTGTTGTTACCTCAACAAAGCTCCACCAACACGCCCGCACGCATTGAAGCTTCCCAGCAGTGGTGGCTCCCCCCTACAGCTCATGCATCATATATCGCCAGTTAGGTCAGCGAGCAAAGTCTTGGCAAGCAGCCCTTCGTTTTGGATTCTCTCGTCGTGGAGGCGCCGATGCCGTGGTGCATTGCGATCACTTCCACATTTAATCTGCTGTCGCACCCGTCTTCACTTCCTTACCAGAGCGCTGTGTCAAGTTGCGCGGGACACGCTTACGATTGGGTCGTTGAGCCCCCTGCTACAGGGCCCCATGCCTGTCCCAGGGTCCCTCCAGGGCTGCCCACCCCCCGGCCTGCAAGGCAAGGCAAGAAATCGAAGACACACACCTGGGATGGGATGGCATGGGATGCGCCCCGATGGACGGACGGTTCACACAAGCTTCCGGGGCTGGCCCCAACGAAACACTGTGCAAGTGCCGAATGCTCCCGTTCTCTGGCCTGCCTCGCCTGCCCCTCGGGAATGTGCTTTGGCAGGCCACTGTTCCATATTGGAGACATGCTTCGTGATGCCCTGAAGCTGTGTCTCTCTCTAATAGATTTGCTTCTTTTCTCCACAGGGGCTCTTCGTGTAAGCTTGGCTAGCGAACTAGGGCCCCGTCCGTCCCTGATCTTCAGACGACGGACGAGCCGGTCAACCGGTTTGTAGGGCTTTGCCCAGCGATGTCACAACCCTCAACTGTAACCTTTCATCAGGAACCGAGTCATGGGGCCATAGCAGTGGGGTTTCTGAGGGTCTCTTTTCGCGGTTAGCGAGCATGGCAAGCACCGCAGAGGGCAACTACGCCGTAAATGCTGGCATTCCAGGGAGCTTGCCACTCAGGAGGCCTCGAGATCTCAACTGTGGATGGAGCTCTGACGTCTGTAGCGGTCCCGCGTATTGATGAAAGGGTGTAGGAACAGCTAAGCCTAAGCGCGAGGCTGTGTACGATTATAGCAGCCGGTATCATAACGTCTTACAAGCTTTCGCGGGCGCCTGCCACACCGTTGAGCTTCTTAGCCATTGACTTGGCTCGAAGATCAACCGCAAATCCAGTCATTGCAGCTTAGCTCAAGCTTTTAGAGTAATACCGGTCTGCAGAGTACGTAAGGTGCACCTCTCCTGGCGGTTTACGGGTCAATGCCACAGAAGCTCGGCGGAATTATTCTTGCTGTCGATCCGGGAGACATTGGGCGGCCGAGCCAGTAAGAGACTCAGCCGCGCCTCCCACGATCCCTTCCTCTGACACACGCACACGCAAATCCCCTGTGCAGGCCCCGTCGCTTGCGCTGAGCCTTCCCGACGAACACGCGGCAGGGCGAGGATGCGCCTGCGTCGAGCCTTTCCAGCTGCAGCCATTCGAATCGTCCCGTCGGCATGGCATGAAACCGATGATATCACCAGCCACACCGGGGTGGTCGACTCCTGACGTCTAAGCCTCAACACACTGGCTAAAGTTTTTGTATGTTGTAGACAGTCGCATTGGCTGTGGCGGCTGGTTGCACTGTAAGAAATAAAGGGGACGGGGATTCTGGCTAGTCCGGGGCACCGATTCTGCCGTGCCTGGCCGCCTCTTTTCGGCGACAGGGGTTGGCCATTCCGCTGGTACCTTAGCTTCATAGACGTCACGAGTCTCATCTGTACAATTGCAGATTTGCATGTGCAGGGACGTCACTCACCAAACCGTCCGAGCAGGAGTCAATCATCATGGCGCCTAAGCCGACAAACTGGGGTCGATGGTTGAAGATGTTGGGCGGGTAAGTCGACTCTTCTCAGGCTCCAGCTGTCGGGATTTTCACTGAACAGTCTCGGCTAGCGGCGCGTTGGTATGCGTTGGAGGACCCGCGCTCACTATGTATCTGGCTCCCACGGATGAGGAACTCTTCCAAAAGTACAATCCTGATCTCCAAAGGAAGAGCCTGGAGAAGAGGGTGGAAAGGCAACAAGAGTTCGACGATTTCGTGAACAGACTCAAGAAGTACTCGAAATCGTCCAAGCCAAGTGAGCTCGAAGCTTCTGGACTTTATAGTTCACAGCTAACATTATGACAGTTTGGGTCGTACAGAAAGAGGACGAAGAAAGACAGAGGCAAGCGAAGCTACAAGAGAGCTTGAAGATTGCCGATGAGGTCAAGGCAAGAAGGGAAGCCATGAGGAAGGAGGCAGGCCTGTCGCCTGAATCCACCAGGTGATATTCATTAGCCCTCCACTACGATTGGATGTACAATATTGTATTGTGAAAGGGCATTACCGATACGAATATTGTGTATTATACGGTAAATGACATTCAGCACATGTCGCTCAAGGCTCATGAGACTGGAACAGGACACAGGCGTTTGGATTTTCATCAGAGCATTGAAGCTCACTAGCGAATGAGGGACGGGGCAATACTAAGCTGCTATAATCATGAAACTCGCTGCTCATGGGCTCTGATTTCATTATATATCAGAACCCTGGTTTTAAACATAATAAAGACCGTCGAATCCTGCATTTTAAAGATGATCACATGTGCTCATTCCGGTTTCTGAATCAATTCCTCATCTTCATTGCCGCTTGATAGGTGGTACTGGGATTGACATCTTGAGTGGTCCGTGCTTTCGCTAAACTCTCGAGCTCGCCGAGGGAAAATCAATATTGCGGGAAAACTCTTGGCGCAGAGAAAACCCTAAGAGTGCGGCTCAAGAGCACCTCACCGTCACCGGCCTATCACGTCAACGACGACATCCCGCGAAGAAACAACGAGAGTACGTTCCCCAAGTCCGACGGCAGTAATGAATTGGTGCAGCGGTGGTTCTGCCCAAATTTCAGCTTGTTTCGCATTCTTGTGCATTTGCTAACTGACCCACCAGTCGAGCGGTACCTTAAGCTCCCACCCAACTCCCCGCAGACCCTTCCTCTTTCATCCTCCAGATATTCACCATGGCCGACGTACAAGAGCGTCTCAAGAAGCTGGGTGCCAGCGCACGAATTGGTAAGTTAGGGGACAAGCGAAATCCGAGGCAGCTGTGACAAGGCCTCGCTAACAATTTCTAGGGTGAGTTATGACTGATTTCCAATCCCGACGACCGACAAATTCCTGCACCGAGAACGATACCGTTGACCGACTACGAGGACACGATGCTGATTATGTGGCTTTTAGTGGAAAGGGAACTCCCCGGAGAAAGGTCAAGAGAGCCCCTGCCCGATCCGGCACGGACGACAAGAAGCTTCAGCAGACCCTCAAGAAGCTCAATGTCCAGCCCATCCAAGCCATTGAGGAGGTGAACATGTTCAAGAGCGACGGAAATGTCATCCACTTCGCTGCTCCCAAGGGTAAGAGACGGCATCGAGAGGCCGAGATCGGCCAGGCAACGAGGAAACGAGGCTGACAAATATGTGGTGATAGTGCACGCCGCCGTACCAGCTAACACCTTCGCCATCTACGGCAACGGCGAGGACAAGGAGCTGACCGAGCTCGTCCCCGGCATCCTGAACCAGCTGGGCCCCGACTCCCTGGCCTCCCTCCGCAAGCTGGCCGAGAGCTACCAGAGCATGCAGAAGGGCGAGGGAGACAAGGAGGCTGATGATGACGATATCCCCGACCTGGTGGCTGGCGAGAACTTCGAGAGCAAGGTTGAGTAAAAAGGGTTTTATCTGAAAAACTGGCAAGGGAACCGCATTTGCTATCGTGAGGGGCGCCGTATTTGTAAAAGGCTGTCGGCTGGTTTATGCACTTATACAGGGACGGCGGAATCTCTGGTACATCTTTAGCATGGAAAGCGCCAACCTTCAGGGTCGGCGTACAAAGAATATTCTTGGCATGCAATTTGCATGTTTTTGACTCCGTTACACATTCTTGAACAAGATTCTGGCGTCAGATTAAGTGACATCCATATTTGACGGACGAGGCCAATTGAGGGCTCTGTTAATGGCTGAGGCACCCCTATCTACGCTAACTAGATGGCGAACCCTGAATCGCCAGTGTTTCTAACCCAACCTCGCAAGACTTGAGCTCTGATGTAGTCTTTTACCTTGCTTCTTCCAGCAAGGACGACACCATCCTTCACATGCTGGTAACTGGTGCTGTGGAACAGTATCTGAGTCTCCTGCCCAGCTTGTTCTTCCACAAGCTCACTCACCTCCAAAACCAAGCTCCAGGTTTTTCTCCTGGATGTGAGACTGGCTCCCTTCGGATCGGACTGCTTGCGACCCTGCAGTATACCTCCTATGATGCCTTCTTCCAAACCATTCTCCGTCCATGCAGTTGCCATATTACTGGCAGCAAACTTGACATTATCAACTCCAGGACAGCGCCGGGAATAAGCAAACTCTCTTGTAGTAGTGTGGATCTTGAATGGCGAGAAGCAGTAGCCGCCCGGCCACCTTTCGCCTGCTAGCGAAAACATCCGCCCGTTCACCGAAAAGCATCTCTCGCAGGCCGTGGGTGAGTACTGTGACTCAGGCAGAACTAGGGACGATATATAAAGTCCTTCAGGGGACACCAGCACTGAGGTCAAGGAACTGAGCAATGAGGTACATTGCTTCAATGCAATTTTGTCTGAGCACGACTTCGACAGTGTTGGCGGGGCATCACCCCTGGCTGGCTTCCGTCGAACGACGCCCAGCTTGGAGAAGTATGCTCTTCCAGGCAACTGGCTTGAGTCATCACTTTCTTGAATGTTGGCTGCGGGCGATGGGACCTCCCACGGTGCAGCATCTTCCTGCGCTGCCATCGTCAGCTCCATGCTTGCATCGCCACCTAATTACATATTAGTCAAGACAATCTCATTCACTATAAGATGCACAGCTTACAAGGAGCTTCAGAGCAGTACATGTGAATAGTCACATCATCACGCCAGGCAAACGGCTGGCCATGCCACACCTCATCCTCAATGGCGATCTCTTCAGTGGTCCGTCGGCGTAGATACTTAGATGACTCTCCCGTGACCAAAAATTGCTTACACTCCTTCAGAAGGAAGTGATTGAAAGCTCGGATGGCTAATACTTCAGCATGCCAGTCGTGTAATACGCTGCCATTGGCAGCTGGGATCTTAGATGCTGGCAAGCATTTCATACCCGTGCTTCATGGCCTCGAGTCAGTCATTGGCCTTGAAACGGCGAACTTGGCTGTGTGCAATACATACGCGAGAGCTACACATTTGAGTGGCTGGTCCCCGGCTATCTCATGTTAGATCTGAGCATCTTGACAAAAGGTGCAACCAGCCCTTACATTTGACAACGATGCCACTCAACGGCACCCATTCCTGAACTCCATTACCACGATTAATGGGCTTTCTCTTTTGTGGAAGCCTATCAAACTGATCAAGAACTGCGGCCGCTATTGCATCGCCCTCGGTCATCATCGAGGAAGGACATATGCGAGGAATCTGCGAGGTGACACCCTCTCTTAAATGTAGGTGATGAAGGCTTGGTTGTATGGATAATAGTGAAGACAGTTAAATTCACCAGCCCAGTTAGGTGAGCACCGTTTCATAGTGCTGTAACAAGATAGGGGTGCAAATCACCCATAATGCAGAACACTCACTCAAGACTTGGGCACTCAAGCAGTAGACAATTATCAAGCGTTCAAATCTATCAGAGGATATAACACATTTAAGTTGAAATTTACAATAACGATCCAATATCGAAATGACCTCCGATAGGTAGTCCAATTAATGGCAGGTAAGGTGAATCTAAAGAGGATGACTCAGCAGAGCCGATAAGATAGGAGGATTCGAGGTCACGGGGCCCTACCAAAAAGCGTGGTGGCTTACATAAGGCTCGAGCACAGAATGCGCACAAGAATTTTAGCGAAAATCGAGTTGGTCTACCTGACTTGAAGTCCCCCTTCGACAACCACCCAACGACAATCGGCAACGCCACGACAAATTCAAAATGAGAACGTACGACGATACCTTCTCGGGTCAGAGAATCTACCCTGGCAAGGTACGCTATATTTTCTGTCGTTCCGCGGGACTCGATTTGGGAGGTTCGAGGGGAGCGGAGGGGTGGCGAGCGTTTTGACGTCGATTGAGACGACGCACGGCGCGACGACGAGAAGGAAACCCATGTATGAGAGAAGACTGACATTTCTGTAACTGCAGGGTAAGCTCTTCGTCCGTGGCGACAGCAAGATCTTCCGATTCCAGAACGGCAAATCCGAGTCTCTCTTCCTGCAACGAAAGAACCCCCGCCGCATTGCCTGGACCGTTCTGTACCGCCGACAGCACCGCAAGGGTATCTCTGAGGTACGATTGAACCGCTCGTCAAAACCGGCACTATCAGCACTGCTGGCAGTCGTGTAGCTGGAAGTTTGAAACAGGAACTAACACCCACCGCAGGAGGTCGCCAAGAAGCGCAGCCGCAGAACCGTCAAGTCCCAGCGAGCCATCGTCGGTGCCTCTCTCGATGTGATCAAGGAGCGACGATCAATGCGACCGGAGGCCCGCTCCGCCGCCAGACTGCAGGCCATCAAGGAGAGCAAGGAGAAGAAGCAGGAGGCTGCTGCCGCCAAGAAGGCCGAGAAGGCAAAGAACGCCTCCAAGGCCTCCAAGGGCCAGACCCAACGCATCGTCCCCAAGCAGGGCGCCAGGGGAGCACAGCAGAAGGTCGCCGCCAACACCCGCTAAGTTACGAAACGCTCACCATCGCTCGCCTGATGGAGGGTGATGCAATGGGAAACAAGGGAAGGAACGGAGTCGGGTTCTCTCTTTGTGTTTACGCCTGAGGCGGTTTTCTAACGTCATAAAAGGGCTGGTTGCATGGAATCCTACTATTGAGGGACTTGAGAGTTTGCATGGGTAGCTCAGAAAATGACAACTTGTGCATCATTGGCCAGACTTTACATTTTCAATTATGCCGTGATATGACCCTGGTAGGGCATCTCCATTGCTTAAGGGTTGAATGGGACCCAGAAATGGTAATGCCTCTATTGATTATGCATGCTTTTAGCTCTATCTACCGATGCCTATAGCTTCGCCAGAACGGCGTCGGCACTCGACTTGTCCAGAGTCTTGGGGATATCCTGCTCAGCATAAGTAACCTTTCCGTGATCAATGACGATGGCATATCTGGCAGAACGGGATCCATCGGGAGTGACCCAACCAATGCTCTTTGAAAACTTCAGATTGTCGTCGGCCATGAATAGCTATCAAAAGTTAGTAAATGTATATCCAAGCCGGGGCGGCCATGTTTCATCAGCTTACCGTGAAGTCGTCCGTAACTTGGTTCGCCTTGCCCCAAGCACTCATCACGAACACGTCGTTCACGGCAATGACCACCACATGGTCAACACCCTTGGCCTTGAGCTTCTCCTTGTTGTCAAGGAAGCCCGGGACATGTCTCTCGGAGCAGGTGGGCGTAAAAGCTCCCGGGACAGCGATCAGTACGACCTTCTTGTTCTGCCACTCTGCAATTGGCCATTAGTACCGTCTATTTACAGCGATCGAACATTCAGGAAAGTGGCTTCCGATATTACACTTACCCTTGCTGGCATCGTACTTGACGGGGATTCCGCAAGCTCCTATGGACGCCTTCTCGGATGTGAATGGGATGTAGGTGAAGCTAACATCCTCCGGGAAGGAGTCTCCGACCTTGAGCTCGGGCATTTTGATAGCTATGTGATCTTGTGAGTTGAAATCTCGTGTTCCGGGTAGTAAAATGTCTCGAGGGAGAGAGCGGATATGATAAAAACGCAAGAACGGCTATCAAGGTAGTTGGGATTGCCGGTTTTCGCAGGCGCCGTGCCACGGTTTACCCCTCCGCGGTGGATTTTAAGAACCCTTTAGAGAGTTCTACTGACAGGACGGGGCAACCCCACCACCAAAAGCAAGCTCGACCTCCCTGAGCACGCCGGCCTCCGACCCTGTGGGCCATCCTTTGCCAGAAGACCTACCTGTTGGGTAGGGAGGCCGAATCCTGCCGGCAGGCCGGTTCGGGATACGCCCCTCTGATCTCGGAATGCGAGTCGATTATCGCGCAATCTGAAGTGCCACTGTTCCATAGTCATTTGAAGTCTTACCCCCTCTTCACATCACTTCGTAGACTTCTGCAACAGTGTCTGATCGATTCAACTTGACCATATTGGCTCAACTGTGGCATCGGACCAGTCTCGCAAACTTGTGAACGATGCTGAAGTCAGCAATAGCTCTTGACCGAGTTCTGCATCTCCGAGCCACAGGCAGAACCAGGGAGCCAACTCAATGCCATGCCGTGCAATGGGTTGTTGGAATTCGGCACCCGGGCACAGGGTTAAGTACGTCAAAGTGATATGTCAAGGGCTTCATTGAAGCATTTCGAGACTTCGAAATAGTTGCTCTGAAGCAGGTTGGCGTCGATGTCTTTATGAGAGATCGGTAGTCATTTGATTGAACTTGCTCGAAGCGCGTTGGAACCAGAACACCCATGGCGCCAGTCAGCAGAAAGAGATTCTAACTCGTCCAATTGTTACGCCGTACCTGCAGCAACACTCCAACCTACCAACCCTCATCCAAGCATCTTCTCCGCGGGGTCTCGGTTCCTCGCAACTTGTAGCCAAATCCCGACAGCACTGTCATATCCCGAAATGTAGTAGCCGATTCCCTTGCCGGAGCCTATCAAACGACTTCTGGTCCGAGCAGTGAGCGCTGAAGCTTGAGGTTCTTCACTGGGACTTACCTAAAATACTCTTAGTGTTGACTGTCGAACTTACGAAAACGCTGAGTCAGGGAGAGTGATTACTATTCAAAGCAAATTGCGCGCGCCTTCCAAACAAATTATAGCCCTTGTAGTCAGCATGTTAAACGTAAAGTCACCTGCGACGCATTCTGGCTACGGGAATACAGAGCCCTAAGTCAGCGAAAGGCGCGCATCTCCTCGAAAGCTACCCTCTCCGGACCCCGATCCCGAGCCACCGTTAGACCTCCGGACCAACGCCGAAGGATTGAGTCCATGTTGTTTCCGTAGATGAGAAGAATTCGACAACATCGTCACTTGAATCAATTGCCTATATAAGTGGCCGTAGTTGTTTATTTTTCGTCGACACTCTCATCTCACTCAGCACAATGTCAAGAGTAGCATTCAGAACCCTTAACAACACTCTCAAGAACGACATCAAAGTCTCAGGTCTACGCACAATGGCTACCAGCGAGTCTAAGCCCCCACTGCCACCCTTCACCCTGGAGACGGCGAGGATCAAGGTGAAGGCCGCGCAGGACGCGTGGAATACCAGAGATCCTGCCAAGGTCAAGATGGCCTACACCCCGGACTCCATCTGGAGAAACAGAGCCGACTTTCTCAAGGGCAGAGACGAGATCGAAGCCTGGCTCACCAAGAAATGGCTGAGGGAGAACGGTTACAGACTGAGAAAAGAGCTGTTTGCTTTCACAGACAATAAGGTATGTATCCCTCACTCTCTTCGTAGGCTGATTTTATGACTGACACAATTGATAGATCGCAGTTCAGTTCTGGTATGAGTGGTTTGACCAGTCTGGTCAGTGGTGGAGGACCTATGGCCTTGAGGATTGGACTTTTGCTGAGAATGGTCTCATGAGAAAGAGGATGATGAGCGGCAATGACGTCAAGATCTCAGACGAAGAGAGATGGTTCAAAGATGGTGTTGATGTTAACACCGTCGACATCAGTGAAAAACATTGGTGATGGGAATAATTAAAATTGTGATGAACGGGCCGGTAGTGTACAAGGAGTTCATTGAAGACATTCAAGAATGTTCTGGCATCCTTTTCATGACATTTAATTCATTCTAATATTGCATATACAGTATATGATTTCGCGGGGGCGAAATTTTTATTTTAATGTACTTAAAGATATAATATCGAGCCAACTTCTTGGAATCTGCGTATGATGGACAAATATCACCAGTAAGACCGGTGACTATCGACGGGATTGACGGAATTTGCGTTTGACCAGGACAGCTACAGGAAAGTGCTTGATGAGGGAGTCTGCCTCGTGGAAAACAAAAGAAGGCACTGCTGAACCTGACGCAGCCTCTCTCCTGCACTGCAGTTTTAGCTGCTCCCAGGGCACCACCAGAAATCTACACTGGGAACATGTCTTCGCTGTAATTTGCTGCCTAGATAGTTAGCCTTCCAAAGACTCACTATCTTTCGGGTTTCAACCATACCCAATTCTAATCCAGACCCCATTTGCACATACGCGTCCAGTCACAGGCACAAGTTATCACGCATATAAGATAACACTCAGGTTTATTTGTTGAGCGTTCGTTTCGCTGTGTTGCTTTCCCTCCTCATACAGTCTACACATCGTCCTGCGTGATGGATGTGCTTCAACCACCACTGCTGTGATGCCCCTGCGTTTCCGAGCCTCCTAGTGCACTCGTGCTATCCCCTCAAGATGTCTTGGATGGCAACCATTCCTGCCACCGGACGCACGTCGGCGACGGCGTGAAATCGATGGCGCACGGAACCACCCATCCTCAAACGCCATTGACAAAGCTCAATTGGACTCGAGGTCCCAATAGGCAATTGTTTCTTTTTAGCTTATCATCGCTGACGTACGAGGCTGCCCATGAGGAGATTTCGCTAAAGCGCCACCTGTCTTCAGGTGCCAAGGATTTCGGCATCCCGCCTAGCGATCTACGCTGGGATTCTCCGTATCTTGGGCGTGACCAGGGGGACGTGTCCGTCTGCTTCCAATTGCTCTTGTACTCTATCTAATGGCTTCGTAGTAGGGCTTTCACCCGAGTTCACACCCGTCTTTGATAGTCAAATTGGCTTTGAAGATTGACGGGTTCCGCGAGAGCACTCGACTCTGGCCAAGACTTTTTGTCTCTGTTTCTGCCAGAAAAGCAAATTCTTAAGCTGCCGAGCAGTTGAGCGTTGGCATCGTGGGTTTGGCGGTGTTAGTTCCGCACTTGTGCTCAGATTAGCGATGCAGCTAGACACGGCGGGCTCCATACCACCATCTGGCTGCACAGACCTCGCGCCCTTGCCCTTGGGGGATCGAGAGCCACGAATCCCATTCCCCTTTGCCTTGCCCCTTGTCCAGTTGGTTGGAGGGGCCGGAACCTGAGATGCATGCAAATGTCGAGTCCTTTGCATGAGGCAAAATGGGCCAAAGCCGAGGGCCGCATGGGCCTGGCTGTCAGTTGCGTAGCACAAGCCAGGATCTCGAGTCCTTCAGCCGAGCGAGCGCACGCCTCCACAAGCAAATATTAGGGCCCATGGCGTGCATGGCGCTTCCCCCAGAAGCAATGAAACTTCATGATTCGCTGGTGGGTATCTTGCAAGCAGCATCGGGGACTCGGAGGAGGGTCGCGAAGAGACGCCCGCCTACGTTGTCTCGAAGCCCATCCAGCCTCGACCTGGCTATGATCATCTTGTTTCGGTGTGACAGGATCAACAGCCCAGGTACAGGTGATATAGACAAGGTCTTGGCCAGCCCTCACCGGGTGCTAGCCATCTTTGAACTTCGCCTCCTGCAATAACCGTGAGCGCAGAAGAGCAGGATGGAAAGGTGCGGTTGTGAACGTGTAGACAGGACTAGACTGGAGTGTCTGCAGGTGAGAGTTGATAGCTCTACTGACCAGAATCCCTCGACCGAAGACTGAAAATACGAAGAGCTAGCTAGCACTTACTATGGGTCGAGAGGCCTTCCGAGGTCTAAGAGTCTGTCATAAAAGCCAAGTCGCCAAACGAAATGTGAGCACGGACAAAGTGAGATCTCTCTTGGGAGATAAGGCCTTTCCCCAGCCCGCCGCCGAGCACTTCTCGGGCTGATCCCGGAACAGGGGTGTCGAGTCCTACCCCAGCACGCCCAGAAGTTGCTCGAGCCTCGAGGCTTGTCCAATGTTCCAGGATATGCACTGAGATGGTCAAGCAGCCTGCTGTGTGACCGTCATTAATTTGGAAACTTCCGTTTGGATCTGCCATCTCTCTTCAATCTTAAATATTCTGGGCTCTTCATCACGTTGCCTACTTGTCGATCTCCGAAAGTCGATGATGTGCGAACCAGGGACCTTGTCTCAAGCCGCATTATCATGTCAACCATGCTCGCTATGGTCCTATGGAGCCCTGGACGTAGCTCTCCCTCGTGGATACCGTTGCAAGCGTTTGATTAGGGGATCTGTTGGGCGGGCCGTGTCTTTCCTGTCTTCATTCCAAACCACCAGCGTTGTATCGTTGTTATCCCTTGCAGAAGCAGCAGTTCTTCGGCAATGAACTAAGTCAACACACTATTCTAGCATGTCCTGACTAGCACGCAGTATACGTCATACCATCTAGGAGAACCTCATGAGCTCGCAACTCATACATAGCACAGTAGACATTGAAAACTCGACAAAATCGCACAGTTGAAAAGCGATTCCAGAGTGATGATTCAGGACACGAGCCAGAACTGTGTCTAGCAGGCATTATTCGCCTTTGAGCTTCGGCGAAATGTGCATGTCTGAACAGGAATATCATGAGCGGGACGCGCCAACGGAAGACTAAGGTCCCGCCGACTAATGCCTTAGCGCAGCGCCCACCATCTCCAGGTGAGCTGCAGCAGGCCAATCACTCGACGACCTCCCAGCCTCACACCACCATGTCTTGATTGCCCATCATCCAGCCACGAGAGAGTGCCGACATGGCCTATGGGCTTCCTGTGAGTGTGGTGGGCCAAGCCTGAAGCTCGCCCTGGGAAAGGTGGGCAAGCCCGGCCCCCCAGCTCTCCACCGGGGATCTGTCTCCGCGATATATCGCAGTGTCTAGCGAGTTAAGTGCCAGCAGCTAGGCGCAGGTTCAAGTTGCCTATGTGTAACGTGCGTGCTTGATGGCGTTCGGCCTCCCCAGAACAGGGTAGACTCCCGGTCCACTCTGTCAACGGGCTTGCGCCCACTGTATTAGTTCTTGACTCTTATATACGCTTGGGACGTGCGTGGCAACCTGCCGAGCTTCCTTGTGTGATAGTGACGAGAAAAAAGCATCTACGAGCCCCGGCGCCCTTGTTACACGCATATCTAGCTCGGCGTGCGAGTCGTTACTTATATCCTACCTTTGCCTCGAAAGTTCTCGTCCGTGAGAAACTCCCCTCGTTGTTGAGATTCCGAGCATCTGGCATATTTGTTCGCCTCTCACTACTTCCTGGATCTGAGTTCTATATCGCAACCAGTCTCCGTACTCCAGCTTTCAAAATGGGTCTCATGGGTCTTGGCTATCGACGACCTGAATTCGTCGACAAAGACCAATTCAGACGAACTCAATCGTCACTAGACGAGAATGACTCCCTCAGGTCTGGGAGATCCAACGCCTCTGCCGGCATCCCAAGCGCTTTGACCTTTGACAAGATCATAACCGGTGGCACTTGCCCTGTAAGCCAGTGTATTACCGTTCAATAACATCACCTCGAGAACTAACGATGTTCGCTAGCCTTGCACTGTCCGTGACTTCATGAACTATCTCATATACATTGAGAGATCAGCCGAGAATCTGCAATTCTTCCTCTGGTATCGTGACTACGTCAAGCGCTTCAAGGAAGCCGACACGTCGGATATCAACCTCGCCCCCGAGTGGACACAGGCCATGGAGGAGGATACCGTCACAAGACTCCAGAAGGAGCAGGCAGACAAGATGCGGAGGGAGCCAGCTGGCGCCGAGATCTTCAAAGGCACTGACTTTGAGAAGCGCCCTGGCCCTACCGTCCATGAGACCAAGGACCCTTTCTCCACGCCGCCCCGCACACCCGGCGAGCAGGACTCTCAGTACACTGGATCGAATGCTTTCAGCTATCGGTCGCAAGCGAACGATGCCTTCAGTGCTGCGGGTGCTAAAGTGCCTTGTAAGTGAACACCGGCAACTGACCGACTTCATTGACTAACATTTCACAGTCACTATCCAGCCCTTCCGAGCGGAAATCGACCGTGTCATTGCCACATACATCATGGATGAGGCACCACGGCAACTCAACCTCTCATCCCGGGAGCAGAAGGCGACCCTTCAGGCTCTCGCTTACACCACGCACCCGTCTGCCTTCCGCATAGTCGCCAAGTCCATCGAGTCTACGCTCCGGCAGCAAGCCCACCCCAACTTCATCCGCTGGTCGATCTGCAACGGCAACCCGGCGCGCGTCTTCTTCGCCCGCGGGCTCGGCGTATCTCTCATCCTCATCAGCACCGTGGTGGCTATTGTGCTGACACTTAGCCGCGCGCGCAGAGGCTACGCGGCGCTGGCGGCGATCGGGTGGGTGCTGGGCATCTCGACGCTGGTGGCGGCGTGGAAGGGCATGTGCGTGGTGCTGCACGGGATGCACCACCGGCACGTGCGGCCGTGGGAGCTGTTTGTGGACCCGGAGGAGCAGCTGGACTCGCTGTCGGCGACGGAGAGCGGCTCCGGCTCCGGCCCCGGCCGCGGCCGCAAGACGACCAAGGACTCGTTCGACTCGTTCGGCAGCGCCAACAGCTACGAGGAGGAGCCGTGGGTCGTCAAGTACCAGCGCCGCAACGTCATCCGCAAGATCTTCGACCGCGAGGTCTGGATCCAGGAGCCCGCCCTGCGCCAGATCCAGGACACCATCTTCGTCCAGAGCATGCTGTGCGCGCTGCTTGCTGCGGGCGCCCTGACGGCTCTCTTCGTGGCTGTTCCGAGGGGCCACTTCTTCTAAGCTGAGAGCCATGTTCATTGCTCTCTGCTCTGGCGTATGGTTTGGCGTTCTGGTTCGCTCGTCGCTTGACGAAGGCTGTTGCTAGACAGCATCTCGGAAACATCGGTATTGGGCTCTCCTATCTTCGAACTCTCTGAAGGAATCAGGCTGGTGAAAAGGATCTGTTACCCTGTTGAAGGGATACATATGGGAGGGTTACTTTGTAAGGCGGCGCTGAATTAGGTATGACTGGGAGACTTCCCACGGTCCTTTATCTTGTGGATAACCACTGCCGATAGTCTGTTGATAATGTCTGAGATGAATACTATTGGAAGATTGCAAGCGAGCCCGTCTGAGTAATATATGTACTGCAGCTGTCTCGTTGCGAACCGAACTTTGTGCAACAGATCCTGAATCCTTGGGAGGTTGAGTAATCATTCCCGAGCTGAGAGCAGCCTGTTGAGAAGGTAATCTCAGCCTCTGAGCCTTTCCAGATATCTCTGAGACTATGCCAACGAGGTAATTGGCTGGTGCTATATCCGTGCATGGCTGGGCGTTGAGCTGGAAAAAGGAGCCGAGAGATGCGGATGGCCTCGGCAGCACCCCTGAATGGTGTGGGAGGGAAGTCACAAGATTGGGGATCGCCCTGGGGCCCCAACCTGGAAGTGCCCCCCAAGAAAAACTCTCACAGCCTGACAAGCCCTGAAACTGCGGGGCTGTTGAGCTGCTGAACCCCGGAGATCGCAGATAGGCCCCGCCACAGCCTCGGGCAAAAGGGCGGGGCTGTCGACAATTACGCAGTAGTGCAGCGCAGTAAAGTACAACGTTAACTCGGCCTTTACTAGCGGTAGCCGGGCGGTGGGCGATGACAATTTTAGAGGGGGATCGGGATCTCAAATTGAATCCAATCCGCATGCGCAGCGCAATCCTGTCTGTGATACATCACACTCACCGAGACGGAGTAACTGACACTCTCTTGTGGCCGGATCAGTGCAGATGGGCGCAATTGCACAGCTGGCATCCCCAAAGTCGCTACACGAGGGCTGAGCTCTGCCCACCTCTGGTACAAAAGGAGCTGTAAATGCCGCTCTGGGAGCTCTGACTCTGACATTGTGGAATGGCTGCGAGCCGCAACACAATGGACAACGACCAACACCCGGTGCAGCCGGTCATGGCCCAGGCCGGCGAGGAGATTGTGCGCCCGAAGACGGCGACCACGACGGCGGAGATTGACAGCACCATCATACATCCGGGGTCCGTCAAGATCAACGTCAAGGGCGCATTCATCGTCGACCAGGAGAGCACCACGCCGCGCAACGGCCGCGGCTCCCCGGACCACCACCAGACCAGCGATATCCGACTGCCGAACCACACGGCTGTCGTCAGTCACATCGCAATTGATGTAAGCCCACCCCAGTCACTCCAGCCTTGCCCGCACAGTAGAAGCTGTGTTCAGACATAGAACTGACTGTTTGGAATTCTAGATTGGCGGTTCTCTAGCGAAACTTGTCTACTTCTCACGGGAAGCGTACTCGACCGAGCCCGGTGGCCGATTGAACTTCAGCAGCTGGGAGACCGACCGGATAGAAGAGTGCATCAATTTTATCAAGCACCTAAAGGAGAACCAGCAGACACTTAATGGCTCGAAGCCGGGACAGCTGACCGTCATGGCGACGGGCGGCGGCGCATACAAGTACTATGACAAGATCAGGGAGGAGCTTGGGGTGGATGTCATCCGTGAGGATGAGATGGAGTGTTTAATCATAGGTAAGCCAAATTACGAGGAAACTCAATGCGCAAAACTTAAAAGCGCATGTCACTAACCTCTGTTGCTCAACAGGTCTCGATTTCTTTATCTCAGAGATACCCCGTGAAGTATTCACATATAGCGAGACGGACCCAATGCACTTCGCCGCTCCCCGCGACGACATATACCCCTATCTCCTTGTCAATATCGGCTCAGGCGTATCGTTCCTCAAGGTGTCTGGCCCGCGGGAATATCAAAGAGTAGGAGGAACATCTCTCGGAGGCGGTACGCTATGGGGGTTGCTGTCACTCCTTACCGGCGCGCGGACGTTCGATGAGATGCTGGACAATGCCGCGCGAGGTGACAATTCCAAGGTCGATATGCTCGTAGGTGACATATACGGCACCGACTACGGCAAGATTGGGCTCAAGTCCACCACAATCGCCAGCTCCTTCGGCAAGGTCTTCCGCATGAAGCGCGAAGCTGAGTCCGAAGCAGAGGACATGGGCGGCGGCCCCAACGGCGACGCAGCACACCACCTCCTCAACTCGCCCGACGGCGCCGGTGACCCGCACCACCAGCAATCAGACCCGAACTCGTTCTCGAGCGCGGACATCAGCCGGTCGTTGCTGTACGCCATCAGCAACAACATCGGCCAGATCGCGTACCTGCAGAGCCAGATCCACGGGCTGTCCAACATCTACTTTGGCGGGTCCTTCATCCGGGGCCACCCGCAGACGATGAACACGCTGAGCTACGCCATCAAGTTCTGGAGCAAGGGCGCCAAGCGGGCGTACTTCCTCCGCCACGAGGGCTACCTCGGCTCCGTCGGCGCGTTCCTCAAGAGACAGCCCCGCAACTGGGGCCGCAGGGGCAGCCTGGAGAGCGGGAACGCCGTCAACAAGGACCTCGAGTGGCGCATGCGGGAGCGCAACGGCGAGGCGGCCGCGGCCACGACGAACGGGGCTGCCGAGACTGAGTTTGCGTATCCTGGGACATTACCATCTAAGAGTGGCGTGGGCAGCGAGTCGGCCATAATATGAGCTTAGAAAGGCTGGGTGGTAAACAATACTGATAGAACGGCTAGACAGAACTGTCCTTACTTGCGCGGGCATTTGCATTGGGAAGGGAGTTACGGTGCATGTTGGTAGCATATCGAAGGCGGCATCAGTCACTTGGGATCAATACACGTCCTCGAGTAAGGTGCAGACTTTAATCCTTTTCTACAGCACATCCTTTTTGCATGAGAGACATGGCCGTCATCATGACATGAGGCCTGCGGCTAGATCCAAGTTCTTTCGTGGCATATGGTATCAGATGCTGGCGGTGGCCTAACATGACGGCACTCTCTGTGATAGCCTGTTGTATAGCCTAGATCGGCTCTTGACTGTCTGTCTACTTAATTCCATATATTGTGATACACACCAAAAAAAGCCAGTTGATACCCGCGCTCAAACGGCAAAGCAAATTGTTGGAGAAGTCTGGTAGTCTTGAATGACATGATAGCCCCAAGAGCATGGCGACTCTGAGCCGGCAACGGAAGAACATATTTAGAACTCACTTTTGACCCAGGCGGTAGGGACAGTGGGGATGATCAGCGGACAAGATTAGAAGAAGGAACAACAAGACGCGCAAGATTAACGCAGACCGTGCAGATCTGAATATACCCCTGAAAAGCGAACTTGTTCGTAATCGAGCACGGCTGGAGGGATCCGAGCCTCAGAGACTGTGCTGGAAGTGACAGGCAAGGGACCAACATGAGGTGTGTTGGTGGGCGTGAACACGATGGGACGACCATGGGTTATGAATTCATCCGCGGCCATCATAGTGGTGTCGGTGTATGACGAGTAGTTTCCCACCGCCGCAGTCTGATAGATCGTGGCAGCTGTTTGGTGAGCAGCGGGGCCGAGGCAAGTGTTCTGATGGTACGATTGTGCAGGAAGAGGAGGAGGCATTTGTTGGGAGGGAAATGAAGGCCCAGCAATTCCATCAAAGGCCATCGCGGGCAGCGAAGATGCTGCCCCTAGCGATGGATTAGTTCCATAAGGTGGGTGCCACATTGATTGAGCAAGCTGCAGTTGTAGCTCAGACCTGGTCCTCTCGTTTGCCACTACATCACCTTCCGCCTGTCTAATGAGATTCTTCAAGGACGAGACCTTCTGTCGGTTGGCAACTACTTCAGCAGCCACGTTATCAACAAGATCGCGCCCCTCGATTCCGCGCGGCTCGGCATCAACTGGGATGTTGTGAGGTAGTATGTCGGAGAGAGTGTCCCCGGCGATCCGGACTGTCCTCTGGATATGCATGGTAGAGAGCGGGAGTGCGTTGCAACAAGAATGGAGGAAGTTCGGACTCATGATACATTCTCGATTAGTAAGAGTGCGAAAGGCACAGTGTATTTTGTGCTTCTTCCCGCTCTGTGTAAGTGGACAATCGGAATCTTCCAGGTGATAATGTTCTGGATGAAGGTTCTCCGCTGTGGGAAGTTGTTCGAAGAATGGTTTCATTCGTTTAAGAATGCCGTTCTCGTATACAAGTGCAGGGCATTGAGTTTTGAGGTTACATAGCTCTCCAAACTAGGCAAGGATATCAGTATTGTTGTCATCAAGATTGGAACCAGTCAATACAGACTTTTCGTGTCGGCAATTTGGGGCCAGATTGCTGCAGTCGCTCTCTTATAGCGTTCGTCTCGTCATCACTGAACATTATATAGACAGGACTGGAGGGTAGCGTCTCAGCTTCCGGAGGTGGCCACACGCCGTGCTGGATTTCAAGACAGAACCTCCTCTGTATCTCAAGACGGCGGAACACGAATTCATCTCTGGCCTCATCTTTCATAGTTTCCAGATTCTTTAGCCGGTTCTCCACACCGTATTTGCCAATAGTAGTGTCGCTAGGATCATCACCTTGCACGATGTTCAAGGACTTAAACTTCCCATTCCTCTTCTCCTGATACTGGCCCCCAACGCGGGTATAATACCCGCCATCTCTCATGTACTGCCCGTATGGAACCCAACAAAAGTCGTTCAGATTGTCCTGCGTAAAGGTGAACAATTTCTTCGATCTAAGGTTGACGGCTTGAATTATGAGCTGATCGATAATCAACTCTTCATTGGCTCCGTCTTCATCGAGCAAGTCTCCGACGAACGGGTTGCCAGTGGTCGGAAGCTGGGCTCCAATAATCCAGACAGGATCGCCGAAGACCATATCTTTGTCGTTGCTATCCCGAGCGATGAGGCCGTCGGCGTAAGCAAAGCCCTTGGCTATGGGCTCCGGACCCGATACCCCAGGGCGGTTTTCTAGGTCGCCAACCTTGACATATTTTGTCTGGTATTTTCTCATTATACGGTTGTTTTGTCCTATCTCACGGACAAGTATCAGTTTGTTGGCATCGTGCAAAGTATCGCCTGTGACTTCATGTACGAATGTTCGACGTTCTGTTGCCTCTATCCTGGATGCCTTGATACCTTTGAGACAGTATATTTCAGACTCTAGTATCTTATGACCTTTGTATTTGATGCCCATGTTGCCCACATGTAACTCACAGCTAGGAGTTGTGAAGTATCTATCATGGACAAGTGCCTGCAAAGTGTAGCTCGGAGCCACATACAAAGCCGTTATACTTGCTAAAAATTGATAGAAGAATTGGGGAAGACTGAGGCCTCATATAATGAAGACACTACTCAATAAATATATCGAGGCGGTGGATGAAGTGATTTCTCTGCATTCTAGGATAACGACATTTGGGTGACTGGCACAGAGAGTTCACACCGTGCATAATTCCAACCCAGGGATACAAAAAGAAACAGCGAGGCTTACCTCCGGATATGGAACAGATCCGTCGAGGGATTCGTTCGAGACAAGCACCCCTCTATGGACACTGGGAAGCAGGGTGGAGAAAGAGGCTTGCGACTGCATAGACAAAAGAAAAAACAAGACGCGCAAATGAGAGTGTAGGTTTGGATCGCTGTCAGAGAAGTGACCATGGCAGCCGTACGTTTGCGATAGGCACCGAATTGTTTGCAGACGAGAGAACCAGCTGATTGGATATGTGGAAGGCAACTTGCCGTTGGGGGGAGACATGTTGGAGTGTAGCAACCTGCAAGAGACACCAGATATGGCCTAGAGGAGGCAGGGGTACTGTATCCTGATCTCAGAAGAAGAATGTCTACGAGGCAGCTGTAGTCTAGGTATATACAATGAGATGACGATATTGAACAGTATCTCTATTCTCAGATTAGTCTCGTGCGTGACCACCAGGAAAGAGACGTACCCCGAACTTAGTAGTCTCATGTATTCGTCTAGAGAGGTGATATATCAGCCGCTTGACCTATTGAGTCCGTCCGCCCCAATCAAGTTTGCATGTACATGGAATCGAGATATTGCAATGCGCAATGTCCGAGAAGGCCCTATCAAAACATGCCAGCGATAATTGCTCTAACCCTCTTTCCCTTTGCTAGAGTCCTTGGCGTCCTCGTCTTTCTTCTCTTTTCTCGAGAGAACACTTGCCATCCACTCCTCAATCTCCCGCTCCGCTTCTTCGTCGATGTTTCCTTCTCCTTTCCCATATAGGCCTTTCCGTGCCCTTCGGCGTACATCCTCAACGGAAGACACGTCGAATGCCCATGCTAAACCGCCAGTGGCCATGATGGCGAAGCTGAATACGTTCAAGGTGGCTAAGCCTAAGGCCTCTACGGCGATCAATTGGCCCTCCCCACCCTCGTTTTTGGCCATTGGCGCTCGGTGACTGGGCTGGAACAGTTTGGGCAGTGCTTGGTTCATCTTACGGGCGACAGCCCTTCGTGTAATGAGCGTAGACATAGTCAGGAATGTTGCGCCTGCAAAGAACAGGCCGAGTTGTCTGATAGCACGCCGAGGATCCGTCGCTTGCTGTGGCTCCAGAGGGTCCACGGGGACCTCGATAGGCTTCGTCGGGGGAGCGAGCGCAACGGGCGCAGGTTGGGGAGGCTTCGACGGCTCCTCGACCTTCTTCCTTGAAAAAATTGAAAACATGATATGAAGCCCCCACGGCGTGCGTAACAAAAGAAACGAAGGTTGCCGTGCCGCCTCTCTGGTGTATGTCCTCGGCGGTAGAGCTCTTTCCTGCACACCGCGATAATCTGGTCGAAACGGTGGATGGTGATGGAGGGTTTGGAATATGGGGAAGTGATACCGCGGCTGTGGAGGAGCTTTGGACAAGGGTCAGGCCAGAGACAGAGACAGCGCTAAAAAGCGGCCCCATGTACCGCTAAGGATTGACCAAACTGCCCCACTCTTGCCTAGGTACGTAAGTACTAATTAGTACCACTACATAAATCTATCACAAAAAGCAAGCACGTCAAAACATCGAAGCAATCCAAGCGGTCAATCGAACAAGTGACTATTCATAATACAGATTTGCGACCTTCACAATGAGGCGTTCTCGATTTGAGCCTCCATCGGCCGATCCAGATTCTCAGCGAAACTAGGATTCCATCTGACCAAGCTTCCAAACCCTCACGGCCATTCTTTGTTCCCCCTGCATTTGCCTTATCAGTTACCGAAGGTCTGGTAAGCGAGGGTGGCTTTGTCTTGAACTCACATTTGAGACCGGAAAAAAAGCAACTCACTCGAGTTACCAATGCTTCTCATACAAGATTTCCATCTCCCGTGAAAGTTTGTTCAAGGAAGCCCTCAGAATCAGACATGTGTCGAGTATTGATCCTCGTGAGGTTGATGTACTCTTCTAAGCTCTCATCTAGTCATGTATTGTTTTAGAGAGACAGCCAAATATCGTCTTCAATCACGGTATCCATACCTGTTCGTGGACAGTTTGCATTTCGCACCCAGGGAAATCCATGAATGTCCGTGTTCGCAATGAAATATGGACGCAGCACCTGGGTGCCCGGCGTTATGTAAAAGGCAGGCATGGACTCTGGAGATTGAAACAGCTCGCCGTCCCAACTTGCCCGTATCCTCTCGTATGTGATTTGGCTATCCAGAATGAACAGTTCATCGAAGTAATCTCCGTGCAGTAATTCCCCCAGATCCTCCACCCATGCCTGAAGAATTGGTGGCACAATGATCTTGCCGATGGCGTAGACGACGGCAACAGCATACTTTATATACTGAAGCCTAATTGCACGCCGCTTGTCTTGGCCTTGCTGAAATTCAGGAGTGCCAATGCATTTGTACCATTCGGCGATGCACACTGCGATGGATAATGCCGGATATTGGAAGTCCACACGTTTCGGCCGTCTCCCTCTGTGCTACACCTTTTTCAGATCGTCTAGATACATGTAGGCACACAACATGGCCCGGCCAGCATCAACATAGTATATCTTGACTTCGGGAATCTCGTTGTTTTCCTCATAGCACTTTTGAAATGGCCTGACATGCTCTAGCTCTGGGAGGTCGTCGAGCTGCGTAAGAGCCTCCGCCACGACACGTGGGTTGCTGAAGTCGGGTGGCAGCTCGCTAGGATATTTATTGAGGAATGCCTCCGGGTCCTGTTCGAGAACGAGATCGAGAATATAGCGCATCAAGACACATTGCAATGTCGTGAAATTCATGATGATAATGGAAAATGATGGTTGGATTGAAAGGTTTGACTCAAAAGAGGATCCGTCGACCTGGTCTAGATCGGCAAAGACTTATATTTTCGATAATGCCCCAGAGTGGTCTACTTGTTGAAGACAATGTTTCAATTCCAGGATAGTCTTGAAAAAAGACTAACCATCCATCGCCGAGACATAGGAGAATTCGTAGCAATAAGTCTGAATGCGGCTAGCCCAGGTCTGTTGTAGTAAATACCAAACAAGCAGAGCCTTGACGGCCACGAGCAATGATCAAAAACCAACGCACTGTTACATGCTCACAACGCTGATTGTGTCCTTCTGCTCTTCACACTCGTGGGAGAAGCAATCACGCTTTCGGCGTAAGACAACTGTCTTGCTTCTGCAGCATCGCAATTTGGCTGGGCGGCATGTTGAGAGCCTGTCGAGCATACCGCGCGTAGTAAACAAACTTGGTCAGATAATTGACAAGGGCCCGAGACACCCGCGCAGTTAATTGAAAGCCGCCAACGCAAGGTATACGCAGGAAGGATGCATGAAGAAGAAGTATAGTTGTTTTCGGGAGGCAATATCTCGTGTATAGAAACATGAGCTATTACATTTGCCAGGCTTTTGGCGCCCTAATCTCTCCTGCAGATAGCCGCCATACATGTGTTTGGCCATCCTAGCCTTGCGAGCAGTCAGATTCATAATATGACGGCCTCTTACTACTGCAGTGATACTCCGGGCTGCAGCGGATGGAGCGGCCCGGATGAGAAATGAGAGAGACTGGGTGGGAGTGTGTTGTTGAAGTTGACTAGGGTGTTTTGAAACGGGGTATGGCGGAAAAAGAAAGTCGTTGCAAGCCACAAGATGCAGCAAGCCCTCACCTGTCCGGGCACCTCATTCACCCACTCGATTCTTTCTTCTGCGGCGCTCTGTCGAGATCGGATTGAGCTTGTTCAGACCCTGATTGATTTGTTGTTGAGGGGAATGTTGGATGTTGTTTTTTCGATAATCATGCACTGTACTTGTGTTAGCCCGGATTACTCTCTTCAAAAAAGGCCCGTGCCGACCAACTACAATGCAAAGTTCAAGACATTCGAGTCAACATTCCCAGCTTTATCACCCTCAAGGATCTCACGTTTGATTATTTGATTAATGATATACCGCCCTCGGCCAAGCTATTCTTTCGAACCGAGCCAGTCACAACTCGAGCCCCCGCATTAGGCCGCCGTCAGGTGGGATCCCGGTGTCTAGTCCTGTATTCCTGGTCGATCATTACTGGCCCATCAACCACCGGGCCGTTCTTCAACATCCCGTTTATCGGGGAGGAGTGAAGCCGGCCACTTATACGGCCCTCTATCGGCCAGCCCTGGTGAAGTCTGGAAGTGGAAAGCAGCTCGTCGATCTGGAAATCATGCCAAAAGGCAAGGCTGATAAGACCAAGGGCGCATCTGCGAAGTCCAAAGCTGCAGCAGTCACAGCACCAGCCAACCCGACGCCTCCATCATGGCCCGTGTTCAAGCCGCCACTGCCCCAGACGGACCTTACCATAGAGAGCCTCGTCCCAGGGAAGGTGGTGTTGATCAGGAATTTCTGGCCCAAATCCCTCTGCCGAGACTATGTCTCGTTTCTCAGGAGTCTTCCACTTATCACTACACCCTCTCGGCCAAAAAAAGGCGAGGCGGCTCGGGTGAATGATCGCTTCCAGATCGAGGATCCCAGATTCGCGCAGCGTTTGTGGCTTGAGACGGGACTGAAGAATGCGCTACTGGACGTCGAGTTTAGACAGTCATGGTATGTTTTCTCGCTATGATGAAGAGAAACACCGAGACCTCCATGCTGTGATATGACTAACGCACAGGGCCAAAAACAGGGACGGAGAAGTTGTCGGGTTGAGTCCTAGGATCAGGGTCTATCGTTATGGCAAAGGGCAATTCTTTGATTCACACTGTGCGTTGTCTCTGCTCCTGTTTCCCTCACTTCATCACATTTCACACCATCATGATCTCATCTATTCTGCAAACTGCGCCCCTTCTTCGGCCAGGTTGGACTGCCTATCAGCCCGATACCCCTTTCATTTATCACTGCATGCCCGGAAGATCTAGTAGCGTCCTTACAGATCATACACTCTTAGGACTTCCCGTTCCCATCCTTGGCAATCACAGAGAAGATCTGGACCATTCCGGGTGTGCTTCCTTCCCCTCCTTCGTCTCCTGCAATCCGGCCCAGAGATCGAGCCTCACCGCATGTTGACAGCCTTCCATGTCATTCCTTACCCTTCCCATGTTGTCGTACAAGATCATTGTTCTTTCCATCGAATGACACATCACTAACGGCAATCTTATCCTCATTCGTAGATGACGACTACAATCTAGTTAGTGTGCAATCAGACGCAGGGGAGCAGATCCCGAGCAAGACCACATGGACACTGCTCCTATATCTCACATCTGCCGCAGACGGCTGTGTCGGCGGTGAGACGGTTTTCCACCCCCGCGGCCGGGAAATCCCAAAAGACGAGATCGCCGTGCCGCCGGAAACGGGGATGTTGCTTCTTCACAAGCATGGCGACGACTGCATGCTGGTAAGTTCCGCACACGCCTTCATCCTGCTGCCACCGTGATGACATCTGCAAAAGTGGTGTCATGGTTTCTTGGTCACATGCTAACATTCGTCCTTTTCTCAAGCACGAAGGACGGGAAGTTACTGGCGGCGAGAAGTGGGTGATTAGAAGTGATTTGTGCGTGCGAAAGTGAAGCACAAGCCGCAGGCTGCAAATGTGGTGATTTACAGGGAGCTCAGGAGAAACAATGTCTTGTGTGATAGGGCGGCGATACAATATTACTGGGATTCCCATGCCTGTCCGCATTATCCAGATCTGATTGCCGGGGAAGCACAAGGAAAGCGTCCTAACGGTTAAGGTCATATTCTTGGTTGGGTCATTGAATCCTGGAACCAGACAGGGGTCCGAGATGATGCCGGTCCATGTATACAGTCCCATCGAGGACAACAATCACCCCGCAAGACATGTACTGAACAGAAAATGGTCAATCGAGCAGGGAGCCTGGCTTTTCAGAGAGCCATCACATGCCCCAACAGCAGCCACTTCATGCAGTTGAGACACCTCGCCGATTCATCATATACATAGTGTACATTCTACTACAGACTGCAAGAGATTTCTAAGCCGCAAACCTCTACGCCTCCAGGCATCCTAGGACGCATTCACCAAGCGGTCTAGGTCTACTCAGCAAAAGGTAAAATTACACGAGGACAGTGCCCAAATACTCCAGCCAAGACACCCCCATGCCCGCTCATCAGGTAGGCCCGAAGAGTTGCATACGAGTCTCAAAATGAATGAGCGCCACGCGACTCAGAGAGCTAACATCCTGGCGGCTCTCTCCAATGTCGTCTCCCCATCAGCCTCGACCTCTATCTCGTCCTCGATGTCGTCTTCGTCATCCTCGATCATCTCCTCGATGCCACGTGTGGGGGTCATGCCAGCGCCAGGCACATGACCAGATAGAGTACCAAGTGTCGCACGCAAGGCCGAGCCCTCTGGCTTGAATGGCAAGCCCTGGCTTGAGGAAGTCTGATATGTCGAATCCGCTCTTGCCGTCTGATTCGGCGGATTGAGATGCAAGGGCTCCCTGTGAGTGATCGAGGAAGGTCCCGCGAGCATCAACGGATCTCTCGTGTTGTCTAAGTTGGTGTTGTCTGAGTTCTCCTTCATGGGATCCTTAGACATGTACTTGTCGATCATGTGTCCATCTTCATTCACTGATTGGTCTGGGGAAGAGGATATGACTGCACTCTTTGGTAGATCTCCATCAGTGACCTGGGCCGTGTTTCTCCCCAAATTCGATGACTCTCCGTTTTCTAATGCCTTATCTAAGCGAGGAGTCTCGGCCTCGACATTTTTCACGGGAAGCTTATCGTCTTCGTCCATGTGGTCGAAGAGGTTGAGGATCTCTCCGCGATGCATCACCTTTCCATCGCTGGTGTGGGTGTACTCCATGTCCTCTAACTCATCCACGCCAAGTGACTCACGCCTCGTCTGTGTTGGCGGTTGGACCTCTGCTGACTGCAAGGAATAGTCGCCGAATGTGAACCTGATGATGCGGCCACTCACAATGCGACCTAACTCTCGGTAGAAAAGCCACGGGAAGCTGATCAGGGGCATCGAAGCTGTGGTCAATTCGCGAGTATAGGCGCATCCATCTGTCCCTATCTGGGCCACCTTGCTCTCGTATCTGGCGATCTGAACTTCCTCGTTCGTGACTTGATACATTGCTGCCACAAAGGGGTCCAAAACCTCTGGGTCTCTGCTGCGATCTTTGATTCCGGCCGCCTCCATGCATAACGTTACGAATCGAAGTTTGAGAGCAGAAGACTCACGTCCAATATCCTCTTGTCGCTTGTAGTCATTTCCGACGAGGGGTTTGGTCAAGACGAACGCTGACCAAGCCTCGAACTCCGTAGTAATCTCGTTCTGACCCATCAATTGGCGCATAGCGGTATCGTATCTAGACTTGACTTGTCTGGCCTTCCTCAAGATGTCTTTGTCCAACTTGAACTTGGCCAAGACCCTCTTATCGAATGGCATCTCGTAGGCAGGCTCAAATTCAACATTGTAGACTCTGTCGTAGATCTGCCCCAATACTTGTTTGGACTGGTAGGTTCTTCCTCGCTTCTCCATGAAATGAGGCCAATGGGTTGGCTGAAGGCGCCTGGACATCTCAGCCGGCACTCCTGACTTGACATAATCGACAGCCTTCGAGTGCAGAGCAGCAAGCTCTAAACCTGCGATATAGATTAGCTATTTCCTATTGATCAGTAGCTGATGGAGAGTAAACAAACAGTTGGGATGCTTGGCGTGGCTATCATCGCCGCCATTCTCGCTTTCCAAACGGTCAGCCTGTGCCAGGTGCGCGTGTGCGATATGCGGTAGCGAATCGTTTTTTATGTAGAGGGTGAAGAATCTAATAATGTCGTTCATGTCGACGTCTCTATCCAGGATCTCTGGCCTAGATGGCGCGTGATCCATTGGAGGGTGGTTCCACTCCGGAGGTATGAGGTTTTCGTCCCAGAACACGAAGAAGTCATCTCCATCTAGATCGCCTCCTGAACACATGCTGGGAACATCTCGGTCTCCATTCTGGGAGAAAACGACTGTATCCTTGAGATGGCGAAGGGCAGGAACATCCACAGCCTCGACGACCCGGAGGTCGCCTGGATGAAGTGACGGGTTTCTTCCGACAAGACAAACTCCTGTGATAACTTTATAGTCGCGACGGTCTTCGGGGTCAGGGACTTGAAGGAAGATCTGGGGAAGGAGGGATCTGTCGAGATCTGTAGCCTCCTCCATGCTATTGGTGTAGCCCCTGAGTATGCCTGTCTCATCCACAGAGCCAAGAACAAAAGCGCTCTTCTCGACAATGATACGTGCCTTTTCCTTCAGAGCCTTGACTGACCAGGTCTTCCACAGACGCAAGAGTGTCCAGACGAATGGCTCATGAGTATCCATGAAACCATTGATTATCATCTGAGCAATGATGAGTGTCATCTGGTTCTGGTCGATGTAACGCCCTAGCATGTCCATTGCTTCCACTTTGTTTTGCAGTGCTTTCTCATAGTTTGTGAGCTGATCTTCGAGCATCTTGATGAAAACGGAGTCTTCGACGCCGAGAGAGGATAGCACAGTGATGGTCTGCCGATTCAAGGTCGCCACTGAGTAGGTCGAACATCTAACAATCTCGATGCTGTTGTAGTCGGCATTGAACTTCACTTGAGACTCACGAATGTGAACTTCGTTAGTCTTGACGTCCGGCCAACGGGTCAAAACTCCTTTGCAGCCTCCCATTCTGAATTGGAAGACTGATGGAGCCTCATCAAGTCCGAAGTCACTTGCAATAACATTAGCGATCAGGCCCGATATCTTGCCCACACCGTCGGTGAAGCAGTAACCATTTTTCTCGATATCTGGAATCTTGACGATGCTGGGTACTTTGAACCCCGACACTTGTTTTGTAGTTGAGAAGCATTGTCCCATTCTCGCTGCGTATTTGGCGACACAACGAATATTGTCAAAGCTTCCCATCCACTTGCGGATGTCATCGCAGGACACATGAGTGCTCGGACAAAAGAAGTAAGCACCATTCTCTCTGATCTGCGAGTTTCCAAAAGCCAGAAACTCGTAGTGGCGACCGGCCACGATGATCCCATTCTTCAAGGCATGGTAGACTCTCAACAGCAACTCATCTGCCGCATTCGAGTCAGCTGAAGCATGTATGCGGCCGTCGGAGAGTTCATCGGTGAACTGTACTCTCATGAAGTGATCCGCTAAGTCTGAGTACTGTCGAAGGACACGGTTGGTGACCTCGACTGTCGGAGTGCTGAAGTAGATGGTAGTAGGTGTGACAATGGCTCTTCGCATCAAGGTGCAGTATGAAGGCACCTTGGCAAATGAATAGTAGTGAAGCACTCGCTCAGTCACGAATATGTCCATGGGGTTATAGACTAATCTCTTGCCTTCCACGACGCCTTCCAGTAGCATCCTCGCGCGATCATTGGGGAATTTAGAAAGTTTAACCAGGAAGTCGTAGCTAATCGTGTGCTCGTTGAGAAATCCTTTTGATAGGCAGACTTCCATTTGATATCTGATGTCAAAGGACAGGGCGACAGTGTTGGGACGGAACATAAAGGCTAAGGCCTGGCTTGATGTGTGATTCTGAGCCACATCTCCAACCATGGACCAGTAGTTGGTTGACCCGGGCGAGACAATGGAGATATTGGAGAGCGGATTGGTCTTGAGGTTGTAGTCTCGAAGGTGCTTCTCGATTTGATCCCATTGTAGTCGAAACTGAGGGTCTAGCTTCATGTAGTAAGTGGTCCATCTGCCTACATCAATAAACTGATCGATGTTCAGTCTGAGAGGTCGCTCCTTCATCTCCATTGGATCAAGCATGAAGCCTGTTTGTCGAACCCATGTGTCATCGTCGCGCCAGAGCAACTTGTCAGGAGAATGAGAGTCCTCAATCTTGCTCATTAATTGGAAGAGATGTGGGGGCAATGACATATGTAGCAGAATGCCACAATCACCAGTGTCAGAGTCCACTCGACAGAGCTTCTTCAGGCAGTTGAATTTGATGGAGATCCGATATGATGTCACTGGCTCGAGGCTGTTGTTTTCCTCTGAGCCGTGGACAGGTCGGAGCGAGAACTCGATGTGGGCCTTTCTCTTTGTGAAATCCACAGTCAGCTGCAAATCACCCAAGCTCTGATGAGCATCAATTTGTCGCATTTCCATCAGTGTAGATTCCTCAACCAGATTTCCGAACTGAAGACATGTCAGTTTGATGGTTGACTTGATGGGAATGCGGTTGCGGAGTGGGCTAAGGCATGTTTGATCGCTCTGCAACGTTTTCTGAACCGTGATGTTGACTGCTATGGGCCATGAGTCCTTGAGATTGATTGTACACCTCCCTGTGATCCACGGATTGGTCTTTGGGGGTGGCTCAATGTAAACTCTGGCCCGACCATTCTTGACTCCACGGTTATCCTCAAAGACCTCGATTAATGTCAAACGATAATCCGCAAATGACCGCCAAATGTCCACTGTCGTAATATCTGATGGAAGGCCTCCGAGAATCACAGAAATTCCTCTATGACCTTGCCAGGGAGCGGGCACGAGAACATTGTTCTGAGCCCGCTGTCCAGGATTATTTCTTGAGCCAGAGGGACGGATTGGAGTCTCTTGAGGGGTGATTCTTTGGCGTGTTAGTTGCGTGTCTAGTGCTAGGCTTGGTCTTGGTCTGTTGCCAGGCATGAAAGATGATGTTGGTTGCATTGCTGCGTCCGGGGATTGTCCTTGGCGGGACCCAAAACGCTCCTGCCAGGAAGTTCTTGATCCACGATGATTATTGGTCATCGTTTGAGATGCTCTATGTCTCCTGTTAGCAAGCCAGATGATATCCAGATGATATCTCGTGATGACTTGTCTCACCTTGATTATCTTGCTCATAAAGGTTAGCAAAGATAGCAGACTGAAGTCAACAAAGAGCTAGTGACGGGAAACAAGCTGATGACTGAAGAGCAGATGCTTGAATAGGCAAAGCTTTCAAAGGTCTTGTTTGATATAGATGGCAGTAGCGAGATCTCAGGCCTACCTCATCAGAGGACGAGATATTCACTAGATAGATAGATAGAATGGAATGGGAAGGAATGTACTAGACAATGGATGAAAAAGGTGACTGGGTTTAAGGTTTCTTGGGTTTGGTCGTCTGATTTGGAGGCACGACAAAGTTGGATGCAATGAGAAAGGATGAAAATATGGGTTGCTTAGCAGGCCAGGGGTCTGTGGCCGGGTAACAAGGAAGGAGCAGTTAGTTCTGCTTAGACTTGTAAATGCAAGCTTTTTGCAAATGCCAAAGTTGTCCGGGTACACACTTCGAGGTCCCTATTCATGGAGTGAGGTAGAGGTATTCCGAGGAGTTTGTTGTGTTGGGTTTGTTGTGTTGCCGGTGGTGTATTAAGGTGTATTTTGACGCAAGTAGTCCGGCGTAGGACCACTCGTTTTTGGTGTGGCTTTTGCTTTCCTTTCAACCGATTTCAGCCTTGGTAAAACCTTGACAGAAGTTTGACTTAAAAAATCCTAGATAATGACTCATTTGTTTGATTCAAACACGAAGACTCTGTCTATAATGCAGCTTGCCGCCTTCTTATTGTCCCTTGAGCAGGAACACAGTTTCAAATGGGTCTGCCAGCTTGCCATACACTAATTCAAAGAGCTTTTCGGATGACATTAAGCTCTACTTGCTAATCTACTAGAATGAGTTCTGAATAGGGTTCCTATGAATCATCTATTCACAGTGTTGCTTCTCCTTTCTTCTCCTTTTAGGATAGGATGATAATGATGCTGTTTGCCAGTTTAAAATTCACGACTATAGTTGACTTCCCGGCCATGGGGCTCGTTAAATCCCGCCAAGGTACCTGAGTCGGAATTTGAGTCAACAAAATGAGCCAATAGATGCAACAGGTTTGCCTAGATAACTCAAACGTGTATGAATGGTTCCATTGTTGACTCCTTCCTGTTCGATGTCCCCTTGGTACCGCCATTCAAAAGGTTTATGTACAGCTCCTTGTCCATATACGATCTCTTGATTGCTCCCAAGGCAATGTTACTGGTAGCTTGTCGAGTCTCTCCAAGATGGTTGGTTGCCCTTTCCGCTTTATGATGCTCCAATCCCATCCCTAAGATATTCGTGCACTTATGATGCTCATTCACCCCTTCTCCAAGCCCCCATTAGCCCTGCCGATCAAAAATTTTCCCGGGGTTCCTAAGATGTTGTGAGTATTTGCTTACGTCTTGAGAGAAGGAACGACTGACATTATCCAGTAGGGATCCAAAGCTGATTTGATGGCTTTCTTCATTGGGGTTAGCATGCATCGTCCAGGAAAGAGACATTCAGCGATGTTGAGGTTTTACTGACCATCACTCCCAGAGTATCTGGGCCGACTTCCCAAAGCAGCGACTCCTTCTTTCCCCAGCCAATCGAATGCTCACCAGTACACGTGCCTTCCATTTCCAAGGCCCTCTTAACCATGTTCTTCACGCAGGTCTCAACCTTGTCTCTTTCCTCCTTAGGATTATAAATGATGCTCTCATGAAAGTTACCATCTCCAATATGGCCCAAAATACTGGCAAATAAGCCGAGGTCATCCATCTCCTTCTTGCTCACCTCAATAATGTCTGCCAGGCGGCTGAACGGCACTGCAACGTCCGTGCTCCCTACTCGATCAATTATCAGATGTCCGATCTTCTAGCATTTGGAGACAGTGTTACTCACAGACTTCTTCCCCGTCTTTTCTCAGGGCAAGCATAGACCACAGAGACTCCTTTCGGGCTGACCAGAGCAACTTTTGCTCGCGCGCATCCTTTGCGAATTCAAAGTTGCTGCCCTTATGAATTCTTGCAATTTTCTGAACTAGACTGATGTTTTCCTTCACGCCGGCTCTGGTGCCGGAGAACTTGAAGAAAAGAGTCGGCACTTCCTTCCAAACTCGCGGAGCAGTCGCTCCACCAAGGTTTACTACCTTCATCTGCACCTCGTCCATAATCTCCATCGCAGCAACTGGGATTCCTGTCTGCATGACCTCGGCAGCCGCCGAGGCAGCATCGCGAATAGAAGGAAATGTGACAACAGCTACCGAGAAGTCCTCCGGGACCACAGTGAGCTTGAGAGTAGCTGGATACTTGTCAGACCATAAACACTTTCGAGACCGCTCTGATGGGAAAATCAGTGATATGTCACGTACCTTCTGTGACCAGCCCCAGTGTGCCTTCGGACCCGACAAAGAGACCATTGAGATTATAACCGGCCGAGGACTTGCGAGGTCTGCGCCGTGTCTTTATAACGGTCCCGTCAGCAAGGACCACGGTCAAATTGATAACCCAGTCCTTCATTGTTCCATACTTCACGGCGTTGGTGCCGGAGCAGTTCGTACCAATCATACCCCCAATCTTTGCACTCGGACCTGGTAGAGACACGGTTAGCCGTGATTTCTCACCAATCGAACAATTACGAAAACAGCGAATCTACGCCTAAGCAATATTTTGAAGAGGAAGAGCTTAACACCACACATACCAGGGTCGACCGGAAAGAAAAGGCCACTGCCCATTTTCGCCAGCTGCTCGTTTAGGTCTTGCCATCCAATACTGGGTTGTACAACAACATCCATGTCTTCCTTGTTGAACTGGATAATCTGATCCATAAATGCGAAATCCACACTAATACCGCCAAAAGGGGCTGAAAAATTCCCTTCTAGACTGGAACCCCCTGAATAGGGGATGATTGGGATCCTATACTTGTAACATATTCGAGCCACAATTGAGACCTGCTCTGTAGAGCGCGGATATGCAACAGCCACAGGAAGGCCATCAGGGTTGGTTGAGGACCATTCCGAATACCCATGTGCATGGAGATCATCAGGGTCTGTAGAGATGATGTCTTCCCCTTCTATCTCCCGACGGATCTCTTTCAGAGCCTATCTCCTGGTTAATAACATTGCCATTGCATTTGAATAGGTAAGTGTGCTTGGACTTTTTGCTGTACTGTCGCAAACTTACAATTTCCATTTCTGGTATGCTTGCATAGCGCGGTAATGGTCTTTTACTGTCGAGCAACATGGCCCCTCCACCCGGCAGCCTCCCGAAGGTCACGGCAGCCAGGCCCCACCCGACAAGGCCGGCAGCGGCGGCGATGCCGAAAACTCGCTGTCCGGTCCATCTCGACACTGCACCTTTGGTCGCATTAACTTGAGAGAAATTTCGCCTAACTTGGGAGACAAGTATTTGCCGCTGGGCACGAACAGCCCTGGCGAGGGGCCGCCCTGCCCCCATGAAATATTTGCTTGACATGTTGGCGAACGATACATACAACGTGCGTAAGGGGTTCCAGGGTGACAGTCGGCCTGACCCTTTCCTTTGGTCTCTCGGCCGGGCTTATATATATATGCTTGACGGCCGAGTCAGACCCTTCCGCTTCGATGCCCGAATGCAGGTAAAAGAGCCAATGGTGTTTCAACACACATAAGAGCTCCACGAGTGACTCTCTTAGTGAACTACACCCGAGGAAACAGCGAAGACCGACGACAGGGATGCGGTGGGACTTGGGACATGTATATGGGGTGTGACAGGGGGCAGTGACGATAACATAATGACGGCAAAGTACTTAAATGGCGACGCAAGAGGGCGGACACGGAATCACTGAGGATAGCTTGCGCCTCTTATAATTGAGCAAACTACCTCCCCATTCGGTGGCAGATGGAGAATGGCCCAAGTTGATCTTGTGAGTGGAGAAGAGCAGCTAGGTCCAATCACCTAGTCAAACTACCGAGAAACGCAGTCATACTAAAAATTCAAGGAAGGCGGAGATCGAGGAGAGGCAAGGTCATTGACATGGACTACCGAGTACAGTACCTCGTGCTGAGAGGAGAAGGCCCTGAGAGAAACGGAGGATGGATGGAGACTTACATACCCTGTCGAGCTAAAGAGGGAACAAGCTAACTAAAGTACTCACTAGTAGATCATGCGAGATCGAAAATGTGTCCAGAGAATTGGAGAAAGTGAAGAGGGAACCTACCAGTCTTGCCAATGCTGGTCCTCCCACGCAGGCATCCCGGTTTAGGAGGGCTCGGTACGGTAAAAACGGGCTTCTCGTGGGGTGGCGTGGCAGCGAAAAAATCTACTGGCACCTACAGGTGCTGCCCCGACGTGAAAGATGCGGCCGAATTTGACATCGAATTCCCCGAGATGAGCGTTGGACAAATCTTGCCTTTTTGAAATATGACACCCGTCACCACACAAAGATCGGGCGTACATTGATATTGGCACCGCCGTCGAATGCAAGATATATTGGCAAGGCGACCACACGGCTCATCACCACGGAGCCCCACTGCGGATCAGACGTCGATCCGTTGGAGGATCAGAAAACAGAGTTGTTGACGTGGTCTAGACGCCGGGTCAACCCTAGTCAGGCGTCGATGGTGTCGCTTCAACGGTGAGCGAGGGACACGATGCAAGAAGGAGGGGCAATTCACCTGCCCCGCTAAAGAAAATACTGACAAAACTATCGCAAGATGATCTGCGAGCGTGCGAGAAAAAGTGACGACTTTCAAGGCTGAGAGCAAGACGACTCATGGCCGGCCACGCCATTGTTCTGTTGTACAACAGTCTTCGTCACAAAGGTTCTCGGGCACAACCCGTGTCAGGTCATGGCCCTATATTCGACATTACGCCTCATCCAATTACCCCTTGTGCTTCTGGAAGCGCGATGATAACGCGAAGCCGGCAGATTTACTGCCCGAGCGCACGTGGTGACACCGAAGGCTTGATATCAGAGATTAAAGATACGATCGTGGGTAGACACGGGATCCCTAGCAAGATTCTCGGCTCTACTCTGCGGGCAAGCACGTAACGACGACAAGAAGCTTGCAAAGGTCCACTACACCCTGAGGACTTCGAGCCGTTGTCGGTAGCACACCATCCCAACTAAGCATGCCAACAAGACCGACATATGCATACCTGATAGCGCTCTGCACTAGAGGTCAGACATGGTGGGATGGAAGGACTTTCAAGGCTGATCCTATGTCAGCAGCTGGATCTATGAGGGACCTTGTTGGCAGCGAGGCCTGCATCTTCTTCCCGTATGTTGAAGTCATGAGGTTGGAAATGGCGGTAATACGAGAGCATGAAAGGCGCAATGATGCAGTACAGCGTTAGGCCTATATTGCTGACCTCCTTCCCCGGACGATCCGAGCGTGGGGAAGTTTGACAGGCCATGCGGTGAAACAAAGCTATTATGAAGAGGAACAAGAGGTCATTCAAGGTGTCCCTAGCTCGGGGAATTCTTGCCCGTAGTTGCTGTGGAGCAGTGGAGCAGGCTGAAGAAGCTTCCGAAAGTTTTCTACGCCTAACGAAGGCCCTCGCTAACCTCATTGTCCCTGGAATGCCCCAAATGCCTCGGATCCTGGCCACTATAGTTGCAGATCAATAGACAGGTCAGTTGTCTAGAACACCTACAAGCAGGACGCCTGGAAGCAACATGTAAACCCAAACCCGGCGAGCCCCCAAAAAGCAATCTGACACTTGGCTGACCTCGACGAATACCTTGTTATTTTGCATGTCCATGGTTTCTTCAAAATCTCAGTCATTTCGACGGACTTCACCTGTGCTCATTGAGACTTCAAGCACAAAGAGCTCTAGGGCTGCTGCCGGTCTCTGCAACAGGCATTCGAGTTGTCACATGCAGGAGTCGCCGTCCCTGACATCTGCAAAAGCAATGCGAACAGCGATGATCCAAGCAATTGACAGCCTTCGACATGCAAGCCAAAGGGATAATTTCTCGACAAGACGCCAACGATACAGCATCAGAATCTGCCGCCTAGTGGCACTTCACCTGGTAATGATTGGATAGCTGCTGCATTCGCAACGCCTTCTTCCTGTATTGTACACATAACAGCGACAGAGGCTTGGGCTTGATACAAGCAAGGTTTCCCGGTTGGGATCATCCTACATCTAGTGCCGTTGCCCAGTTCCTTGGATTCGCTAAGCCGCCTCGTCCCCCTCTTTCCCTTGCTGCAGTTGTCTATTTCCATATGGACTTTCAGATTCTATTACGAAATCAGCGAGGCACTACGGCAACACCTCTTTGCGGATCCAATGCACCTCATCGATGTAAAGAAGACGGGCTAAGCAGCTGCGAGAGTCCACGTGCCAAAGTTAACCTAACACGATTGCAGCAGTCGTCCACGAGGCACTGAAGGATTGACTGCGGTAAGAGCCTAGGCACTCTTAGAGGACGCCAGTCACCGGTGAGCTTCCTCAGCCGTAGGTCTAGATTTGCTACCATCTGGTTTGTCGGTCAGTCCATCCGGAGAAGGGGCTTGTGTTGCCTTACAAGCCGCTCGCCACAAATGCGGTGATCTTAGGAGCGAGAGCCTGGCGGGCTTGGTTGCGAAGTGACGATTCCCGTTCGAACACTGACACACAATAAATCCAGCAGCCCATGTGATCTTACTGAGAGTACGTATAAGTTCTTGGAATGGATATCGGGGTTGCCGGTGCAAGATGACAGCAAGCAAAATCCTTTCGACAGCCGCCTGCTATAGAAAGGCCAAATGCGATTCTCTCTTGATGAAGTCAAAGGGTTGCAATGAGTCTGAATGAAACACAAGATCGGTGGGCATTTCGAGGTACCTTTCCCATCCACCCGACCCCCAATTACTGGGCGCTTTGCTTCAGTGGAAGGAAGTTTCTGGCCCGGTAGCATTTATCCGCAGACCACTTGGGGGTCACGAGATACATTGTCAATGGAACGCCGGTAAGACGGCAGAAAACTGCATCATTGTCAAGTATGTGTAGTGATCTATGAAGTTGCTCTCGTCATCACCGTGTATTGTAGGGGACATCTCTTATGGCCAACTTATTCCCCGCAACTCCCCAACTTGCAACAAGGCTCAACTTTCGGTGCAGGACACGAGTTGTTGTTACGAAATTGTAATACATACAGGCCGTCAGGTACTGTACAACATGGTACAACTCATCTTTGCCATAGTCAGAGTCCGAAGAAAAAGACGGTGTAACGCAATGGTTAGGATCAAGGGACTCGGGCACAAGGGAAAGGTTGAAATGGCGCACCGTAACGACAAAGTTTCCTGCGAGGCGAAGGCTCTGCTGTTTTACAGAAGGTGGCAGCCAGGGGCAGCCCTGTCACTTGCTGGCTTGCTGGACTCAGTGACTGACTGACGGTGAGGAAACAGTACTCGATGTGCCCTCTGAAGAAATAACACCCCACGGCAGTCCATGTACATGGTTGTTGTGTGTGGGGTTTGAGCCAGCACAGCTGCCCAAAATGAGTGAGGCCGCAGAAGTCGCCTAACCAAGCTGTAAGAGATTGCTTTTTTGTCCTTGACACCGTGCCTGAGCGGCTTGCATTCTATTGAAACGCAATCATACCATGGCTTTTGAAGATGCGCCCAGGCACCGTCTCTAAACCCAGGGCGTTGGTTTTGACTTGTTGTCTACCTGAAGTGTAAGTGGCGGCTACAATTATGGCCACCGAGTCCCGATTCGATCGAGGTTTTAGGATGGCATGAAGATCTTGCTTTGAGAAAGGCCGCTTGACCAACTTGAGAAAGTGGTTGCTTCACGGTAGCAAAAGCCAGAAAGCGATTCCGTGGGGGTTATCAAACCAAGCCAGGGGCCACCTCCGAACCCGGCCGGGGCCGTGATCACCGTCTTCCGGAGTTTGTGGTACCACGGCGTGTCCGAACACAGTCCCGACAGGTTTTCGTCATTCCCACTGATCGCAAAGAATACCATGTCACTCTCTTGCAAATCTCCACTCATTACAGTATGATTTGAAGAAAATACATCTTAGCATGTAACCTTGTGCATGCAGAATTCCAACATTTGATCATATGTCCTTGACATCTTACTCGATAATTAGACATCAGTGGCTGGGATCACACACTACCTAGGTAGGAACCATCCCACCTTCGCCCCACTCTTATAATGATACTTCTTCAAATATATCACATGGCTAAATGTGTTACCGATGATTTTGAACACTGACATCAGTGGCAGAAAGTCTTGTAACGGTACCCAGCACTATGAAAAGGGCTGGATGAGATGAATATGCTGTAAGCTGACGGATCTGGACGTCAAAGGTGGAGGTGGCGGTCATTCCCCACAATGCACTCGACTGCAAACGGCAGATAGAGTGACACCCACGCTGCAGAAGATCCTTCTCCGAGCAGGCAGGGACGTTTCGTTGCTTGATAGACAACTTGCGGCTACATGCTGCACAGGCGGACTTGATCAGTCATTAGTCCCTCACCGCCTCTAGCAAGCAAACACGGCTAAACTTGCAATGAAGCCTGCAGGGCCTGAGTTGAGGCTGAAAATCCGGGACGAGACAGGCACAGAATGGCAAAGCATTTGGGATCCAATGGGTTTTGTGTTCTTCTGAATGATCATTCACCAGTCAACACCTTTGGTTGACTGGGAGCTAGCCGTGGCATATCTCAAGTAGCTAAGTTGACATCCCGTAAACTCCCTGACCATGATACTTTTTGGACCTGAGAGAAAAAACCAAATCTCCCATCTGGAGAGATCCCAAATATTTGTGCAAGCACGACCGCCTTACCTTTAGTGGCCAGCCAGGGTGTGGGCGCGTCTGCGGTCACGCTCCTCGGCGATGGTCAGCTTGACACCCTTGCCCTTGGGCAGGGAGATCCAGGGCTTCTCGGTGCCGATGACGAAGACGTTGCTCTCACGGGTGGCGAACGAGTTGTCAATGGCGTCCTTGAGGTGCACAATGTTGAAACCTCCGTCGTGGCGCTCACGGTGGGTGATGACACCGACACGACCCATGTTGCGACCGCCGGTGACCATGGCCAGGTTGCCGACCTCGAACTTGATGAAGTCGGAGATCTTGCCGGTGGCGAGGTCGATCTTGACAGTGTCGTTGACCTTGACTAGAGGGTCAGGGTAGCGGATGCTGTAGCACACACAATCATGTTAGCAATCGGGGATCTCATATCTCAACATACCAGCCGTCCAGATCTCGCTTCGTTTAATGGTATTGAATCGTGGGGGAATGGATTCAACCAAAGCTTGGTCCAACGGCTGACAGATGTCGGAAGAACTCACGTTCTCGCATCATGCGTAACCAAGAATGGGATGCCGCCGCGGCCCAGCTGGACGCGCTTGACCTTGCCCAGCTTGTACTCGGCCTCCTCGTTCTGGATACGGTGGACGGTGAAGCGTCCCTTGGTGTCGTAGACGAGGCGGAAGTTCTCGCCAGTCTTCTCGAGGGTGATGACGTCCATGAAGCCAGCCGGGTAGGTGGAATCAGTGCGGACCTTGCCGTCGACCTGTTAAAAGTTCGAGTCAGCCTCTCGTGTCCCTTGCTGAATCTTGAAGATATCTGTGGGCTGCGTGCGAGCAATTCTTACCTTGACGAGACGCTGCATCAGGATCGCCTTGGTCTCACGGTAGTTCAGGGCGTACTTGAGACGGTTGCGGATGAAGACGATGAGCGGCATGCAGTCGCGCAGCTTGTGAGGACCAGCGGACGGTCTCGGGGCATAGTTGCCGCTGAGTTTGTCCAAGAGCCAGTGGCTCGGCGCGGAGAGACGCTTCTGGTGCTTCTTCGCTGTAGGTAGGAGTCAGTAAATGTTGTCTGATGCTGTCCCAAAGTCATGATACTCACGTCCTCTACCCATCTTGGCTGGCTGTTGATGATGGTTGTGGTTGGATTAGGAACTTCCAAGCTGGAGGGGAACAGAAGATTTTGAGACGCAAAAATAATTATCAGGTGTGGGAGCGAAAACCTATGTGGGTCTCTACCCAGCCAATCGTAGTAAGCACTTTGAAGGTGGGGCTCATCAAGGTGGGATCCACGGTGAGGCCAGGTGAAGCTAGGTGAATAAAACGCCAACAGAAGCGACTAAAGCCAACGGCATTTCATAGCCAATTGTCTGACAATTGGAAGGACCTATAGATATTTTTGTGTCACCATAGGCATCCTCATTGATCCCATGGTGAATGTAATGCTCTGCGATGCCAACAACACCTCCATCACCCTTGTTCAACTAAGAGGCCTAGAGCCAACCACGTAATCGAGGCTGAGCAGTTTCCCAACGCGCAGCAGCAGTAGCATAAATGTGACAGAAAACCGAAATCGCTTCATTGAATCTAAAGATCGCTCCGTAGTCTAACTTGTATCCCGGCCCTTAAGTCTAAGGACATCCATCCATTCATCCTTCTTTCCATCCATCAGATATGACCTGTCCGTTACTCCATTGGAAACCGCACATTTTATATACCTGTAACGACAGGAACCCTTTGTCTAACCCATTCCCAACCTAACATACCCTAATTTGATGACATTTCTGGGCTAAAAGCCCGAGGCATGAGCTTCGTACTCAGAAGGAAGTTCTTCCCTCCCGACTTGACCGCCAAGTGCGGTCAGTGGATACCAAGCTACCGGCCACCGTCGTGGTATGCCGTCTAGCCGAGCATCCATAATGACATAAACATTTTAATTATCAGTGGAAATCTGCGAATCATCGAGCAGCAGACGAGAGATGTCCATATCGCCTACGCTCCCGATGAAGGCAGAATTGGAACTTTCATTCAAATTGAATCCTTGTGATCCTGGCAAAGATTCGGCAGATTCTAGGAGGTTTGACGACAGTGGCCATTTGGGCATGCTCTCTTTGGAACTTGTGCGGTTCAACTGAGGCTCAAGCGGGCCGGATTTGGTTGGGCCGAATGAGGTCTCTATCGTCGTACTGACAGAAGGCTCAAGAAGGTTACTGCCGCGACCAGGTTCCTTAACCTGAAAGCTTCCTTTTTCGATTCTAGTGTAGATGTCGGGATACTTGTTGCGGACCCGATCTCTCAAATCAGTTGGTTGACGAGTCGAGAGATTAAATCTGGGATCTCTCTGAATTTTGGTCCATGCCGGCCCGTATTGATCGAGGCCTTCGAGGATCTCTTTATCATCTTGCTCAGTAAAAGGCCGTCGCTCACGACGATGAGACTTCTTGAAAGGGCCACGGATTCCTAGGTTCTCTAGATCCTCAATTTTTTTACGATGAGCTCTGCTCTTTCTTTGCTTTGGGGCGGAGTCCGAGTCTGGCTGAGACGATTGGGTCTTTTCTCGCTCGGGTGGCTCTTCTGGCTCAGCGAGGATATTCTCCAATAGCAAGGCAGTCTTTGCTTTTAGTTTTGATTTCGCCTCAGAGGCATGGGTTGCTATCTTGGTCTGGATGGGATTCTTGCTTCCGGACGAGCCTCGGAACTCATCTGGACAGCAGGTTCGGAAGCGATCTTTAAGGTCGCCAGCAGTACGATCATTGAACTTGAAGTCAGGATCTTCGAGGATATTTGTCCATTTTCCCACGCCGTGGCGACTAACACCGAGAAGTAGGTGATTCGTCTCCTCCTCAGACCACTTCCGCCGGGGCTTTGCAGCCCGTCTCTTAATCTTCGCCGCAGCTGACTTGTCGGCTTCGATAGGTGTGCTGGAGTTGGAAGCAACTCGATCTTCCACCACGCTGAAATCCTTCAGCGGGTTGAGGTTGATTTTCTCGTTATCGTCGAAAGACCCCGAGGAGATAGGAGGGAAGACTGCTGCATTTGCATTGGCGGGTGGATCGTGGAGGCCATTGATAATGGGAGGGACAACGTTCTGGCTCGACTTTTGCTTTTTTAAAGGCTGTGGCAACTGGACGAAGTCTTCCTTGACAGTGAGGGCTCGATGTCTCTTTTTGTTCGACGAATCCTCGGTGATCTCACTAGTGTCGTCTAGTATGAGGCGGAGAGAATGGGTCGATTCGTTAACGTCGGGATCATCTAGCAGCATACGCAGAGGATGACCAGAAGACTGCCTAGGCCTCTCTTTGAGATAGTCGCCTTCATTTCGAGGATACTGTCTTGAGGTGCCCTCATCGGCTAGAGAGTATATGGGGGGAATCTGCTGCTGCGAGGGTCGCTGTGACTTTGGAATGGCCTTGTCGCTTCCCAGGCCGGCATCTGGTTCGAGGGGCGGAAGAGATCGGCCGGAAGACTTGGAGAAGGGAATGCCTTGGATCGGGGGTAGGTCAGGAGGAGGGAACTGGTTGGCCTTGGGGTCGTTCAACAAGTGCATTAGCCGTGGCTCGATGGTAGCCATCGTGAAACAATGGCGGAGGACGCGGAGCGTGCATTGGCGATCGAAGCACAGGATCGAGGGCCGGGATTCGGAGGGGGAGGAGATCGAGAAGGAGGAGGGAGGAGGAGGAGAAAATAAGAGGATATCCGGAGGCCAGAGTGCTCGATATTTCGGGTATGTTCCAACAGGTGATGATAGACAACCAGACAATGCTGGAGAATCCAGATCAAAATCTTCGCACGAGGGTCGGCATGTGCCGCGGATTGTCTTGCCGGTGCGCGCAAGGTAAGCAAGGCAATGTAGGTACTGTAGCTGCTGGCTGGTGGGCTACGGTACTGCGCTGTGCTGTGCTGTGTGCTGCAGGTTTCGTGGTGCAGGTGGTGTTCAGATTTCACCCTCTTGCCGTCGGTCGCTCTTGCCTTCGACCAGACAAGCGAGTGGCCTGGTAGGTAGGGTGGTAGGTACGTGCCTGCCGGTCTTCAGGTACGGAAAGCGGAGACAGAGGCACTCGGCTGTTGTTAGTGCCGGCCTAACCCCAAGTAGCGCTCCCGCGCTGAAGAATGGCCTGTGAACTCGAGGAGCGGGGCTTCGTTATCTGGTGCGTGTAACTGTTTTAGAGCACCCGGCAGTCGAACTCTGCCCAGGAGGCCAGCCCAAGAAATCCTAGGAGTGCCCTGCCGCTGCTGCAAGGCCCAGGCCCAGGACCCGTTCGACGATCAAATCGCCGCCAATTACGCCGTTCTAGGCCTCCCAAACTCACCTCATTCAACAAATAGCACGCAATCCACTTGACGCAGTACCTCGATAGTGAGCGGAGCAAAAAGTATCGCCAATCGACCCAATAACGGTGATCTTTTCCTGGAGTGTATCGGTAATTCAGGTGTATCAGTGTGAAAAGTCGAGCTCTCACGGGACTGCTGTGAGACATTGGCTCCTGTTGAGTTGAGTTGAGTTGACTGAGGTAGCCCACCAAGTCCAAGATATCAACAGAGACCCTATGAGCCCTTAGCGCGGTGATTTAATATCATCAGATATGGCATCTTCCCTCCCGGCGTTTCCCAGGATTGTCTTTACTGTGCTAGAGCCCCTGAGCTTGTAAGTCAATTCCACCGGATAGGTGCTGCCCGTACGCGTGCGTCAGATGTCTAATTGCCCTTGGCTTCAAAGGATTGGGGGCTGGGCCGGCGCAACCTTCACGCCAGATTGGTTTGTCGAGAGCCAACTGGATTCCGGACCGGTTGTCGCCTCGGACAACTCACGTCTAGTGGCTCTTCAGTTGGGCAATGCTTATGGCTTGCTCTTCCTAGCAGCCATCGCCGTCCTTTACACGACTACAGAGCCCAAGGTCGTACGAAACTACCTGGTAGCTCTGTTGATCGCAGACATTGGTCACGTATATGTGTGCTTCCATGTTCTTGGGCCTGACCGATTCTTTGAGATTAGCCAGTGGAATGCCGTGACTTGGGGAAATGTTGGCGCAACTGTGAGTCGTGCTTCCGTTCATTCGATACTCGACGTTTTGCTGACTCTCTTAGTCCTGCCTCTTCTTCACCCGGGTTGCTTACTTGCTAGGATTGTTTGGTCCGGACGCACCGGCTTCATCAAAGAAGACTCAATAGCGAGGGCAACAGTTTCAATGACATGACTGTAACCATCCCGAAAGCATCAGCTGTAAATTTAGATGGGCAATTGTACAATATAACGCTAACAAACAAGATGGCTGAGGCTGCGTTCAGCCGCACATGGTGCCTCGTTTCATATCCAGCCCCCTCTGAAAATACTCTTCATTTTTTATCTCAATGAACATGAACTCGTATACACCATACATATCTTTGCCGTCATGATTACAGCTGAGTGTAGCTTTGACGCTGATGCCGATATGTACGGCATTGGAATCAGGCTTGGGTTCTACGAAACATGGTTTGCTGGCATTCTCGCAAGCATCTTCTCCATAGATGAGGAAGGCGCTTCTAACCGTTTCACAATGTCCATGTTTATCTCGGCAACCTTCATTGCGCTGATTGCCCAAACAGCTCAAAAGACAATAACCCCTATAGACATATACATGGCTCTTCTCATGACATTTGGCTATTTTTACTTTCTAATCCCTGTACTTCTCTGAAGACTTTTAACCTGGTTCAATGCCGACTGGGACCCAACTAGATGGCCACGCTTGCCGTACAGTGGTGACTATTACTTTTTTCATCAGGCCTCCTACTAGGACTATCTTCTTACCAGCTATGGTTCTGGTCCTCAAGCGTTTACCAGTCGGCCTGGGACTGCACTATTATGGCGTCTTGTTCTCGAGGCTTTCATTGACTAGTGCCCCATTGTGCTGGGTTAATATCGCTTTCCAGCCTCTTTTGATAGCAATTGCACGGTTGGATGGATAATATATTGCATTCAACGAACAAGGCAAAGCCCTGTAAAGTAAGATATTTATGAGCAAGATCATCGACCGATTGTAATGCTGTAAGAACAGACAGCCTTACTATCTACCCCTGCCTTCTCAGGCACTGATATTCTTTTTCATCTACAAAGAGCCGAACACATAGTCACTTATATAGTATTTATAAGGAAGTGAAAGCCCAAAAAAAAATTATAAAAAAAAAATGGTGCCCCCTACAGGATTCGAACCTGTGATCTTCGCATTACGACTATCGTATGTTAGTATAAAAGTCACGTCAATTGTCACTAGGTTTTACGAACGTGCGACGCCCTACCCCTAAGCCAAAGGGGCGTAGGTGGTTAAAATTTTTGCGGAAAATCAGGCTCAACTTGATTTCACAGCTGACTCGCTGTTGAAGCTTCAATCAGACCAGACTCATCACTACTTTTCACGCTTTGAGAGGACAGGTTTCCCGACATGATTATAAGCTGAAAGTTTTTCGTAAAGCATATTTTCTTAGATCAACTGCAATAAATAGATCATTCATTGTCGTTGATCTGCACAGTGACCACTGGCTGAACTGTTTGTTGATTGCATCGTATTAGCTCATTGACCACTCTTTACAGAATTTGGGGGCTGAAGACGACTTCAAGGTCGCTTTGCTTCATCCCAAATGAGAGCCGATTGCGGCCACCTGCAGTGTGAGGCTGTCGGTGATGGGTGTGGTGCAGTTGGGTTCTCATTGGCGGCCTGTTGTGAGAGCCTGCAAGTGTGGTTGCCTCACGGACAATCTCGCAATGAAACACAACAACCACATGAAAGAGACACTTAAGAACCTACAATCATGAAAGGTAACGAAATATCTCTTTCCTGACAGTCCCTCAGACAGCTGGGTTTTCGATCAACATAACTGTGTTTAATTGTTGGCGACAACAACTGATCTTACATTTGGAATGTCTGAGTCTCAGCCTCGACTGCTCCTTGAAGAGCTGAGGGCCAAGCTCTCGAGCGTTACCGAATCTCTTTTTCAAAATGCCTCATTCGTGCAGGGACAATTCGGAGGTGCTGGGTCTCGTCTCGCATCACTGTGTCGAGGCCCAGCGTATGCAGACAAGACGCTCCAGCATCTCGAGCAAAGGTGGAACTTCCTACAAGGCGGCGTACGCTCGGAGCTTGCATCCCAATGGGAGAGCAACCTCACTCGCTTCTCGCAGAAACTTAGAGCGTCGCGGGATGGTTGTGGATGCTCTGCCGACGGTGACGGCCTGCTGGCCTTGACGAGCTGCGCAATATGTCGGCTAAAGGTCACCGAAGTTGCTGAGGATTTGGAGAAGTTCACGATGACCTTTGCAGAAAAGCTGGACATCGATGAGAGAGCCGTGGCCCACCGTGATGGGCTTGAAAAAATTCACGTCAAGGAGGCCATGATACGCCGTCTCGAGGATGAGGCCAGGACGCTGAAAGACGACCTCGAGCAGAAGTCGAGAACGATTGAGCTTCTTTCGGCACAAAACACAAATCAAAGGGTCACGCTTGAGGAAGCTAGGGATGCTAAGAGAGAGTTCGAGATGACTTGCCACATGTTGGAGGAGGAACTTGCCGAGTCTGTTGATAGCATTGAGAAATGCGCCGAGGAACTGAGAAAGGTAGAGAGATGGGAAGTGGCCGAACGAGGATATGACACACTGCACCGTCTCCTTCATGCAAAGATACGTCGAATGGAGGCTCGTCCTGCTCTAGATGGCGCTCGTAAGGATCTAGAGATCAGGTCGCTGACAATGGATCATCTTCGAGTACTTGCATTGACGAAGCTTTCTCGATATCCGGATGCAGAAGAGCTTGCTAGACAAGTATGGCAAAGGCGGAAGGAATTACTTGTCGAGACTTCCAATGAAGTCAGAGACGTCTTTTTGACATACTGCGAGCTCCTCACACGGAATAACCGTTGCGATGTTGCAGAGAGGGAGTACATAATCATGTACTATGATCCCAATCTACAGTATCCAACGGATCCCAAGGATGTCGAGTGGAAACTGGTAATCATGTCCCAGATCGGTAGGGTCATGGGCAAACAGGAGAAGCATGACGAGTCAGCCCTCTGGCATCGCAAGGTTCTCAATGAAAGGATCGCAGCGACACCAGTGGAAGTCAACAAAGCTGCCAGTAGCGCGGTAGAGCTGCTACGAGCACAGAAGAAGCAGGCAAAGGGTTTCACTATCATTGATCAGAAGATGAAGGCAGATCTTGACAAAATCTGGCGACTACGTGAGAGAGGCAACGAACAGCCAGATGTCTTATCTTGCGGGTTCCATCTAGGCATGCGTCTCCAAGAAGAAGGTAAGGAAGAGGAGGCGGCCAATGCTCTCTGGGAAGTGTGGGATAGGCGAAAACAGCTCGCAAAGCCAGATGAGACGCTAGCAGCCGCGAAACAAGTCGAGGCGTTGCTCATCAAGCTGAAGAATCTTCAGAGGCTCGAGACACTATACGAATGGATGCGCAAGTTTGATGGGTCAGGGCATGGTGAGGCTGAACGAGTCTGGTACCAATACAAGCTCGCCTGTGTTCACACCGTCTCGGAGAAGCTGATCAGTGCCGAATCGCTACTCCAGGAAGGAATCCAACGACGACTTGCCATCTTTGGCTCCGACGATGCCGAATCCTTCCAACAGACTCATATGTACGGTGAAGTGCTGAGAAGACTCGGTAGATTTGAAGTAGCCAAAGACAGACTCAAAGATGCTTGGGACCGGCGCCAGCAGCTACCAGAAGCAACACTACAAGCTGTCTTGAAGATCGGTCACTTGTATGGTGACATATTGATGGAGTCAGGAGCTTTTGGCGACATTGACAAGGCTACAACTGTGCTCAGAGATGCGTGGGAGAAAGCTATCCTCAATTTGGCGAGGGTTGCAGAGGCAGGGTTGATCTCAAAGAGGAATCAGTCACTCTATGGCGGCCTGATGGTTGTGGGGGATTGTTACGGCATCTGTTTGATGAAACAGAAAAAGTACAACACGGCAAAGGACGTTTTCGCGGCAGTTCTTGAGAGAAAGAAAGACTTGTTTGTCGATCAGACTGAACTGGACAAAACTGAACAGCTTCTTAGAAAGGCAAGAGATCTTCGAGGAAGTCGACATCCTTCACCTGCCATGAACACATCGGAAGCCCATCCTCTAGACTTAGCACGATTACTGAGCCATTGGAGCATTACAACCGTCTCGGCGGCCGGAGTTCCCGCTCTCAGAGGACATCACAGAGGCTTAATAGAGGGCAGTTAGGTACCTAGGTAGTTTATTAAAACAGATCGGTGCAATGCTTCAAAAAGCATCCAGTTATTCATCATGAAATATTAATACAAAGCGTGGTTGAAATGCCAGTCTTCAGCGGATGAGGTGTCAAACGCCACTATAGCCGGATTTAAGCCCGCTGGGGAGCCGAACGAACAGAGAACCCCACACTTTCATGTCGTCAGCGGATCAGTACCGTTTGTGAAACTCCGATAGAGCCTCTGACCACACTCACTTCCATTCACGAATATTTAATTTTGTTACACTGGTCCTTCAACCAGTCACGACATTATCGAAGACATTTGAATCATTTCAAGGCGTCATCACTGTTTCCCTGTCTTGACCACAACATCACCTATCAGTAGGGAGCTACAGTCGGCGATAAGAGCTCCGGGCAGCTTATCAATCATACGCCGGTCAACGGTGGGCTGCCAACATGGCTGACCGATATCCACGGGCGGATGACTCCGATGCTGACCCTGGGGAGCAAGATTTCTTTAATAGCTCAGCTAGAAGGCCTGTTGTCAACGCCAGTGACTTCGAGGAGGGGAGCCCTGATATTCCTGACGATCCGATGGATTCTGCGGGAACGCATTATCAAGAATATGATGAGAACGAGGACGAGGACGACCCGGACTACCATGTTGATGAGGACGAAGAGGAAGATGATGAGTTTCACGGTAGAATACTCCTAGAAAATGATTTTGGCTTGAGTCCACTAATAAACATTTCTAGATGCCGAGGAAGGTCTGGAGTTTGAAGTTGTGATAGAGGATGAGTCCGAGGAGGACGAAGATGATGATGATGATGACGATGAAGACAATGTCGGAGACGACGGTAGGGCACATCTGGCGGCACTTCTCACTGGTCTGTGCATGTGCACTCAGTGTCAGACAACGAGGGCTAACTGATTCCATAGGCCGGACAGCTCCTGGTTTCTTAACCCACAGACAGCTCTTGGCGTTACTCCGTGGTCGTGATCTAGGGCACGTTCTCTTCCATGACGATGATGACGGAGGATGGGGTTTCCGGCGGAGGAGACGGCGAAGCCCCCCCGATCCTAACCGGTTTCCAAAGGTGCCGAGTGAGAAAGGTACCGAGTTGATGCACTCTGGTACTTTTGGATCTACTGATCGCCACATAACCTCTCGCAAGAGGCTTGCTCGCCGGATATTAGACCGCGAACTCGGTATAGGAAATCAATCAGAACGCAAGATAAACCAAGATATCATGGCTCAGGTATGTCACCTCTCGAGCCTTCTACTGAGGAGAATCGACTGATACTGATCACGAGCAGGGCATGATTCCCACTAGCGAGGCTGATATGGTCATACACTATAACAGCCCTGTATACTGTGGTCAGTTCTCAGATGACGGAAACTTTTTCTATGCTTGTGTCAAAGACTTCAAGGTCCGCATGTACGACACATCGAACCCCTACAATTGGAGGCATTACAAGACCGTGAACCATCCTTTTGGTCGGTGGGCACTCACAGATGCACATTTGAGCCCCGACAATAGGTGGCTTGCGTACACATCATTGCAGAGCCACGTTTGTTTTGCGCCGACTGATCCCAATGACAAAGGAGACCCATACACCCTGGATCTGGGCGAGAGCCGGGCGACAGGTGGATGGCGAACTCGAGACTTCGCTATCTGGTCTATTCGTTTTTCGGGAGACGGAAGGGAACTCATCGCCGGCAATAATGCGTCGTCAATCATTGTGTACGATATTGAAAGTCGTCGAGTGTTGCACAACATCACCGGTCACGATGACGATGTTAACGCTGTATGTTTTGCCGACGTCTCCTCCCCACATATTCTATACTCGGGTTCAGACGACGCTACGATCAAGGTATGGGATCGTCGGAGCATGGGCGATGGCCGAGAAGCAGGCGCATTTGTGGGCCATATCGAGGGTCTGACGTACATCGACAGCAAGGGTGATGGGCGATATATCTTGAGTAATGGTAAAGATCAAACGATGAAGCTGTGGGATCTACGAATGGTGATGTCCACGGCCCAGTTTCAGGAGACGAACCCACGACAACATACACGACAGAGCGATTACGACTACCGAATGGAGGAGTACGACTTGGACAATTGGTTCCCGCATCCTGATGACAACTCTGTTGTTACCTACCGAGGACATCGGGTCCAGCGCACGCTCATCCGCTGTCATTTCTCGCCCCCAGGGAGCACCAACTCGAGATATGTGTACTCTGGAAGTCATGACGGCAAGATTTATGTGTGGAATATGGATGCCACACCGGCCGGCGTCATTGATGTCAAGAAGGCGGCAACGATGGGGTTCCAAGGCGTCAGTCGAGCTAGGGCGCGCGTTCACCGTGACGATTATGCAGGATGGTCGTCCTGTGTGCGTGAGGCGCACTGGCACCCTAATGCGCCGATTATAGCTGGTAAGTTACATGCCTGTCTCCTGGTGCCCCGTTAACCCTTGCTAACATATTATAGCATCGTCATGGAACGGATATGAGATGCACGACATGAACTTTGGAACTGTCACAGTACACTCCTACAATGATGCTCCTGAGGATGAAGCGGAGCCGAAGATGGGCTTGATGGTGAATGATCAGCTGGCATCCGAGAACTTGTCGTTTCAACCGACCTCGATCTGGTAGTTTGTAGAAACAAGGATCATCAAGGCTTTTTATTCCCCTTCTATGAGATGTTTTGTACACTTGCCCAAAGGTTTCATTCGTCCCCTTGGCAGAGATGCATTATGAGTCTGGACGAAATCCATCTCCAAGATAGCCAATGGATATCAAAACGTACTATCCCTGATGGATTTGCACCCATACTGTCCCCAACCATGCTGTGACCTAAGCATTCGCTCCCACGCTCCTTACATTTACATGTTTGCACCGTTGACTCGACGTCGATTTCGCTTCCAAATATTGCTAGTTTGACGACAGAGGCGTCAAACAAGACCATGCCTTGTCAATCGATTATGCGCCTCCTACGAGGATGTTGTTGAGAGGGATGTGAACTGAAAGGAGGTCAGCATTGAACAAGAGCGCACTGACGGGATGGGGCAAAACGCACTCAGCTTGACGACGTAACCAACAGCCCCCATGATCAGGAAACCAACACCCACGGCCTGAGAGATCTTGATGAACTCCTTGCGGTCAGCTGTTCGACATGAGTTAGCAGGAATGCCGCGACGCATTGACGATGACTGGAAAGAGAGACGCACGCTTTTGGCAGCGGTTCATGAACTGCACTCCATCCTTGACAAACTCCCTCGGGACATCGAGAATCTCCTGAACCTGGTCGGACATTGTGGCGGCTGTCGTAGAGAAGAATGAAGTAAGGAGTGACACTGTGTTCGGATACGACTTTGCAGGTTCGACGAGGAATTGCGGATGTGGAGGAGGAAGTCGGGTGCTGGCGATGGAGGAGCTAGGTATTGAAATTGTGGTCGCGAGATGCCAGATGGCCTTGCTGCTTAGAGGTCCAGCCCACGAATAGGTGGCCCTTCTGTGGGTGGCTGCACTTGTGCCCATCCAGTAAGGTGTTGCAGGGGGTTGTACGCCCACAGGGGTGCTGATGTATGGCCTGGACCAAGTGCAGATCACGCTAACAGTTTTCAACTTTATTATGTGATTTGAGTAGAGTAAATCAGCTAGTACCTGATAGACAGACCTTCGGACGAATGCGACACAAGCTCATTCGGCGCTTTCCCTAGCTGCTATGGGTCTTACAGCCTCGTCAGGCAGGAAGCTCCTATCGATTAGTGCGCCGTAGACTCACTAACAGACTTTTCGCCTTTAAACTGTCTGCAGCTGTTAGTGTAGTGCCTGCCGACTAGCAGTAGCATTTCAGCTAGCTGTTAAAACATCAGAGCGTGTCCCAAGCTCCAATTCACACTCAACTTCGAAACCTCTCCTACACCTCACTCCACACTCGACTCCTATTCCGACTCTAAACTTAGCCTGCGACACCAAATCATCTTGTCTGCAGCTATATTTGGTATACCTTGCACTATTCCCCACGATTTCGCGATCGTTCACCGCAACCTCATCGTCAGGCTGCTGAGGACGATGAACTGACAGCGATCCTGGGTGCTTAGTACATCCCAAGGAGCCGCTTTCACTGTCGCCGCCAATATTCGCATAGGGACAATACATGGGATACTAACCTCTAGGTGGTTGATCGTGTGTTAGAAAGGAAGGACGTACTGTGGCGCGCGATTGACGTGTTGGCTGCGTTGAGGCTCAAGCTGGGACAGAACCACTCTCCATTTCAACATCCTGTGTCTACAGCAGACCTACCTGTATCCTCTACATACCTACCTACCTGAGGGTCTATCGCATTTTCAAGACTGCAAGCACAGAGCTTCGTCTTCGAGATTCTTCTTTGGGAGACTGTAACTTGGATCCTGAGAATCATTCTTCTTCCAGTCATTCTTGTTTCGGGAATCAGGAGTGTACGTATCATTGAACTCTTTGTCTTTTTTTTGTTGCCTATTTTCCGTTTGCTGCTTGGTCTCGGGGATTGTTTGGAGATGTCTTCAGTTGCTGATCTCGCTTCGGAGACCACAGACGCCTGTAATTCTGAGTCACCCCCCAAAATACAGTCAATACATCCTCCTCACCTTAGCCTCAACCGACCTGCAGGAAGTTCATTGATCCTGCTAGATAAGTGACCAACAACATGGCCGAGGAAGACTTCGAAATCGACATATATGGCGATGCCGGCGCGGAGCAGGGTGATTCCAGGGGCGAGGACGTAAACTCACATGCATATGATGGCGAGGGGCACTCACACGACACGAACGGCGGCGGCCACGACTATGATGAGTCAAGAGACGAGGGTATGGACGATGGCCATGACCGTGAGCAGTCAGCTTCTGCTACCGTAGCCCAATCCAACCCTCCACAAGGTGTCAAAAGGAAAGAAGGATCGGATGAACGACCCGTCGACCCAGGCGCTACCACAGCCCTCTTAGTGTCAGAACTCAGCTGGTGGAACACAGACGATGATGTCCGCGGCTGGGCTAACCGAGCCAACTGCGAGGATGAGCTGAAGGATATCACGTTCAGTGAGCACAAAGTCAATGGCAAGAGCAAGGGGTAGGTGTTATCACATACTGTCATCTAATTAACGACGAAGGGCTTGCTGACTCCTTGCACAGGCAAGTGTACATAGAATTCACATCACAGCAGGCGGCAACAGCGACGAAACATCAGATTGATGCGCTGGGCAGCGAAGGACCCGGCCAGAAGAAGCACAGCGTCATATACTCAAGTCCGACTGTCAACCCTTTTAGGACGTTGCCAAAGGACGCTCCCGCTCGGGCAGGAAAGGACAACCGGACACCATCGGGGCCCGGCTACAATGATCGGGCTCCGAATGTCGGTGGCAACTTCGGGGGAGGTAACTTCCGTGGCCGAGGAGGAGGCTTCAACGGTCCACGTGGAGGCATGGGTGGTGGTGGCGGCTTCAACCGGAACTTTTCTGGCAACAATATGAACAACTTTAATAACAATAACAACATGGGGTTCAATAACAACATGGGAGGCGGGAACTTCGGCTTCAACCGCGGCGGCATGATGGGTGGAGGCATGCGCGGAGGCGGTATGAGAGGTGGACGGGGAGGTATGAACGGAATGATGGGCGGTATGGGCCCGATGGGAGGCATGGGTCCCATGGGAGGTATGCCAGGCAATATGGGGGGCATGGGGATGATGGGAGGTGGTATGCAAGGTGAGTTACCCTTCGAATGTTGCTACATACATGTTGTATAACCATGGCTAACAAACTCCACAGGCTTCCAAGGCATGCAGCCACACTTCAATCCTGCCTTCTTCGGTGGCGGACAGAATCAATCAAGTGGCAACGACTGGCAAAACCCACACGGTGCGAAGCGTCCTCGACCGGAGTAGTAAACCTGTACGATACGACTGAGCAGTCAAGGGCTGGCTGCGAAGATCTTCCGTCCGACATTATCGGACGTCTAAGTTTGGGCGAGTTAGGGATGGCATTTCTTGCATTTTCAGTACTGTGTTAAGGGATAGGAATTTGCTCAATGAGCTGTAGAAACTCAACCGAATCTATTCAGCCTACTTGATGGCTCTGGAATAACCTTTTGCCTCAAACACTGAGACGTGTGACTGTCGCCTCTACAAGAGTCTGTATTTGTGTCCAACGATCTTCCAGGAGCTGGCGTTGAATCTCATTGCCGGCTTTTGCACCCTTGATCCCCGTCAACGTCTTCTTGATCGTCTTTTCGTACTTCTTCAGTAACTTGACCAATAATTGGTCGACCTTTGCCTGCTTCGTTGTTGAATCGTCTGCTCCGTCTACGAAGTCTTGCCATTCTCCTAACGGAAGACACATGATGCGCAAGGCCACCTGTGTTCGGTGGCAGACATCGCGCGCATCCAGCACGTAGTTCCCCAGAAAGGAGACATACTCTAATTGCTCCTTCTGCGCATTTGTCAACTCCGGCAGGATAACCTCGTCGATTCGCACCTCATCCCAGCGGTTCTCCTCTAGGATGAAGCCATACTCCACCAGGAGAAAATCGTTGCTGTGTCCACCGTAGGATATGTGTATTTCTTCTCCGACGGCATACGCCCGCTTGCTGGTGAATGTGAAACCATCGGTATCATATGCAACGCCGCAACCCGTATCCGCGTGATTGAATAGGTCAGCAACCGGCTGCAACACCATGTGGTCGTCCTTGGGCAACTTCTCAGTCTTCTTGTCAGTGTAGTAGAACGTACGAGTATTCACCAGCAACCAAGCATATTTGTAGTCCTCCTCCGTCAGCGACGGAAATGCCTTGGAGATGATCTCCCAGTGATGCTTGAACTTTGACTCCTGCTTGGCGAGCATCTCCTGCCCACGTCGGGGCAGAAAGTCCTGTAGCTTTCCATTCCACAGCAGAGGCATCGTCTTGACATCTTCTCTGGTGGGAAGTACGGCGTTCCACTTGCTGTACTTGTCCGACTCATCAAGCGCCAAATCAGCAGCAAGAACTGCGTGAACACTCACTTTTGGCAGCTTGCGAGAGATGGATTTGGGCACGGTGTGAAGACTGCGCAGGACCTTTGTGGGTACCTGCAGAAGCACCTCATCTGCCTGTGATACACCGTTCAGCCTCAACGGGACAATCTGTAGGCTTTGTGAAACTTACCTCATGGCTCTTCGTAGCGACAATACCGAAGCCGCGCCCTGGGAGACGCTGAGGCCGGATGCCGTTCAGAGTCACACCGTGGTCTTCTGCCCATATCAACAGATCCTCATGAGCTTCCATAATGGTGATGCCGTGAGATGTCGGGTGGTGGTAGAGCCCGGAGAGCGGGAACCGCAGGGGTGCTCTTGATAGATTACAATGAGTCACTGAGATGTTACTGATTACCCATGGCGTTCGAGGTCTTGAAACAGAATGCCCTAGCTCTAAAGGGCATTTTATATACCACGGTATTTATTGAGAAGGTTCCCATCTAATGTGACAGAGAAGCTCGCCGAAAGGCTCCTCAATGTCGTGACAGAGCCTTGACATGAAATCAAAAGCTGGGCCCACCCCGGGGTGCTTTAACGGGGCTCCTCACCGACGGTCAAGAATTGCCGGCCGGGTCACACCGAGAGCTCCAGTACTCTTCGACATCATCAGACGATTTTCCACAGCTCTAATTTCGTCCGCTTACAACCACATAGTACGGCCTCCAATGCCTGCTATCTTATGTCAAAATGAAGCTCACAGTTTCGCGAGCCTCACAGATTACAAGAGGTAGCCATGGCCTCTCACATTCCCTCATACTCCCCTGTGCGGCATCATCAAGACCGTTCTCGGTGCTGAGCCGGCCAGCACCGAACTACCCCGGCCATGTGCCCCTTACAGGTCTTGAAAGGGCAGGACTGGCTGTTGGTTCAGGCATCATGTCGCTCCTAGATCCTTATAGAGGAGGTCAGTGCTCTCTGTTTCTCCTCAATTGAGAGTATGCCCTTCTGCTGTTCTAAAAGCTCACCCCGCCTTGCACCAGATCTCATAGCTGCCTTCGCCGAAGCTACCGCCACGCCATACTTCATCTACCGCCTGCGAGACGCCATGCTGAAGGACCCGACCGGCCGACGCATTCTCCGAGACCGGCCGCGCATCTCCTCGAGCACGCTGTCCATGGAGCACCTACGAACCCTGCCCACCAACTCCGTGGGGCGCACATACGTTGGCTGGCTGGACCGCGAGGGCGTCTCGCCAGACACGCGCAGCGCGGTGCGCTACATTGACGACGAGGAGTGCGCGTACGTGATGCAGCGCTACCGCGAGTGTCACGACTTCTACCACGCTCTGACGGGGCTGCCGATCGTGCGCGAGGGCGAGGTGGCGCTCAAGGCGTTCGAGTTCGCCAACACGCTCATCCCCATGACCGGCATGAGCATGTTCGCCGCCTTCACGCTGAAGCCGATCGAGCGCCGCCGCTTCGTCGGCACCTACCTCCCCTGGGCGCTCAAGAACGGGCTCAGGTCCAAGGAGATCGTCAACATCTACTGGGAGGAGCAGCTGGAGCGGGACGTGGTCGAGCTGCGCCGTGAACTAGGCATCGAGCAGCCGCCGGATCTGAGAAACATACGGAAAATCGAGCGGGAGGAGAAGAAACGACGCAAGGAACAAGCTGCGGCCGCCGCCGCCGCGGCGAGAGGGACAGTAGCTGCTGTTGAGGCAGCATAGAATGTCAGGGGCCATAGGCGTCCTTGTAATAGATTGTAGAATTATTGTACCATAGAAGCATGGCCGCTCCGAGTTATCGTAACGTAACTACCAGATAAATAACCGCAATGTTCAACGCCATGCATCAAGCTGCAGTTTTCCAATCTTCCCGCCCCCACATTGTGGCTCCTTGTCATCGTGTCAGTCGAGTCTCATAGGTCCAGGTCATCGTCCTCATCATCCCAGTTCTTGCGCCTGTTCACGACAATCTTCTCCTGCTCCTTGTTGTCGGCGACCGCATTCAGTAGTTCCTTGAGCTGGTCTTCGGTGACCTTCTGTCGCAGCTGCCCGCTCTGCGCCAGCATGATCAGGCGGTTCTCGACGTCGGTCGCGCGCTCCTCCTTCACAAGCCGGATGCGGCCCAGGCGATCGGCGGCTTCGGGGTGCAGTATCTGGTTCAGGATGGACTGTCGCGCTTCGGCTGTCATAGATTCGGTATTAGTCTTGCTGGTGCATCCTCGAAATGCGCCGCAATGGCGTCTCGTGGGCTAAAATATTAGATCCATACCTTCTTGTTGTCTATGGGGGAGTTAGCCAGGTTTGAATGGAGAAGGGAGGAGCATGTATGTCGTCGCGAGGACAGAAGGACTCACCTCTTCTGCTGAGCTTGATCCTGGCCGCCGCCGCCGCCCTGCTTGCCTGCCCCGCCACCTTGCGTCTTGAGCTGCTCGAGCCGAGCCTTTCTGATCTGAAGGGCCAACGGTTAGGAAACTTGTCAAAAGCCGAGAGGCGGTGGCCTTACCTGTTCTAGTTCTGCGTCATCCATCTTCAAGACTGTTGGCGGAAGTGGGTGGGGTGAGAATAGGCTACGAAATCGCGATGCTAAAATATTTGGCGGGGTAGTATTTCTAAGTGATCGTCGGTGCCTCTCACACGAGCTCTCAGAGTACTAAACCCAGAGAGCCATAGTTCCAAAAGTGTTACACTGTCGTACTTTCAACAAATGAATTCTTTCTTTCTAGAATACGATCCCATGCAATGCCTAACATAATTACAGTATAATTATAACACGAGTGGTACAGCTCGGACTCCCATGTCCGCATATGCAAAAACCGTCTAACAGTTGTCTACCACGATGCCATGCCCTCTCCTCATGCTATTTCAAAAGGTATTGCCGCTTCCATCTCCTTGCGCCGTGCCGAAAGCTTCGCCTTGACGAGATTCATAACCATCTCATTCGTAGGGCATTTGATGCCCAGCTCCTTTCCCTTCTTCACAAAGTATCCGTTTAGATAATCGATGTCAGTCATTCGACCAGCCCGGATACGATGCAGCATCCGGGACTCGTCGTATCCTTTCGACCGTAGTTTCTTCACTATATCGCGCCGAAGCTTGTCCTTGCTCATCCTGTCCACTATCTTGGAGGCATTAGGCAGTTCCGGTAGTGACATGATGACATTATATATCTCATCCAAAAGCTGTCCGATGAGGATATAGCGATAATCATTGTCTAGCAGCTTGTCATAGGAAAAGTCGAGAATGACGGATAAGCTATCCGTGATCGAGTGGAAGACCATAGACGGCAGCTTCTTCAGCAAAAACTCCTCCAGCGAAAAGCCTCCTGCATTCAGCCCTGCAGTCGTCGATAATGTCTTGATGAGGCTCGTAGCCCGTGGCTGGCGTTCGATCGGCGGGTGAAAACGCATCCGCGAGTAGCTGGCACCACGAGGAAGCGCAGTCAGGAACAGCCTGCCGCGTACGGCCTCGCTCACAGAGAAAACCCTGCCTTTCTCGTGCCCAAAACTGTGCGTCATATGGCCCAGAACATAGGTTGGCCTTGACCTAGGATCCGGGAAGAAGGTTTTGTTGAGCTCTTCCACCACCCCGAGCCCATCTTGCACAAGTAATATCGTCGTCCTGTGATCAATTCGATGTCGGACATTTGAAATGACACGAACAGCATTGAAACAAGATGCGGTAACGACAAGATGCTCGATATGCTCGCGGATCGGTTCGTCTTTGGTCCCGCCCACCCATTCCGTGATGAGCCGGTTGCGGGTCGTCGGGTCCCCTTCGTGGACAACTGTAATACCAGCGCCCTCAGTTTTGAATGCTTTCATTAAATTGCCCACGTAGAACAGAACCTTGGGAGGTGGTAGTGCGAGTGAGCCCGACAGCGCGTGCGCTATGAATATTCCCCTGAAGTCCTGCCCCAGAACATGGACTTGATCGGCAGGCCGCTCCTTGATGGTCTGCGCAACTTTGGTCGATGTTGCGAGGACTCTCGGAAACACAGTAGCCTGTGACTCTGTTTCCGTATCTTCTAGAAGCGACTCTTCAATGGCATCCTGAAGCGACCTCAGCACAAGAGGCTCACTGGCTGGAGCTGCGTCTTGCTGCGGCTCTGGGGGAGGCGGAGGCCTGTAACTTCGCGGTACTTGACGCTGTTCAGATTGAATAGAAGGAGGAGGCTTCCCAAAGGGATATGAGTAGTCTGGCGACGGAGTTGTTATTGCAGCAGCTTGTGCTGAGAGATGTTTGCTGGCCCCCCGGCCGGCGAAGATGCTATCGTGGCTCCATGTGGTGAGACTGTGTGGTATTCGCGCAAATACCCGCGCGTGGGGTCGGCTATGGCTGAAGAGAGACAGATTGAAATATTTACTCGATACTCGAGTTTGTCATGGTAGGACGGCGTTGAAGAGCCCGTAGACGGTTCCGGGAGGATCAGACCCTCGGTCGCAGCATCGGAGGAAGGAAGGCACCAAGAGCAAATGTGAGATAAAGATGTAATATGGCTCGGGGAGACGAAACGCTATTGCTCGTGGTTTCGGCGACTTATGGATTGTCGACAATGAGAACTCTCAGTTAGATGCTCATGAAGTTGGATGACGGCGACATTTTCTTTGCGTGCCCAAGCAGTGTTAACTTATCATGATTTTTTAGAGCGCGTCCTCAATCAGGAGCGTTTTGATTGGGCATGCGGCAGAAGACGGAGCTGATGGTAAGTAACTGCTAGGACCCGCAGTTTTAGCTCCTAAGACCCCTGTTGGATGCCGGATTACTTGCAGATCGGGGCCAGAAATATCTTTTACAACATTGTAGTCGACCAACGGCCAACTCGGGTATCAACATTGCACGTGTTTACAACCACAGCACATATTTGGAAATCCCCAGGAGGAGCTCTTTTGACCACCAAGAATAAGACTTTTGGCTTTCAAGATGGATGTCACCAACATTACGCCGCAGCTCGACCACCTAGAGACTGATCTAGATCAGCTCGAAGACGCACTGAAGCCATTGCTGGGAAATCTCGGAGACATTGCAGGCAAGCTGCCTTTGTTGGACAAAGCCAAGCTCTATGTGCTCGCGACATACTCGATCGAGTCCCTTCTCTTTTGTAAGTCACAGCTGTATGTCTCCAATCATCACAAGTATACTGACAGAGCAATCCAGCTGCTCTCCGCTTGAGTGAGGTGGACGCAAAGAACCACGCCGTCTTCAAAGAGCTCACTCGGGTCCGTCAGTACTTTGAGAAGATCAAGAAGATTGAGACCCCCGAGGCGGAGCGTGAGACCACGGTAGACAAGCAAGCTGCTATCCGGTTTCTCAAGGCGGATCTCGTGAGTGTATCATGCTGCTGTCAGAGCGAACGTCTATTCTAACAGTGCTAGGCCGATAATGCAGAAGTTAGCAAAAAGCTAAGCGAACAGCTCGCCAAAGAGAGGGCGAAGGCCGCCCTGCAAGCCAAGCAGAACCAGAAGAAACGACCGGCAGAGGATGTGTCAACGGCAGAGGCTCGCTCTGCGGACAGACCAGGGAACGACACCACTGAGCCGCAGGAGAAGAACTCCAAGAGGACTAGACACAGCAAATCCAAGGGAAAGAGCTGAACGATTTCTTTATTGCGGCTTCTGAGAAGCCTGACTCTCTCGGGCGTTTTCATGACTGTCACCAATTCCCCTGGAGGGCTCATCACATTGACGCCAAAGAGATCAAGGCTTAAGCCTCCTAAGTGTTGATTCCAACGCAAGTTGGCATCGGCGAAACTTTGATTTCCTTGCCTGATAATATACCAGGGGCTTAATACTTACACGTCAGATGGACCGTCACCAGGAAGGGGGAAAACCTGTCAGTCCACAAAACATTATGGTGATTTATGGCGTTCAGACATAGAAGAGAATATGATACCCCAACATGGATTTTCATGAACCGTTTGCCAATGCGTATGAACACTCTGGACACTCGTCTTCTTTGAATAGCCACTGATAGCCGTAAAATCGAAAATTGGAAGACAAAGGCAGCCATTCAGCGCAGCTGCCCTGTAACTTACACCTCCACTGGGCTAATAAACGTTATTTTAGCAAGGTGAATATACCAGAAACTCAGGGTTGGGAGTCCTTGATTGGGGCTTCGAAGATTCCATTTATCTCTATAGCCCCCCTGGACTTGACAAAAGTAGCAACTAACTTGTCTGAAAAGTCACGGTTCCCACTCAGAATTAACAATTATTACCCAGGCAGAGGTGTAGTGACATTTCCCCGGTTTCTAGCGATCGCTGTGCTAAATTCCGCCACCAGAGTCCGCCGGAGAGCAACTGGCGCCGTCCCGACCTCACGTGGAGAAGTCAGCCAAATTCGATTGGCTTCCAGGGCCCCTGTAGTGCCGGGGTTTGCGGCCACTACAGAGGCAAAATTGCCGAAGCTCTCTTTTGCATCTGTCTCTCCCGGCAACCTCCTCAACTGTCACTTCCACGATCCTTCTCCCGCTTCTACCAAAGAACAACACACGTTACCAACACCACAAGTTCACATCTCGAACACCCCCCAATACACATCGGCAATGCCTCGTCAACGATCCGCCGGCAGAGCTCCTGCTCGTCCCACTGTTCCCGCCCGCGCACCTGCTCCTCCCACCCACCAGCAGCAGTCCCGGCCAGCTTCCACCTATGCTCCCGCGCCGACGCAACACCCTCCTGCCCAGCCGGCCCAGTCCCAGGGCCCCGGCCTGTTCGGTCAGATGGCCAGCACTGCGGCGTATGTTCTCTCATCGACCTCGTTTTTCTCCCTGACAACGTAGTGTGGTCAAGCTAACGCCTATATGATCACAGTGGTGTCGCGGTAGGCTCCAGCATTGGCCACGCCATCGGTGGCTTCTTCGGCGGCGGCTCCAGCGCCCCCGTCGAGCAGGTGCAGTCCCAGGCGCAGCCCGCTCAGCAGCAGCAACAGAACTGGAACTGCGCCGACTCCGCGAAGCAGTTCACCAGCTGCATGGACGAGCACGGCGGTAACATGCAGATCTGCGGATGGTATCTGGAGCAGCTTAAGGCCTGCCAGGCCGCCGCCAGCCAATACTAAGAAAAGCACTGGGGCTGGAGGAACGTGAAATCCTGGAGTCAAGGGACCGGTTGGAAAGTTGGGCAATGCAAGCATCTTACGGATACTCAAAATTCATACGGACATCATGTTCATATCTGCATAGGGTCAGATCCATGAAAAATCAGAATTGGCACCCGCTCGAAGCGCCTGTAGTATTACAAAGTACAATAGCAACGATTCCGCTCTGCATATAGCTAGTCACCTCCCGTGTAATGTTATCTTGGCATTTACTGCTGGTCGTCATCATCGTCCTTCCTTGGCTCGAAATTAAGCTGTGATTTGTTAGCCATTGGCAACCAAGATTGCGAAGGAATGAACCAACTGAGTTGCCGTTATATAGCTGTTGATCTCGCTGCCTGTCGTTGGGGTTCTGAAAGCCTTGAATGCGACGACCACCGCGAGGAGCATCGTCTTGTTGTGGTGCCTGGTTGCCGGTCGTCGGCTCCGGGGGGCCGGCAGTTGAGAAGAGTGTCGAAAAGAATGTGGTGAAGAGGTTAACAATCCATGAGAAGAAAGCAATGATAGGCGCAAACAGTCTCATCACCGGATTGCTATTGGCCTCAGCGTAGGCGACTGAGAACTTGTCGACAGGGACAAGAATCAGAGTCGCTGAAGGTGTCAAGTCCAAGTCTTCGAGGCTCTTCTCCTCCTCCGTAGCATCAATGGCTCTGTTTGGCAGCGGCGTGAGCACCACTTTGAAAGTGTAGGGATCGCGTCCGTCCTGACGAGTCTCATCAACCCATTTACGCACATCACCCCTGAGGCTGTTGTTTGCTGGCATTTGCGTACGGATAGTAGACCCGTCAAAGAGCCGCACCTGCAGACTACATCGATCACTCTTTCGCCCTGGTCGTAGGCTGCTTGCTGGAGCCGCAGTCTGGACACCCTCGTGCAAGCTCCCCATCGCAGCCCTGTCCGCATCTCTCTCGGCCCTCCTCTCCAATTCCCGTGCCTTACGAGCAGCTTTGTCATCCTCGATCATCTTCAGAACGCGTTGCCGCTCCTCCCGCACCTGCCGTTGCTTGTCCATGTAATGCTGGGAAGCCTTGTTCACCGCGTCTGACGGTTGCTTTTTCTTACTCTCGCCCTCATCAGTCTCAATAGCCGGTTGCTTTCCTTTCGCCTTGCGCTGTCTCTCGGCTTCATCGGCTTCTTTCCTTGCCTTTTCTGCAGCTTGCCGTCTCCTCTCCCCTTCCAGGGCCAGGTTGCGCTGCTGCGCTGCGAGGCGTGCCACCCGCTCGGCCTCAGCCTGTTGCTCCTCTGCGATTGACGTAGGTGTATCCGTACCTTCAACACCGGAACTGCTCTCTCCTACATCAGAGACGTCGGCTGGGGGTGCTTGAGCTGCCGGGGTCTGTGCAGATGTGCTCGCAGCTGAGGCGGCCGGTATTTCCTGAGTGATCTGCAGAACCTTGCTGACCCTCGCCATGAAGTCTTCCCTCGACACCCCGGCCGCGATGTACTCCTTGAGCTCGCCATTCTTGATAATAACAAGGGTCGGTGTCTTGGGGAGCGGGAAGATGGCTGCGAGGTACGAGGCTTCCTGTGAGCCAGCTTCTAGACGGAGGGTGACACCTTCCTTCGCCAAGGCTGAGGAGACTGCGTCTTCCTTCAGATATTCATTTTCCCACTTCTGGCTCTCCTCATTGTTGTCTGTGACAAAACATACTACCAGTTTGCCCTGCTGGACGGCAGTGGAGATGCCTTCCTGAAGAGTCCCCGTGAAGAACATCTTGCTTATGTATCCTGCCGCTGCGAGCTTCCCTTGCGCTGTCAACAACTTATTGCTTTTAACTGAAATAGCTCATAAGCTGGCTCAAAGTAGCCGAATTCAAAATTCCCCTGAACCGGATAATAGATCTAGGTATGTGCAGGTAGACGCAATTGTTTCAGTGTCCTTGGGCAGCTTCTCTTAGTTAATAGGTGTCCTGAAGCTTTCAATGAGTGAGTGGCGTCGTGCTGGTGAAGCTCGTGCAGGCAGGCAGCTTCCGACTTTAGCCCCGCCGCACGGTAAGCTTGCAGCTTGCGTTTGCGCTAGCCAGTTTCCGCCAAGCCTCTTGACCTCACTGATCTAAACCTCCAGCAGCACTGCAGTAGCTCTTCAGAATTTGGTGATCTCAACCCGCATTTGCACCACACTTTCTTCGGAGCGAGTGGGATTATACTACTGGAACAACCGTTTATTGCTACGGTTCAATCGACGATGAAGGCATTCAATTGTCTTTTCCGGCATTCCCAGGCCCAGCGGGCCGCCCGGCAGGTGCAGAAATGCGCCGCGAAGGCCCGACCCTCCACGAACATATCTTCACAACGTCGCCCGATCTCAAACTCCTCAAGGCTTCGCAGCAAGCAGCCCGGCGATGATCCGGGCTTCCAATCGATTGTGGACAACCCGCCCGAACTCGTACGGACAGGCAAGCGGCATGGACCGGGCTTGATTATACTTGGTAGGCAGAAGCCGTTGCAAGCCCAAGCTATTGCGGCCCGCAGCTAACCTTGCCAAGCTATCATACCAGTTACTGCGTTCGCATTGGGATCATGGCAGGTCCAACGGCTAAAATGGAAGACTGAACTGATCGCCAAATGCGAAGACCGCCTCGTCAGGGACCCGCTACCACTCCCTCCCCGCATCGACCCCGACGCGATCGCAGACTTCGACTACCGCCGGGTGTATGCGACGGGGCGCTTCCGGCACGACAAGGAGATGCTCATCGGGCCACGGGTGCACGACGGCGAACAAGGCTACATGGTCGTCACGCCGCTGGAGCGCGAGGGAGGCGAGGGCACGACCGTCCTCGTGAACAGGGGTTGGATCCCCAAGAGGCTGCAAAGACAGCGCGATAGACCGGGTGGACTCCCGGAAGGCGAGGTACGGGTAGAGGGCCTCCTGCGGGAGCCGTGGAAGAAGAACATGTTCACGCCGGAGAACAGACCGGACAAGGGGGAGTTTTACTTCCCGGACGTGCATCAGATGGCTCAATTGACCGGTAGCCAACCGGTGTGGATTGAAGCGACCATGGGTAGGCATGCCCCTGTGATCAACTATCTACTTTGGCCGAGTGACCTTGCTAACATATTGAAGACCCGGACTTGTTCCAGGTCTATGACTATCAGGCGCGTGGCGTCCCCATTGGCCGACCGGCCGAAGTGAACCTGAGGAATAACCATGCCCAGTACATCTTCACCTGGTAAGTGCCATAGTCTTCTGCGTGCTGCACACGCCTCGTACATGCCGATGTATACTTACAGCAAGTTTCAGGTACTCTCTGTGTCTAGCGACATCAATAATGTTCTACTTGGTGGTAAAGAAGCCACCGAACGACATAACCCGCCGTGTTCGTATGAACAAGAGCTGGTAAGCTAGGTTGGAATTATCATGAAAGCCTGGCCGGGCCTCAGGTGATATCCTCGCCCTCTCGGTTGGCCCTACGCTTCTTCGCCGGCACGGGAGGCGTCATGCGCAACTCCTGCAGGAGCTCCCTGGGCAGATGTCGTTGTGCAAGCGAGAACGGGGTCGTGGACATGCTGGTCTGACGTTGCCTAAAGCATTGTCAGCAATGTATTATACATAGAAACACACAGATACCCGACTGTATGAACTGGGGGAAAGAACCAACCTCTTCATCAATGTAATCATATCGCTCTCATCGATTGTCTTCCTGCCGGCGTGTTTTGCATAAGCCTGGAGGTCGTCCCCAAGCTGCGCAAAGAACCAGTCTGATGCTTGCATTATCGCTGACATGGCGTCAGGCGTGATTTTCGCCTTGCTCACGCCGCTTGTCTGCGCGAAGGTCTGCGCAAGGCGCTTCACAACGCCCACTGGGAGAGATGGATACTCGATGCCGTATTTCGAGACTTTTTTGCCGGGTTTCTTGAATCTTGCATTCGCGGGTGCTAGATTGGCGGAGGTTGTGTGAAGCTCTGTTTCCTCAATACCAACGTCGTCGTCATCCTCCATATCAACATCGCCCGGGTCTTGCTCTTCCTCTACTGGTTCCAAGTCACCACCCAGTGCTGAGTCAAATGCAGGTGGGGACCGGACAGGGGACTCCTGGAGCTGTGGCGCAAGGAAGAATGTACTCTCATTAGCATCTAGGGGCACTTCAATGATACCAAAGTCACTCTCTCTCCCCGCGGCCATTGTTTCTCGGCGTGCAGCTTCAGAGTCAATTCTGTTATCCGTCAGTGTGAGTCAAATGGAAACAATGCCCAGGAGTAATACCGTTCATAAGTGACATCGTCAGGCCCCTGGAGATCACCGTCGTCGTCATCATCATCGAATTGCGCAGGCGGAAAGAATGCAGAGTCAATTCCCACGTCATCACTCTGCAGGTCAACCGGCCCCATGAAGTCGCTCATCCGGGTCGAGAAGCGCGGCTGCTCACTGATGGCCCTTCGCGGCAGCTCGATCGATTGCACCGTGAAATTCTCGTCCTCCAGACCCGTCGACTGATGAGGTTGCAGATCGCTACTATCGTCGTCATCCTCGTCAATGGGCAGCGATAATCGCGGCCTATCAATCGGCAGGTCGTCGTCCTCGTCATCCTCGGGGATTGCACCCGTAATGCTGTCCGCCTGCTTGTCGCGCGGCGATGAGGAGGAGGACGTGATGGGCCTGCTCGCGGGCGCTAGCTTGCGTCCCAGAGCCTGCAGCCAGTTGCGCGGCGTCTCGCGCTGGTCGCGCATGCTACGCCGCCTGTTGCGCCCAGGCGTGTTGATGGCGGCTCTGCGGGAGTCCAGCGTCCGGATGGCCGCGCGGCCGTGTGGTGTCGCGGCGTTTGGCTTCCGGCCTGAGGCGGAGAGGCCTTGCCTCTGCGATGCGCCGAGATTCCGGCCTAGGCTCCCCGGCGTGTGGACAGACCGGCGGCTGGTCGACGGCGGGTCCACGCTGAAGGCTCGTCGAGAAGGTGTCCGCTGCCCTCGGGTGGATGTCTGGGGCGTGGCGCCACCATTATCCGGAGCGGAAGCCATGTTGCTGTTGATGTTAAGGATGAGGCCGACGTATGATCGTAAACCCTGGATAGGTAATGCTGAGATGACTTGCGAGTCGCACGCTTGATATAGCGGGTTCCTCCAATGCCGCCGTTGCGCAAGGGCGAAACCCTCTTTAATTGATAGGTGCACTGCAAGTATCACGAAAATATCCGCTGAATTCGTCCAATTTAAACACTATGCATGGGTGTCGGCACATGCCGTTTGCTCTTCATGAGGAGAAGATGGATGAGATGTCGACTGAGACGCGGTTAGACGCGTCTGCTAAGGTCAGAGGATTAATTCCTAAAAACACGGGTTGGGGTGGGGTGTTGATACCAATGAAGCCCCAGTCATTCGTTTCTTCCGCACACCAAGGGGGTACTCCAAACAAAGCATGGCTTATAAGTCTGGTCATGTCGTGAAACCCTTTGCCGACTAGGTATGCTCATTTCGTAGCCATTGGCCGTCTCTTCTATTATAATTCTCCCGCTTGGCTATTTTCATATTAGGTAGAAGGTGTGCTCTAAATGACATAACTGTTCACTCATAAGGCACAAGCTATTGTCATGGTCAAATTGGGATTTTGAGAAGCAACACATAGAGTTGGGACATCGATAATGACAGAAAATATGATTACTAGGGGTCTTGTGATATATCGGCACGCACAGAGATAGGTGAGCCCGCTTCACGCGGATTTTGGCTCAGAATATAACCATAACTGGCATCTCAGCACTAATGTATGCCACTTTTAACGTCGGTAGGGCTGCGTCTAATCCTCCTGCACGAAGCTTCGATCCTTCTATCACCTCGGACTCGGCCGAGTAGCTGAGACTTCAGCCCGTCGGCCTTCGGAACATTTCATGATGAGCTGAAGACGACCCCGTTGCGACATCCCAAAGAAGGTTGAGGACAACATCTGATAGGAGTCTTGGAGAACCCCAGGTGCACGCACAGGTGGTACTTAAACGTCTCGTAGGGCTAGCTGGCCGGCATGGGTTCTCGTAAAATCGGCTCAAAACAGATTAGCGGCTGCTTAGCGACCCCGCGACCGTTATTCTCCCCTGATTCGGGGTTTCTGGGAGCATCTTGATTCGCCACACTTGCGCTGCAACAAGAACCTAGAGGCCTGGGGCAGAATTAATTGACTATGCAGCTCACGTAAGTCGGTTCGATATGACCTTTAACAGGAAGGCAAGTTCAGGTCTGAGGTTAAAGATCTACTTAGGCTTGGAGTAGCGGTCTTTTCGAATATCCGCACGGATATCCTTGTGCGTACAAGACTCTACTCAGATCCTCATGAACTCGACATTTGGAGAGCCTGGGTCAAGCGACGTCGAGAGCCATGTCTGAGAGACAAAAGGTGCGGCAGAGGCGTGAGCACACACGCAGCCGGGCAGGCTGTGTCATTTGCAAACAGAGACACATCCGCTGTGACGAGCGGCAACCTTCATGGTAAGCTCCATGTGCCACCGCCCCATTTCCGCTTTGGGCCGATTATACTGGAGAGTTTGGCAAGGCTTGTCGGCTTTCTTAGATAGGCAGATATACAAAAGAGGCGGTCGATCACTAATATTGTTTGTAGTAGCAACTGTCTCCTGGGATACCGACCATGCAAGTATGAGCGGATGGAGGTCGTCCCTCTACGGGATAGACGTTCTCAGCGGGTTGATCTGCCCGGAGTATTGGAACCCTGGGTCATGGAGTCAATAGTCAAGTCACTTCCCCATAACGAGGCGCTCTTAAGTTTACTTAACTGTCTACCAATCAAGTTGCCCTTCAAATCTCGGCAGCTGTTGAGACATTGTAGGTCATCCTCCAGATCGCAATCCGTGGCATTGTGAGGACATCATGACACTAACATCAATAACATATCAGATCTCCAAGTGTACCAACAGCAAGATAACGAATCACCTAGAGAAATGAATGTGTAAGTGAAAGCTGCAGTGCCAATTCCATCTGTAGAAGGAATTGCGAACGATAGAAAACTTTCCCCTTTTGGTTGCTGTACGAACTGACAGCTTTTTTATAGGGTAGCGATTGCAAACAACGACCCAGCAAACTTACAGACCATGTTTGTTACAGCAGCTTGTCATTTCTGCTTTCATGCTGGCTCGCTTCAGTATTTCAAAGCTACATACCACCACCAAATGGGCGAGTGTTTCCGCCTCGCCAACGAGAGATGGCTGGCACGGAAGCGTTCCCATCCACGGTTTATGGTGTTTGTTTCCTCAATGTGTCTGGCTGAGGTAAGTATCTGAATTCACACTCACTTATTTACCGTAAGACTGTGAGAGTTGTGCTTAACTGACCTGTCGTTGCAGGCATATACCGGCAACCTCACCGCTGCGGAAGCCCATCTAAAGGGCTTGTTCGAGCTGATAGACGCCCAGGAACCAAGTTATAGTGCCAAGGTGGAAGATGACGAGTACGACGCCAGAGATTACGAAAGCCTTGATCGTTGTGTCAAAAAGTGAGTTCAGTTCATAGTCTTTACCAGAGTCTAATCAAGTCACCCCAAACATATCGACAAGATCTTGATGAGGCTAACTTCTATACGTCCTAGCACCCACAATTTCTCTGCTGCAGTAGTAGCTAGTCTCCCTGACACCCGCCTCAGCATCCTGCGCCAGTATGGCTTTCCGATCGAGGTGGGCAGTAGACTGGGCGAGGGCTTCAGTGTCGTTACCTTCCTGCCTTACTTCTCCACCTGGGCCGGCCGCCGCATCGTCAACCCAACCATTTCCATCAACGCACTGCGCGAGATGACCAAGTTTATGGCTCCTCGGCTGCCTCTTCCCTACCACCCCATCATCGAGGGCGTTGAGGTGCGCTTATACATGGAGATGACGAGACAGATACCATTACCGGCCGACGGAACGGAGAACCTCCTTGATATCGACCGGGACGCGGGATACGTACCTCGGCGCAGCGCTTTCGTGATTGCGTGCAGCTTCTACTTTTGCACGCTCATTGGCGAATGGCATGTGGAGAGGATGCGCGTCAGCCCTTGTTGGCATCATCTGTTTGACATGCTCAAGAGAGACGTCGACCAGACAAGGGGTGCACTGCAAATAAAGGGACTAAGACGCGACTTTTGGCTCTGGAAGGTCCTCGTAGGCGCTATAGGTATCGTTACGATGGACAGGCAGAGCAGTCGGAGGACATTTGACAACGGTGCGAGTCATGACGACGATTCATTGCTGAACCTGAAGGTATGGTTCTTCGATCGCCTGCGCGCATGGAGTCGCGCGAGCGGAATTACGGATTGGTCAAGGGCTAGTCAAGCGTTATCCAATGTTGTGTGGACGGACAAGTTCTGCTACGGAGCCTCGCCCGAGGCAGTGTTTCTCGAGGCACTGAGGTACGATGACATTCCCTGAAGTCATGGTTGGTGAGCTGGCTCCGCTGGATTCCTATTCCGGCACGTATTAAGTCAGGTGCTGTGCCACCTTCTCTGCAAGTTGCAAAAAGTTGCATCCCATCCTGTCGACTCTCCTGACCTCAGCATTCACAGGCTTGTCAGATGATAATGTGGCTAAGAAACACCCGTTAACGTATTCTGAGTTCTCACCTCCGTGTAAGGTTCCTCGAAACACACAGCTCCGCTGCTTAAATTATTTGCTGGGTCTACTCTCTGGGCTTAAGAGTGGGAGGCTTTTCTCGGGCATTAGAATTTGAGGCTTCAAATTAGGTCCTAAGTCAATGCAAACACCAGACTTGTATCTCGCACCAGAAACTCCAGGCTCTCGAGATCAGATATGGATATGTTCCAAATTATACTTGACGGTTTTCACATCGAGGATTGTTCAGTTTGAAGAATACATAATGTCTTAAATATTTATTCGCTATAAATTTCAAGACACAAATAACACCCCTCAGTGCATTCAGATCTCTAGCTAGGAACAGTAGTATAGATTGTAAGCCTTGATATATATTGTCTTTGCAGTCACAATAAACACGACCACGCAATTGAGTGTTCTCAAGATTCGACCTCAACAACTGATGAATCCTTCGTGTGATTATGAGGCTGAGTTTTCAATGAATATCACCGCATCGGGGCCGAGATGGGAGGTTTAGAATCACATCTCGGAACTGCCTTATAGGGGGCTTTCTCCTACGAACTATGACGTACAAGCTGAACGACCGCAGACGCTAAGCATCATTATTCCTTGACGACTGCCGACGTTTCTTAGTTGCCCATATGGACTCTGGATTCTTCAACTCGGGTTGCGGCTAAGGTTCCATCTCGATGCTCATCGTATATAGCTTTCTCTACGAGTAGTCATATGACATATCATGTGACTCCTCATAGTAAGTTGGTGAGACACACCTCAGACACTAGTCTCTCGAGACACAAAGCATCCCATTGAAACAGGTTGGAAAACACTTGGGGAACGTCACCGGTCCGCCCTAGCCGGCCCCTTGACAAGCCAGAAACACCTTCGCCGGATGTTCCATAGGAGGGCGGGTCTGTTACAAGACATGCGTCAAGTGAGCGCCTGGGCACTCTCGACTCGACTCAGTCGATAACATCATCGCCGGTCAGCCTGGACGACGAAATGGGAAGCCCTATCATCGATCCAAGCCAATGTTGGTAGGAAGGACATGATCTGAGCCAGTGAGTGCTGGATCGTCTCCTTCCTGGCCGATGACGTCCAATGGGTCGTTTCTCTCGAGATGTGGTCGTCAATTAACAAACGGTCCCTGCCTATCGTCAGCCGCCGGGACGGTGGTTGGTGGCACCTCGAAGCCCCTCGAACCACCAATTCGGTCGCCTGGGAGGCAGCCCCCTGTGAGGTGTCCCTGCTTCACGCATGGCTTGAGCCCCTCGGCGTTGCGTGATAGTGATGGTACCTGGTAGCACTACGGTGTGCTAGTGCAGAGCTGAGGTATACTTGCTGGTGGAGGCTATCGCCAATGTGCACCCGGTTCAACCTTTTAGCGTGTGGGCTGCCCACCATCCAGCCGTCCCCCAATGCCCTTTCGCCAACCATGAGGATGGCTCCCCCTCCATCACCAACGACGGCTCGTTCCCAATATGGTGGCCTTGTCTCCCGCATCTTCGACGACCTTCTTACACTCTAGTTTTGCCTCACCACTCTGCCCTGCATTGGGCCTTGGGACGACATGCTTCTAGGCCCCCCTGGCTCTGCATTCATCCCCGCCCGCCGGTCTCCCGTCCCTTGACCGTGTTACACCTGCTGCTTGACTCGCCCTGGCGAGCTGCAAGTTGGGCACGTTACTGACATCAGTTTAGGGATCCTTGAGGGACTTCCCTGGTAGTGGAACAGTAAAACTCGCCTCCACCTCCAAGAATTTCTCCCCAGCCGTCTTTTGCTAGGCTACTTCAAGCTTCACCTCACACGAGTGCTCGGGGCTTCCAGCTATTACGCTACACCTCTTGGATGGATGGTAGTCGGGGTTCTACTACGTACTGGATAGTAGTAGCCTTGGTAGCTAGGGGAAGGGGACTTTAGCCTCTCTCTGAAGGCCCGTTTCACTTGTCCTAGCCGATGTTGTGGGTCCCGCAACTGGATGAACCCGCACTCCAGCCTCCCGACGATGATCTTGGATGCCGCTTCGGATGATTGATTACGTGTAGATGCTGTAGTCACTACCTATACCTATTATTTGCTGTGAAGCGCTAGATTATCGATTACAACATGAGTTGGAGTTGATAGGCACATATAGCCCGGAAGTATATCCACGGTTGGTCTCGGACCGCAACTGTCTCCCAAGTGCATATCTCTTAGCAAAATGTAATAGTCACCTATGAAAGGGCATCTTGCAAATCGCACTCTGACGCTATACGCACGCGCAGTTCGCACCTCCACTGCAAAGAACCCCCGCTTTGCTCTGGAAGTGAGAGCCTAGGTATCTAGGTAGGCACTCCTTACTGGTGGTTGCGGTTGCGGCTTGACGCCGAACATGTTAGAGCGTGCTCCTTGAGTCAATCATTAGTGAGTGACAGCGTGTACCTGTACCTAGACAGGCGTCAGCTAATAGGGTGCTGCTGTGCGATATCCCAACGGAGCTAAGCTGCCCTTTTATCTGAGGCCAGGGGGTGTTCAAGGTGGGTTTGGGCTTGGGCTTGGGCTTGGTGCTGAGACTGGCTGGTGCTTGGTGTTTGGTGGTGCAGGTGGGCTCTCCACCCTGATAGACTTATCACCCGACTACCTTACTGCGTACCTAGTAGGTAGGTACGCACGAACAGGGAATGGTTAGGTGTTGAAAGCACGGTACCTCCAGCGTCCCCAATCACTGGCGCAGAGCAAGGGTATCCTTCTTTTCTGCTCTATCTCCGCCCCGACCTCTACTTTTTACTGCGTAAACCGCCTCCGCTACCACCTTACGCAGTAATTCACCCACAACCAGCAGCAGCAGCACCACTCACCACACACACACGGGCACACACCCACCCTGACTGACCCTGACCCTGACCCTGCTGCCCCTACCGCTCGGCTCTCTTGCTCGACTCAAACTCTCCGACAGACCTGACAGACCTGACCTACCTTACCTCTCTACCTTTACCACCTTATCCGACCGAATTCTGCCTCTTCTCTCTCTCCAGCTTCCCATCGATCGATCTACTGCGGCATCAATCCGTTCCGGCTGTGTCAAAACATTTCCTGACTTTTATGCGGCCATCTATCAACGGTCGTTGACAGCTGCAATTTCGTCTTCCCCCCTTGCGCCACCACCACCACCACCGCCATTACCATTACCACCTACCGACCGATAGAGAGCTCCTTAGCTACAGTAGTTCTTCCTCCTATCGCGCACCCTTCCACACTGAGAACCGATTCCTCATTGCGACTCCTCGTCATTATTACTCCAATATCCGACTGATCTAGGCTCACCTGTAGCCTCGAGACCGTCTACCGTGCGAAATTGCACCTTAGCTACCTCACACATCTCCAGCCATGGCTGCCCCTGGGGTCCAGTCACTCAAGGTTCGCTCCTCTTCTGCCTCAACCTCACCTGTCGTCACTACAGATAAAAAACCCATACTAATCTGTATTATCGCTACAGTGCGTCGTGACAGGTGACGGTGCCGTTGGCAAGGTATGTTTACCACCTGGTCGGTTCGCATTCACAATCAACCTGAAGCTTATGCTGTGCTCCAGACATGTCTGCTCATCTCCTACACAACGAATGCCTTCCCCGGCGAGTATATTCCCACAGTGTTAGTCCACCGTCTTGCACAATGCAGCCACCTACATTGCCATGGCCATTCTTCTAATCATGAGACGGCAATAGGTTCGATAACTACTCTGCCAGCGTTATGGTCGATGGCAAGCCTATCAGCCTGGGTCTATGGGATACTGCCGGCCAAGAGGATTACGACCGACTACGACCACTCTCCTACCCTCAGACCGACGTCTTCCTAATCTGCTTCTCCATCGTGAGCCCGCCCTCCTTCGACAACGTCAAGGCTAAGGTACGTTATCGCCCACGGGAAATGGACATCTCACCAATCGAACGATGAACTAACAATTTACCAGTGGTATCCCGAGATCGACCATCATGCGCCTAACATCCCCATCATCCTCGTCGGAACCAAGCTCGATCTCCGTGAAGACCCCGCGACCCTTGAGTCTCTCCGCCAGAAGAGAATGGAGCCCGTCTCGTACGACCAGGCTCTGGTGTGCGCGAAGGAGATCCGAGCCCATAAATACCTAGAGTGCTCAGCTCTGACGCAGCGAAACCTGAAGAGCGTCTTCGACGAGGCCATCCGGTAAGACAAGCCTCGCCCGCCTTGTATGTAATTCGTCTCGGTAGATCCCTTGCTAATCCATCCGTCTCACAGTGCTGTTCTCAACCCTCGGCCACAGCCCACGAAGCCCAAGGGCAAGAAGTGCACCATCCTGTAAAGCGATGCGATACGAAGCCCATGAACTGTTCCTGGTTGCAGACGAGGCGGGAAAGCCTTCAGACCCTACAACTCTCAAAAAATTCTCTCTCCATATCTAGACGGATGCATTGGCCCAGGTTGACTGCGTGGCGGGCCACCACTTGCATCTACACACGTTTTCCTCCCATCAAGGGGAGAACATCTCACGGCATAGCAAAAAGAAAAGGAAAAACAGGAACAACGATCTCCGAAGAAAAGGGGATAGCTCCTCTTGAGATCTGATCCTGGTTTTTGACTCTTTTTCTCTACTACATCTGGAATTTCTGCGAGTCATTGAATCATCTGCTTGTTGTTTCTGATTTCTCGCCCTTATTCCCCCCGGTTTTCTCACATTTTTTATGCTCCCATCTTTCTTCCCACACAAATACAGGTCACGGTGTCGGTCTTTTGCCTCCATTCCAATTATTCTCCACGACAGCAAAGGGGTTGCAGCAGCAGCAGCAGCGGTAGCAGGAGCAGAATTTGCATCTTTTCCCCCAAAGGATATCCCGCTTTTCTGTAGATAGGGTCTTTCTTGAGAGAGATATTTGGAGAGGGGAGTTGTTGACACAAGGAAGAGAGAGACATGATGAATACCTTGAGTTGCATGTGAGAATTGAATGTTCTTTGAAAAGGAAGACTCGAGGGCTCTGCCATTTTTGGTCGTTATGCTGTACATGTGATGTGATTTGCAAAGGGGGTATCATATATTCCTCTATATGTCTTCGCCGTCTTCTGAGCCTTTTATAAACTGACTTACTCCTCGACCCGTTCAACAACGAGACTAGATGCTCATCTCCTCCTGTTGATGGGGACCTGGCCCCGGCGACTGGGATGGATCATATCCTCCTGCGCCTCGGGCTTCGGACCCTTTTCAGCCTCCTTCTCCTTCTTCGCCGCCTCCTCCTTGGCCAGGCGCTTCGCGCGCTCCTCGTCCAGGCTCTTGTTCTTGGCCTTGATCTTCTCCTGACGCGCCTCCTTCTTTCCGCCCCCGCCGGCACTGTTTCGAGGTAGGTTAGTCACCATTCCGTCTGCCATGACGGGTGTAGCAGAACAAGGAGAGCGGGGAAAACTCACGTCAGCTCAACGTTGATCTTGCGCGCCGGCGACACGCCGTCGTTGAACTCGGAGTGGTGGAAGTGCTCGAGGCACGACTTCATGTGGCCGTACGTGCCGAACTCCATGAACGCGATGCCCTTGCTCTTTGAGGGGTTGTCGCGGTGCGTCAGCAGGCGGACGGACGTCGGCTTGACAGACGCAAAGTGCTCGCGGACGGAGTCGGCGGTGGCGCTGTAGGGCAGATTGCCTATGTGGTCGAGCTGGTCAGTCGAGGTTGATTTTAGGTAATGTGAATAAGGGGTTCCATACCAATGAAGACAATGTACTTCTCCCTCTTGCCAGACTGCTGCTCCTCAGCTCCGTCGACGGCCTCGGCCTCGGCCTCTTCCTTGACGGGCACTTTGGTGGTGTCTGCACCGTCTGTGGCAGACTCCCCCTTGGCCTTCTTCTCCTTTTTGCTCTTCTTATCCTTCTTGTCTTTCTTTTCCTTCTTCACTGGCACCTCGTCCGCGTCTCCGTTCAGAGCGGCGGGCGCGGGTTGCGTCTCCGCATCAACCACATCCTCGCTCGCCTCGGCCTTGCGCTTCTTGTCTTTCTTTTCCTTCTTCTCCTTCTTGTCCTTGGACTTGTCCTTGCTCTTTTCCTTCTTCTCAGACTTGTCAGAAGATTTCTCTGACTTCTCCGATTTCTCCGACTTGTCTTTTTTGTCTTTCTTCTCCTTCTTTTCTTTCTTCGCCTTCTTGCGCGCCTCCTTCTCAGTATTCAACGCAACAAAGTCGTCAGGCTCGCTCAGCTTGCGCTTCTTCGACCCCGCCGCCGCCGCCGCAGAGTCCTTGCCGCCCTCGACGGGGAGCGTCGCAGGATCGGCCTTTCGCTTCATGATCGATCCAATTGCTCGCAATATATATGTATGTGTATGCAAGAGAGATATGCTCCGTGAAAAGGGTGACCCGTTCTTGAAAGCGTTCAAAAACTGTTGTGTTCTGAAGATGCTCCGTCCGGGTGCCAAAGTCCCAGTCTCAAATGGCGTCGAAGTTGGACTCGTAGGGAAAAATTAACTTTTTCTGCCGTTCCCCCAGAAGGCGGTATGCGAGAACAGTCCGTCACTAAGGTCTTGTCCGCCGCGCCGCCTAGCGAAAACTCAATTACGCGCCAACAAGCCCACTGCACTGATGCGGCCCATCAAGCGGCCACCAACAGCCCCCGGAACGACCCGCCGGGAGCCACTAAACCCGACGTTATCAGTGAAAGGCCAGAACCAGCAGCCAACCTGCAAAGCCAGCCAGACAGCGCTACAGGCTCGGTAGGTAGTGCAGCGCTGGCGCACCAACTGTCAAATGCAGTGCCCCACTCCACCACGAGTGCCATCGTTTAGAGTTCGACGAACACATCCATTGTTTCCTGGACAGCTTCCACCTCCACATGAATCCTCCCACAACTCGAGGAACTACCGGGAAAAGACTATTTTCAGTGCAGCAGGATTTTTTAGGTTGCATGCCATCTAGGCTATTGCATTAGAATTGAGCTTCTCGTCAAACAACTTGGTTTACTTAGCTCGGGAGCCTCATTGGCGACGACATGGCTCGGAAACAGAACATGCAATAGCCAAGACTTGGATTGCCATGGCACATGTTTCACCAGCCACTACCAGCAGGTCTCGGCCAGTATGATCTACGCTTCTGCGAGGATCGCATATGCCGGCCCAAAACAACATCTGTGTGTCAAACAACGCCCAAGAAAGGCTCGGCATCTTGTTTTGCAGTGAATGAGCTCTGGATATTGCTGAACTGTCTAAGCCTGAAGTGCCCATGTGAATGATTTAAAAAGCTTCCTCTCTCCCTCGATGGATAGAATAATAGACGTCGCCCTCAAGATATCAATAACGCCACAACAACTCCCGCCGGTCATAAAAAGTCCTTGTTATTCTTACACTCTCTTAATTGTATTTCGTTCTCACATAAAAAAGCAAACATCACACAGACGCCACCAACATGTTGGCTTTTTCGCCCATGGCTTTCGTTGCTGCAACGGCTTGACCATGAACCAGCGCCCAGCAAAGGCAACGTTTATGCTCTGGAAATCATTGAAGGACCGTGCTACACCACCAGGACCAGGACCGAGAGGATCAGTACCCCAACAGATGGAGCCCGCCTATCCGCAGCCCAGGCTTGTGTGACAGTCGCCGCCGGAGGAATCGGAAGTGAAGTTCCAGGACCGACACCGGGTGTCACCGTCACGACTGCAACCGTGGAAGGCCCCGTCACACTACCTCCTGGACCGCCGGGACCGCCGCCGCTGGGATTGCTGGCCCCATTGCTCGGACCAGGACCTGCAGGAGGGAAGCCTGTTATCGTGACGATAGCAACTGACGAAGACGGACTGCCACCAGCGCCTCCACCATCGCCAGGGCCGTTACTGGATCCAGGAACACCGCCACTGCCAGGAGGAATCGCAGTTACCAACGTGCTGGCTGACATGGCAACACAAGCACCCGATCCGCCAAGACATGAGATCGTTACAGCTGGAGGTGCTGCCGGTGGAGTAGTACCCGGTGGCACGCCATTGCCTGAGTTTGTTGGCCCGCCTGGAGGGACGTTTCCGGATCCTGTGCCGCTGTTTCCTGGCCCTCCGTTGCTTGGTATCGAAATGATGCTCGGACCAGGTGGCACCGAGGTCAAATGCAACGAGCTCACTGGAACGGTTGTGACGGAGACGACCGTAGGAGTAATCAAAGGACCGGTGCCAACACTACCGCCGTTGCTTCCAGTTGGACCGCTAGGAGTACCACCGGACGCAATGGGAGTAGCTGTCACGACGACCGCCGTGACAGTCTCCGTGCAAGTCGACTTAGGAGAGGGACCGCCGCTTGCGCCTGGGCCAGTTGGACCGTTGCTGGAAGATGCCAAGATTGTCATCGTGGCCAGAGGACTACCCCCATTGCCGCCAGGGCCAGTGCCAGTGCCAGGACCGCCTCCACCCGCTGGGACCGTCACGAGCGTTACAGTTACCAGCGTGTCGTTTCCATTCTGTCCATTTGTGCCGGATCCACCGCTTCCTGGCCCAGTTTCCTAGCCTGGCGCCGGAGCAAGTACAGTGATTGTTGATGACGGACCAGAGGGGATAGCGCTCGTGCTTTCGAGAGGGCATGGAGTGCTGGATCCACTGGAGGCAAGCGTCGATGAGGTAGGTGCTGGGGAGATTGTGGCACTCAACCCAGGAGGACTAACGACTGGACCGCCATTACCCGAGCCACTTGGAGCCGGACCAGAAGGAATCGATCCCAAGACAGTGATTGTCTGAACGGAACCATCACCTCCAGGAACTGATGCGGGACCTGGACCAGCTGGAGGTTGGCCGGTGCCCGGAGTCCCGCCTAGGATTGTGATAGTCACAACGGGAACATCTGGATTCGCACCGCAGGACCCAATACTGGAACTGGAGCCAACCCCGGAAGGAGATGCCAGGACTGTGACCGTTCCGATGAGGCCAACTGCAGCTCCGCGAGGACTGAGCACCGCATTGGGTTCTTGACCATCATGAGAGAAATTTTCTCCTTCAAGCGATGGAGCTGACGACCTGACTGCTAGGGCATTTGCGGACAGAGTATGTATGGGATACCCGTTATAGGAGGAAGTACTTAGGGGAGCATCGAACATGGTAGTGAATGTGCGTGTGTGCTTGTGTGTGGTGGATGTGGTGGATGTGGTTGAAGAGAAATTAGGGACAGGTATGACCTGGTTCGGGAGTGTGCTCATGGCTGGGGCTTTGTTGTTATTGGAAACAGGCTGATGAGCCACCTTGGAACAAGACGAGAGTGTGTGGCGGAAAGCATTTCCGTAGTGTTCGGTTGGACACCACACCGAGAGACAGTGGAGGAATGTCTAGGTCAAGCAAATTAGACTATCACATGAAGCAATAAGAAAAGTTAACTCACATTCAGCTGTTCGATATCCGTGCAGATGCAGCTGAGGTCGGGGCACTGGTCGTTCGCCATGATTGATGCATAACATCCGCCAAAGCAAGCTGCAAGCCACTCAGCATACTGAATTCAAGGACTCTTGAAATCAAGGCCTACCTATATTATTGTTGTCTGTCTGGCCAACAACGGGATAGATGCAGAGAATAGCCGCTGCCCAGAGGCTGAGCGCCCAAATAGAGGCGAACATTGTGACGCGTCAAGGTATTCTTCCTGAAGGGAGGCTTGTAGGAGAGACGTCGAAATTGCTGCAAGCAAAGAATGAACTCCAAAAAGGGTCAAACAGATGTGTCGAGAGTGATAGTAAGGGCACAATCCAAAAAAAAGGGCGACGTCCAATAAACGTGTTGTTGAAATTAGGTCTTGTAGTGTGTAGGTTGTGTCTTGAGGGTCCAGAGGTGAAGAGGTGGATGAGGAGGAGAATGTTGGAGGAGAAAGAAAGTAAACAGACGGAGGGGGATGAGACGGGAGACCTTTGAATCAAACACATTTAATGCTGCTCAACCAGAAATGCGAAGCAGTTGCGCCTTGTCTGCACTTGACAACAGAAGCAGCTGGTTGCCCCATAGGTTGTGGGCGGCCAAATGTGGAAGTCGTGAACGAAGTCATTGATAAGAGTAGTTTCCTAGTGAGGATCTATGGGTATCTATTAGCCACAAACAGCAGCAACGAAAAGCTCCTTCCTTGCCAGCTTCCAAATCCTTCGCAGCGAGAAGTAATGGGAAAGTCCCATCAGTAGAATAGCAGATCCAGTGGCTTCTGCTCGTCCGTGTACCTGTCCTTGAATTCCTTCCTTGCCAGCCACTTGGCGAGCGGCATCATAGTGTCCTTCATATCCATAACACCGCGCTTCTTCTGGTCAATATGAGAGGCATCGACGACAATGCGTTTAAGATGCTCCACAGAGAGCGCCCCTGAATCCTGTTAGCAGTTGCTGTGTTAGACTTGAGACGCAGATGCCTACCATTATCAAGTAAATCCATCAGCCGAGCCGGTGTGCCAACCCCTAGCCCTGTCCGGCTGCGGTTGAGAAAATCGACAGCTTCATCGAGCTTTATATGTTTCGCAAACTACCAGACGTGAGCATGAAAATGGGGACCCTGCGCTGTGACTACTCACTAGTTTTGCGACAGAATTTCCCTTCTTCTGATACTTCCTGACAGCCCTGCGTTATGTCAGTCTGGGCCCAATAATCACTGCAAATCTTGCCTACACTTACCTCACAATATCTGCCGCCCGGATACCCGCTCCGGTGACGATAATAGTGTGCGGTGCACCCTTCTTAGTTGGTGCCTCTCCTAGCTCCTTCGGGTCTTTCACAAAGCTCTCCAGGAAATCCGGCAGATTTGACAGGGTGCGAAGCTTTTGCCACGACGTGGTGTCTTTGACTGCGTTTGCTGAGATATAGAGGTCAGAGAGCTCAACCGGGCTCAGATCAGTGCCGAACTTTGTCGTCTTCTTCGTGACATAGTCTGACAGGAGCTGACTGTCCATGAATGTGAAGACGGTGTTCACTCCCGCCTTGAGATCCAGAAGGCTCTCGTCCTCTTCGTACTTTGACTTCCGCTTCTTGCGAGCACCTCCATCATCCTGGGCCTTCCGCTTCTTGGCCTTTGCTGAGGCCGGAGCAGTCGTGGCCATCGTCACAATTGCTTCTTAAGGTGAGCTTGCTTTTGTTCCCTCTGAGCGTTGGTGGCGGAAAGGTGAAATTTCTGCTGCAGAAAGCTTGTGTTGGATGAAAATATGCAGTGATGTATTTGTCAAGTTGTGTCAAGACTTTCCTTCCAACACCGAGTTTGCACGGTTACTTTAACGTGTCTTGTCCCCTGATATTTGCAACTGAAGCATCATCTATCAGACTTAAACATGTCGAAATTTGAGGTTTCACCAAGCTAAACTTTTTTTCAGCACAGTAGCGGCGGCAAAGCCAAACTGTATGATGGCCAATCACAGCGACTCCTGCATTCCAATTTCTCGGGTAGCCGGTGGCGGTCAGCGGCAATTAGCGACCTGTCCTGCCATCAAATACAGTGCGGATTGGGGAAAGCATCCTACAACTACTTTATTCCCGTGGTGCCGATTCATGCATGCAACGGCACGTCTCCGTAGCGTAGGATCTAAGATCACTCCGGGAACGGATCCCGACAGAGGCTCGGCCGAACCGTGCGATCAACTACCCTCCGCCGCCTGGTGTACCATTACTCGCCTGCATTGGATAACTATGCTCAAATTACTTAGAAAGATTCACCTGGGAGGCTGCTGGTATCACCAAACAACTTCTCCCGATTATAGCAAGAATGCATCTCCGGGCCGCTCGTAGCGCCGCCGTTGATCGGGGGCAGGCAAAGGCCAAGAAGGCGTCATGGCAGTAGGAGATGGCCGTAGTGGGGCATAGAGTCCGGATTTGCACTTGTCATTAGCAATGGAAACGCTGAGATTTTGGGCGTGATGGACGAACGATGACTACTAGTCAGCCCAGAGAGGGCAGACCGACAAATCCAGACTTCTTTTCTTCTTTCCTATTATTTTGGCATCTTGACATGATTGTTTGTTTCGAGCCACAGTGTACAGTGTTGAATCGCATAGCCCGGCGTTGCTGCATACCACCAGACACCGAGAACCGAACTTGGTCCCTGGATCGGAATCTCGAACTCGACTCGGCTTAGCTCATAGAACTCGCCCGACTCTGAGATTTTTCTTTGAGCTCTTCACTCGGTCCAAGACAGAATTTCACCATACTTTAATATATTGAGACTACATATTCGTAGATTTGCCCGTTCGAACACAAGATTCGCAAAGGCGGAGTTTTCCAACTCGGAAGTGGCTCGGCATCGAGCGGCGACAGGACATCATGGCTCCCCAGTCACACATTCCCGTGGCAGCTAACGTCCTGGGAACAATAGGAACGGTGCTATGGTGTGTCCAGCTCGTCCCACAAATATGGACGAACTGGCGGACGAAGAAGACGGACGGCCTGCCGGGTTCTATGATGTTCCTATGGGCGCTGTGTAAGTCCATGCCGTTCCGGGCCCGATCTGGAATCTTATCCTGACGAAGCCCTCCATAGGCGGTGTCCCATTTGGGACATACTCAATCGTGCAAAACTTCAATATTCCCATTCAGGTCCAGCCGCAGGTCTTCATGGTCCTCTGTCTGGCCAGCTGGACACAGATCTTGATATATGGCCAGTAAGCAGTGAACATCCTTTCAATCACGGTCGTTTAGTTGCTAAGTCTCTCATCCAGCAAATGGCGTGCTTGGACGGCGGCACTGATGGGCTTGGGTATGGCTGCGCTTTTCGGCGGTGTTGAGACCGCCCTCATCTTGACGATCAGGGTGAGTTTGGAGCAGGACAGTGGAAGTTTCAAATGCGTGCTGACCAGAAACAGCCGTTGTACAACCGAGGCAATGATACGGCAATACTAGTCATTGGCATCATTGCGTCTGTGTTGCTCGCAGTGGGACTCCTCCCTCCATATGGCGAGATATGGAAGAGGAGAGGAAGGGTCATTGGCATCAACTGGGTGAGTCAATACGCCACCGAGAAACTTGAAAATGCGTTCCTCTGACCGAAAGACAGATCTTCCTCACCATGGACTGGTTTGGTGCCTTCTTTTCACTCATGGCACTGGGTAAGAGACATTGAAGATAGCAATCCATGACCGAGGGGGACTAACGCTCATCAGTCGCTCAAAATACCTTCGATGTTCTAGGAGGCGTGTTATATATAATCTGGTAGGCCCTCCGTCGGGAAGTATATGGTAAAGGTGCTGACGACATTAGCTGCCTGCTTGAGCTGGGCATTTTCATATCCCACGCAATCTGGCTCGTGCGGACCCGGAAGATCCGCAAGGCGGCAGCTGCAGAAGGCAAGACTTTCGACGATATCGCAGCGGAGCACAAGGCAGAAGGGACTCCATTCAAGTTTGCAGAGAGGAAGTTCCGAAAGCGCAGAAAGGGGAAGCTTGACGAAGAGCAGGCTGTAAGAAGCGAGGAGGCCGTTGGTCAGACTCGGGACGGCATCGCATTGGGTGAAGACTCGACGACAGAACAAAAGCAGGAGATCTGACCAACAATATCGACACGATAATGCGATTGAGACTTGCGGCAATATTATACAAGCTACGTAAGCATCGAAAAGTCGGCCAAAATCACACGACTCTACAAAGACGGAGCGACCCCGTTCCGTACGTCGGCCACGCCGAAGTCCTGAAATTACAGCCGGCCCCGACTCTATGGGGAGTTGACCGGGTTTCGCGGCCTTAATTCCGCCGTGGAATATCAACGACTGCAACTCTCAGCGTGCCGCAAAAAATATTCGCAGCAACACCTGCCAAGGAGCTAATGTTGGGGACTGCTGCTCGCGACCGAGGCTTCAACATGAAGGCGACTAGCTTTCAATGCAGAGCTTTCAATATTTCACGTCAGAGGCTTGATGGCCCGACCTCTACTTCTTGCATTTTACATGATAAGAAGCGATCGGATGTGGGATGGGCGCGACGAGACGCTCTGCTGTCTTGATTGGTAAGCTTTGCCGGGCAAAGTGTTGAGTGTGGCTTGTCAGAGTTTCGGCAGATGTCTGTCTATCTCTCTGGGGAAGACGATAATGGTCCCCGATCCATCAAGATCAAGGTCGGCGAGTATTTGCGTGTTTAAGCCCACAAAGGGCTACTTCTCGGTGGAGGCCGGATGTCTTATGTCTTAGACCCTGACGCTGGTCTGTCTCAGACAAGAAGATGTGATCCAGATAGTCGAGACTGGGCTTGGGCTCATATCCCGAGCCATAATATAGACTGTGTAGAAAAGCAATCAAGGCCTTATACTTGAAGAGTATATAGCATCGTGTGGTGACAAGTCCGCTGAGGCAAGGGATGGTATTCAGACCTTGAGAGCCTCTCGACCCAGCTGCATGGTTTGAAGGACAACGGGGCTTGGCCCAAAGAGGGATATGAGGAGATAGCCTGAGTCAATCATGTATCTCGGAGGCAGCTCCTGCCCATCTGATATGCATAACTAAATGGTTATAGTGACGAGTGCTGCTCCGTCGAAGAGCGTGGGCTATCAAGGTTGCTGTCTCGGTTCCGATGACTGACTGCTGGCACAGACCACGAGTCTAATTCACGCATTGCGACCCTACTCTCGTCGCCAAAGTGCGATAGCGAAATACAGCGCGAGTTCGGATGAAGATGGCGTCAAGCAGTTGACGCACGGCGTGCGCAAGTGCTGCGGGTGCCAGCTCTCAGGGGAAGCTTCAGGCTAGCTTAGCAGGTCTTGGAGGGTGCCATTCCTCGGGCTTCTCGTAGGGGCCGTAGTGGATTTGCTGCACATTCGAAGGTTCTTTCCCACGTTGGGCCTTTGTTGAGGTTGAGGGGTTTCGGGGTGCGGAATTTTTGCAAAGCCAAGCTAAGCCGGAAGACGATAAGACCTTCATACACGGCGAGGGCGTCCGACCACTGTTCTTCAGTGCACATCCGTGGAGGCTAACCTGTGTCGGAAGGAGACCGGGCGGCCGTACCGAGCTCCTGGTTCGTTGATAGGGGGGATATTCATATCAGGAAGAAGTAAGGGTAACGTTGTTGATAAGTCAAAGTTGAACTTGCCGGATCCAATCCCGCGTATTTCGCGAATAGCTTCTGGTGTTGGTTGTGCCGATCGGCAAGGCAAGTAGTGTATAGCAGGTAGTGAGTGGATGTTGTTGAGCGGAAGAGTCGAGTTGAAAAGAGCATAAGGCTGACTAAGTTCAAGGCACGAATCAGCATGTCTACAGACACAGAGGAGTCAATGGCCGGTCCAACGTCAGAAGCTGGAAAGAGTCGACGGACCAGTCTCAGTCTTATTCTGCCCCCGTCCAAGGGCTTCCAAGCTCCGAGTTGACTCGAGCTAACTCAGAGTCGTCGGTTCGTTCTTCCAATTGCTGCAACTGCTCGGCCAGGGTTGCTACCTAGGTAGCTATCCACGGTGGGGTACCATAGGTAGCGCTGTGTCTAGGCAAGTAGAGAGGTAGAGTAATACAGTAATACAGTAAGATGGGCCGGCAAGGGATTCGCAGCACAGAATGGGGCATGCCCTGTGCCTGTCAAAGTGCATTGGCGAATCGCTACCCAAGAACCGCTAATGCTGCTGCTGCTGCACCTGTTTGGAGGCTTGTAGGTGGGCATGCGTGGTGCAGTGCTTACTGCAGTGGAGAGAAACGCAGAGACTGCGTTTTGCATTTTGCATGCGTTCCCCCCCCCCCAGCACAATCGGTGGGGATCAACAGCTTCTTTTTGGTGTATCGCCGGACATGGTATGATATTATTACCAGGTAGGTATGGCAGGTACCAGCACCTAAGTTGGTACCTAGCAGGTGGTCTGCAGTGAGGTACGCACGCAGTATGGCATCCTCACCCGCGTGCCGCCAGCCGGGGAAGCAGCCCGTGCAGACAGACTCGCTCCTTCCGCCCCCCCGTGGTTGGCCAATTTGCCCATTTGCGTCGCTTAGTCTCCCCGTTTCTGCTCCAGGTCTGTCCTTCCCGGCGAGAGCATTGGTCTGGCCCTGCGGAAAACGGAAAGGACTGAACGTAAGAGTCCGAAGCAAAGGCAGGTGCGGTACAGTACAGCTGCACCTGCACCTGCAGGGATGTCACAAAGGAGAGCAGAAGCCTGAGAAGGAAGAAGAAAAAAATGTTTTATGGCGGCGGAAGCGACGATCGTAAATTGGCCCATTCATACAAACATACAGACATACATACATACATACATACATAGCAGACAGGAGTACAACACTTACATTCATCCACATACACGAACACGAGCATTGTTGCTGCACTTGGATCCGGTTATCATTATTATTTAGTGCCTATTGCACACTTTATTCAGTGCATTGGGCAGTCGGGATACATTATACATTACGACCTTACGTTACTGACCTATCTTCGTCGGTCCCTCTTTCTCCGCTGCCTCCAGGAAGCAGCAACAAGCAACAGAATTACAGCAGCTTCCTTGCTCCTGACATCAACAGGCCCCAGTCTGTGGCCAAAATAACTTGGGACGAAAGGCCAACAGGAAAAGAAGGACGTCAGCCTCTCTCGCCTCCGCAGAATCGCCGCCACGCCGCCTGTGTCTTAGTAGAGTCCACCTCTCCTTGCTAGGCATCGTCGGGCCTCTTCACTGGTCGGTTGTCGACAAGGAATCGTTGAGCCACAAGCAAATCGTCACGTAGCTTGTACGCCGGTCGAATTACGAGTGCCACTTCTCAGCTTCTCCGGCTCGGTCTTCGTATGACGACTCTTTCTCGCAACCTGAAAGTCTGACTCTGAGCCTAACTGAAAGTCTTCATTCAACATAATAACCACTGTGGCATCCTCTCGGATTCTCTGCCGCCATCTGCCACATCTTTCTCCCTTTCGGACATCTCTATCTTTAAAGCCTCGCGTGGCCGGCCACCTGGCGTACCGCCCTGCCGGACTCTTGTGATTATTTGGCACTCTTATACCCTCCCCTCCGAAAGCCCAAGCTCCAGGCCTAAGGTACGCCTCCGGGGACAAGCTGTTTTCCGCTTGTGTGTGCGTGTGTGTGTGTAGGGTAGGGAGGTAGCTACCTACCTGCCTTAGCCCCTTTTTCTATCAATACAGGCTCCGGCCCCCTCTTCTTGCTGCTGTATCCCACACATTGCCCTGAAATTCACCCACCTCGGCCCCCGCTTTCAGCCTCCGAACACAGCGAGGATTTGCGCTCCCACGCCTTGCTCCCACCACCCAGCAAGGAAAGCTTGCACCTGGAAGGGAAAACCATCACATTCCCCCCCCATTCTATTTCTGCCTCTAATTAAACCTCCGACCTGAACACTTGCATGACGGCGGCTATTGATCTACGCGGCTTTCAATTCGCCCTCTCGGCGGCTTTCTCACTCGCGGAGTGGACAGGCGGCGCAGGTCTAGGCGCAGGAGGACTGCTTGATCAGGCTGGGTCAAGTTTGCTCACCTCGAGGACCAGACACAGTGAACAGTTCGGGCTCGGGTTCACACCGGAGGCATCACCTGCGCCATGGGTCCGAGATATCAACCCTGGTATGTTGCATACGCTCTCTTCATACAGCCAAACTAGCACAACTAACATCGCCTTCAATATTCTAGTCGTGAATTTCACATCGTCGTCCTGGGAGCAGGTGTGTTGCCGAGCCATTTCAAAGCTCCCCCCCCAAAAAAATCACATGCATGTTCCGCTGACAACCCCTATTAGGTGGCGTGGGGAAAAGTTGCTTGACAGGTACGGCTGGCCAGATCCAGATCCCAACCGACCCTAGTCCAGTCTCTGGGATCCCACACCACAATTCATGCACGTGCATATCAGCTGATTCGTGTTACCACAGCCCAGTTCGTCCACAATGAATGGATCGAGAGCTATGATCCGACTATCGAGGACTCGTACCGGACACAAGTCTCCGTCGATGTGAGTTTGCTTCAACGCGCCTCCGCAATTCCCCTCCAGCACTAACATCATTCGTAGGGACGCCAAGTGGTCTTAGAGATGTAAGTAGCTCCAAGGGCTAGAACCTTCCTTGGACCTTTTCTCACAGTCACAGCCTCGATACCGCAGGAACGGAGCAGTTTGGTAGGTGCCGTCGATACCCGAGCAGCATGAGACGCTTTGCTCATTAGGCTTTAGTTGCTATGAGAGATCTGTACATGAAGACGGGCCAAGGATTTCTTCTTGTATTCAGCATAACATCGCCATCCTCTCTTTCCGAATTATACAATCTGCGAGAGGAGATAATCCGTGTCAAAGACGATGAGAACGTTCCAATCGTTATTGTAGGCAACAAGGCCGACCTCGAGGACCAGAGGGCCATCGCCCGAACGAAGGCGTTTTCGATCTCCCAGCAATGGGGCGCACCATATTATGAAGCTAGTGCTAGGACAAGAAGTTAGTGCCCAAGATCAAGATGCTTTCAATAATCTAGATCTCTACTGACCTGCGACAGCGAATGTGGATGAGGTCTTCGTAGATTTGTGCCGGCAAATGCTGAGGCGGGACGACGTCCACCAAACCATGCTCGATATGGAGGAGGATGCTTACCATACCAAATGGGACAGCGGTATGGTAGGCAAGAAGAAGAAACGAAGCAAACGACGAGATCACGGTAAATGCGTCGTCTTATGATGCAAGAATAGGGCGCTTTCAGAACGTCTCTGCAAACAGAGACTCTTACGACAGGATGCAAAAAGAGAGCGAAGTCAAAAAGGGCCAGACCCCATGTGTGAACAGTCCTAAAAGGCGTTTGCGGCGTTTTCTTCTTTTCTTTTCTGGAGCTACATCTTGCACACACCTTGACGAAGAACAATCAAAAGTCTCACGACTGTCCTTACGGTCTAACTTTCCTTTCCTTTCCATTCACCGTTGTTTCACTCCTCACACAGCATTGAATATCGAACTCGCGCAAGCAGCACAATTCACGGGCACCATTCTTCTTTTTAGGCATGTCATATCATTTCAGGAGCATCTTCAAGGGCGGAACTTCTTCAAACCTACGGATAGGCGGGTTTCTCTTGGATGGAGCAAAGGGGCTGCTATTGGTTCTTCCGGATCCGGTAACATCTACCAGCATTTGGCCTGACAACAGCAGGGCTTTGACGGTATTTTGACCTGGATTTGGTCTGCTCTTTGGGTGGACTGGGGCCTTTTCTTCGACGTAGATAAGATAGTGGACCGATTTTACGACACCTGACGACTTTTATATCTCTTCACTATACAAATTTTCTCTCCTGACAGGAGACTTCAAGCTCTAAATCCTGTTTCACTGCCTCTCGCTTTCAATGTGAAAAACACAGAGAACTACCTCAGTATTGGCATTACTTCTTAACCGCCTCAGACTGGTTCTTCAGCGTGTGCCCTGAGGTGACCGACAAACAAGGCTGATTGAAGCGAATCACATGGCACCATCCAAAAATCCAGGCAGTGTTGAGGGATATAGATTGTATATTGCAGCTCTGTCCCGCTCTATAACATCAACAGAACCGATGCTCGATAGGTTTCTATCACACCATTCCTCAGTACTTCATGACAAAAGAGCCACCCCCTTCCAGTATTCTGACCCTAAAGCGCTGAACGCACACGCGCCAATACACGCTATATCCAGTAAATAAATACTTATTGTGTGTGCGCGCGCGTCTGAGGGAGAAAAAAAAAATTCTGTTTGTACAAGTTATCAGAGAATTACACCGGGGTATTTTTGGAACTCCCTTCTTCCAGCCTATCCTTCCTCCCTCTCGTGCTCCTCGTCCACACCATCGTGCGTGCCCACATGCTTCGTGGTCATGACGTATAAAAACAGTAATAGCATGCTTGCATGCCTCGCTATGTACAATGCTCTCTTTTCTCACAGATCTATCGTTCATTCCGCAAATGGTACCAGTCGTCTGTCACGGAAGCGAAACTTGGCCGTCTGAGTTCCGCCTACAGTGCCCTGGCCGACATCGATCGCCAGATTAACAAAGTCGATCGTGTTCCCATTTCCGATACTGACGTTTCTCGCCTGGTCAGGAGTCACCGAACTGCCCGTTCCCAAGTAGCTGTCGCTAGCGCTCGTGAAGAAACGCTGCATGGCATTCTGCGCCGACTCGGCATTCGAGAGGGTCTCTTCTTGGAGGACGAATAGGACCGCAACTCTAGCAAAATCCAAAATCTCCTCCGTGACCATGAAAGAATCAGTTGGGGTGCTCGTCGCGGTAGACGTTGTAGGCGTGATAGTAGTGGTGACTGTCGTCGTTGTAGTGGGTGGGATGCTGGTCTCTCCTGCCGGGTAGGAAATCGTGGTCCCAAAGACGGTAGAGAATGTGCCGGCACCATTGGCTGTCTGCAGGGCATCCCCAGACTTGTAGTAGGTGGGAACGTCAACCGTGACCGTGGTTGACTGCCCGGCCATAACCATGACAGTCACAATAGCCACGCCGTTGACAACGTTGACGCCACTGGCAGCGTTATTGGTGTTCTCGGGGTCGGTGACGATAGCATTTGCTGCGCCCTGTCGTGAGCTCTGCCCATCAAAGGTGACAAGCGCATTTTCCGCAACACAGCTCAAGTTGCCGGCGTTAAACTTTGCGAGGATCTGTGTGCCCGAGAGGGCGATTGAGAAATTAGTTGCCTGCTGCACGAGGCGTGGAATGGCGTTGCCGAGAGTGACATTATTGATATTAGTCTCGCCAGCCAGGTTGGCAGTGGTGCATCCGTCTGCGCCAGCGACGGTGCAATCAAAGCCAGTAAATCCATTGGTACATATACAGGAGCAGATGCCTTGGTTGACGACGTTTGTACCGCCATTGGCGCAAATCAGTTGATTCTGGCACTGCTCAAGCGCTGGTTGAGCGTCTTGACCAGCATTTTGCTTTCGAATAACGAAGAATTCCAAGGGAATGACCACTGCCGCAGCAATGATGATGAGTACAATAAGGACGATGAGCAAGAAGCCCCACAGTGGTAGGCCACAACATCGGCGACCCTGTTTCTTTGGTTCCTGTGACACGCTTGGCCGTCTCTCAATTTGCGAATTAGGCAAACTGCTCTGACTTCGGTTGAAGGCCGCTGGGAGCGGCCATGACCCTACTTGGTCACGAAGACTTTGACGGAAACTTCGCCGCTGATTTATTGGCTGCGCAGGAGGCGGGAAAGCAGCGAGCATATCAGACAGGCCTGATTGATGCTTCTCATATTCCGCTGTAATGTTGGTTAGCCTACTGTCAATTGCTTGCAAGGGGTTTGACTGACTAGAATATTCCTTTTCGCCGTCCCTCCCACCGTCGTACGCTCCAGGGAAGTCACTCAAATCATCGAACCGGCTTGCAGGTCGTTTTCCTCGTTCCAAGCTCGCTGCTAATCTCGTTGCTCGCCGGATCAGATCTGGCAGACTTGTCAAGCTCCCTCTTGATTCTGCCTTCCTCACTGCATCAATGTCCAGCTTGGGTGGTCTCCGGATGGCAGACAATCGACTATATGGCCTGCTTCCTGGAGGTTGAGGAGAAACAGACATCCTTCTGCTTGGGTTGGACGGATCGGAAGCGGTTGCCGCATCATAAGCACTGAGAATCGCATCGGCCGTCAAGGCTGCACCAACAGGTGTTCTCGTTGTGGGCACCGTTGAAGATGAGCTCGACGAAGCATCTAGGTAGCCAGTACCTTCGTTAAAGGGTCCCGTCTGCATGGGTGATGGGCCAGGCCGTGGTGGCATATCTCCTACTTCCAATGCCTTTGACGATGTCGTTGTCACGAGCGACGCCTTCCCCCTCTTGCCGATACTTGCGCTCCTAACCAGTCGGCTTTCGTCTCCTTCCTCATCGTAAGGGGATTGGGCGCTTTCATCTACCGTAGAATCGTCAAGATATCCCTCTGGATATTGCGGACTTGGCCCTGGTGATGGCGTGCCCCAGCTTTCGGGCATCGCAGCACTCGACGCGAAAGAGGCATGCGACCTCGACCGAGGGCTTTCTTCAGGAATAGGCGAGACGAACGACGCATTTGAGTAGAATGACGACGCGCCACGCCTCGCTGACGGTGGTGGACCAAGATTAACACTTCTCCTTGGAGGCGCTACCGGCGGAGGCGGAGGCATTTGCATTGGTAAAGGAAAATCTGGTATTGACGCAAGTGAAGACAGCGTAGATGGTCGAGACACTGAAGAAGGCGTTTCAGGAACCGCAGACAGGTTTCCGTCTGACTCTCGCACGTTTTGTGGCGTATATTGAAATGACGGAGTATGATCCTGTATCCTTGAGCCATCTAATATTGAAGGCACCCTACTCGGACGGGGCGGTCTCTGTGGCGGTTGTGATCGTCCTGGAGGTGGCCGGTACGGCTCTGAATCTGAGGAGTCCGCAGGAGACATCAAGGGTCCCGCCAAAGGCCATTGAGCGACAGGTGCCGGCCGTGAGATTGGAATGCCTATTTGACCATCCTTCGTCTGCAAGCCAGGTGGCGCCTGGAGTCGCGGTATTCTTGATTGCCCAGCACTTGAAGGGCCAGGCGGTGGCCGTCGTGGTATCGATTGCTGCGCTACCGAAGGTTGGTCCATTCCCTGCCGCTGCACAAAGGTCGAGAAGTCTTCCCTGGGCAGTCCAGCCTCAGCTCTTTCCCTAGCCCTCCTAATCGATCCTGCTGTCGACGGCCGATCCATATCTGCCCCATTTTGAAGTCGACTCATTGAGCCGTGGCCAACTCAACAGCTCTCGACGGGGCATATGAATGCTCCCGAGCTCTCCTCCTCCCTTTACCGGACCTCAAAGAGTTTGTTGCTACCTCAATTGCATATGCAAGATGCCGTCCCGACGCTAGACAAATCTGTCGCCTCGAGCTTTCCGACTTGTCGAGGGCACGAGGTGTGACGAATACGACGAAAATCTGCTCCGTAGCTTCCTTTGTGCTCCTTCGCAAACGTTGCACAAGTTCACTTCCGATAGGTAAACGACTGGACGGGTATCTTAAGAAGCAAGCAGATCAACTTTAAAGCAAAGGTTGTGAAACCTGCGCTCTCGGACAAACGACAAAAAAAGAAAAGAGAGCACTCTATTTTGATGCTGACAAACGAAGAAGAGAACGGCCGGCTGGTTCAACCTGATCAACGATAGTGAATGAAAGCTGAGAAGATTAATCAAGATCCAAGGGTATGGGCAGCGCGAATCCCAAGGATTAGAGAGTCTGTGGAGAGGGAAAGGCGTATGTCAGCTTGGTTTCGGCTTGCAAGTGGCGTATATGGAACAAAGAGGATGGACGACAAGCCCAAGATGCCTTGTTAGGGAGACGGTCTGCGTGGGCCGAAGTCCCAGGACCAAGCTGCCTATTCAGTAGCAACCGTGCAAGGCAGGACGGGGCCTTGGGAGGGTCGCTTCGACCAAGGCCAAGTCCGTACAAGGGACTCTTGAACAGCCGGGTCGCAGGTAGGGGGAGCCAGAAAGGAGATCACGTACGCTTGGTGTTTCGAACGCTTGGCACCAGGACCAGTTTCTGCGGCGTGTGCATGCACAGACCACGGGCAGATGCTCCGGTCTACCAGAACGGTGCACAAAGTCTCCCAGGAGGTCTGGTGAGAGTGTCGAGCAAGTGAAGAGGCGGAAGCGCAAACGAAGCCGATGCAGCAGCGCTTCTGCTGTCGCAATTGCCTGAAAAGCGCAGCACAACTAGCAGTTTCTCAACGGAGGGAAGAAAACGAAAGACAAAAAAAGAGTCTCGGACGGGGGAGGCGGAACAGGACAGGCGTTGCTGGTGTGGTACGACCCGATGGTGTTGCTCAGAATTCGGGAGGTGTTTCAGGTCTGCGGGACAGTCAAGGCCTAGCCGTGTGGACAGCAGGACCCCTTGGTCAACGTCTGAAGAGGTAGGAGATCAAGAGGAAATCAGGCACACGCTTGCAGGCGTTCGCACGATGATGAGCAGAAAACTGGCAAATCGTGCGGGTTCGGTCGACGTCTGTTTGCGCACTTGTCGGCGAAATCCCAAAGTGGCAGTCCGGATAATGTTTGTGTTGCTGGTCTCCGGGTAGAGCCTCTGAGTGAGGTCGTTTGCGTGGGTTGCTACCAAAAAAGAAAGGACGGCGATGTCTTCAAGACCGCTCGAAAAGCCAGGTTCCGGAACGAGAGACAAAAGAAGGTTGAGACTTGCAATCAATTCGCTCGGGACGGCAGAGGAGGAGAAAGTGGTGTCGTCGTCAAGCAGCCGGCGCGGGAAAAGCGAGAGAGCCCAGGACGCTTACACTACGGGGGAGAGCGAAAGAGAGACAGGAAGAACAAATGTTAGCAAGCCCCCGGGTCCCGGGTGGTGGGCAGAAGAAGACAAGGCCAAACAGCAGTGGTGACAGGGGGCTTGTTAGTGCAAGAGCTCGGCTTTCACTAACACGAGGCCACTGCCATGGCAGGCCACAATGTCACGTTCAGGCGACGTGAGAGAAGGAGGAGAGCGAGCCGGGTAGAGTGGAAATGAGGCAGGCGATCAGTGCATCTGCCACGGGTTGTGCACTTTACGATAGATTGAACAGCGACGCTAAAGGTGGAGGAAGGAGAAGACCACTATGTACGCTGAACTGACCAGGTTCAAGGGGGCGCCGGGGGAGCTTTCGTCGCTGTTGTAATCCTTGCTCAACGTCCCTGTCCCTGTCTGTCGCAAGAAAACACGAAAGCCCCGTTGCCAGCGGGCTTACTTATTAGTACAGTACGTGACGGCAATTTAGTCACATCGAGAGTCGAGATCGAGAGGTGCAAGGCGACGGGCACTCATCACCTCTGCTCGAGTATCATCTGATCCGATGCGCTGGGCGGGCGGACTCGCTTGGTCGAATGTGAGAGGCCTGCAGCTCTTCGATCGCCAGCCAGGTTCCAGTTTCTCTGGTCTTTGGGGAATAGCAGCTGCCTGTTGGTGAGTTAAGACAAACGTTGAGGTCGACGGGAGTAAGGAAGCATAGCGTCATCGTGTCTCAGAGCGCTTGACTTCATCGGTCTTTGGCCGTGTGAATGGCTGTCTTTTTCCAGCAGGCGCGAATCTCTCTCGTGGCGCGCATCGCCTGGATGAGGAAGGGATAGTCTATGAAATTGATATTTTTGGGCAGTCACAGCTTGAAATGAGCGAGTGACATCTCAAGCAGCCTCCAGGGGCCACCAGCAGGCCTTTGCGGCGGTCGCGTACTGTGGATGCAAGATGCAAGATGCAGGATGCAAGGTACCAGACAGTCCAATACGTACACCTCTTGTTGAGGAGGAAGGAAAAGGAGCTTGCCATTCGTCATTCGTTCTTTCCTGCCCAGACACTTACAGGTGTGCAAGGTGCAAGGTGCACCTGCAGCCAACCCATAAAATGGAGCAAGAGAAAGAGCAATCGATTCGAAAAGTGCGTCTTGAGGCCGAGGCCGCCATACGAATCAACAAATGAAAATTCGACAATAGGAACAGAAAGCCCAGGAGTGCCTAAGAAGACTAACGTTAGCATCTCAGACCCCTGCGTCGAATCACTCGGTGGCTTGGGCTAGCATCGCTCGCATGGCCCCCGGTGGTGACAAGGGGAACTGGAAACACTAGCGCAATGAGCCAACAGAGTTGCAAACGTTACCTTAACAGTATTTTGGTCTGGTGTGGACCCCCCTTTTCCAGACACAACGGCTCCCCGTCCTTACTATTATTCTCCGACACTAACATTCTCGCCATACTACGAATAATACGCTGTTGCGCTGTACACGAAGTGCTGGCCGGATGGGGAATCCATGCTGATATTACAAGGACCCTCCTCAATAAAATCAAAGCCGCCAACACGGCGCCTTTCCTCCAATTTCAAAAGCATCGCGTCGTAATCACAGCAGCCGCGCAAGAACCGCGCAACTGTTCACCACTGGCAGTTTGAGATGTGAGTACTGAGTACATGTGCATCTGTTGCCTGAGAAATCAACCGTATGGACTGGTCTAGTTTCCGTGGATGAATGGGTAAATCCCCACATCCTGCAGAGAGACGGATGGACCAAGATGAAACGGAACAAGGAACCAGATGGTTGACGTGAGGTTGCAGCGCTATGGTCCAAGTCAATTTCCTACTGGGCTTATTGCCGAGCACTGTTCAGTACAGCGGTGTACTGCACGTGTACAGAAGAGTACAATCTCAGCCGTTGGGACCAATCATTTAGTCTTGATCGTAGGTGTCTTACCATCGTTCGACCGTTTGGACTGGACTGGATGGTGCAACCCATCGAGCCATCCAAGCCAAAGTCGACGACGCCTTGACACACGCGCAGACGCAGGACCTGTAACATCTGACAGACTGCATTCCCACTTGGAGGTTCAAAGCGCCGATAACGATCCCACCCTTTAACTCTTCGGTATCAATGATATCGACGACTGAGAAATCTCCGTCCTTCCCCCCTGCCCTCGAAAACCCTCCTGCTCGTTCGAGATCGGGTTTAATTACTGGAGAGCAAGCAATCCAGGAAAACAAATCTCGTCCCACGGTCTTCGAAATTGCTTCCAGAGAGCTTCCTAGCCCGGACCTTGCAAATCATCAACTTTGCTGTCGAGTGGATCCTAAAATAAGCTCAGCTAATCTCCCTCTTACACGCGACATCCATTCCCTCGAAAGACATTTTTCCACGCATGGTGGCTTGACCCCATTCTCCGTGTTTCAGCTTGAAAGTTGGACAGCAGGGCTCGTTCCGAGAGCCGAGACACACTCTAGCTATCACGTGTGTCCAAGAACTATGGCCCTTTCTCTTAGGACGCTTAGCCTGTTTGGCAGTGCCTTAGGCTAAGTGAAGAGATCTTTTCTGAAGACGAGCTGGCTTGCATTACATCGCCGTGAAGACACCGAGATGGGAAGCCGAAACGACCCGGGCCATGATATGTCGCTGCTGAAGTCTGCAGTCTGCGTGAGCCGGTATCAGATGTCTCAGGAGAAGCCCGTCGGTTTGGCAAACCCAAAGCTAGCATGACGCCCTCTACCGTCTTACTCGAACAACCAAGTCTCGAGCCAATGTGGATCTTTTGTTTCTTCTTATCACAGCAACGCGTCAGACGAAACAGATGAGACTTGAAAATGAGCCCATGGTCAACGAAGCTCTGGCTGAAGAGGCATTGGTGGGCCGACTACGAGACCGGACGACGGATAGACGACGGATAGACGACGGATAGACGACGGATAGACGACGGATAGACGACGTCTTTTTGGATTGTGGTACAAAGTTGCTTCTACAGCCTATATGTAACAAGCAAAAGCAAGCGCAGTTGCGATTTGAACGTTCTTGGACGTACGCTCTGTCTTGATCAGCCTACTGGCCCTTCTGAGTGACGAGCTCCTCTTCACATCAGAATATCCGACTATAATCGCACATCATGATGCTTGCAGGCGGGCTATCAGCTTACTGCGTACATGCAGACGAGCTGAAGCAAAGCGTGTGTGCTTGTGAGTTCAGAATCCAGGTGCATCGTGCCACAGATCTTCATATGAGAAGCAGATGGTGGTGCAGGTGATCTACAAACTGCATGATCTTCGCGATTCGAAGGCGAGCCGCCTCGTCTCAGCATCTTCGACATTGCCGTGTGTCAAAAGTAAGCGTCAAGAGATCGCGATCTGATCGACCATATTCTCGAATGTCGCTTCGCCAATTGAAGTCTCTAGGATATCGGCCAAGTCCCGGCTTGAGCACCAGTAAGGAGTGTTTACGCACAGATGTGTCCATGCAATTCAGATTTTATGTTACAGGTGAGTATTATAGACGGCATTGAAATTCCAACATTGCAGACGACAATGCAGCAGGTATGAAAAGAAAGAAAGCAAAATCCATCATCATTATCATTAGGGTATCATCAAGTTAGAACAATAAACCGACTCTTCAAAATCAGACACAAGGTTCAACTCCTCCCCCATCGCCATCCCTTGCCTTCCTTCTCAGTCTTCCGTCGTTCCATCTCCTTTTGCTCCGCCTCCCACTCGCTCAAGTTCTGCACCATCACCCATGACAGCCATCTAATCCTAAACTTCTCACCCTTCCCTTCCTTCAACTTCTTCCCTTTAAGGTGCTTCTTCCACGCCCTCTTCCTCCCACGCCGCGCCTCCTTGTCCGCTTGCCACGTCTTGCGCCGCACCTGCCACGCTCCAAACCGGTTCAACAGCCCCGTCGCCCGGTCCGGCGCCGGCAGCCCCTCAAACTCCAGCTCGGCGGCCCACTGCCTCATGGCCAGAACATTGCGCTCCTGTGCGCTCAAAGCGAGCGTCTCCTGGCCCAGCGGGGCCATCAGCGGCTCACCAGGGGCGATGTCCAGCACCGCGCGCATCTGCTTCGTGCTGACCACCCGCGCGTGCAGGCCTCGCGGGTGGAACAGCATGGCGTTGACGAGGGCCAGATACTTCTTGCGGCGGCTGCGCGCGATCGCCCATGCCGTGAGCGCCGCGAGCAGCGCAAGGCCGCCCGAGATGCCGTCTGCACCGTCCGCGGGCACGAAGGCTACGCCGAAGGCGAGCATCTCGAGGATGCGTGCGGCGGGGTGCGGCGCGCAGACGACGTTGAGGTTGTCGAGGAACGAGAGGAAGTCGTGCTGCGAGATGTCGTAGGCTTGTAGGCTGGGTGCCCAGGCCCGAGCGAAGGGAATGTTCGGTCCGGGGTTGAGCCGTGGGATCAGGATTGGCTTGTCAAGTAGTGAGTAGCTCCCAGCGACGGGCTGCGCTGCTGTGAGGAAGGCAGTCGCTCTGTCCAGGAGTGTTTGTTCTGCGATGATCTCGGCTTGCTTCTCGTCGGCGCCAGTGGCTTTCTCTGCCAGAGCGGCGTACTGTAACGGACCATCTTGGACGGCAACATCGTATGATGGAAGTTCGACGTGGTTATCGTTCGTAGATGATTCAAGACCAAGTGCATTCAGTTGTCGGTCTAGCGAGTCAATAGTGCTGGCTCGTGACGGTCCAGCAGGTGAGAGATCAACTCCAAGAGGTAAGGTTGTGGCTGCCATATTCGCTATGGTAGATGTTCTCAAGGCGTCGTGGGTTTGCTTTCACATGGCTAAAGCTTGCTCAGAGTGCAAGCAAAGGAGGCAGACAAGCGTCAACTATATAGACACTTCATTTACGCTATCAAACCCCTCGGTGAAGCCAGGTTCATATAATCAGTTTCCATCTCAATAAACCAGAACGTCCAACACCCAGAAAATAAGATGGAACAACGTCAGTCCATCTTCTAAGTGACTTACACAGCACTGGTTGGTCAATGGTGGAGGCGCAGCTGCGGGAGCGGGGCACCTTTAGAGCTCAGTCGGTCGCTAAAGGGGGAATGCTGCAGGTGTGGCTTGCTGGTCCGGGCACTATTCGATAGGCCAATCCCACCTCGATGAAGCTTCACGTTCCAGCGTCGTCCATTCAGTGTGAAAGGGAACGCGCGTTTTGCATCATTTATGGTGTTCACAGCCTCAGCCTCGTCTGTGATGAGTTTGATGAAGTCGTTGTAAGCTCGCGGTGGACGAGTTGAGGTTGTGAGGGTGTGAATAGTCTTCACTTGAAGTGCAATCTGAGAAGAAACCAGCCATGTGACCAACTAAACAACAAATCAATAACCCTACCTTTTTCAAATACTTCATCTTATAAGAGATTCTGAATTGCAGGGAGTCAGAGGACAGCAGACTTGAGGTATGCAATTAACCGAAGCACAGGACAGTTTGCATCAGCAGTGGGTTCAGTCGATATCGCTGCTATAGTCTATCCTGTGTAAGTGGAAGAGATGCTTCATGCTCAGAGGATGCCAATTCCATATTAAGAACCTTGAGCGACTCAAGATCGGAAACTGCGGTTGGAAAGCCAGATTATCGAGCGCTGGTTATAGTGAATTCGAGCTTCCACCAATATCTTACCTCATCTCATTGAGAGCTTTTGATACAAAACGAGCGTAACCTCGTTCGACGTACCCATATCTTAGCTCCAGCAGGATAGAGGTACCTCGGATATTGTATATCCTACCTTTAATCTAGCACTACTCTGGTGAGAGGCCACGATTTTGGGCATCCCAAACGGGCGCTGTTTACCCACGGCTATTAGATTCTTGACTACTTCAGGGACGTGGCTCACTAGCAGCATCAATCAATCATCGCACCGTAGTAGGAAAGCCCGTGAGAAACCTTCATAGCGTTTCTTTCCCCGAATTCAAGCAATTTGGATACTTCACTTTGCCGAAAGCAAGATTGACGCGCATTGGCTATGTCGGATGACGTGAAGTTCAAAACCTACTTACTCGACAACTTATCGACGCGGAGATGCAGTTTCGGAGTGACATAGGATTTTGCATGGATTCGAATAAGGCATGAGTCGAGGGAGAAGTCATTGAATGGCCGACAAGTCATGAGTGCGACGTTGAGTGACCTGGCCAAGCATGGACGCGACAAAGCAGCGCATGTGTGTAACCACTGGATAAGATTTTTGACAGAGCCAATAATCGAGACGAGAACTGGTACAGGGTTGACGTCTGCAGCCTGCCTGGCGGCTTGTGGCATCTTACACCGCCGTGTTGACCGCGTCCTTCAGATTTTGGACACAGCCCATAGAGAATCAGTACCTTCTATGTAGTAAAATCCATGGATGCCTCAGACAATAGCCCCAGGGCTGCTGCTTCTTGAGTATTCGACCGCAACACGACCCTTCTTTTCTAACCTCGAGATTGAAATATCTGCTCTTCAACCGGACATCTCTTCTCATATGGGTAGACTGCAAACTTCTTGATCGACCATTTCATTTCATAACGAAATAATATATACTCAACTCCCTTGAATTGGGCCGAGCCTCGTGGTAAATTGCAATCATCCATCGTGCATAATGGACCTGAACTGGGAGAGAGCGCTGGCCGCTTCGGTGACAGATCTTACTGGATGAAGATTACACAGACCAGAAAGAATGATGCATTGAGTTACCGTCTTGGAAGAGTCATGATTAAAATAGGAATTGTGCAATCATCTTGATGAGCAATATCCATGCTGAGGTCCATCTTCAATGCCTGAGGCATCGATTACGTCGACCTCTTAGAGAGTCCAGCGGATCACGGCAACGCTAACGCCACCCGTAGGACTGCGGGTTACGTGGAGTGGCAGTGATGATTTAGAGTGGGCGGGCGGGAATCCCACCACAGGGAGCGTGTAAGACAGCGACACCTCATCGCCTCAACCATCCATCTCCTTCTTCATCCTACATACAATCTTCTATCAACTTTCAACTTACGATTTCAACACATTCCATCACGATTTCGACCTTACACCGACATTCCTTTGATTTCCTAACTCTGACTGATAAAATCCGATACATCCGCCCAGCAACATGTTGCTGAAGCCCCTCACCATCGCCGCGGCTGGTCTCGCGGCGACCACGCAGGCATTCTTACTGCCTCCTGAGATCAGCGCAGCCGACATCGATATTATCGAGACACTTCCTATCGCAGCACCTACGACCGCAGAGAGTCAGGTTCTGAAGCTAGACTGCCCCAACTGCCCTCCTCTCTTCAAATTCCACCACGGTGTCGCCAAGGTGCGGAATGGCCCAAGCCACCTCGAGCTGGCCTTCACCGTCGACCACGAGCACAACGCCGACCGCCTGCTGCTCAACGGCTTCGAACTCTTCCCCAACTCAGACCCGTTCAACAATGTCTTGACCGCAGCCCAGGTTCCGGACGCTCCGGAGTCTAAGAAGCACAGAAAAGAGCACAAGGACAAGGAGGGCAAGGCTCTCCAGAGCCATCACAAATGGCGACCACACAACAAGCCCCAGAACATCGAGCAGCCTCTGGGCTTCAGCCTCGGGGTCCGCCCGGTTGCGAAGTCACCGCAGAGCGAGGATGATCAGCTGGAGTTCATTTCCATCGACCTGCAGATCATCGAGGTCGGCAACTCTTTCGTGGACGACATCCCGAACATTCACATCAGCCTGCTCCGGGCTCCCGGTGAGAAGCTGATGATTGGCAATATCGAGACCACCGACTCTCAGTCTCCCAGCAACCCGATGGACAAGCAGGAGGAGTGCACGACATTCATCTGCAAGTGGAAGGCGATCCTCGCTGATCACGTCAAGCCCAAGAAGCACTGTGGTGGCATGAAGGGCCACCATCACCACCAGGGCGCGCCCATGTACCGCCATCGCACTCACAGCTGGGGCAAGCTTTTCCAAAAGCTGACCCACCATATCGTGATTCCCGTCCTCGTGGGCATCGTTGCCGGCGTCAGCGTCAGCATGTAAGTTGTTTCCTCATCACCATTCAGCCTAGACATTGACTAATTCTCGCCAGTATCGGTATGATCGTTGGCACCCTCGTGGTTGGTCTCTGGCGCAAGTTCGTCCGTGGCCAGTCCTTCTTTGTCCATGGTCACTGCCGCCGTCATGCCCGTCACGCCGAGCACAAGGCTGCTCACAAGGAGGCGGTTGTCGAGGAGGAGAAGTCTGGCTTGATGGAGCATCAAGACCCACCTCCGTCATACGAGGATGAGGAGACTAAGATTGATGCTTAAACTTGTTCAGTCACAATCAATGTATACCTCATTTCAACATCAAAATGGTTTGCCCAGGAAGATGGCCTTCCATTTACCACTATGTTTAGAGAATAAGTTATCACCGGCGTTTCTTTGGAAGACACAATCAGGCATTGTCGAAGACGAGGCGCGGAGAGGGAAGGAAAGGATCCCTAAACTTTTTTCTTGTGCTTCTAGCTTTCTGGTATGTACCGAGTACCTACAGTAGGTAGTTCAATGTCCACACTCTTTTGACTCAAAAAAGAGGCAATTCCAGATCCCCCAGTGCACGGTTGACTGCAAATCGTGATGAAAACTAGATGGTATATGGCTATTACGATAAAGTGTTTTGTACCGGTTTGATCTATTATCAAGATGCCTCTGGTTTTACCTCTGCTCCCTACTTGGTGGTAGGTAGGACAATTGAGTTTCCGGTGAAAGCGCATAATGAAAGTGCATCCTAGGAACCGGAATATCAAATGAGCAGCATCTACACTAGTGAGGCTCTGGCTGTCTTCAATATGTGAAAGCAAAAGAGATTGCCATTTGCCAGATGCGACACAACTCCTTCAACAGGACCTTCCCTTCGCCCCTAGCCTAGACCATTGAACAGCAGAGAAATTATGCCTACAGAATCAGCCCTCGCCTCCCGCGTTTAAACTTGCGGTCAAGTGTTGGTTGGCAGTCGCTGCGAATCAAAATGGTGGAGGCTGTGCAATGCATACGGGCGCCCAACCTCTTGATGCCAGCCCCCAGGCACAAATGGCATCTCGAAAACTTAACTTCAACGATGCCTCTTCTCACTCTGGTATGCGAATGCAAATCTGAGTTTTGATCTCTGACGACTTTGTCTGCTCTTTTTGATCTTTATTTTATATTTGATATTTATGATAAATGTCAGACAGAATCCATTCTATACCATTTTGACACAGCTGCTCAATCAGCATCAACAAGGCTGGCCCTCGTCAGTCTCTTCGGGTACAATCTTCTCTATCTGTACCAACAAACCAATACTCTAACTTTCATCAGCTCCCACAGTGACAAGTAAGAAAGATGGACACTACGCAAAATGAGAACATCTCACGATGGAAAGACAGCCTTGGATTGAACGAAGAAGCTGATCGTGAAGATGGGCATATTGTTCAGCCCTCGCAGAAGCCGAGGGATCTCAAAGACGAGCAAACACTGGAGGCGGGTTTGACCTTCGATGAATATTGGGCATCAGCTCCAACGTCCTTATTCCCACCTCCGTTCCCTGACAGCTCTTCGCGTCGGAATTCTCTCACAACCTTCCACGGACTCGGGGATTTTGTAACTCCTGAAAATGACTTGACTTTCAGTGACCTGGAAATGAGTTGGCCTGCTTCTCTAAATAATGGCCCGACATTTTCGTTCGACAATGAAAGTGCAAACATCAAAGACCCCAAAATCTCAAGCCAATCTGTACCCTGGGTCTCTCACGTTCTATCCTCTCTATCTACAGGCGTCGAAGAAAGCATTTCGAATCGAGTGCCCCCTGGAGAAGCAGCGCCTTGGGACAAATCTACATCTTCCTCCTTAAAAAGGCGGGGCAAAAGGCCCCTCAAATATGAGGACAGAAGACAAACCGGACAAACTCGAAGCGTTGGTGCTTGTAGTAAGTTCTCAAGATATCTTCCATACCGATGGACTACGTAAGCCTAACAGGAGTCAAAGTACGATGCCGGGAGCACAAAATAAGATGTTTACCCGACCCAAGGGATGTTGCTGGTGACTGTCTCCCTTGCAAGCATTGGTCTTCTTTTCCATGTACACGGATTTCTAAGGGATCAACGGGTGCACCATCAACGATATCACTCGATAGACCTCCTCCGGCCATCTCCGATTCCGGCTATGGATCTATTATTCCTGGCTCCTGTGATCTTTCAAAGGACACTTCAGATTCCAAGCATATTGCTCCACATAGCAAGCCTCCCGACGAGCAAAATCATGATCTCATAGCGGGTTCACAGCATAATCAAGGCTTGTCGGATAATTTTGACCATGGCACAGTTTATTCAGATAATGAGAGTGAAGCTGGGGGGAGTCGAACACGAAGATACATCAATGAATTTGCTGAATATCTCTTCACTCAAATCCGTCAGCAGCTGGATGATGCGAACATCACACATATAGCAGAAGCACTTCCTGACTTACTCAAGATCTTCTCCATAAAACTGGGGTATGCCGTATCGACCCAAGAAGGCCGTACTGTGATGTATTTCGTGCATAAGTATCGAAAGTAGGCTTTCCATGTTCCAAATTCGATCTATCTCGTATTTACAAAACTAATGCATGCATTGCTAGTACTATCACCCAACGCCTCGTGGAAAGTTATCAAGGTGACGATGGGCCACCAGAACGCACCAAGTCTAATAACGACGGTATGAGCCTCGAAGATAAAATCAACTTATGGAGGCAGAGGTTGGGGGCTGATATCACGACCCAACCGGAAAGCTTTGATGGGATTTCAGAGGAAGATGAGGAAGACATGAGCAGTTTTCAATACCTTGATCTCATAATCGGCAGCACCGCGTCTAAATGGCTTCTGGGACGTCTCAACCAACAACTGCAGTCGGTGAACTCCGCAACAGCTATGTGCGGAATTAAGACATGTATCCTAGCAAACTTGCCGCAATGCCGCAAGATGAGCAGACGAACTGTACCCAGTAGTATCGATACAATGTTTTGCCTTAGGCTGGATCTTGATGCTTATATGAAGGAAAAAGGGTTCTCCGAACCTCCGAGCGAAATCCTTCCCAAGATCCTATGTCTCACCGGATCGATGAAAGATGCCCAAGCGATGACTATTAAACAATACATGTGTCAAACATGGCCAACAACGGGGCTGGAAATGATATCTATTATTCAAAACACACTACAGCGCAGTGCAAATGGATCCTCCCGCATCACACGTAAGTTTCGGTTCTGAATATTTTATATTGCTCACTCAGGCTGATTTGTTAGGCGTTCTTCCTGACAAAACCAGAATCGAAGCTTATTTGCCCAACAAAGAGTTAATTCTTCGGGCTATTGGCACGTCCTACTCTATCGCTGAGATTGGGGAGCAGTTGGGGTGGCTAGCATCCTCACTCAGGACTGTCCCTCTCTCGACTACAAATCACAGCATCCCACATACTTGCACCCCGAGCATCTCGCTAAGGGCCACGACTGATCTTTCGTTGGGTCAAGAGCAAGAGCATATACTTTACGTGTTTGGGTATGATATTGAGACGGAAACAATAGCCAGAGGAGGAGACATGGGCCTCCCTAACGGCCAATGTTGGCAATCACTCTTTCACAACCCGTCTATCGTCTTAGGGTACCCGATCGCCTGTCGACCAACACTTGAATCCGGCCTCGGACTTGAGATTCCTCTCGATATACTTATTGCGTTAGCCGATGCGTCTTCTATAACCTCCTTTCACGACAAGGCACTAATCAAAGGCTATTCGACAATGTTAATTCCCGTTCGCCAAGTTGACAACATGATAATATGGCACCTACTGCACAACGAAGATGGCAGCCGCATTTCGTATATTGACTCTCGTGCGGCTGATCTCACACACATCGACCCTTTGAATCTCGAGACATGTAGACACATCCTCGGGTGGTGCTCCCGTGCCAGAAGTTTTGTTGGTGAGAATGACCTCAATTTGCTGAAGAGTTGCGATTTTAACGGAATTTTAGGCGCCCCGGATGCAAATTACGACATCAAATGGTCTGGTCTTGGAAAGCCATCCGTTCGGCACGCTTGGGAGAAAATTACCATATCGGGAGGTAGTTTTGTCAACATCAACTCGGAATTCGTCATCGGAAAAAAGGAAAAGCCGATTTGCTCTAATATTCATAACGGCTACAAGTCGAGATTGAAGTTCATTGCGCAGCAATACGTCCTCCTATACGACGTGAATGATCGTCGTGCTTGGCTGGTCGATGGTCTCAGTGCATTACTTCACCTCGTGCGTGCCTCTCTTGAGCATGATGAGAAAGACGTTTTCAACGAGCACTTCCTGTATAAACAGGGTCAGTTACAAGAGGGCGCGGCGAACCGAGATGGCATGAGAGCAGCCATGGACGTTTTACTTCGCCCGGAGAACTGTGCAGTCCGATTATATGCCGATGACGTAGAAATATGGGAAGAAGAAACAATACAGAAGGTGGGCGCTGTTGCAAAGGAGAGCGAAGTGGTTCTCCGAAAGAAAACGACATTTTATTACTTCAAGGATAGAGTCTTGGAGATTTTTGCAATTCTCGAAAAGATGATCGACCATCTCAACTACACAACTTCAGAAAATGGCGTGGGATTCCGGCTCGCTGGCATGCCGAAAAACGTTCTTGAAGGGTTTGACTTCATGGATGTAGCTACTCAAAAAACCCCTATCCGACCGCACATGGTGACACTCAGTCTTAGCGAATCAGGCTGTGGCTGGACAGACCTCGCGCGATCACTTCACGCAGTCACTCTGTTCGGCAAAGGATTTGGCGATCTGATCCAACCTGTGACTGATGGGTGTCAGAGGTCCTGTGAAGACTGCGGGTACGGTAGTCAACTTCCTCCTGGCAAGGAATACCTTGGCGTTTCCGTCAGCCTCCTCGAACAAATCCTGGCAACTCGTGGCAGTACAGAGACAAATCCTTGGCGTCTGGTAGATGACATATACTGGCATACACCGGGTGCGATCTTTGAGGCATGTCAATGCTCAAATCATGCTGCTTATTCAAGTCGAAAAGCCAGAAATCGAGCTCAAGTCCTTCTATCTACCAAATATCCAAAGCTATGGGCCAGAACATTCGCTAGCCTAAAAGGGCTGAAAAGCGACGGAGCTGTCATGTTCTGCCATAACTGGAAATTTCCCCTGAGGTGGGGTCACCAGCCTCCGGCGGAGGGACTCAGCATCGAGTACGATTGCTCGGAGCCGAATGATCAAGCATCTGAGGAGAAAAGCACGGCTATCTCATCGACATCGGGTGATGACTCAACTGACAAGAATCCATCAGCAGAGCTCTCTAATAGCTCTACGGAGATAAATATCAGTCAAACCCCGCCTTCGACAATTGCTTCAAGCCTCATGTCGAGCGACTACGGTGCTTTGCAATCATCTCAGAGCGGCTCATCTAGTGGACCGCCTTTGACGATTGAAACGATGAATCGAAAACGAAAGGCAGAATCGGGTGTGCTGGCCAAGATCAAGTCCAAGATCGCACGCCTGGATCACGATTCGACGAAGGAGGCTACGAAAGGAAAGGGGGTAAACGCTGGCTTGTGAGACGCTGTTTATTTTGGCATGTTTGGATGTTTAAGAATACGATATACAACTTAGGTGTTCACTACTTGCTACTGTAACGAATATGGTGATTGCAGAACAGATCCACGATGACATGTTCCATTGCTTCCAGATTCGACGAGTCCCGGGTATCAAACTGCACAATATATCTGCGTAATATAACAACAAGCTCCGTATTTACTCACTCTGGCCCTCCCAAACTGCCTCGACAATGCTCATGCGGCAGCCTTTTGGTCGCATCACGCCCTATAATGATCATCAGCTATTATATCTCCGGTAAAAAGTCATCTGTCCAAACATACCTTGAATACAAAACCGTCACTAGCAGCCTTGAATAGCTCGCGGTACTCTGCCTCAGTACGCTCTTGCGCATTGAGCAGCGCCAACATCACCATATCCATACGACGGATGAGCTTTTCATCCCACGGATTCTCAGCGCCTGGCTCCCGCAAGCAATGGTCGTTGATGATGATCCGTGCTCCGGGCTTCAGGGCAGGAATGAGATTCTTCAGGATCTTAATGGCGAATGGAGTCGAGTAGTTGTGAATGATCCATCGGAAGAAGTAGACTGTATATAAATGGTCAATAAGCTCCCCCAAGATTGCCGACGGATTATATGTCATCACTTACCATCGGCACCCTTCACTACCTGCGGCGTGAAGAAATCATACGCCTGGAGCTCAATCCGCTCAGCAATCTGCGAATCCTCGTGGATCGGCTTGGAGATGCTGTCGATGGTCTTGGGAAGATCCTGCACGACGAATTTCATATTCTTGTACTTCTTCGCCAGGTCAACGCACACAAAACCCACACTACCACCGACATCGACGAACGTACCGCCCGCTTCGTCAATGGCCGTGAAGTCATATCCGCCGCCTTCCACATCAGTCAGATACGAGACCTCGTAGCCCTCTCCGCCCGTCAGACTCGTCATCGCCAGGCCCATTCTCTTGGCCCGGACGGGATCCTTGCCGAATGTCACGAACATCGGCTCTTTGTCGACGGTGTCAAACGCAAACTGGAAGCCTGCCTGCTTCAGGTCCGTGGCCTCGGGATACTTCTTGAGGGCCTGCAGCACATGCGCAGCGGCAGGGAAGATGTCTTCGGTGTTGAAACCCACCCATCCCTGCAGATTGGGATCCTCGGCGAGGACGCGAGAGGCGGCTGTGTGTGCGATGACGCCGGGCGACGGTTCACAGAAGATACCGTTTGTCATGGTCATGCGGATGACGCGGGCTAAGTTGACGGGATCGAGTGAACTCTTGGACTGGAGCTCTGACAGAGTGATTGTGCCATCAATAGGAACGAGCTTTGCAATTCCGTAGCTGTTGACAACCTGGATGGCTAACACGTCTAGGAAACCCCAGATTCCCCATCTGACACTTTCTCTCGGGCCCACAGCCAGTTCCCTCAACTGTCCCGTCGCGTGAATGATCTCTTGGCGACTAACGTGCACATCTGCCGGTAGCTTCGGAAAGTCGCTCGGGGCGTTGACATCAAAGCTCGGCTCGGGGATGTTGTTGTCTTTCATGTACTTTTCCAGCTTCTCAGCCTCGGCCACGATCTTCCGCGCCAGCTTCACCATCTCAGAAGTTGACTGAGTCGGTACACTCTCGGAAACCTCCGAGGTGGAAGCAGACTGTCTCGTCTCGCCATCCACTGCTTCTTCCTTGTTCTTCACGGGCGAGGCCATTGACATTGAGAAGGGTCGACGGCCCTGCTTCTTTGCTTCTGCGACTCGCTCCGTGTCGGGCGAGTCCGAGCTGGGGCGCTTCCAGGAAGCCCATTTGAATTTGCCCATTTTGTCTTGATGGTGACGGGGGTTGATGTATGAGACTAAGGCTTTGTTATATTCCTAGGACAGGAAAGCAACGCCAAGAGATTAAGACTTCTTGATAGTATTTGAGAGTACCAAGAGATTTGAGTGCCTTCTTATCCTGTCTTGCGTCGCCTAGCGCGCAAATGTCAAAATGAATGCCGATAACAAGAAATCACCTTACGGATTTGAAAGGAGCGCTACGCATGCATCAACTGTGGCATTGATCAGCAGCAGATTCCGTGGGCTCCGTGTAGGATGCTCATCACCTTGTGTAGCAATTTGGCGGTTCCTTTGCGACTTCAGCAATTTATCAACGATGCAACCACTGAAACAATGCACCAATTGATTCCCGAATCGCAGAAAAGTTGATGGAAACAAACGAGTATTGACAGACGGATGAACGTTGAGAAAGCAGCTGCACGAGAGGGAGCTCGAGTGGATCAAGAACCCGTTATAAGGTCCGGCCCGAGGCCACGGGTCTGATAAGAGAACATGAATCGCTGCGCAGTAGCCTGTCTCGCAGGGGAATAGCTCGGCCGCCGTGGTGGAGAAATAGCGCATTGGAATGGAATCACCTAGGAGCAGGTAGCTTCGGTAGAGAGGGAGCTAGAGTCGACCTAGCAGTGTCTGGGCATCGCATGGTTTGAACTCAAGCCTGTGCCGTCCGTCTTCCCCGCTCGTCGTTGATTCCTTCTGGGACATACAGTGCCAAAGGCGTAGGGAAATACCCAGGTAGGGAGGAAGCGAGGATTTGGTTAGAGCTACGCCGTTATTGGAAGTTCAAAGCCGTCTGCTTCTTGCTCGCATGCGCCATGGCGGAGGATGGATTGGATGCGGTGAAGATTCGAAAAGCCACGAACCCTGGATTGAGCTTCGAAGCCAAGGCCGAAGCTGATAAAAAGAAGAACGTGGCCCGCGTGTTCTTCACCGGCCAATAATTGGCCGACCGCTGTAACGTTGAAAGAAGACTAATTGCAGCGAGACTGAACAAAGTTCAGCCGCTCGACTCGGACATTTGAGAAGCTTTGTCGGGCAGCAACTCTTCTTCACCTTAGCAACTCCTCAAGTCCAGGGCACGGTGCACTAAGCATATGGCTTCGAACCTTGAAGATCACGATTGTCTAAGCAATGCAGATAGTTCAGCCCAAAAGTTGGCAAAAGCCGGCAGTAGCTCCGTGTCCCCGATGATCAACCAATTCGCAAGACGTCTATTATCCCACAATTGGCCATGTTTCTCATCATTTGTTCTCTTTCGCATTCCCAACCGCATGGTTTGAAGCCTTGTGCCTTGGATCTTCTGCCGTGCAATCTCGCACACATACGCCACGCTCTGCCACACAGCGAAAATAGATCACGAGCCAGATCATGTCTCAACTCTGTCACACGAAACATACGATAAAGTTTCGCGGGGCTGTTTTATTCGGTTCTTCGCTTCTACGAGGCTTGGTCTACCCTATGTGAAGTGATGATGCAACTGTTGAAGCTGAGGGGTGCTGTCTGGTAATCCGGTTCGGCCAGGCTCAAGCACATGACATGGACGGAGGAAGGTCAGCACGGCATGGCCCGTCAGCGGGACCACCACGTATTAGACTCAAGATTGCCCAATCAGGCTATTTGGAGATCTCAGATCGGCTATGCAGATTGAGGGTGCCGTCCCAGACTGTCGGGACCTGTCAGCATGGGTGAGATCCTTCGGCAGACCGTAGCTCGGGACGACAGCCCGGACATTCAACGACAACTCTAATTTTCTAGGCGAAGTCTGGACGACAGTCACTCGAGATGATTTGCACATAGATTTATTGCATAAGTCATAGCCTAGCTGTCAGATGACATCGTGATGGCCTCTTTTTAACCCTACATCTCCGGGTATCATGTCCTAACAGCAATCGATCGCCCATTGCCCAGTGAAGCCTTTCCATATTGACCATCCCGTTCCGTTAAGATTGAAAGTCTGGGCGTATTAACCTCGAAACACACAGTACTCATCAGTACAAATGCTCTGGTTTCTGTCCGTAGACAATTCGTAGAGGCATGTACATCAAGCAGGAGTTGTCATGGTACGCCTTACGCACGCTGACTAGAAACACCTCCACTTGCTCTTTTGTCCATTTGCAGCCTCGCGTCAGCGGGCCAAGCGCGATGGCCTGGATGCCGTCGAGCAAGATTGTCCTCCAGTATAGCCCGACTGTCTTGAGAACCTTGTTCTTGGGCCAGGTCCCGATGGGGACGTGGAAGACACGCTCAGAGACATTGATAAAGCCACAGTCTCGCATCATGTTGCCCAGCCGATCGTCAGAGGCGGCATGAAAATCAACACCCAGATTCGTTAGGCCCTCGTTGATCAGTGCCCAGTACTGCGCCACGGGATGGTCGGGCTTCATTTTGCCATTGTCGCTGATGGGGTAGTGGTAGATCTCCTGAAGCTCGATCCAACCGCCAGGTCGAAGATGTCTAAATGTTGTGGTTAGCAGTTTACCTTCGCGGCCAGTCGCTGTCAACTTACTCCAGGGATCGCCTAAATAGTTTCGGCCAATCTTTGATGGCCATTACTGTGTGTCTTGAGTGGATGTAGTCAAAGTAATTGTTGGGGTGCAGCCACGGGCTCTCGACATCATCAACCATGAAGCGGACATTTGGCGGTACCCATTCTGGCTGGATGGGACTGAGGTCGACCCCGAGGACCGTTGCGCTAGGGTACTGGTCGGCCATCTCGATAGCCCATATGCCTGTGCCGGTACCGATATCTAGGATCTGATGAGGGTTATCACCCAGGGGAGCAAAGTGAAGTTGCTGACACAGCATTTTCACCATTGCGTGTTTCATGTCTTCTCTCTCTTGCTCGACGTCGTCGTTGGGAAAGTTGTATCGGCCTTCCCGGAATCTGTGATACCTTCGACCATTTTCGAACGCGTAGTCGCGCACACTGCTTGCTAAGGATGTTGAGGCGGCAGTCACTGCGTCAGAGGCATAGCCTCCGTCCGAAGCCTCGTCGCTGTCAACAACGATATGGCCATCTTCGGCTTGTGCCACCGCGTCCAGGTCTTCTTGCTCATCTGCGGTAGTGTAGGGAACCTGCGGTATGGCTTGGTGTTGACCCTGTATATCTGATGGCACGGAGGAATTGCTGCTTGGGATTTCGGATTCAAGGGTTGCCAGTCCAGTAGATGGCGATGAAGTGCTAGAGATTTGTGCTGATGCGGGCTGGAGAGAACCTTCACCCTCCACCTTGGGTTCGACGTCAAGCTGCTGGGTATGTATGTGCGGCGGATGTTCTACTTCATTATGATGCTGAGCATCACCTGCCGTGGAAGTTGGCTGGGCAGCCGCTTGGGGTTCGTTCAAGGGCTTGTCATCCTGGGACGGGGCGTTGGGGAGAGGCGACCCAATTCGTACGGGGTCCATCTTGTAGTAGTAGTTTCTTCAGGTTCTCAGACTGCCCAATCGGTTCTCTCTGGTTTGACGGAGAACAAACTGGAGGAGCTCTGGAAACGAAAGAATCTCCTCACACCTGCAATGTGATGTGACAAGGACCTTTCTGGTATAGCAATCTCATGGCGGGCATGCCGTCACCAACGAGCACTTAGGAGTGACCAAGAAAAAGTTGGTAAGTGAAGAGGTCAGTAAGTTTGGCCAGAGCAGAGGGGTTGCGGGGAAGAGAGAGAGAGAGAAGAGCAAGACTGCAATTCTGGAGCTGGAATGAGAAGTGCCGCTCAGACGTAGAATTGCTTTTTCTGTTTGTCATTTCGGACAAGGCAAATCACAAGCTTCTGGACGGACAGTCTACGACTAAGGAAAACACCGCATTGCGCCCTCACGCAGTTGCCGGTCTTCTGACAGTGTGGCACCGTTCGCCCAGCAGGGACAGGCTGTCAGGTCAGTCAATGGAGCAGGGTGCGTAATCGTGGGCCCTGACGGCCCTGACGGTGCTGATCGCCCCCCTGTAACGACCTGTAGACACCTAAATGCCCTTGACCATCCAAGTTTTAGGGGCTCCAACAGTGCGGACAGTCGCTCCTTCCCGCGACCGGATCACCCGCTTCAACCCCCTAGCGCGGCCACCATCAGAGAGCCGTCAGCAAATGGTGTCTTCACTTTCGTCATTTCTCAGATTTCTCAGAGTTCCTTTCCCACTTCCTCTACCCGACTGAATGGACTCTTGTGTGAGCATCAACTCAATTGCTGAGAAGATCGCATGAATTGAGACATTCTTCACATTCCAATGCGCACATTGTATCTCAATGTGCGGAGACAGGGCCTTGGTCTAGACTGAAGCCACAGTTAAAGGCTTAAAGCACACATGGCGACAGGGTCCAGGGTTTCTCGAGTACAGTAGCATTGATAGATGGACTGTCCGATCGCCCACAAGTGCCGAATGCCTAGATTTCTACGAAAAAAAAAACCTCCTGGCCCCTGCTAGATCGACCACTCGCAGGTTCGAATTCGTATCTCTCAACTTATGCACTGCGCTCTGTTCAACAGGCGGTGTCTAACAACGATAAAACTTGCATCTCCGAGTACGACCTGAAGTGCTATCAATGGTATCACAACATGGCTGATTATCGTGACGCCTGATAAGTACTGCCCAAGTGGAACTAGCTACAAGCAGACGTACAGACGAGCAAAAAGCAACTCCAATCCAACCCCTCAGCCATTCTTGCCAGCTTACTCAATTGGCCAAAGCTTCGCCGGCTCTTCACTGATAGTGCTCGCAAAGACATTGATGCGTTCAATGCAAAATGTTACATGCACTGTTACTCACTTCTGATCACGGGAAAAGTCCTTAAGAATAAGAAAACAGATCCCAATATGAGGACATTTATTACCAAGAGCTGTCTCAAGGCAGCACTCGCATCTCAGATACTAACCCACCTTGAACCCATAATGGTCAATTGACTGGCTCGGTATCTTCATTGTTAGAATGAGGAGACAAATGATTCCGTCCCTGAAACTGGCGACATCACAGATCATTCTCTTGTATTGGCCAGTGAGCGTTGAGAACGCTCGTCGCAAGTCGATTGAGAATACGATTGGCAGCAGACTAAGTGTCTTGAAGCCAATGTGGAGTATCTGGGCGCGAACAAGATGATTGTTGTTACCACAGCTCCGTCAATGGACGAATATGCTCAACCACACGACGATCAGTGCCCGGTTAGGAGCAGCTGAACTTTAGCTCCCTTCGCACTGAACAAGAATTATAAATGGAGGAAGCCCAACGGGATTCAGCTGCCAAACCGCCTTTCCCGACATTCATCAGTGTGAAAAATGGCCAACATTGGCGGCATCATCGATAATGGAGTTGCGAGACAATAGCTCCATCGCGACCGCAGCCTGCGGGATCGTGGGCAAAGAGGATCTATATGGGCTCGGCATCCGCCTGGGAGTCTACATACAGACTCTCACGTTGATCATATCCGGTATTCTTGGCCAGCCAGGCACCGCAGAGCTAGCGAATCTCGGCGGTCTGTATCAATTCGCCCTGCTGTTTGGCGTCGTCTACGCCACGGTGAACATGGACGACTTCTACGCCTGCGAGGCCGTTATCATGACAGTGTTCAGCATCACCTGCATGGGCATCAACCCTAGCACTTTCGCACAAGCCTTGCGGGCACCCGATGACGAAGGGGAGTTGAACTTCCTCCAGCGAACGTTCTCGCCTCTGTATGGGACTATCTTGCGCTACTCTGTTGTAGTCGCCATTGACGCCTACCAAATCTGGCTGTGGTTCGTTGGACTCGATAGACTTCTGCACACGCCATGTACAAGACACACTTTTTTCTTCGCAAAAGTCGATATGTACGCTGGATTTCGAACGTTTGGGAAGGTCTTTTCCGTGTTCATCATGGTTGTCGCCACCACGTTTTGGACCAGCCTAGTCAGAGCCGCTGTCTCTTGGAGAAGGCGCCCACACAGCTCGACTTTCGATGGCAACGTTAGGTCTTCGGATGCAATCACCCGAGATCAAATTGCGCTTGCGAGTGAAGAGAAGGGGTCTTTTATCTCTAACCTTCAAGACGGTATTAGATTTGTATCGTCGTGGGCAATGACGATTACCCTCACACTCGCAATTCTGGCGGTGGAGTTGACAATTCGATGGAGTCATGTCCACGATGTCTACAGCCTCACCTCTGTGGGACAGATTATCCCTCTCATCATGTCCCTTGGAGGCTTTGTCAGCGTCCTCCTAAAAGGGAAGAGGAAGAAGTAAGAAGCGGTGAACAGAACCCGTCATGGTCCAAGAGAGGGGCGAGATAATGTCAAAAATCGGTCCACCAAGTGGATTTGAGATCGAGACCTGACGCGTGGCTGCTCTGAAAGTTACAGTACTTGTCAAACAGGCGTCGTTATCTCTTTGAGCTTTGAAGGTGATTCATCTTTGTGACAGTGAAGTCTTTTGAGTACGAAGACCTGATGAGAGTATATAAGAAGCGATGTTTCACGAATCCCCAGCTCAAGGTTGTCCTTCCAACACCAGTACTCTCTATCCTTCATCTATAATACCCCCTGCTTAGCTCATCCTCCCTTCTACTCTCTCAGGGCCTCGATGTCCCTGTTATTGGACGTGGCTGGTAAACAATCTCGTCAGATCGACCCAAAGTTGTGGCATAGAATAGTGACATGTGTAAAACATACCTCTTTGAACCCAGTATCTTTGAACAACCCATCCGATCGGTGCCAGGAGAATCGTCACGAGCAGTATGACCAAGGGAATAATGGCGGAATTCGGCCATTGGTTTTCATCAGCGTCCATGTTGGATTTTGTCGTTATCGTCCTTCGTCTTCGGTGATAGGAATGGATCTTGTCACGATATACAGTGCCTACAAGACTTTCAATCCTCGAATCAATAATAAACTTGAAAGGCATACTAAATGCTCTTCATTGCAATCAGCTTCGTCATTTATAGACATTCTTCGATTTGTGCTTTCTTCCCAAAAGAGAACCGGCATCTGACTTGAGAGAAAGGCCTCCTCGTATTGGCCAGCTCAATTGCCCAATCACAGATATCTGTTCGACCGGCAACGGCCATTTTTGGGTATCGGCTGAGCTGTCCGCAAGAGTGACGTTTCAAGGGCTTGCCGCTAGACTGATTTGGACGACCGGCAACGCTGTCCTGCCTGATGATTGGTCAGGTCTTCCATGGGGAAGCGGACAGCGCCTCGAGCAAGCCAGCCTCGCTTTGAAGAGCAAAGCAGGTCCAATTTCAGTACTTAAGTGCCTCGAAGAACATGACTTTTCTCGGGATTATCCTCACTTCTGACAGTAGAACATCTCTTTGGCTTGCTGTCGAAACATAATTCCACTTTCGCCCACCTCTTTTCGTGAAGAGCTACGATATCATTGATTTGTGTTCTCCTCACCATATCACAGCAGGCATTCAGTTCTTTATCAATCACTTCTCGTAAGTGTTCGATAGCGATATAAGGTATGCATAGCATGAGAAAGCACTGCCAGATTGCAATTTTCTTAGGAACATGTCAGATTGACATATGGATGTGCAGCATGGAATACTTTCAGCAACAACCCTGGCTCTCAGACGAGCAAGGCATCGATCCTCAACTGCTTGTCAAAGACAGCCATTTGTCACGACATCAAGTGACCCCCTTTACAGAGATTGCGGCATCTGATAACAACGATTTCGGGGATATGGACCGGGACAACCTGAGTGGCAACGGATCAAGTTCCCAGTCTATGTCGGATGCATGGCATGGGAATCTCATCTGTTATGATGAGGCACGCATTCTTCATCCGGATGAGACAGCTGAAGAGCCTGATGGATTTTCAAACCCATATTTGTCTGAAATTAGCGATGGTATGATCGTATCTTCCCCAGAGGACAACATAGCCATTAATTCGGTATCAGTTCTATCGTTACCAAACACAGAGTTCAACAATGATCAACTTGCCTCCCATCAGAATTCCATGCCTGAACCTCTGAAGGATGGCTTGATGATAGCAACTCGTCCAGTCGGGATGGAACATCTGCAAAATCCATTCAATACAGGTCTCTCAACCAATTTGGGATTTCCAACACCACATTCAGTGGCGCCTCCCCTTTTACCACCAAGTTTAGACTCTATGACATTGCCCACCTCACCATCCAATACACATATTCAACCTCCGACGACCATAAAAGTATCTGGCCCTCCTACAGGCGTGCTTTTTCCCCACCCTCAACCAGAGAGAGATGCCAAAATACGGTTCCCACATATTGCACCGCGGCCCCTATCCACCAAGCAGCCAACTTTGGCTGCTGGCATCTCTCTGATGCCACATCAACAGGACAAGGATGTAATTGCACCTTCATGTTCTCGGATTGGCAGTTCAGAATATCAGAACAAAGGATCTCAAAGCTCAAAGCGCAAACAACAAATGAGCCCATCGACAAGCGAAAGCCTCGCCTCGTCAGCATCGGAACGACTCAACATCCCCGAAACCTATGTGAACTGTTTTCAGATTGAGAATGTGACTACTAATTGCCAACAGCAGTCACAGTGTACGAAAACGATAGTCAAGAGGTCAAACAAAGTCTGTCTCCGTTGCCGAGATCAGCATCTTAAGGTACCCCAAACATTCAGTGGCTGTTGGACTACAATAGCTCACATAGCAACAGTGCAATGGTACTTTTCCTTGTCAGAATTGCTGCAATGTCGTAAGAAGCGGAAGACGAACTATCGACCTACCCTGTATTGATGCAGACGTGAAAAAGCTCAATCACTTCCTGGGTAAATGTTCTTCTCCAGCAGCTACAATTTTAGCTAATTCAGCCAGTATTTTGGTCTTTTGACATATACAAAACATCTGAAGAGAATCTGCTCCAAACATTCAAGAAGACGCAGAACGCAGTGAGATTACTGTGTCTTGAGTCTCGCGGATTCAAACCCGACTGTTATTGGCCAAGTATTTCCATATTCTCAAATTTAACTGCGGTATTTCTGTCTGACCCAGTTGCACGCAGCGAGTCTTCCTGTCGAACCGCGGAATTCAATGGATATGTATGCAAGGATGAGGAGATACGATCCGAATCAACCTTTGACCCAAGTAACGGGATTCGAGTTGGTCTTTGTATTCCTACAACCACACTACCTCGCGCAAGTCACTGGCTTACGCCTCCAAGATATTCTCAACTATCTATGCTATGCAGGGTTGGACATTTTGCTTTCTGTTGATGGGCAACTTTCCAAACTCAGGCGTGGTCTAGCCTCTGACGAAGAGAAACAGCGGCTGATTTTAGATCTTTGTGCGATTCTCTTCACTTCTTCAGACATCTATAGTTACGATCTACAAGATTCGATGGTCATGTTAGCGCCACCCCGGGATTGGAGAACAAGCCTGAGCAAGGAACAGAAGCAGATTCTAGTCGACAAGTGGAGATTATTGTTTTTTCAAGCACCGCGCTTAAGGGAGCAGCTGTGCTTGTGGGCTCATTACTGGCTCCGTAGACTATGGGGTGAAAGCACCAAGGACATGGCAGAAATCAGTGAAGCCCTCCTATTCAAGACGACTAGTCTCTTGGGCTTGGTTATTATCGAAGACGAGCGAGACTTAGAAGAATAGGTAGCGCACGCAATGCTAGCTGTCCTTCTAGCTACGACCATCAACGAACATTCGAGTGGCAACAAGGAGAAGGAAAGCCAAGATGAAACGAATTTATTGAGTCGGCGACAGATTGCTCCGCTTCTTCATGCCTCAAAACAAATCCTGATTAGGTTTGAGGACTTGCATCCCATCCTTACGAGAGGTGATGGCGATAAATTGATGGCCGTATTGGTGAAAGCCCGGACGATTGAACCGTGCGTCTGCTTAGTGAAGCATTTGACTCTCAGAGGATACGATTTGCTTGTGAAACAGACGAAATCATCGAACCAGTTCTGGAAGAGATACTTACGGATAATGCTACAGAACCAAAGTACAGAAGAGTATATAAGTCCTGGTACGACCGTTTCGTTCATTATATGGTGGAGTTATGGATTGAAGAGTACCGTCCTCGTATCACTAGGGTTAGGTAGATAGATTGGCTCATGAGTTATGAAGTAGATACGCTGCGATCAATCTACGATAGACTAATTGCCGCTCTCATTCAGGCAATAATACGAGCTGTGGGGGGATCAATAAAATCGGTACCTCGGGAGATGAGAGCTAGGAGCTTTTCGACTGCATCTCTTATAAACAATTTGCATGTGTTGTTTTCGGGTTTTCCCTATCACTCGCTTTCCTTAGATATTTCCCAAGTAAAGGTTCTAAGGTCACGATTGTTCTACTCTAGAGTATCGAAATTAGGTGGTTTGGAGAGGTTCTAATGCGATCAACAGTCTAAATTTGTCTTGTTGGTGATAATCCAGTTGCCCGTTAACATTCAAACAGAAGAGAAGCGAAATTAGTCGCACGCTAGGTAGTCAATCTTGATTGACAAATCTTTAAAGGTTTGTTAGCAGGTATTCAAAGTTATAACATAATTTATAGGTACCCAATTCAAGACATCTCAAAGAGTATCTATCGGCAGAGGGAATCAACGATATCACAGAGGTAGTCAACAACCTAGAACATTAATTAGTGTTGGCCGCCTTGATGAACAATGCATCGGTCAGGGTGATCTATGTCCGCCACTTAACAAAATACTAGTCTTGCATAATATGACTGGAGGTGCGAGAGTTCACAAGTTAGAATAGTTATCTTCTACAGGTCCATACACTTATGTATATTTCTTAGCTATTTATCAATATTCACTGTCGTTTGTCGAAGGTTTTCGGCTTGTCCTTTAGCGTTAGTGCCTAAGCCGTGTCCGTGCCGTCCCGTGTGTCCTACGCCGAAAATTCGGCATATCAGGTTTAGGGAGCCGCATCCGCCGACCATGCCCACCGTCCGTTCAAGAAACAAAACACCTCCTTGAGACCTCCTTCCTGAAAGCCACCAGTGTGTCTGAGCGGCCCCTAAAAACAATGGCCAGCCGGCCAATATCTAAAAAGGTTGTCCAGTGCATCGGCTCCGCGCACTTTGAACCCCACACCCGGGTCAAAAGCAGCGAAGCCAGGACTGCAGCGCTCGCGGCGCTGGAGAAGAATGACCTCGCCGCCGCAATCAGGGACTGGTTCCAGCTGCCTGCCAACGACAGTTATACTTACCATGCCATGACGAGCGTGACACTCGCGCAGGTGCAGCACGTCGTATCTCTTGGCGCCGCAAACAACTTGCACGCCTGGTATGCCGATCCGGAGACCAAGGAGCCCTTGCAACCGCCGCCACAGGCTGATATTGAGGCTTACATCACCATCTTTCAGGCCAACAGCGCGACGGCAAGTGCGCTGAAGGGTTTTGCATCAAATGCAAAAAAGAATTCTCTGCGAGCTTCCGTGGCTACACATATCACCGAGAAGCGGTATATCCACCCAGCGGCGCCGTCTCTCACCATCTCAAAGAACAAGTCGCCGCCGCCGAATCCCTACTTTGACTTCTGGGCCTGGTCATGCCGGAACCTCGAATGGTGCGGGCCATGCGCGGCGTCTGAAGCACGGCCACAGAGTCACCATGTGCTGCCCATCTTCATGCACCACTTCGGGTGCGCAGTACCTTCGTATGAGTCTCTCGAGATGCTGCGCATCCTAGCTGCCGGGCGCACTGTCGCGGACGTCGGGAGCGGAAACGGCTACTGGAGCTTCATGCTGCGGCAGCACGGCGTGTCAGTCGTGCCCGTCGACAACCAGCAGAGCGAGTGGCGCGCGAACTGGGTGAATGACACCGTCATTGCCGATGGAGTTAAATGGCTCGGCCGCAAGGAGAACGCCGGCGGAAAGGACATGGTGTTGCTGCTCGTGTACCCCGTCGTGGGCGGCGGTCTCGCCGGCGGCGTAGAGGGCGGATTCACGCGGGGACTGATGGCCGCCTATCAGGGCGACACGGTCGCCGTAGTAGGCACGCAAAATCGGAACGGATATACCGGCTTCAAAGACATGATCATGAACGAATACATGGAAAAAGAGCAAAAGGACTGGACGAAAGTGGTACAGATCCCGCTTCCGAGTTTCGCTGGCAAGGACGAGGCCCTTTTCGTATATCAACGAGGAGATAGGGCACCTAAAGAGTCTGCAGATCTGGGGGTGTCCGCAAAGACATGAACGAAGGCGGCTTGACCTTCAGTCAATACATTAATATCATGAAATGTTTGACTATGGCTGTCTGGCCATTGGGAGTGCCTAATCGCCAGGCTTTGTATATTCATCTGAGGTTGCCGCCAGTAACTGCGGATCTCCAATCAATAAAGTTCGTAAGCGCGTCGAAGAAGACGCTGTGGCGCTTTGACTCGAAGCAGGTGAACTCCGGACTCAAGTGCTACGCCCAGGCTGATCATGGTGGTTTTGAACGACCTCAGAGGTAGGTATGAGCGTTATACTCAACGTGCCAGTCATTGCAAATGCCAACCTCACTCGCATACTTTTGGGGAGCTGGGGCTTCAAGGAAGACGTCTTAGGTTAGCTAAATGTGCCATTATCTAATCTAATGGAAGATTTCAAGCCAACAACATTTCTCATGACCATTCCTTTCAGTGAGCTTTTCGCCTTGACCGAGAATCTTTCTTGCGTTTCTTACTCGTGTGCCGAAGCATTTCCTTGCTCATATTGAGCAGAACCAGATGAACCCATACAGAGTCAATTGGCCAAACGTTTTCAACGACGAGTTCGTTTAGCCCTCGAACCTCTGAGTTTACAACCAAGCAATCCCCTTGTCGTGATTCACCTCTGTTAATCGGCCGACTATGAGGATAGACAGGCTGACACTTCTTACTGGAAAGAAGATGTGCTCTTTCCAGTGGCGGGCGTTCTGAGGTTGTCCGCAATTGAGTTGAAGAAAGCGGCGAGGGCGTCCTTGGAGACGCCGGCTAGGCCAGGGGTATTCTGAATCAGGTTGTCCACCATCGAGCCTAGAGAGGGTTCGCGCGCTGTAGCTGATGTCAAATTCTGATCCGTCGCTTGAGCTCGAGTCATCGCTTCATCTGTCTTGCATGTCGCGTCTTTGGAGGAAACTCCTTTCTGGGCAGCCGAGCCTTCTGTCACAGCTTCAACAACCTCGCCGCGCGTTTCATGATTGACTACATCGGCCACGGAGGCTGGAGTTGGTGGTTGAACATTGATAGACGGAACTCGATTTGCCTTACCAGGTGGCGTAAATGTGGATGAGGGAACCACTTCGGAGCTCTTCGATGGCGTCGAAGTCGTAGGAGCTGAGACTGAGGAGGATCTCGTGTGCCACTGACGAGATTGGTCAGTAGGCGCCGCAGACTTGATTATTTGTGCTCCTCCAGAGCCACTGCGAGCGATGCTTCCCTCCGTATCCACATGTTGCGTGTTTGACATATTTGGCTTGCTCTCACGTGGCTGAAAATTCTTGACATACGGCTTCAAGGGGTTTTCAGTGGCCTTGTACTTGAGTGTATTGGGCAAGCGATCCATAGCCATGTCACGCTCCTCCAAAGTTCTGAATTGAACTGCCCTGAGAGCGTCTCCACGATGCATGATCTTGACGATCTTGGGCTTATCCTCCTCAGTAAAGAGATCTCTGGCCTGATCATCAGATTTCACGTTCATGACCAACACCCCAATCATGCCGCAAGACGCCAAATTGATTTCAGGTAACGGCTCAGAATCGGGTGGCTTTGCAACGTTCGCGACTTCATCTGATTTATCCGACGGAGGTGAGGCAACCGAGGAGTTTCGCTTAGTCGTTGCAGTAGAAGAGTCAGAGAGTCTCATCTTCTTCTCGAACGCTGTGATGATGTCTGAAATATCGTTGCCATTTTTACTCAGCTCTTTCTTTACAAGATCTTTGATTGCATCATTCAAGAGCTCCTTTCTTGCTATGGCAGAGTCCTGACTGTTCTTTGGGAGAACTGTGGTTGACTCCTGCACGAAACTTCGGGCAGACTTCTGCGGGAGAACCGGCTCGGTCGTATGACTGGTAATCTTCTCGGGATTCTGGAACGTTAAAGGCTCCTTGACGATAGCAGTGTCGTCACTCCATCTCGAGTTGCGAAGTGTTCGGGGAGGCGAGTTAGCTTGATGCTCTGGCTTAAGATTCGCTTTCGTCTTTGCGACAGCCTCGACGACAGGCACAGCCTCGGGAACAGGATTCTCATGCGGAGCCGGGGCGGCTTTATACTCGTCAACCTTGCGCTGGGAGGCTTCCTCAAGCTTGGCAGTCTTGATCTTGTCGACGTTGCGCTGAATGGCTTCCTGACGCCTGAGGGCTGTCTCGATCACAGAGGCCCTGATCTCGGCAGCCTTGAGTTCAGCAGCCTTGAGTTCAGCAGCCTTCAGCTCAGCAGCCTTCAGCTCAGCAGCCTTCAGCTCAGCACCCTTCCGCTTAACCGCTTCCTCGCGCTCGGCAGACTGCCTGGAGATTTCGTTGGAAATCATCTCGATCGCTACCAAATCACATGTTAAGTTAGCGAGTTCCCATAGCTGGCTACAAAGATAGGGGCTACTCACCACCACCGATCCGGACTTTGACGAACTCGTTGATGGTGTCAACGTCGTCATTGCCCTGATAGAGAACGAATTTTGTCATCACGGCAGCAGCAAGGTAGAAGGTCGGTCGACAGTATGTAGTATCCTTAACTGTCTTGCGGACGGTAGAGTCTGGCGGCGGCGCACCGGGCCACAACATGAGAAGAGTTGACCAAGCGCTCGCAAAGCTGCTCTTGGCCATTGCATCATGGCTTGTCATCGCTGAATGCAGGTCATGATTCCAATTTCTGCAGTCATACCCCTGCGGGGAAGGAAGAAAAAGGAGAGATCGGATCGTGTCTGCCATCATCATAGCTGAAGCTCGAGCCTCGAGGAGGTCCATGACCTCCTTACAGTGCTTCTCCGTGACATCCTCTGTATCAATAAAGTCCTGTAAAAACTCCTTTGTAGAAGTGCTGAAGGCTTTGTCCCAGTCACCGATGCAAGTCCTCAACTCATGGGCGACGAGAAACCTCACATGGGCCAGTTGAGAGCTCTGAGTGCCACCGAATGCAGAGCCGAGAAAACCGTATCCATCACTCCTCCTCAGGAATTCGACGGCCGGGAACTTGTTCCACTTACGTTGCCAATATGTCAGAGGTGCACCGACTCTACTCGCCCAGAGCTTCTCCCACTCATCACAGCTCGGGTCAAAGTTGAAGATGTGAGTCAACGGCTGTGCAGAGCCTTTCTCAACCCCACCCTGGCCGAGGTCTCCTGAAGCGAACTCATTGGAGGTAATCTTGGGTGTAAAGGTTGTTTTGCACCACGACGCTATCAAGTTCTTCCGAATGGCATTTGAGACGGAATCATGCTTCTCCCCCAGCTCAGTATTAATCTGCCAACCACCTGAAAATGCAGCAGGTGTGACGAGGATGAGAGGCACCTCATTCCCGGTGGCTCGAGATAGCCGATCCTTTGTGACGATTTCGCTGGATGAACCGATGATTAGATCTTGAGTCGCATTGCTCAGTCCCATTCCGAAGATGACGAGTGCTGTTTTGTTCTTCTGTGCAAGCTTGGCACGCTCCCGAACTTCTTTGATGAAGCCGAGATGAAGCTTGGACATAGAAGGAAAGACCTTGAACGGTAGTCCAGAGGTAGCGGCCGAGATGTCTTTACCTTTGATCTGATTCATATCGGGTTCAGAAGAGCTATCAATGCTCTCAACATGAGCATGCTTGTCCTCGGTATCCCGAATGGCGGTTGCGAGGTCGGCAGTTGACATCCAAATTTGGGCATCTTTGTTCCCCTCCTTGAACATCAACTGTTTGAAGGCAAGGAGATCGGAAACGATCCAGCCATGATTTTCTGGCAAGGCATCTTCCTTATTGAGAGCACAAATGCCGATGATCTGCGCGTTGGCAGGAATGTCCGGCATAGAATGGATGGTGAATGATATGTCGGCGGTGGCGCTCTTGAAGTTGAGAGACTCACCATCGAAGCCAACCTCAATAGATTGAGTAGCCGTAGGTTCGGCGGATGCTGCCATGTTGGCTGAGTTGTTGCCTGGCTTTTATAACAATTAGTCGATGACACAGGTGCGGAATAGTTTAAGCCGAGGAAACGGAACCAAAAAGATTAAACGACCAACGTGTAATGGTCCGTATAATGGCATGCGGAGAACTAGGGAGAGAAGCGCAGGGGATCAGGGGAAGCTATCACCGCAAAATATCTGTTGAAAGAGTTCAAGACAGAGATGATTGTGTGTTCTCACCAAGAGATGGAGTGTGGACAGCTGTAATAAATCTGCTTTGCAGTGGAAGTGATGTTTGCCTTCACCAAGGAAGCATACCTTCGTAAAGTCTTTGGGGCCTGTCAAGGTATTACGACAGATAAACGTGTCAGGCAATACGGTAGTCTAGCTACACGCGGATGTGAACTGATCTGACAGTAGGACATCCGCTCAAGACGAGAGGAATGATTTGCGCGTCGCGGTTGATGAGGGGAGAAGGGATCGGGAAGGACAAGTTGAGGTGAGATCGACGAACCAGGAAATCAGTTACTCGCAGTAGCAAGAATCCGTCTGCTGAAAGCCAAAGGGAAAATGATTTTCCTAATGGCTTCCAACAGTTGGCGGGAAGGCAGGTGGGAGTTTGGTGGAGGTCAAGGAAGGTGCGAAGAGGGAAAGATGTTTTGGAAAAAAAGAAAGCTGGAGTTCTCTCGAGCTTGGTGAATATTCGAGGGCTGTACTCTCCCTATTAAAACCTCAGGAAAATTAGAGAACGAGTCGGTCTGATCGAGGTGTGCAGATTTGTGCTCCTTCAAGAAGGCACTTCACCGGGCTGGGGAAAGTCGGGATTGAGTGGTAGTAGGGACAAATGATCGTGAGACAAGGCGAGATCTATCTCAACGTACACTCCAAGACTAAGACGAACCAGCTCATTGCTCTATGTCATGGCACCCAGTGATAAGACAAAGCTGGTGGAGGCAGAGTAAATTGAGGTGAAACATTGGAGATCAAGACGTTTTACGGCTTCGCACACCGAGGCGGCAACTTGATATAGATGTCGTTGAGAAATGCTCACTTTTATTAGCCAATTATGCGTTGATACCGCACCTATTTTCGCTTCGAGCCTTTCCCTCCGCGACCACCTTTGGCTTGATTACCACCCTTTGATGAACTGCCACCCCCGGCGCCTCCTGCAGAGCCGCCTGCCATCATAACTCTTACCTTACCAACAGGGACGCAATTAATACACTCTTCGGGCTTCAGGGCCTTTATAAGTTCAATTTCCCGGGGCCACATCCTTTCCGAATCCCGAGCATTCTCGTCCAAGACGCCCTTCTTCCCAGAGGCAACCCGCCACCTGTCGAGTATTTCCTTGACGGCCTTGCCCTTCTTCTGCGCACCAGGCTGCAGTTTGGCCTTGTACTTGCACTTGGCCATCGCCGTCCACGGTGCGCAAATGGGCATCGCTTCGAGAATTTCATCTCCAGCTAGAGGCGTCCCGACAAGGGCATCGAGTGGTGTGCTCTTCTCGAGCTCTGCATCGTCAAGCATCTCGACGCCTTCATCAAGCATCATGCGACGGATCTCTTCATGTTCCGCTGTCTCTTTCTGCTGGCGTTGGTGCTGGGCTCGCCGTCTCTCCCGCGCAGCTTCTGCTTCGGCTTCCCGTTGCGCCTTGGCCTGGGCTTCGGCCTCAGCTTTTTGCCTACCAGCTGAGGCGCCAATCAAGTCTTCAATGGCAGCGCGATCTTCCTCGTCTTGATCCTTGTATTTAGCTGCAATCTTTTTGGCCTTGCCGCGTTGCCCACGTTTGGGACGACCCTTTTTCTGAGACGTAGTAGTGCTAGGCTTAGATGTAGGTGCCGTCGATGTACTTGGCGGGGGCCGTTCTGATGCAGCATCGTCATTGTCTTCCTCTTCTTCTGCAACACCTTGTTCTACATCTGGGCCTTCTTGGTCTGGCTGCGCCTCCTCTGGCATTTGTGGCTGATCATCGAGGGTCATTGCTGCAACCTCTTGATCCGGGACTCTTTCTTCATCATCGGCGTCATCGCCTTCGACGCTATCCCTTCTGTTGCTGGATTGAAGTGGATTCTCACGGGCAAGGTTGTCTTCTTGATCGTTTTGATCTTCATCCGACTCACTCGCCGCGTCATTATCAGCTCGATTAGGATCTAGGGCTTCTTCTGAGCGGTCGATAGTCGATGTGGCATCATCCAGTGTAGTGGTAGTAGAGTTGTCATGTAATCTGTGCTTGACATGCTTACCCTTGCTCTCCTCACTGATCTTGAACATAATACCAAAGCCCAGAAGTAACTGAGCAGGTGGAAGAAAGTTTTTCTGACCTCGGACCATGAAGCTACCTGTTGAGAGATACTCTCCTGTCGGCGCAGACTTTGAAACTTGATCCGCGTAAACCCACCATGCACCCATACCAGCCTTCGAGTCCCAAGCATTAGAAGAACAGACAGCCAAATTCCCAGCTTGAGACAAGGTCGAAGGCGGGATTGGGGCATCAGGAGTCTTTGGGTTATTCTTAATTATGACAGTAGCGGCACCGTGTAGGTCAGCATGAACATATACATCCCCTTTCCTCAAGTACCGCTTATAAAGCATCTCGTTTTGTTGAGCATCTCTGCCACCAAGAACGAGGTAACCATCTGAGGAAATGAACCACAAAAACTTCTCAAACCAAAGCTGGCGTCGAATGGGCTGCAGAACTGCCTTCTCCTGCTTGAGGCCCTTCCTCAGGTCCTCGGCAATCTTTTGTTCGGCATTCTTCAGCGCGGTAACGGATTGCTGCATCGTCCTCTGTTCCTTTTCTGCTGCCGAACGTTTCTGTTCATAGTATTCTCGGGCATTGCTGAATGGAGAGATGCCCAACTTTATGTCAACTTCTAGACTTTGAGCGATCCTCTTCTTCCCAGCATCAATCTCGGACTCTTCAGCATCGTCCGACACAGTCGACTCGGTGTCATAGCCCTCATCTTCGTCTTCCTCTACGGCTGCCTCTTCCTCGCTGATGACGATGGTGATGGAATGGTCTGCTAAGTTCAAGGGCAGTTTGATGATCTCAGCAACGGGATTGTGCCTTTTCTGCTCGCGTGCAACAAGCTTGCCGATGTCCACCCAATCCATGCCTTGTTGTAAAAGCCCAGTCACAGCATCCATAGCTTCTTGAACCCGCTCAACATTGGCCTCTATTGCGGCAGCCTTGCGTAGATTGAGAAGTTGGGCTTCCTGAAGTCCCTCTAACCTCTTGGCTTGGTCTTGTTTCGCAGCGTCGAGTTTCCTCTTTGCGGCAGCCTCCCTTTCACTCAACCGCGATTCTAATTTCTGTCCTTCTATGGAAGAGAAGAATTCGTCGACGGTCTTGTTGAATGTATCGAATGTCAGGATTGCCCATGCCTGGTTTCCCTCAAATTGAGATGGTAGAAACGGGTGAAAGTCTTCGTAAAGGAGTCCGGTGGGCTTAGCCTCTTGCGACTGGGGTTCTTGCGCATCAGCTGCATCACTGAGGTCCACCTTCTTCTTCGCTATAATGTAGCCTTTACCGGTCTCAGAGGTACTAATATTGTCTACCACCAAACGCGCCTCCGTAAGAGCCTTGAACAAGGAGTCAAACAGGCTCTCGTTTTCAAGAATATCCGCAGGCTTGGCCGTATGGTCAAACTTAGTAGCTTGGAAAGCATGGTCGACTAATATCGGAGGCAGCTCGTTCAAAGTGGTTGCCAGTCCTCGCCTTAACTCGTCGCCAGCCTTTCTCCTGATCTTTTTGCCAGCCGCCGCGGTGGCAGCAGACTTCTCGGATATTGACTGAAGCGCATTACGTACACGTTCTTTGGTCAGGTCCGGTACGCCGCCGTAATTCTGCCTATTCTCCAGCGAATATGTAAGGCCAACGCGCTGTGGCTCCTGGCCCTCTCCTTCAGGTACATTGCGCATCAGGGTCAGGATCTTGAGGTCGGAGTCCGTCAGGATGACGTTGCCGCTCGCGAAGAACTCCAGAAACAGCCGGTACTGTCCATCGCTGAATTGAAACTCTATTATCCTGTCCGTTCCGATCTGTGACACCGAAGTGACTCGTCTGGTCTTGAGGAACTTTCGCAGTCGTGCGACGAATGCCGAGGGCACAGCGGCAGTTGTTCTGGCGAAGTCGGTAAGGTGGCACCGAAAACCGCAGTCGATGATCATTTGTTTCTTGTCATTGGGCTTGGCGAACTTGAGGAGAAGGATCTTGGAGGAGAGGTCGTAGACATTTGACAATCGCAGCGTCACAAGCGCCTGTGACAGCTCGTGTGCAATGACCTGTACTTGGCCGTTAGCAATCCAACATTCAAGCCTAAGCTTACGGCTTGCTGCGGGATCGGACCTTGACATCGAGGGACGAGAATCGTTGCTTCATCTTTTCGGGTCGCAATGCTTGCGACAATGTGAAGTTGAGGTATGGAAGTGCTAGATATACAAGAACGAAAAAGTTATATACTAAACCACGACTAGGAATCGGCGTGAATCATATGTGCCCTAGGTAGGTACAAAAGCTTCTCGAGAGTTCAAGGTGGGTTGGTGGGGTTAAATTCTGGCTATTACATCAGCGGGGCTCACTTGGTCTCCAGAAAATAGTAGCAGTAGCACGTCACCCACATTTTTAACGCTACATACGTAGATGGTGCCATGAATCCGCAGTGCAGTCGAAGGCGGAAATAAACACTGATAGGTTTCTTTAACATTCAACGCCCAGATGGCGACCATTGAGAAGGGCGATAACTACGTCGCTCCCAGGATTGAGGCCGCTCGTAGGTTCGTTGCCGATTTGCTGGCGTTGGGGCTCTTCTCCGAGGAGGAGGCTCACGGGGTTGTTCAAGGCTTGAAGATTCAGTCTCACATGAACAACTCCGAGTCCGACTACGAGTCCGTCTCCGATGATGCTGTCGACTATTAGACTGCCTAGAAGGTCGTCTACAGTCACGGTGCCGCCTCGGCTCAGATGCAAGTCCGCATGTCGCCAATGCCACCAAAGCAAGGCCGAAGGATAAGACCAGGCTTTGCATAGGACGACCCATATCCAGGTTTTGTTGTAAATGTAGACAGGGCAGGTCGGTGGCACTAATGTACCGGCAACATTTGTAGGGAAGACTTTTCAAGTTCATCGCCTATGTAGACGCAATTTCTTGTTATCTTATAGGGCCTCGTGGAGTCCCGATTACACCGAATACCTTTGAGGTTTGGCAAAGGATTTGCTTAAATGGGCAATATTCGGTGCCGAGCCTCGCATCACTCCCAATCAGATCGTTGTAAGTCTCTAAGATGTGGTCGAAGACGCCTTTATACTTGCGATCTCTCAGTTTATTCTGAGGCGTCGACACCGCCATTTGGATTGTGTCCCTCCAGCTCAACTCGCGTTTTGTAGTAGACGATATCGCCTGTCAGAAGGTCTCACGACATAACATGGCAAACACGCAACGAAACAATAAGATGACAATTTGAACACCGATAGATCCTCGCTCGCTCGATCCTCGACAATGACGACACACCATACAAGCCGGGCATTTTCTTGACTATGAGTGAAACTAGACAAGGTCTTACAACACTTTGAGCCGTGTCTTTCGTAAATCGGCAACAGGGGTCATGTTGTACGGGGCTTGACAATGCAACAGAATAACGCTTGGATATGCCCTACGTGCGCCCTTGGTGGTATATGTGTTGATTACACAGCAGCTTGCTACTATGCAGCTCTGTCTGACAGCCACGTTTCAATATGTGGTATTTGTTGAACAGAAGCGAGATGGCCGTAAGAAACCCTAGAGAAGGAGGTTGTACCGTTACCTTGATCTTGCACAGGGCGATAGGAAAGTCATGCTGTCACCTCTCGAACCAATTGCTGTGCACTTGCTGGTTCTCGGGATGCGCCCTTTTGGAGCAACACTTCCTTGCCGCCGGCCTCGGGGATCACCAGGCGTGTAGGTTATCACTTGACAGACCCGACATGGAAGAAGGCATCCAGGTTTGAAACAGTCGACAAATCAATTGGCGACATAAGAGCCTCATCTCGACAAGGCGAACTCGCCACCCGAATAACCCCGCGGTTCGCCAGGTCTCAAGTCGTACACAAAGAAGAGATAAAACATGTTCATGTCATCTTCCGGTCGTACTCAGAGCCTCAAAGTGGAAGAGGCCTCGTTCTCGGGAAGGATGTTCACATTCGGTTTGGCTGCGGAAGGGACCACATTTAGTCCTCGATTAAAGGCCAAAACCTTGTGCCACGAAGAAATCCAGACGAGAAAAGAAGCCTCGAAAGTATCAAGACGTTCGTTGTGTTTCGAAGATTCAAGCGCATTTGAAGATTGCAATTGCTTTCGATGGTTGATGTGAACCTCGAGAAAGGGTTCCCGCATCGCCTCCAATCGCAATTACTGCATAGTACTTTTCAGTTCACACTAGATCTCCATTTTCGATTGTATGGCCTCTGTCATAGCCGAACGAGAGCCGCTGTTATTATTCGATGCTAGGAGAGGATGACGCGACTCGTTGTCGTGGGCGACGAGTCTAGGTGGAAACTACTGAAATAAAGCTGGGACATCCGAGGTTCCGCTCACGAAGCGACCTCCCTGCTAGCTCTGCGCTGGGGTGTTTTGTTGTCATAGCAACGCGAAATTTCTCCAGTTTTTCAGGGGTCCAACCGAGCGTCTCGGCTACCCCCGCGTCGCGGTTCCAGTTCCATGTGAACGGCGTGGATATCGTCGATGGGCTTCTCGTTGGAATGGAGCCTCACTAGAGTAGTTTCAAGACCACATCTTTAAGACCCCGATAATGCTTGACGATGAAGTTTGGGGTGAAGTTGAAATGGGCGTAGGTGCCGTGGTACTTGGATACTTGAGCGGCTTTTTCTGCGTTCTGTTGGGCAGGACGTGTCTCATTATGCGGGCGAATTGGCCGAATAGGGCTTGCATAAGTTGTGGAGGGCGTATTTTGCCAGCCCAATGGATGCGGTCCACGATATCACAGGTGAACACGAAGGAAGGCCAGAAGGTTGGGTAAGCAACTGATCTTCGATTGGGCGTCGACATGCTGGCCGCGCCTCTCCCAGCCTGCAAGATATCGCAGTGTGAGGTTGCTCCGCATGCATATCCCAGCCATCACTGAAGCTTGCCCATGCTCTCCGAAGCTCTTTCAGCTTGAAGAATCAAGCGAGACAGGTGAGATCGAGTGCAGCATGCACATCGTGGCGTTCAATTTGTCCTGCCATTGGCCGGAGCAGAGCTTCCAGTCCACGGGCGGTGGTTGGGACGTGAATCACCCTCGTTCCCTGGGAGCTCGGTGGCCCCAACACTGCTCGAATAGCGAATCAATCGAGCTCTTCTCTAATACGCATTTCCTACAGAAATCCCAGGGAGGAGGTGGCCCGGGTAATGAGCAATTCACGATCTTCATTGCAGGTGGCTGGGCCAGGAGGCTGTCATCGCGGGTACAGGTTCATATGGGGTCTCCGGATCGAATGGGACCTGTCAGGCGCGAGACGGCGTGGAAGTGCCCCTGTAGAGGATCGCTGCGACGGTAGCTGAGATTAGACTGGATTGAAGCAAGCTGTTTGGAGCTTTGGTGGTGATGAGCAGGGATCGTGCGGGAGCTGCAGAGATGGAGGGCCACCACCAGAGGCTAGGCTGCTTTGGTGGGCAATAAACACGAGAGATCCCCACCGCAAGTAAACACATCGCAAGCACATGTCTGGCCACACACAGAAATCCCAGCGGGCGTCGACCAGTCGGGGGGCCATCCAAACCCTTGTGCAACACTATTTGATCCGCAGATTCTCGCTCCTGCATTGCATCGACCTCCTCTTCCTTTTCCTTCTCTCCTCCCCAACCACTAAGCTGAACTGCCCACTCACAGCAAGACACACCTCACCACTACTCCTCTCTCCTTCTCTCTCCTCTAACCCTCAAAGTCGTCGAGAAACCCAGAGTTAAGAAGGAGTCCGTTCCCATTCGAACGCGTCCTTCTCCCGCTCTCTTTTCTTTCGACTTCTTTACGAAAAGAAGCCAGAGGAATCTTCTTTTCTTCCTTTCTCAAGTGGAAGGTCGAGGAGAAGAGGACTCTCGCGCCCTGAAAGGCCGCCAACCTGGATTTTGAAGCCCGCGTCCCCGTCCCTTTCAGCATCTTCCCCTCGTCCTACCGCGAGGCCGAGTCCGACACCACCCAAACCCAAACCACCCACGAGGAGCTTGAGATCAAACTTCCGGAGAAGCACCACGCCGGACGGGAAGGTCAATACTCTTCTTACACCGCTCAGAGCAACCTTCCTCCTCGCGGAGAGCAGCGCTACAGCGAAGAAGAGGTCCGCATCACTCGTGAAGAGGAACATTACCGCCGTCCCGGCATCCGTTCAGACTACTACCGTGAAGACCGCAGGTCAGTACAGCCAGTTCACTTGAGAAACAGCTTCTGGTTTTTTTTTTCTTCTTTCCTCCCTCTCCTTGTTCTTGCCTTTCCTGCTTTCCAATCACCCCCAATTTCCATTTGACAAACGAAATTCCCCGGTTCGGCGTCTGGCTGGTCGGGACCTTTCCAATTGGATCGGCAGGCCTCCTCCCCCGGTCTCCAAGCCCCATCAAGAAGCTTGGACATTGCCCCTTTCCCTCTAGCTTTGTTGACCAAGTAACCAAAACATCAATCGCACTTCAGTCCAGCTGACATTCATCTTCCCTCTTCTCTCTAGACCTCGCTCCCACGCAGAGACTCGCATTGAGGTTGACACTCATCACCGAGACTACAACACCCCAATTGACGTGATCGAGCGTGAATACCGCTCTCGTGTCCAGCCTACCTACAGAGAGGAAGTCCACGTCCACAGCACCGTCGACCCTCCTAGCCACCGCCCCGTCTACAAGGACAGCTACCAAGTCACCGGCGAAACCGTTGATCCTCCCAGCGCGCGTCCTTCTTACTACAAGGACACAAAGATCGTAGAGGAGACCATCGAGCTCCCCCGCAAGACCTCCAAGAAGAACATGGGATACTACGACGAGGACGGTAAGCTAGCTAGCCTTTGGTGTTTCAAGACTTGAATACTAATCAGCAATAACAGGCCACTACCACTCTTTCCGCCACGGAATCCACAAGATGGCTGACCGCATCCTGCACCCTGAGGGCCGTGAGTCCGTTGAGGTGACCGAGATCCGTGAGAGCCGTGGTTCTCGCCGCTCCGGTGGTGATGATGACTTCGTCCCCAACACCGTTACCATCCCCTGCCACCACATCCGCCTTGGAGACATCCTCATCCTCCAGGGCCGACCTTGCCAGGTCATCCGCATCTCCACTTCCGCTGCTACTGGCCAGTACCGCTACCTCGGTGTTGACCTCTTCACGAAGCAGCTCCATGAGGAGTCTTCTTTCGTCTCCAACCCTGCCCCCAGTGTTGTTGTCCAGACCATGCGTGGCCCTGTCTTCAAGCAGTACCGCGTGCTCGACCTCCAGGACGGAAGCCGTAAGTTTACTCGAGCTATTTTGGTCGTCGTCTCATAACTAACCTTGCTCACAGTTGTCGCCATGACCGAGACGGGTGATGTCAAGCAGAGCCTCCCCGTCATTGACCAGTCCAACCTCTGGTCCCGCCTGTCCAACGCCTTCGAGTCCGGCCGCGGCAGCGTCCGTGTCCTCGTCGTGAACGACCACGGCCGTGAGATGGCTGTTGACATGAAGGTGATCCACGGCTCTCGCCTGTAAAAGGTTAGAGGGCTCGTGTTGATCTCTTTGTTAACGAGTGCATGTCACGAATGATGGCTGCTTCACAAGACCATGTATAGAAGAATTTCCACATAGAATAGCAACAAATGTTTCCTCGCGCAGTGTAAGCAAGTGTCATTTTATGGGAGACTCGGGACATGGCATTATTCTCTCTGAGATTGGACAAAGTTTGGAAAATCGGTGGCGAAGCCGGATCATCTCGTCGACGTAGATAGGTAGTTGTTGTATATCATCTTAATGGCAATTGGAAGTATCTACAAAGCTGTGCCCATGTTGATTGTCGTTGTGCACCATGATGAATTTATTCTCTGATTGTCACATATGATGGTACGCTAAGGGTCCTATGGGACCCCTGTATTTATCGGCGCGGGCCGCTCCATGGTGCATCTTCCCCCAGCATTCCTGACTGTTCTGTCATGCCGCATATATATTTAGAAATCCTACATGCCATCGCTTTTTGTTGTTGTTTTCTTCGGCTAGTTGATGTGCGCCTGTTTGACTTTATTCTTCGAGGGTGTTCATTCAGTACTCGGGTACACTCTTCTCTCAATTATATTATTGTTTTAATTTTACTCCTCTGCCAGGATAATAAATATTAGTTTGACAAGGGGATTGTTAGAAATTACTATCTCGACAGAAGTGGATAAAACCTACAGTAATAAACAGAATCTTCAAGATCTTGTTAAGTATTGTAACAATTAACGTTTACTACTGTGTCGGACGAGTATACCTGTTGACGTTTTGGACTTTGAAGACATCCATGGTTACATGAGCAACAAAGACTTCTTCAAGAAAACTCTCGCAATGAAGAGGTCTGTTCGACTTTTCTTTGAAGGTGACAAGAAGTAACAGAAGCGTCATTCCATTCGCATCACGCATTGTCTAATTCTTTACCCTTGTGGCTTGAATACATGTTGTCTTTCATTACAATTAATCGATCGCATTTGAGCTATGTGATCTCAGCCTCTTCGGCCTTCTACAGCCTCTTCATGTAAGAAGTGGAAGCATCACCCAGTCTAATGATGGTGTTGAAATGGCTCGAATCGAGAGTGACGCCTTTGTCCTCGGCTGATACCAACGCACTCCAGACATAGTTGCGGATTTCTCTTCTGTTCCGAGGCTCCCTTGGTCCACGATGCAGTCACCTCCCGGCCTAAATCGCCACACTGGTGATGCGTCAGTAGGGTTGGGGAGCCATCGCTCCGTTTGCGCCCTAGAGCCTGGATGAAGCAACCATGACATATAGAGACAGAGCAGTTGAAAGGACGGCCGATGTCAAGACTACTAGCAAGGATAACACTGCTGACGGGATTCCCTATGGCCAACTTTCCCCAGCAATGGAGGGGGCGTCTGATCGTCAGGAAGTCTAGCTTTCCTTATAGCGCCCTTGAAGTGGTTGATAACTACCTAGGTAGGGTATGTTGAAAGGTAGTCGATTGCGCTGCGACACCAAAATATGGGCGAATCTTTAGGATGGTTCATGCGACTATCACAAGATTGCCTATCTATTTACTCGACTTCTCAATGTTGCTCGCCGATTATACCATACAGAGCTCTTGTTCTATGCTCTCATTGATAAGAAAGCCTGTGTTAAGACCATCTGTTAATTGAAAAAACAGAAACCCAGTTCTAGATAGTATTGGCCATCTTTCCTCAGACTCCATCTTCAACTCCAAACGGCCTTCTAAGGCCATTATGGCACTCCAAGTGATACACCCTGATAGTTAGAATTGATGAGTAGAAGAACTGTGGCCAAACAGGTGCGCATTGCACCAGACCTATCTACGCTATCGTGCTAGTCGGCAGGGATGTCGATTGGCAGGTTGTCCAGGATGGTTACCATACCACCGGGCGTATCGTATCGCCGTATCCAACCCGCCGGCGGACTGATAAGCCCCTCATTCCATTGTCTCAAGTGCGCCATTGCAATTCGACCTTCTTGACTCGGCAATGACTCTCAAGGGTCACGCCGACACTTCTAGTTTGAATCAATAGCTTAAAGTTGGAGTCTACTTGGAGAATATTACGAAGCTCTCTTCAGCTTCCAACACGTTAAATCGGTACACTCACGACGTTATCTGATATCATACTTTACCAGGCAGTCAAAGGCAATCGGAGCATCTGTAGATCGATAAGATAACAAGCTATGGGGTCTTATCAGTCCAAGCTTTCACCGGAGGCAGCTATGCACGAGAAGGCTGTCATCGATCGCCTACGTGCTATGCAGCTTGAAAATAGAGAGTCTTCAGATGAGGGCTACGTGCTTGTCAGCAATGGCAAGCCGACGGAAACTCTTAACGAAAAGGCTCTAGGAGCACTGAAGCTGGCAAGACAGCCCGGCAACATCTCAGTGTCACAGATGCAGCAATGGCAAAGCCATCTCCTGCAGGACCCTAAAAATCGGTATGAAACATTGCATTCAGCAAGTTGTGTCTCGATGGGTTCAAACTGCTGATGAGTTGCTTAGCTTGGCCCTGTCTGCCCTCAGCTCGGCGAACCCGCGTGATGTTCTCACATCCCGCGCCGCCAAAATCGAAGACCAGCATGTCTTCAACATCAAGATTCCCTTTGAGGGTGCGCCGATTACTAACCAGCGCAGCTCGGGGCGATGCTGGCTGTTCGCGTCGACCAACACGTTCCGCGTGGCACTGATGCAGAAGTACAACCTCGATGCCTTTGAGCTTTCTCAAGCCTATCTTTTCTTCTGGGATAAGCTCGAGAAGGCAAACTACTTCCTAGAGCAGATTATTGACACCGCCGACAAGGATCTTGATTCAAGATTGGTTCAGACACTCATTCAGGCACCCCTGTCGGACGGTGGGCAATGGGACATGGTGTATAACCTTGTCGAGAAGTACGGTCTTGTCCCGCAGGCGCTGTATCCCGACAGCTACAACGCCATGTCGTCGTCGATCATCAACAGCATCATCTTCACTAAGCTACGTGAAGATGCTCTCATTCTACGCGACATGCTCAGGAACCCAGCTACGACCGCCTCGAGCGTATCTGCCGCCAAGGCAAAGATGATGAAGGAGATCCACACCGTTCTAACTCTGACTCTCGGCCCGCCGCCGCCGGTATCTGAGGAGTTTACATGGACTTTCGCCGACAAGACAGGCAAGGCGCGCGAGGTCAAGAGCACGCCGCTCGCATTCGCAAAGGACATCTACTCGTCCGAGTTTCGCATCACCAGCGCCGTCATCGCGAGCATGGTATCTTTGGTGCACGATCCGCGCAACCCGCCCCTGAGCCTCCTGACCGTCGACCGGCTGGGCAACATTGTCGGGGGCCGCGGCATCACCTACATCAACGTCGAGATGGCCACCCTCAAGGCCGCCTGCATCGCCATGCTCAAGGCCGGGCTGCCAGTATTCTTCGGCAGCGATGTTGGCAAGTTCAGCGACCGAGCAAGCGGCATTATGGACGTAGACTTGATCGACTACGAGCTTGGCTTCAACATCAGCCTTCTTGGCATGGACAAGGCGGCTCGACTGAAGACGGGCGAGTCTGCTATGACACACGCCATGGTTTTGACTGCCGTTCACGTCGACGCTGCGGGCAAACCAGTGCGATGGCGCGTGCAGAACAGCTGGGGGGAGACGGCTGGCGAGAAGGGCTGGTTTGTGATGAGCGATGCGTGGATGGACGAATGGGTCTACCAAGCTGTTGTTGATCCGAAGTTCCTTAGTAAGGAGGTCAAAGATGTGCTCAAGAAGGAGCCCGTGGTGCTGCCTCTTTGGGATCCCATGGGATCACTGGCCTAGATGTGTGCGCGGAGTTTTGTGAGTTTGGCTGTGAAATGTGACACGGTTAGTTCGAACGCCCATGAGATAGTTAGAGATATGTCTGATGATACTGGTATTATTCTCCAACTTTTATCATGTCCTTGCTCATTGTGATTAGTTGGTGCTAAATATGGCTTTTGTGAAGATGTCGGATGTAAATAAGTATACGTCACAGCCAATATTCGAGGAGTATAGAAAGAAATGAGTAATATTCAAGTGCGCCAGCAGAAAGGCTGTTATCATCCAGACCATGACATGTTAGCTGCCAAAACCAATGAGTCTCCTTAAGAAGAAGCAACCCTACAGCGGCGTGCTTCTCGTCAACTCGTGTAAGAACTACATTTGTTTTCCACCACACAAGCCTGTATTATTTCAAATTCTACAATATACTTCCAGTCGAAAGATTCAGACGCGTAAAGGCATCCTCTCAAGAGAACCTAACGTGCTTGGGTGTTCTTGACTGTGGCGAAAGGGGTGATCCCTGTACCACAGCTCTGCCCAACCTAACCCCCTATTCCCTCGACAACATGGCCTCGGGGAACAACCGCGACCCCAACGTTCGGAGACTCATCAAAAAAACCTTCCGCTGCACCTGTCACCATGGCACCATCAAGTCAGTCACACATGTCGTCGCCGTCAGGTGTGACAACTCACCCTACACCAACTGTCATACGATCTAGATCGCCATGAGGATCAATGTCTCGGCAGCCAGCATACGTGTTGGGCCGTAGACTTGGTAGCAGGCACGGGGCTTGCCGTTACGGAGCCGGGCGCCCATACCGGACGGTGGCGAACACACTTCTCCGGGTGTTTATGCCAGGATGGGTGAGTTCTTGAGCCGTATTCTTCCCGGGCAGGATCGATCGGCTCTGGGATGTTGCCTCTATCTCTCCTGACGTGGCATCTACGTCTCCATGAGACGTAACTCTTTAGGCAACGGCTTTTCCCATGGGGTTTAGCTAATGGGATCTAGGAGCATAAGACGATGTTGTAATTCTGCAATGGCCAAGGTTGATGCCGGTGAGTGGTTCTATGCATATCCCAACATTGTAGATCTCGCCTCAAGTTCTAGGATAGGGCATGTTAGTAGCACTTCCTAACCAAGTATTTCACATACTGTAAAATTACGGAGACCCGACGCTTCAAAGTGGGTTTGTGATAGAGCAGAGTTTTATGTGAGCTATCAACTGTCCTCCCCCTTGTTGTTATTTCCGAGAAAATGATCTTGTGAGACGTGATCACTTTCATCGGTCGAACCGGAGGAGAGTTGAGCAATCTATCAAGCACCTAGATAAGCGGCGAACATGCCACGGCAAGACAGTTCGGACTGTTGGGCATCAAAGGATAGGCTGTGCTTCCAGTTTGGCAGGCAGCTGTGGATAAACAGCCCCTGAGAAACCTGCTCGGGCAGGTAGGCTAGTAACAATGGGCTATAAGCCAGCAGCCTCAACGCTGCTGGGCAGTCGGACTAGAGAAGCAGAAGCAGACGGCCGGGGCATATGGCATGAGGTGATCAGCGGGCGGGCTGGCTAGCAGTACGGCAGATGTCTATCTGTCTGTCTGGACGGTGAGCGATCACCGTTGCCAGACTGCGGCCGTCAGCCAGAAAGGGGGTGAGATCATCGGTGTAGGTCTGCCGGACCACCCTCCCTGTGCCTCAATCCCGACCCGCACGTGTCCCTGGTGTCTCCCCAAGGGTTGTCCCCAAATTCCGCCACAGTGGGAAGAGCGCCCTTAGTCGCATCCCTGGCCTTGGTGTTCTTTGCAGAATGTATGGGGCAATGCGACCCAAGCCAAGCCCTGCCCTGTTGACTGGACGAGGACGCGATGTCTGCTTTAGAAGCTCCAGACGGGACGTAACCTACGAGACTAACACTTGCAGCTGGAAGTGGAAACCATTATTCTCAGGCGCAGGCCCTTCCAAGTTTTCTAGAAACGAAATACAGTGGACTTGGCCCACCGTTTAGCGCGCCCTCGTATCCAGTTGGCCTGTCTAGCGTTCTGGCTTTAGGGAGTGGTCGTGGTGGTCTTTGTGAAGAGACCCCATCTTGGGTTTGAAGCGTAGCAGCCCAATCCGGAGCACGGACTACGGAAGGGCTCGCGGCAAAGAGCGCCCAACAGGAGCCGCCGGTTGCTGCCATACTCGCCATAGTAGGCAGTTGTGAGAGCTGATTCGGGAGGGCTAATCGCCTGGAATGAGAGGCCAGAGAATGGACTTGATAGGCTGAAGAACGTGTTGATCAACGCCGTGGAAGGTTCCACATTCCCACATCGCGCTGCGGGTTGCCACAGCAGAAGCAGCATTGAGTTGCGAGGCAACTGACAGGAGCTCTCTCGACGGCCTCTTGTTCTGCTGGTATTGGTTCTGTCTCGTTCGGAAACAAGGCGATTTGCCAGCAACTCGCGGCACGAGGGAGACACATCAGATACGACTGCTATGCAGTATGCGCACGCGCACGCGTGGGGCAACCACCAAACGACAAAGATTTTCGCAATTGTGCCACCATTTTGGATTTTGGCCGTGTCGTTTGGGAGTGCGAGATAGATCATATTCGCCCCACCGATCGAGAGACGCTACTGCCCTGCACCACAGAAGACGTTGTTGGCCGCGCAGATTGACGCTGCAGAGGCGGACCCTGAATCGAGGTGAATTGCATCTCTAGTCTATCCCTAAGTGGTCCGGAGCATAGGAACGGAATGATTTGAAGACGACGGCTTAATCAATACATGAAGCGTGAAGATATTTAGTTCCTTCACCCTTCGTCCTTCCTCTGGGTACCATATCTTCACTTTCCAGAAGTGTTCGGGGTTTGACGACTTACAAGAGTTGTCTTGTTGTAAGTGGACGTTAAGCAGGTGTCTTCGTTCCTTCCTTGGCCAAATCTGATCTAATCCCGGATGACGGAGCGGAGAAGGTCATTATTCTCCGTCCGTCTCAGGCGAAGCGACAAAGACTTTTGATCTTGTAGGGGTGCAGTGGACGTCATCTGTTGATGTCAGCGGAGAAACAGACCCCCCTGTTACCTACCTTACCCTGTGCGCGCCGAAGCTGTGGCCACCCTTACTTACCCTGACTTACACTTACATTTATTACCACGTTAATAACATTCCCATGCGTATTTTGTTACCTTGGTCCCTGGCAGCAAGCATCTTAACTAATCAAGGTACCTGACCAACCCAAGCCTTCAACACCAAAGCCGGGCAACACTTGGCCTGCGCCATCCATCCCACTCTCTCCTCTCCCCACTTCATCGTCGTCGGCGCTCTTGCAGCTCCACGACTGACTATTCCACTTTGCTCTCACGCTACTGTGGAAAACTGCGTGACACTCTCGCAGAGCCGCAGAAGCTCGGAAACTTGACTGTTGCTGGAAAACTGCGGTCGGCAATAGCAACATCAGCCCAGCCAGCATCAGCAGACAAGCGAATGCACATAGCCGTCTGCTTGAACGGCAGCCTTCTCCTACCCTTCCGCGAGTAACCCGACGAAGGCGAGACCACCACCTTTACGAACCCTCCCGAAGCCGAGAGATCTGCCCATTCTGCCGCCGGGGTCCTTTCGACAAGCTTCTCTGTTTTCTATGCGGGGAGGTTGACCTGACCGGCTGCGAATTGGGAATAGACACTTGATCAGGCAGACACACGCCACACCCCTACCTACTTCCTACAGTGTCTTCTTGTTGGGCCATCCGGTCTCTTCACTTTCACTTCTGCTCACCCTTGACCATCTCCCTCATCGGACTGCAGGACTTGCGGTCTGCCTGTTGTTTGCTGTATATTATAGTCGCCTGATCACACTTGCCGGGCCTGGGACCCTTGATCGCAAAGAGGCGGAGCTATCCTGACCCTTCGGGCTACTGTCGACACATCTTGACCACCCCCGCCGGCTTCTGATCTGCTTGTCCATCCCGACTGCAGCCCAATCTCCAATCTCTCTTCTCCTGGCTTCGAGCTATTGCTATCCGACAACCTTCCTCCCACTCGCCCATCCGTCTGATTGGTGGTACCAGGTGTGCATGCTTGTCTCCCGCACCGCAAAGCACACGGCTGCGAGAATCCGCAGAAGGGTCCTTAGCTAATTATATTGCGGCAGACGCATCGACGTGCAGCGGCAGAGCTGACATCCCACCTCGAAAGACCCCGCCAAAGACTCACACCCTTCACCCCTCCCCCCTCCCACCACCCCTTCCTTCGTCTTGTCCCTCCCCGTCCGGTGGGCGGGCTGGCTGGAATTTTGCGAAACACTCACCCGTTGACCATCCCTCCATCCTCTCACGTGGGAGAGAGGGTCGACTCTGCTCACCTCATACCATCCATCACGACCAGATTTCATTACTCACCTCGGCTCCTCACTGCGGGCGCCCATCGTAAAGAGCGCCGCTGCTTATATATTACTATAGATACGGCCCACGCGCTCGTCCGACACTGCCGTCATGGATAACAGATATCGCTACCCGCCCGGGCGACGCTCTCCTCCGCTCTCCAACCCCGCCAGAAATACGATGCCCAGCAATATCAGCATGGGCTACTCCTCCCTGTACCCAGGCGAGCTGCATGCTTATCCTACTTCACGACACGACAATGTCACTCCACGACACCACGGGTCGTCTGATCACCGCGGCAGCAGCACAGCACCCACTACTACAACGACTTACACCGTAAGAAAGGAGCCCCTCGTTGCACGGAGCTCGAGCGTCAGAGACCACAGTCGCACGCGTCGGTCATCTACCATCGACTCCGCACAGAAGAGACCTATCATTGTCACCACAAGCCAGAGCAAACATGGTGTCACGTCGCATGTGCCCAGCTCAGCGAGGCCTGGCAGTCCAAGCAGAGACCCTTATCGGTCAAGCGAAGAAGGGCCTTATTACACCCAGCCAGCTTCGTCGATACGTTCTAGAAGCCAGAACCGCAATTCATACAGCGGAGGCGCTCCGTTCAGCGCAACTATGGACAACGACGAGTATCTGCGACTGAGAGAGCGGACGGCCGACGACCGCCTAGCTCCTCGAACCGAGCGCTCTGCTAGACCTCCCTCGATCTATGCCAGTGTGCCGCGTCATGCCAATGCTCCGATCGACTATGGTGACGAAGGCTACGAATATACCAAACCGAGCGACCTCGCCCGGTACGATTTGGATAATGATAGAGGGTCATCTCAGCGACGTCGCCGTGACAGCTTCGGCCGCGGCGATTACTATCGACCAACTGTCAGTGTGACTACAGATCTAGGGCGCAATTTTGATACCCGCCGAGGCCCTCCTCCAACTACTCGAGGCTTTGATAAGATCAATAGAATGGAGGACGCTTCAGGAGGCATCTATGACCGGCCGCAGGTCCGTATGCCAGCACCGCCTGCGGTGCCTATTCCTCCCGCCGACGTCCGTCGTTCGGGTCACTTGGACGTCCCCCCAAGTCCTACTGATAAGCGAGGCTCACGACGTCCCGTCTTGTATCAAGATGGCACTCCCCGTACTACTCATCATGATGATTATTACAGAAGTCGTGAGGATGAACTGGTACAGCGAGAGCTGCGGGACCGAGATCGGGATCGTGACTATTTCCATGATGAGAGCATTACGAGTCGTGGATTCGGTCTGCGAACAGATCTTGAACCGAAACGCGACGAATACGAGTACCGTCGTGACGCGGATCTTCGCGAGCGTGAACGGGATGACCGAGCTCCCGCCCGCGAGCGTCGCGAAGAGCAACGCCGCGAAGTTCGCAGAGACCCCGAAGATCGTGAGCCAAGGCGCCGGTCCGATGAGGACCTGGACCGCATCGTTGCTCGAGACGAGCGCAAAGACGCTGACCGGGACCGTGACCGAGACAGGGAGCGGGATAGAGATCGCAAATCGCGAGACACGGTTGTCCGAAAGGATGATGATCGTCCGGAGAGGAAGAGCAGTAAAGACGATGCTGCTCGCGTTGAAGATGATCGTGACAAGGGTAAAGTACGCGAGAAGCTCGCTACCGGCCTGGGTATCGCTGCAAGCGCGATAGGTCTTGGGCCAGCCTTGAAAGACAAGGAGAAGGATAAAGATAAGGATGATAAGGATGATGATATCCCAAAGAGACGAAAGGACGTCGACGATGACCGAAGACGAGAGATCGAGATTGTTGAGGCCCCGGACTCCCGCACAGCCGATCGTTACAAATCTCGTCCTGAAGTTGATGAGAGGAAGGTTCGTGACGTTGTAGAAGACATACCTGTACGATCACGTACCGATCGGGACGAAGACGACATCAGAGAGCGAAACAGGCGCGATGCTGAAGCTAAGCTCAATGGAGACTCAGTCGAGCCCTCGCCCCGTGAAGGCAACTCCTCATCCGAGGAGGGTAGGACTCCACGTGTGAGAAGAAAACGGCACTCTTCTGCGTTCAAGCCCACTGATACGGCGGGGCTGCTCGCTCTCAAGGAGCAAATGAAGGCAATGGAAGCCTCCGAAAAGCAGAAAGACCGTCCAGTCATCAAGGAACCGTCTCCTGAACGCAGAAGCCCGCCATCATCATCCAAGCGAAGCTCCTTCGAAGCTCCACCCAGCGCCCTCAAAGACGAGTCACGGGGTCGCGAACTGATGATCCCGGGTTCCGAAGAAAGGCAGGTTCGCATCTTATCGCCTCCTCGTGACAAAGACGACAAGAAGCCGGTCAAGGGTATCCTAAAGCAGCCTAAGACGCAGTTCCCTGAGGAGCCCAACCCGGTACGAGAAGGGGTCGCACCACACAAAGATGACAAAACCAAGGCCAACGTGCCTCCTGGGGCTAGGTGGACAAAAATCAGCCGAAAGCTTGTCAACCCCGAGGCTCTCACCATTGGCAAGGAGAGATTCGAGGTGCGAGACGACTTTGTAATCGTCCTCCGAGTGTTGAGCCGGGAAGAGATCCAGGCTTATACCGCAGCTACAGCACAACTAAGAGGTGGGTTGCGCTCTTTCCATTTTCCTTTTTGAGATTTCCTTCCCAGTCTTACGATGCCCGATCCCCCCTGTGACTTTCGCCCGTCTCGTCCGGTCCGTCCTTGCCTTGCGCCCTGTGCCCATCGCCTGTGCCGTGCTCGCGTCTCCTCGACCTCTCTTCTTCTCTTCTCATTACTTTGTTTCGCTGTTTACCTCTTCTCTTTGTTTGCGCGCGCCCGCAGCTTTTTTCTCCTTGGACCTCTCTTGTCTTTGCTTCGCAGAGTCGTGGAAAGTGGAAATGGCTGACAACCCACCCCTTTACAGAAATGAGACGCAAGGAATATGAGAAAGACGTCGACGACGAGGAAGAGGGCCGGCGACGCGCCCACCGCTCGCACCGCCGAGACCCACGCGATGAAGAGGAGGACGAGAGACGCTACCGTGAGGAGCGTGATCGGGGCGACCGGGACCGCGACCGAGACCGTGAGAGGGACCGGGACCGCGGCGATAGGGATCGCGACCGGGACAGGAAGGAGGACAGGCATCGACGCCATCGCCACCACGATGACGACGATGATGTCGAGTCGTCGAGGCCGAGGACGATTGAGTATTATGACGATGGCCACAGGCACTCTCACAGACACCGAGACAAGGATCGTGATGCCGTTGCTGTGAGTCCATGAGTTGATGATGATGGTAATGATGATGTGAAAGCGTGGTCATGGCTTGAAAGATAAGATATCACGACGTTTGTTTTCTATGATGGATGTCACAAGATATAAAAGTCTCTTACGGGTTGCTGGGTATCTATCATATCATATCATATTTTTGGAAAGCTTTCACAAGTCATGTATGAGCAATGACTGGATGGAAAAGCATGAAATGGAAGTTCGGATCATTTATAGCATCTATAAAATATACCATGACTGTGTGTCTAACGTCCAGAGAGAGTGGCATTGCTCTGAAACTCACATTATCCTCCGGTGAAATAGTATGTATAAGCGCTGGATAGTGTTTTTGGGTTGTCAAGCTAAGAAATATCAGGTGTAAGTATAGTAAGGCTAGACTGGTGGCATATGCAAAGGTCAACCAGGTGACAACGAAGGGACGATCAGAAGGGGCAGTGCAGTGATGTGTTGCCTGTATACACCGACGACCATTTGAGCTGACATTTGTCAGAAAATTGCAGGCGTTCGACATCAGGATGTCCATATCTATTAATAAAAAAAAAAAAAGACATGGCCTTATATTGACGAGGAGACCAGCTACAGTTGATCAGCGGTTCTGTAACTATTCATCATGGTTAGCCATGAGGAGAGGGGCAACTTCGTACTACCGCAGCCTACGCGACAGACCGGGCCGTTTGGGAAATTCCACCCCCTTGCTCGCACTAATACGAACGTTGGCTCTTCAAACCTATCCGTGATCCAACTAGGGCAGCTATGTACCATATGCGCATCGATTCGGGACTGGATCGCAGAGCACACCGACGAAATACGTACCTCTGGGTACCAAGGACCCGATCGGCCTCATCATGCAAGCGCCGGGCAGCTCGAGCAATCATTCCGGGATGGCTGCCATCTCTGCACCCTCCTATGGTCCAGCTTGCTCTCAGGGGCAGAGCTGGCGGTGCCCATCATGACTTCTGCAGCCGAGCGTGAGGAGGCAGTCGACAATAATCTGTCTGATCTGCGCAACGGCGGCGCTGTTTCCATCCGCATTGACCGCGAGACGCCGTATGGGGATTTTAATATGTATCTCATGCCGAGAGTTCAGGTTCCAGAGGATTCGCGGACATTGCGAGCTGGGAAGACTCTCGATGGTCAGGCCATGGACATATATACTCTTGATCAACGGGGCAGGTCGGCGCTTGCTTCGTTGGACACAACCATTGGTACGGCTGCTTTCCAGTGGGCGAAGGAATGTTTTGAGACGTGTATGGCTTCACATACGGATTGTCAACTACGGAGAAGTACGGCTTTACCCACACGGCTGCTCCATATTACCAAACTTCCAAGACCAATGGAATATTCCCAGCTCGAGCTCCGTCTCCTTGACACAGAAACTTTGCCGGTAGATCAACGGGTGCAGTATGCTGCACTGAGTTATTGCTGGGGTCCAGGCCCGTCATTCAAGCTGGAGAAGCACAACGAACAGTTATTACGGTCCAGGATAATAGACCAACAACTCCCTCGTACAATTCACGACGCGGTGCGCGTTGCAGCAGAGTTGGGCATCGACTTTCTGTGGGTAGACTCGCTGTGCATCTTTCAAGATTCCCCTGAAGACTGGGAGCGCGAGGCCAGCCGCATGTGCGATGTGTACCAGGGCAGCATGGTCACCTTGTACGCCATCGGTGCCGAGAAGACCGCCGATGGCTTGTTTTCCCATCGAGATCCCCTCATGTATGCCGCTTGTCCACTCTTGAGCCTTGAGAGCGACGAGCAGACTCTCAGTGTAATGCCCCTGAACGCAGATGGAAATTCGTGGCCGTTATTTGAGCGAGGATGGGTCGTCCAGGAGAGGCTTCTCTCCCTCCGGCAGCTGAGATTCGGGCCTTATCTAGAGTGGGAGTGTGCCGAGGGTCGCAAGAGCGAGTTTGATGTCGACAGTGGAAGTCTGGACGTACGACGCTTCAATGAGGCATTGTCGGCGAATAACTCTACGGTCAACGCAGAGGAACAGTTGAGAAAACTAAGGCTCATGTGGAAAGCCATCGTCGATCACTACTCGCAGGCGAAACTTACCGTGCAAACGGATAGGCTGGCTGCGATATCTGGTGCGATTACCGCTATACAGCGAGGCACTGGTCATGATAACATAGCCGGGCTGTGGGATCCGCTTCGCGCGATAGATCTGCTGTGGGAGACGACTGTCACCGACCGACCTACTCTCCCGACTCAGCCTTCCGGACTTGGCCCCAGTTGGTCTTGGATATCAGTCGATGGAGCCATCAATATGTCGACCAATGTATCAATTCTGGACGACTTAGTAACCGAGTTGGTGGCGACAGTCAACTTGATACCATCCACCCCTGGACAGTTTCAACAAGCCATCCAGATCTCATGCCTAGCCATTCGAAGTTTCACTGTCAGGGAGACCAGTGAGAAGGAGGAGAATAAGGGCCCATCTTTAGACCTATATTTGAGCGACTGCTCAATACGACATCTCTTCGTTCGACTCGATGACTGGACCAGCGTAACTAGTCCCGTCGTTCTATTGGTGTTGATGATCAAGCAAAGCCGTGTTCACGGCCTGGCCCTCATCCCATCAAAAGAGCTTCCCGGAGCTTACAGCCGTATTGGGGTCGTAAGGGAGGACCCTATACTCTTCCCAAACTGCGGTTGCAGTAGAACGCTCCTTGCCAGAACTAGGAAACCTGAGCTGCGGGAAGCATTCATTCTAGTATAAACACAAACCCACTCTGTTGGCAAGGCCATTACGAGTGATGAAACAAAAATAGTCAATAATACATAAGTTTTAGTGTAGTTAGTGATGACGTATCACCATGACAAAGAATACTGCTCGGCTTACTAGCCGCTCGCTTGAAAAATGGTCTCAAAACTGAATTTATTTGTTGAGAACATTAATAGCATACAGCATATTTGATTTGAGAATTCCCGTGTTCTCATAGTGAATGACACTAAGAGCGTTGTAAAAAGGCATGCAATCAAGTCTCCTTTTTAAGCCTTGGTCGACCGACCACCTTGGCCAGCATTTGGGCCCTCAGCCAGTCCCTGACTGCCACCACCGCTTGCATTCATGCCCTTGATGGCTAATCCGCCTTCCTGTGTTGGCAAGGAAGCTGTCTTGTCTGCACGATCGACTCGGGGGGACTGAGCTATGGTTAATTATTGAAAACTAAAAGCAAAGTCCGTAAAATACTTGCCTCTTCTTTTCCAGCGCCGTGAATAATGTCGTGGCCGGTCTCAACGGCGTTGTGTGCAATGTGGCCTTCTCCTTGACGAGGCATGTTGGGCTAATTCTTGGTGGTTTGGATGTAAGTGATAATTTCTGCTACGAAGAAATCGATTGTTTCATTAAAATAAGACCATGGATTCGGCGACAAAAAGACGGTCAGTATTTTTTATATATCTACAAACCATATACATTTTGACTTGTCTAGCTTGACGTCACTTCCCGTCTGGTTCCCGAAGAATGATATTTACCTAACGTCATGACAGCGCCTCGTGACAGAATAGGGTCGAGTTGAGTAAAGGCCCCACACTACTTACGCAGAAGGTCCCACCACTCTAAGAGAAGGTTCTCCAAGTGGATCGATCGATTTTTGAGCCTCCCGACCAGCGAGCTACCCCGCTAACACTTGCAGCTAGGGGCATAAGCTACCTGTGGCTCTATCGAACTCCCGAGGTCCTTCTAAACTGCGTCATACCGACACTGCTGCACCACGAGAGCTGTCTCAACGGCATTAATCATCCCACCACCCTGACAGAGCTCCATTGACGAGCCTCCTTGCGTAGACATTGCGGAATGAGGACTGCCTCGCTTCGGACTCACCTGCGAGGACTCAAAATACCATTTTCGACCACGCGAATCGCGCCGCGCCGGCATACTCTACGGCAAGCATCGTATCGCACGATGTCGAGCTTCACTCTAAAACAACACAACATTCCCGTGACTCTACCAGAGGGTCTGAAAGAGGAGCAGCTACTGTCATTTCACCCGTTCGATGTATGGAGAGGTCGATTCGCGACACTATGATCCCAGAGCTAATGCTGTCTAGACTTGGGTCAAGACCCTCACGAACTCTCTGTCTCTTCAATCCAGAGACAGCTCTCACCCCTTCCACAGCGACCCTTACAAACTCAAATCAATAACTGTCCAGTCCTTCGATCTTTTCGGTGGCTCCCGACTCGGCTTCCTCAAGCTCACCTCCGATGTCTCTAACTCTGCTGGCGAGAAGCTTCCCGGGAGTGTCTTCTTGCGGGGTCCGGCCGTTGCGATGTTGGTCATATTGATACCCGACGATGCGCCGCCTACGACGGACGAGCGGTACGTCCTGCTCACTGTGCAGCCGCGGATTGCGGCAGGGAGTCTGGCATTTGTGGAACTACCGGCTGGTATGGTCGATGACGCTGGCCAATTCGCCGGCACTGCGGCGAAGGAGATACAGGAGGAGCTGGGACTGGAGATACCGGCGAGCGAGCTGAAGTGTCTCAGCGAGATGGCAGCAGAGGGCACGGCGAGTGACAAGAGCGATGAGTCTGAGGGACTGCCGCAGGCTGTGTATCCGTCCCCCGGTGGATCTGACGAGTACATACCAATCTACATGCACGAACGACGGGTACCGCGAGAACAACTTAGCGAGTGGACAGGAAAGCTGACGGGCTTGCGGGATGAGGGCGAGAAGATCACGTTGAAGCTGGTGCGCATGCAGGATCTCTGGCGTGAAGCTGCGAGAGACGGTAAGACTCTTGCGGCGCTGGCGTTGTGGGAGGGACTTAGGAGGGAAGGCAAGCTATGAGAGCTTGTTGTTCTTTTCATGGAGCGACCCTAAGCTTTCGGCCGAATTGCCGATGAGCCTCCTGGAGTGAGAAATCACAATCAGAACTTGAAGGCCTTCGCCAACTCGATACCCTCAGCCAGCGTCCCTACCCGAGCGTCGATCGCAAATCCATCTGCCTCGAGCTTCTTCAGTTCGTCCCAGAGAGTAGCCAAAGGTACGTAGAAGACCTCAATGAATTCATTCTCCTCCAGCTCCGGCTTCAGATCCTGGTTTTCGGGTAGGCTCGTGTCGATTGTGACGTGAATCATCCTTAAATTTGTGTTACAGAAGCCAGGGTCTGCATCATTTCACATGAACTTGGTATCTTTAAATAGAGTTTGAAGCTTACCGTTGAACATAATAGGTGATGTAGCGGACGCCTTACCCACATAACCTGTTTCCTCCCTAAGCTCCCGGACAGCCGCTTCTTCTGCTGTCTCTCCGGCATCGATCAGGCCTGCCGGGACCTCGATTGTGACCTTGTCAACGGGTGGTCGAAACTGCTTCTGAAGGATGATCTCAGGTCCTAGGAATGTATGTGAGCAGTCCATCGCGGGTTTGGTAAGGGACATGTATTCTACCCGTAGGCTTCTCTAAGATAGCCACAATGCCGACGCCATCAATGTCGCTATTGGCTGGACGAGTAGTCCTCTCGGCACTCTCCCATGTCCTCTCTGTCCCATTGGGGTCTTTATATTCGATCCTGCGTGTGTTCTGTGAGCTACAGTTGCGAGCGCCGGCTGTGGTTCTCAGTGCAATCCTACTTGACCAGCTTCGTCCACCTCCTTTCAGCCTCTGGCTAGAAACATTGTGAGTGAAATGGGTCTGATGTGAATGGGATATGAAGTTGCTTACAAGAGGCCCAATGGCTGTTACCTTTGCGTCGCCAGCAGACATGTTGGCAATACTCCGTCTGATTGCAAAGCCGAGATAAGGTATCTGGAGCTTTGATGCAGCTCTCCTTGATGTGGGTTGACGTCAACCCAGCGGAGGGCCACTGGGGCAGGAGCAACTTGGTGGTGGGGTCAATTTACCCCTCGGCCGGGTTGGCAGTTCCACTTCACTCACCATCGCATCTCCAAGCCACAGCGTGCGCGCGAGTGCATCTGAAGAGAGTTCGCGACCGTTTCAAGCTTAAATTTCATCGTCTGTCAAACGCCGTCGGACGTCGCAATTATGTAACACATCATCTATCTACACCTGGGTATACTACCTATTCAACACGCCCGCTTCTCATTCATGTTTAGCAACGCAAAGGACTACGTCAGCCTTCCACGCTACTGATAGAGGACAGACGCGAGTGTCGCCTTTTGAATACGTTGCGCAATATGGGTGCGTGTTCATTGTGACGTGTACGACTCAAGTGTTGGCCTGTCAATCAGTCAGCCAGGCCCCGCGTACCTAAACAGCAACCTTATTAGGTTAACATTTGATAGCGAATCCTTGCTTCAATTGTCTTGGACAAGCGCAGCCTTATCTGATCCTACGTTGAAGTCAGAGGGCTAGCGAATAGCATCAATGAGGTCGGCTCACTGACAGCTTCCTGCAAACTCATCATCCCTTTCGATGATGCCACCAATGCTGCAATGCTGGGAATACCGGCTTTATTGGCGGCGATCGTACAGAGGGATTCGCGGCCCACAAATGCTTGCTGATGGCATGCCATTCCGCTGAATTGGTGACATGACACGCCAAATCGCCTGAAACAGTTTGGGGCCTCGCGGACTACGGGGGGCCAGACGCTTCTCGGCCGGTTAAGTCAGGTAGCTCAGGCCCTTTACAACCTTCCTGATAAGGACTACAATCCCCATTTCCCTTCGGACTCACTCTCCCCCAATACTATCTATCTGTCTCTTGTACAAGTCTCGTTTCTTGTTTCATAGATAATTCCTCCTCATATCACCTCGTCATTCATTTCTCATCTCTCAATTCTCTTGTTTTGTTTTCTCTAGATTTTGTTGTTTCCACATGAAACCGTTTAGACCCCCATAAAAGACACCAAAAAAACAATAACATCTCTTTCAAGATGGCAACCGCCATGCCAGATGAACCGGACCGGGAGATATCCGAGAACACGCCTCTGCTCACGCAGGCGGAGGACGAGGATGTCGTCGAGCAAGAGCAGGATCCGAGAGACCTATACCGGACCAGTGTCTTAGTTTTGTGCTTCATCATCATGTTCCTGCTGTCCTTTTCTCTCAATATCTGCACCCCAGCCTGGAATGCCATAATGGAGGCTATAATATGCGGCGAACTCAACCCTGAGATCTCGGATCAGCTCACCTTTACCGACGAGAACCCAATTTGCAAGGGCCCCGACGTCCAAGGGAGACTCGCCATGCTCAGAGGCTGGTCTGCCACTATCGAGTGCATTCCAGGTTAGTATCGGCGTTCAGACTTCGGAGTTCACTTCTCGGTGTTCAACTTCGGAGTTCATTTGTGACGTCGTTCTTGCTAACCCATGCCAGGTATCTTCCTTGCTATGCCTTTGGGCTTGCTGGCAGACAAATGGGGTCGCCGCCCGGTGCTGTTTCTGTCCTTCCTGGGGACATTCCTCATGTTCCTCTGGTATGAAGTCGTTTTCCTTTTTGGTTGGCCTGTATGGGTCGTCCTGCTTGGGCCGCTTTGGATGGTCGTGGGAGGCTCATCCGCCGTGGGTGTATCCATGCTGTACACATATCTTGCAGATGTCAGCCATCCCGATGAGCTGTAAGTCACCGCCCTCTTCGCGTATCTTCGTTTTAGTGAACAGAGCAAGCTAATCAGCGGGATAGGGCATCTTGGCTGTTCCGCTTCGCATCCATATTCCTGATCGGAGAGCTTCTGGCAACGCCACTCTCGGGCTTTCTTCTGTCATTTAATGCTTGGTACCCGCTCATCGTGGGCATTGCCTGCTTTGCTTTCAGCCTGATACTCATCCTGTTCCTGCCGGAGACGCTGGTCATCCGGCAATGGCATGACGCTAAGTCGGGACGCACCCCTAGCACGTCTCCCGACCGGTCAGGCGAGCATGCCAAGAAGACGAAGTGGCAGAAGGCTGTCGAATTGATGCGTGAGCAAGCCGATGACATTACGAAGTTCATTTGGGGAAACAAGCGAGTCGTGCTCCTCATCTTCCCCCTTGTATTCATGATTCTCGGAAAGTTCGTACAGGAACTCCTCCTTCAGTACGCTACGAAGCGTTACAACTGGACCTGGAGCCGGGCTGCATACCTTGTGACCATCAAGAGCGCCAGTTTCTTGATACTCATGATCGCGATCTTACCGGCTGTCAGCCTCTTTTGCCTGAAGGTTCTGAAGATGTCGCCCATGTCCAAGGACCTGTGGCTTAGTCGCTGGTCTGGAGTCCTACTCGTCATCGGGGCCCTGTTCATCGCCTTTGCGGCGAGCCCTTTCCTAATGGCGATTGGTGAGTTAATCTGTCATGGATCAATACTCCCAGTAGCGTGTTCTAATTGCTCTATGACAGGCCTCATTTTCATGTCTGCCGGATCTGGATACGCCTCACTTCTGCGCAGTCTGCTCAACTCCCTCGTGGAGCCGCACCACGTCGCCACTGTGAACACGCTCATCGGTTTCATCGACACGGTCGGGCTGATGGTCATCAGCCCCGTGCTGTCGCAGGCGCTCCGGACGGGCGTCAACCTCGGCGGCGCGTGGATCGGGCTGCCGTTCATGGTCGCCTCGCTCCTGTTCATCGTCTCCACCGGTATTGTCTTTGCTTTCAAGCTGCCGCCGCAGCCCGCGGGCCGACAGCAACAGTCCGCCTAATGCATGCCCGAAGATATACCTCCCTTGCCTGCCAATCCCGCTCCCCTGACCCGGGGGGCCGGGTTGTCATGGATGGATTCTGGTTTTGGGCCGGTGCATCCCGCCGCTTACATATGTTTCCATACTTGTCGTTTTGTTACACTAGAGGAGCTCGTGGAAGCTGCTACGGGCCCTGTTAGACGCTAAAGGCGTCCTGGATGTACGATCACTAGACGGTGACTGCTACCACCCTAATATTTGTTATGATAGAATACCCCTGTTGGCATGGCTTCGGCGTTATGAGGGATCGAATGTCGGACTATAACTACAAGACGAGATGGCGTTTGAGGGAAGCATTTAGAGATTTTCTAGAGAGACATTTTTCACTAGGCGGCATCATTTCTCAGCATAGAAGCTACAGAGAGATATAGATCATCCCGCTCACGGCAATAAAGAGAAAGCTGTACCATCAATTTCCACCCAAGCAGCGCATCGATTCGGGAGCTTACACAAACCATGTAATGTAATGTAATGAACAGAGATCCGCCCTGCAACGGCCGCAAAGGACCACTACCTATATTAGGCAGGGGCCACGTCCGGGCCAGAAGCGAAGGCGCTTCCTTCACTCGCGGAAGCCATGACCGACCGGGTCGGCGCCAAATAGGCAAGTTCCTGTTTGAGCAAACCAGCTGCTTCGAAGAAGCCACCCACACGAGCCACACTATCGGAAATCTGCCAGATTTGACGAGCCAGAATCGATATATTGTAAAACGAGCCGCGTGGAGGAACGGGCAGCGCGGGGGCTGGCTGATGGCTCTGGCCAGAACTCACCGGGCGTTGAGGCCATTGAGACGAATAATTGCACAGAATGACTGACGCTTTACCTAAGTTTGCTGAAGAAACGAAAGGCACAAGCCCCGAGCGCCGAGCGCCGCCGCCGTTCGCTCGTTGGCAGAAGAAGCCTTGGCTTGCCGAGCCGCCGCCTCAAAAGCTTTTCCCAAATGTCCTCTCTATGGTGCAGGCGTGGCGTCGTCGTCTGCTTTGTTAGTCCTGTCGTATTATCTGCGTTGCCCCTGAGTGGACGGTGACGATAGGGTGGTGGATTGAGGATGGCGCCCGTTCACGTCCCTACTGTGGGAGCCGGCCCCAAGGTGCGCAGTAGTGGGAGAAACGGAGCGGCTGCACCGTCTAGTCTAGTGTTTCGTCTAGTCTAAGAGAAAAGCCCATCCGCGGCCAGATGGGAAAGCCGGCAAAAGGAACAAAAGGGGGAATTGGAGGAATGGACACATGGAGGAAAACTTACATCTGTCGTGATATCTACGAGTTTCACACAAGAACGACAGATCTGTCTCTGCATCCTCTGCGGCGCGTCAATAAGCTTAACGTAGCGGAATGGCAATGTAAGTTCTGGGTAGAGTTGCAGCCCGGCGGCAGCTGCCGACACCGACTCTCCAAATCGGGAGATTACTGTAAATTAAAGAGAGCATGGACTGTGCCCAGGACTATCGATTCTCCCCTTCAGCCTCAAATCTTGTCGGGAGACTAGAGAGCGCCTCTTGAGCGTCTAGAAAGAAGAATACTAATTAACGTTAGAGCATCAGCTTGCTCTTTCTGGCATCATGCGCATTGAACTGTCTTCAGGGTCCCGGCGGGCTGGTGAGTCTTTGTCTTTGTTGTGAGGCGGAGACGTGGGGAATGCCAGTGGCATCTCGATGGCCAGATAGACAGACGCGTCTGACTTTGCTGACTCTTCACCTTCACACGCGACAGCCGTCTATCCTCATCTAATCTCTGAAGTCTACTGTAGATCGACAGTACACCGGTCTTTTCCTACGCAAAAAGGGGCCCCCAGTTACATTTTCTGCAGTTCACGATCCTTCTACAATAAGTTAGCAGGACGTCATTAAAGTCTCCGTGTACTCTAATAGACGGGCAGGGGGACCCCCCCGACCATGGAAGCCAGTGATGCGCATGGCCTGCCCGCTTTTGGCCGTGCTACTCTTAGATTAGGAGGACCCGTCTTATCGTGGAACCCCTGCGTTGAGCGATGGAAGTGCATTTGCATGGGTAATCGGCGTGAATGCCCATTGAAATCTTACAAAGGAAAAAAAAGGAGCGTCTTCTCCCACCATGTCCACGGGCTGCAGCAGCAACCCCTGAACGCTTATACTTAGTGAGCCCAGCTATCGGCTCTTGGCACATGCATGCATGCGGGACGCCCCCCATACCGCGTGCATGCCTACTGCATGGTAGACGCAGGAACAGGCGACGGACTCGTTCACAAGTGCCAACCAGGCTCGAAGATGCCCCCGTACCTACTATGCAGTAAAAGGCACGAACATGGAAGTGAGGAGGAAGCGTGGGCAAGCATGGGCAAGCATGGGTGCCCGGAAGACGGCGTTACTTAGTACCCTCAGATATCAGATACCTTACTGCAGTGTAATGCAAATGCAAATGCAAATGCAGCCCATTTTAACTGCAGTTGATAAGTTAATTCTATACGGGGCCTTGTTTCGTTGACCGCGGCGCGTATCGACCTGCCTTAGTGCGTCCTCACCGTCCCTGCACTAGCAGCCTTGTCCGGTCGCTGCTCAGCTCGTATTAATACAAAGGTCTCGCGATCGTCCATCCTAAGCCCTTACCTGAATCCTGCTTGCTTTTCGACGTCTTCTCTCTCGCCGCCTCGCTTAGTAGCCCTTCGCTTGCTCCTTGTGTGTCTCTTCTCTAGACACGTCCAGTCCTTTATAGAACAAACAGACAGCACCGGAATCCGGCAACGCGACGTCCCATCTCAGTGGAGAAAGCTTACATCCTTACCTTACCGCCTTGCCGTACACGGGAGATCTGCTTGGCGACGTTAAACTGGACAAGGAAACGCCCCGCGTTGTTCGCGCACAAGCTTACTTCACTCATTGCCCCTGAAGCCACAAGCCCAGAAGCCCACGAGCCGGCGTGTCATCGACCCTCGAAATTCCAGCGAACCGTACGGCACAAGCCAAAAGTCAACACTCGCTTGTTTGTCGCATTCTTCTCTTCACCCTCGCCGCTTGGTGCTTCTTTTCTAGGAGGAGTCTGAATAGACTTAATTGGGGTTATTTCTTTCGAGGCTTCCACCGGACAGGGCGATATGGACTGCTAGCAGATCGAGTCGAGAAAGACGGCAGTACCGACCGACATTCGCTTCACCAGTCATTCCTTTCCCCTTCGACGGGCATTTTTACACAAAGCGTCGTGGTCTGGAGTTCGAGCCTGACCTTCGGACCCGGAAGTCTTCTTTCGACGAGTTTGACGCGAAGATTCAGACTCTTCAGTTCATCATTTCATTAATTGATTGAGTAATCTACTGTTCGAACCCGAGAAGCGACTTCCATTCTCCAGCCATTGAAGACGCCTGACAACTCAATTGTGCAGTTTTGGTCCTTTAATTCACGATATCAACAATGGTTTCCTTTTTCGGTCTCAAATTCGGGGCCGACAAGAAGAAGTGAGCTTCAATCCTGCTCAATACGCTCGCAACCACTTAAGCAATCTGCTGACACACCACACAGGAAGGAGCCCGAGGGCAAGAAGGCGCCGCAGGAATGGAAGAAGATCGACCAGAACGCGCTGGGCGAGGGCCAGTTCTTCGGGCGGGACATCCACCGCAAGGGCGTCGTCAACGGCAGCATCCGCTCCGTCTCGCGGCCCGGCACGTCGCACTCCACGAGGGGCACGTCGCCGTACGCCATGCAGACGCACAACTTCGCCGCGTCCAGCATGTACGACCTGTCGAACCTGGACCGCGGGCGCAAGGGCAGCCTCGGCAGCCTGAAGCCGTTCGCGTCCGACGCCAACCTGCGCATGCGCTTCAACAATGCCTCCTCCACCAGCCTCGCCGCGCCCCCGCTGCCGATGCCGTCGTACGGCTCCGGCTCCCGCCCGGGGACGCCCAATTCGACGCGCAACAAGGCGTGGGTCAACCCGCTCGACGTGCACTTCTCGCGCCCCACGACGCCCGCCATGCCCCAGACCCCAAAGTCGCCGCTGGGACAGTTCGAGTTTGGTGTTAGTGAGAAGGCGGAGACGTCGTCGCTGTTCGGAGACAGCCCGGAGAAGGTGGCCGAGGAGATATCAGCCAGGGTAGCCCTGGATCAGGAGCGCGCCAGGGCAAAGGCTGAGATGGAAGCTAGGGCGAAAGCCCAAGCTGAGCTGGAGGCGCAGGCGAGGAGGCATGCTGAGGCCGCATCGCCGCCGACATCCCCGCCCATGTCGATACCGTCTCCTCCGGCTTCGATGAAGAGAGAACCGGGCCCTATCATCATCGGGCCTGGTCCTGCGCCTCGCTTCCAAGGGCCCGCTGCCAATGACGAGAGACCGCCGAGCAGAGGAAGAGATAGACCAAATGGCGGAGCCCCTGGTCCCCGCGGACCTGGCTCACGGCCGAGAGATCCTAGGGAGCGCGAGCCACGAGGCCCGAAGCATCATGCTGGGCCTCATGGACTGCCGTCGCCTCCATTGTCCCAAGGCACAAGATTCAGCGAGGAGAAGGCAAGCAGGCCAATCATTCAGAACGTCAGAGCGAAGCGTGACACCCTGACAATCAGCGGAGCCAAGCGGAAGAGCTTAGAGATGGAGATCGACGAGTTTGAGAAGTCCCTCGTGAAAGCGCAGGAGGGCCGCAAGGGGAGTTCCGGCAGCAGCCACTACAGCGAGGGGATCGACGACAGGACGCTCGGCGAACCCATGCTGCCACCCCTAGCACCGCCGCCGTTGCAGGAGCAGCGCAAGCCGTCTCCTCAGTTTGTCCAGCCGCAGAGGACGCAGAGCCCGATGGGTAGAGCGCCGCCTGTGCGCGGCCCGAACGCACCGCGGCGGCCGAATCCTGACGAGTATGGTGCCTCGTTCCGTCGCGCGGAAAGCCCGATGGGACGGGGCCCGACTGGTCGTCCCCCGCGACCGGCGCCGGAGGAGTACGGCGTTCCCATCCATGGCCGATCGGAGAGTCCCATGGGTCCACCGCCCATGGCTCGTCAAGCGCGCCCGGAGAGCCCAATGGGACGGCCCCCGATTAACGGACCTCAGCGGACACAAAGCCCCATGGGCCGTGCCCCAATGGGAAGGGAGCCTCGACCCCAGAGTCCGATGGGCCGCCCTCCCCAAATCAACCCTGGACCGCGAGCGGAAAGCCCCATGGGCCGACCAAGGATGAATCCCGGCCCCCGGCCTGAGAGTCCTATGGGGCGACCGCAGAGGCCTGCTGGAAAACGCCCGGAAAGTCCGATGGGTCGCCCGCGGATGAACCCAGGACCGCGCCCCGAAAGCCCGATGGGCCGGCCGCCCCAGATGAACCATGCCAGACGACCAGAGAGTCCGATGGGTCGGCCTCCCATGAACCGACCAGCCCGTCCGGAGAGCCCTATGGGCCGTCCTCAGATGAATATGGGACCACGGCCAGAGAGCCCTATGGGTCGACCACAGATGCCAGCTGCAGCACGACCTGAGAGTCCTAGGGGTCGTCCCCAGATGCCTGCTGCAAGGCGGCCAGAGAGCCCCATGGGCCGGCCACGCATGAACAATGGTCCACGACCAGAGAGTCCAATGGGTCATCCCCGAATGCACAATAGCCCGCGGCCAGAGAGCCCTGCTCCCGCAAGAAACTCACCGCGTGCTGCCGATTTCCAGAGCGAGAGCTATCATCCACCAGTGAGGAAGAACACGCCGCCCGAGTTCCGGCAGCCGAACTGGAACCCTCCCGCCCCTGCTCCTGCCCCTGCTCCTCAACATGAGCTGCGCAGAGAGGATTTCTCAGCACCACAGCCCCAGGTCGTCGCGGCCCCGGCGAGGGATGACCCGAACTGGCCGCTTCCATCACCTACCGTGATGAGCTCGCCAACAATGCCAAGCCGGCCGAAGCGAGGACCTCCACCGCCGATAAACATCGCGGCAACTCTCTACGCAGACGACATGAGCCGGGGCCCGTTCACGCCGCCGGTGGGCAACGGCGGCCATCACTTGATGAGCCCCGTCGAGGATCGGCGCCCGCACACGGCGGGTCTCCCTGGGAGTGAGGACGGCATTGGCATGGCGAGGGGCCCGTCAGTCCGCGGTGATCACTTCGACAGCAGGAGGCCGAACTACGGGCTGAGGAGCCCGACGGGGATTGCGGATGAGTACGGCACGGGATTCATATGATATCACGACAGTCAGTTGATAGATATGCTGGCGGGGGATGACTACACGAGGTTATGGGAGGACAGGCAGGTACGGCACTCTTATCGTTCACATTCTGTGGGTTGACACTACCCATTCATGTTGCACGGGGAACATATATATATATGGGCACTAGAGATCTACGGATAGATAAGAGGGATGATACAATATAGATATGGGTACACCAGGATTGGCGCAACATGGCGACTACCTAGACACGAATATATACACGCAGCGCGATCTGATTTGGATAAAGACTATGAAGGAGATAATATAATCATGAGCATGGATATCACTGTTCGGTTCTCGCTTAGTGCTACTGTTTCTGGACATGGTTGTCAAGGTGCGGTTTCACTGATTTTCAAACAGCTGGAGAAGCAATCGAAGGTGATAGTCTACCATTTGATGCAAGGTGATTCATTCATCACTGCTAGTCTGGCGCTAGACGTCTTGTCAGCTCAAATTCATTCGTGTAACAAGTCACAGTATATGCTGGGCTGTATTGTAATTGCTTTTTGCTGCAAAGTAGGTGAGGTGTGACGGGTGTGCTGCCCCCACGCCATAGACAGTCCTATCAGTGGTATCTCGTAAAAACCGACTGACAGCTTAGAGTCAGCTGCTCATCGCCGGCTTGATAATGGAAAGGCATGTTTCCAAAGAACTAACTAGCGAATACATCAAGTCATTTCTAGAGAGGGTTAAGCGGTGCCCAAGGAGGCAGGCAGTCTTGCGATGCGGCTCCGTGTAACTGTAACGGGCGTGCTTCCGCTGCCGGTTCGCCGTTCCGCTCTGCAGGACGGCACCGAAGAACCGGGCATCCCATCCCATCCCATCCCACTGACTGGGGGAATACTACAATAGATCCCAGACTAGATACGGCTGCAGCGCATACGGCAGACTTGCGCGAAGCGAATCTGCAGAACATCAAGAAAGCTCCATCCGCAAGATGCGAAAAATCCATCATGCGTGGGACAGAGCATCTGGACCGGGTCTATCACGGCGCTAAACGGCGACGACCGCGTTACCCGCAGCTCTAGAAGCCCGCTAGCCGACTCCGCTAGCATGGCGTGCAAGGGTCGTTGGCCGGAAGGCTCTCAGGGCGCTCTAGGGTTCTCTCGCTCTGTAGCGTTGGGGTACGTGTGGGAAGTTCAGCCAGTGGGGACCGCCCACCGACCACCGGCTGGGCTACGGGCGACCCTCCAGCTTGGTGGCGAGTCAACTTTAACTTTCCTGCGAGCGGCTAAGAGAAAAAAAAAAGTTCTTTGCAGAAGAGCTCTTCATAAAGGTCTCAACAGCTTCGTTTCGCTTTTTCGAAACAGACCTCTTCTCTCGCCCTCACGATATCCCAATCAGGCACATCGTGACGCCTCACTCAATTACTCCCTCAGTATCATCTGAGGAGATTCTCTCTCATACAGCATCACTTACACAACATCGCCTATGTGCTTCAGCCTGTCCTCGGCTCCCTCGACCTTCCAGTTCACGGCACACCGATCCATGTGCCGGCCCAAACGTCAATAAGACAGACAGCAGGCGACTTTAAGTCTTTGCGCTTGCTGAAGGGGACGATAGAAAGACTTAGACAAGAGCTCTTCAATTGCCATCTTGCCTAACTTATATCCACACACAAATATAACCTCATAGTGAAGAGAGGTAAAATCTCACACAAAATAGACCTTGGTTGAGAACCGTGCTTGATAGAGAGAAGCATCACCAAGGACTACAACCTGGTAGTTTATGCAAAGTGCCATAAACACCGCAAGGACACTCCGAGACCAACTGCTACATAGCTCCAGACACGCTGAATCAGCAGGATACGAGCTTCTCAGCATGACTGCCACCACAGCTCAGGAACCGGCCCTCTCCAAGGCCCACGACCAGTACGAGGGGCCTGCTACCCCCGAACAGGTCAACGGCCCCAGCGAGAATGAGGCCGTCGCGCATGGTCTCCAGGCCATTGAGGCGCAGAAGGTGCACTGGTACTCGTACCTCACAACTGTCGACTTCTGGCTCATCCTCGCCATCGGCCAGGTGCTGGCGCTGTGTATCACGGCTACCAACACCTTCACCACGTTTATGGCCAACTGGGGCACCAACGTGCCTGCCTTCCAGACCTTCTTCAACTACGTGTTGCTGAGTCTGATCTACATCCCGCTGACGCTGTACCACCACGGCCCGCGCAAGTATGGCTCGATCATCCTGCGTGACGGCTGGAAGTACTTCATCCTGTCCTTCCTGGATGTCGAGGGCAACTACTTCACCGTGCTGGCGTACCGCTACACGAACTTGCTCAGCGCACAGCTGCTCAACTTCTGGTCCATCGTCTGCGTCGTCATCATCTCCTTTTTCCTGCTGCGCGTGCGCTACAAGCTGTTCCAGATCGCCGGCATCCTCGTGTGCTGCGGCGGCATGGGCCTGCTGCTGGCCTCGGACCACATCACGGGCAGCAACGGCGGGCCGGGCGTGGACATGCTCAAGGGCGACCTGTTCGGCCTGCTCGGCGCGACCTTCTACGGCATGAGCAACGTCTTCGAGGAGTGGTTCGTCAGCAAGCGGCCCATGTACGAGGTGCTCTCCTTCCTCGGGCTGTGGGGCATGTGCATCAACGGCGTGCAGGCCGCCATCTTCGACCGCGCCTCCTTCGACGACGCGACCTGGAACGGCCCCGTCATCGGCTACCTGGTCGGCTACACGCTGGCGCTGAGCATCTTCTACACGCTGGCGCCGCTGATCCTGCGCATGGGCAGCGCCGCCTTCTTCGACATCAGCCTGCTGACCGGCAACTTCTGGGGCGTCATCATCGGCATCCACGTGTTCGGGTACGCCATCCACTACCTGTACCCCATCGCCTTCGTCCTCATCATCTTCGGCCTCGTCGTCTACTTCCTCGCCGGCTCCATGCTCGGCGACAGCAGGAAGCCCTGGCTCGGCGACAACCAGGAGGACGGCGTCGCGGGCATCGGCACCGCCAAGCTCAAGGCGCTCAACATGGCGCGCAAGCAGGGCCTCGTGGCTGCCGAGGGGCGGGAGCAGCACCAGCAGGTTTAGATGGTCTCGGGGTGTTCAAAATTCAGGGGAAAACGGAAAGGGGGCTGACTTGGGGGTTTATCTGGCGAGCGTTGGGCTGGTGGACTTTCGATGAGTAGACGAGGGATGGATGATTTGAGAGAAACGAGGAACTGGCTTCATTCTTTTGCTTTGAAGTGCGGCTAAGCTCCGAAAGGGGCTTGGCTGGACTGAAGAGCGATGTGCTTGAAGTACTGGCTTTGAAGTTGCATTTTTGGCTTCGTATACCCTCATTCACGTCAAGGGGCATACTCCCTTAGCACACAATGCAACAATATTCTATATCACGATGCTGCTTTTCTTTTGAGGCCTGCCATAACGGTCGTGAGGAACACTTCCCATGTTCATCACCAGAATGTATAAATTGGTGACCGCAAATTATTATTAATTACCGATGCAAGTTGATACACTAGGGACATACTTGCACTTGCTGCGGACTACGTGAGGTGAGACTAGGATGACCGTCTACAACGGGTTCAGCTCAAGCTACCAATCTCACTACAGCTCTCGGTGGTTTCATAGGCCACGCCAAATTTTCTGAAATAAGGCGCCATCTACGATTTACATATTGGCGTCTCGACTACGGTAAAGCTGTAGGCAAAGTTAGGTCTGCACGGCATGTAAGTGCTTGGTTCAAGACCCCAATAGGGGTTGAAGAGTTCAAATAGGCACACAGCCACTGCTCGTACCAAAGAGTAGTCTCTCCTGATTAATCCATTAGCTTTAAAAATGACCTTGTCAAACGCTCATGCATAAATCCAGCATGGCACAGGCAGTCGCTCCGAGTTGCTTTTTCAGATCTCACGATCTGTGTGCACCTGACTCCGTACCAATGGCGGTGCCTGCTCTCAAGCCACGCACAGCCTCGTACGAGGATGTTCCTTGCAAACGACATCAAGACAGTAATGGGCAAAACTGGTACTGGCCAACATGCGGACTCGACGGGAACACCCGCCAACCTCGAGGACTAAGGATGAATCGTTGGTGAGAGAGATATCGAGCACACAGCCGCGCTGCATAGGGGCGCATTCTCGCTGCCTTGTAGTTGCGGGATTGACACATGCATGGTATGACACTTGTCAAGCAAGTGAACCAACACCGCCAGAGAGGCGTTTGAACTTGTTCAGATACCGAGAGCCGTTGGTTGGCAGTCAGTTGTGGCGAGGCTATCCCCGCCGAGGGAAGGCTCTCTCTCACGTCATTCCGCATAGGCGGAAAACCAGGCGAGCGGGGGGTTGGTTGTTCTCCGCTTTGCTGTTCAGAGAATGAGGGAGCTTGAAGAATGTCAAGGTCAAGTACCGAGACGGCGGGATCAACTCGCTCGGAATCAGCAGGGACACATTCAATAAAGATAACGAATCTCGATGGGGGGTGGGTGTCTGTTCGACATCCCGCCTAGCCTGTAAGCGGAAAGTCTCTGGGCGGTGCGGGTCAGAGCTCTGGGAAAGCTGTCGTCCTCATTCGACGGGTCAGCTTGCCATAGCTCCAGAGGATGTGCGGGATGATTCTTGGAGGCGAGCGTTATGTCGCCGAGCTCCCTCCGCAACGAGCAGTAGGAAGCTTGTCATTGCTGATGAATTGCCTCGGAGGCGGCGATGGACTAACATCAACCCCACTTCCCTCAAGGCGGGGTGAGGGAGAGGTCGATTTCCAGGATTGGAGAATGGAAGCTTCAGATGCAAGCGACGGGAGCGCCGAATACAGGGTGTGAGGGGGGAATAGCTTCTAGTCAAGGTCACGGCAAAACCTATCTTCTAGAGGCTCCATCTTTGGATCGTTGTCATAAGGCTGAACGATTATACTAGTCGAATATGAAGAGAGATTCGGGATGCGTAGACGGCTCCTAAGCTCTCTCACCTACGGAATCGTTGGCTAGGTCCTTGGGGAGAATTGCTAGGATGTCCCTCACTCGAAGAAGTAATCGTCAGACTTGGAGACGGCAGCATCGGCAGTAGTTGTTGGCTGCACAACCAAGGAGCGATTACGCATCATCTGCACCCTCTCGTCGCTCTAGTCGAGTTCATGGGCATTTCCCGCAAAATGAGGTGTTTGGCTCGAATCGCTCTATGGAAAAATTTCAAGGTTGTGAACACCACTTTCGGCTGACAGCTGGGCGTTATCATTTGGTTCGGATCAGTGGCCGCCCAGATCCGGACGAGGTCGGTCAGTATATAACTTTATTAACAGACCGTAATTAGGCGGATTCTGGAAGTTCTAGCGCGTTCAACCTCAAATTAAGATCTCACGCGCCCCAAAACCTCCCTGGAGCCATGATGACAAGCGTCATACGTTGCCGCAGCTGTGCTGATGCTTGCCAATTTAAGCCGGCAGCCTTGTTACTGCTGCGTGGTTGTTGCTCGTGTCGAGCTGGGAGACGCAACCAGTACAGATTCGAAGAACGAAGATCGCTTCGGGAAATCAGTTCGTCCAGACCACGAGAGATGCTATTTCGCGATGTGCAAACGGCGGGTCCACCAGGTCATTCTCCGTAAAGCGTGGTAACCCTGCAAGCCTGTTCTGCCCGAAATTTCGCTCGCGGTCTGTCCGGTCTGGGGGAACCGTTGCATGGCTAGGCACGGGTTTGCTGCCATATATGGCGAAGCTTGCCGTCACTGGTACTACCTTGGGGTAGCTGGGGCTTACTCTGCAGCAAAGTGGCTCCAAAGATCAACTGCCCAGCCATAATTCGATCAGGAGAGGCTCGCGAATCTAAGGGATGAGAGGTTTCGCAGCCTCAAGCATGCTGTAAGCCAACTATTGACTTACTTATGTAAGACTGCAATCATCACGTCCTTGGCCATTGGGAACGGAAGTCAGAAAGATATGTTCTCACCTCTGGCCTATGTCCCTGGTCTGCATGTTGAAGATCGTAATCGCGAGGTCGAGCTTCGGCACCCACAGGGCAATTAAGGGAGAGAGATACATGAACGGTACATATCTAACCAGGTGATTTACCTAAAGGCAACGCATATGCCTAGCGATTGAAGTTGTGGGCCGAGCAGATCTCTGAACCGGTCACTCGCTCATCATCCAATGGTCCAAAATGCGACATATCGATACATTTGGCGAGCCACTAGGAGGGTGCAGACTTGTCTATTACCGGTTACGGAAGCTCGAGTTGGGTTGAAGTCAGAAAGTGGCAGTTATTTGGCGAGTTATCTGTCGCACTGCATCCTTGTCAGGAAGCATTCTGACGCACCAATGCGAAAGCAAACGTAGAAGCCCTTAGCAGTCCCCGAAGGGAGCGGGCTGTTCAAGCTGTTGTTATTTTATCAAGTATGTCGTTAAGAGGCATTGATGTTGAATAGCAAGCATCGAGGGGAACTAGACTTGGCCTGATTTTACAAGCCGCCAACTGCGCTTATTGAGAAAATGCTAGTACCTTGATGAATGTAGACATGGTTCGTGCGCCAAGTATACTACTTGCTGTGTAATTCAATGTTGCGATCCTTTGATATCATAGATCGTTCGCCGCCCAAGGGCACCCAGGCTGAAGTACTGCTACGAAGCAGTACAGGTGAGCAGGGGAAACCCATTATGTGTGCCAGAGTGTTGATGAGGCGGCACATTGTCCCAGTTATCCGGAATACCGAACTCCAGTGAGTAGTTTGAGACAAGAGGCAAAACTCCCCCACCACTGTGTGAGGTTCCGGGCGGCTCCTGGTGGATTCTTGCCAGTTACCGCTGTGACATTAACCTCCAGTACATTGAACGGGCCATTGTAAGTCGTCAGAATGTCGGAATGGGTGTCGCATGTCCCGTTTACAGTCGACTGATATCAATCGCCTTTTAGGGTGCTTAGTCGAAGGGATTGCCCGTTCCATGTCCTAACTGTGATTTAATCACATCTGTTCCAGCAAAGTTTCAATTGCCATGTGTGGATAAGATGGACATGATTGGCATCCTCTCAGGAATACCATCGTCTGCGCGAATTTGTGTGATGAGGGGCAAAATGGGTAAGGATAGAACCCTTTCTAATGCCTAGATCAAAGAAGCCATTGTGACGAGGCTCAGGATGATATACCTAGGTAGTGATTCGTGAGGTACACGCCGACTCCCAGAATGCAGGGCTCTGGTGCAGTGCAACGTTTGCGAGGATCTGACGGCAGGCTAAACGGGATAAGGGACGCTTGCGTATGCCTTGGGAAGGCAAAAGGGGAGGCGCCAACCGTGATTGCGACTGGCACAGGGTATTCCAGGGTCTTAAGCTTGAATATGGTTCTCGTCAATCGAGTGACACGAAGCTGGGCAGTTCAAGTCATGTGGGAAGCACACCTCGCATCCCACGTGGAGCCCTGGAGAGAAGAAGAGATACTCGATAATTGAGTGACTATATGGACAGAGCGCTGTGTCCACCACCCCCAGTGGGATACTTCGTAAGCAATGCATGTCATCGTCGTAAGGAAGGATGCAGATGTTGAAAATCCACATTGAGTGTAGGAGTGAGCGGTCGAAATATCAATGTTGCTGTCGGCCCGTCCGCGTTGGAGAAAGAGCTGGCAAGGCCAGGCCTAATTAAGCAAGTCCCAACAGCCAGACTGAAAGGAGGTTCAACTGAGGACAGACAGTATCATACTGAATGTCTCACAGGAAAGAGCTGTTTCGATTCTTCAGAAAAGGCAGTCGTCTTTTTTTGGTTGCCCATTATTGTCCTCGCCTCATGCACTAGAGCAAATGTGAAGCTGGACTCTTCGTGGGTTGATATCTTGCCCATTGAAGGCGCCACCCTTGTCAGTCCTCGAAGGACTGCAGATAGACGGGGTGCTGCTTCACTAGAACATGCAGCGAACGAATCTTGGTCCACAAGGCCCAGGAGATGGGAGACCCTTGGCGCCAAAGGACTGTTGTGCAGTACAGTAATTAAGGATAATTATCTCCTGAACATCCCTGGCATAGGTATCTACATCTGCATGGGATGCTGCCGATATCAAAAGACTTGTAGACCGTTCTCACCCAAGGTCTCTAGACTACTCACTGAACCTTGGCTCGGAAGGCGTCTTGTGAGATTGGCACTACTCTTCAGTGCGGTCTTCTCCTGCGAGAGAAAATGACGTGCGGAGTTGCAATGGCAGGAGCGATGGAAAGACGGCATCTTTTTTGGCGATTTAGAGGCTTGGCAAAGGCGGGTACTTGAAGATACTTGCAATCACACACAGAGTGGAGTGAGGGGACTTACAGTACTTGCTCCATTGTCAGCCCAGAGTCCCAGGAATTGGAGGGCTGAAAAGAAAGGAGGGAAAGCGTTAAGCTAGACAAGCCATCTCTCGGGTTTTGCAGGGAAATGACACTGGACTTGAGAGGAGCAGCGATGTCCAGCGATGAGGAATCTCAGGATGAATCAGCCTGATCTTGTGCAGGTAGGTGCGACTGATGCGGACGGAGTGCTGCGAATTCCAATTCTGAAAGTCGTGCCTTCCGTCCATAGATGGATACTTCCTACTGACGTCGCGACCCCTATAATTCAGACGATATCTTTCTCCAGAGCGCCTGCCCCTTTTGCGGATGCCGTTTTGCCCTTGTCTAAGATTCGGTTGGGTTCCAAGGTTGGTGCAAGCGCAAGAGAAATTGGAGAACCGCCCAGTACGGTGTCTCGCAGCCGTGATATGATAGCCCCGGTTTCGACGCTAGGTAATATAAGAAAGTGATGGATGTCGTGAATGACATGGACAAGGTACCAGGTACCCACGTTCCACGCCCCAGAACGCTATCGCCGCTGGTCTCGAGTTCAATTTCCTTGTCTCTCCACCCACGTCTCCACGGCCGGCATCGTCAGATCCATCCCACTTAAACAAAGCAGGTGTTGCCGCCGGTACGGTCGCGGTTCGGAGTGTGTGATCTTTAGAGGAGAGATAGAGAGAGAGAGAGAGAGAGAGAGAGAGAAACAGTCCTGTAGTAGGTACCTGATTCCTGGGATGGAAGTCGACCGCGGGTTGGCTTGACCCAGACCATAGCCGTCAACGACACCAGCAAGACAGATACCTGCAGATGAGACTCCGAATTTCCCGTCAATTTTGGGTGCTCTCCAACACCTGCAACTGTTGAGCGCTGATTCGACGATTTCATGGTAACCGTACGCACACCACACACAATTCATTCACATTTCACTCGCATGCACTCGTCGCTCAGTCGGTTGACCGACGTTTGGTGCCGGCTCGGGTCTACTACGCAGTATTCCTAGCCCATCTCCATGTCCATCTTTCGCCTGCCGCAGGTCATCGTAACGTAGCCACCCATCCCATTATTAAGTAGGTAGGTAGGTAGAGCATACATGCCTGCTTTACACTTCATCACTCAATCTTGCGTCGGCTGCTTTCTCATGTCCATCACCCACATCCCCTCCCCCGGGCCAATACGCTACTTACTCCCTGCCCTTTCTTCCGCCCGGGTTGCTCTACCTCAGGTACGTAGGTAGTCTAGCACAAGTCGGGTCTGCCATCCCCGACAAATTGATTGCTCCTTGGCCGCTGCAACACCACGCAAAACATCGAACCTGTGGGCTGTGGACGAGAAGGGTACTTCCCGGCTAGACTCTAGACTCCAGACCCAAGCAAGACACGAGCGCGACTCGACTCGACTCGACTCGACATTGAAGTTGCCTATTTCGAGATTGAGAGAGCTGAGGCGCGTGGTCGAATCATCTGTGAGTTTCTCTAAGTCGTTGCCTTGCGGGCGCAGTGGATTTGTCTTCTCCTGTCCAGCCCAGTGCTGAGTGCTGTTCATCTTCGACACTGATCGTCTATTCGCTCCGTTTTCCTGCGTGTCCCTCCGTGTACTTCCGTCGCTCCTCAAGCCTCTTACACCACCAGTCGCACGCGGGCAAAACGGAAGGTACCTCGCTGGTCACTTCCCTCTCTTCCCTGCCCCGGCCGGCGGGCGCATCCCCATCCCCATCCCCATCCCAATCCCATCCTATCCTATCCCCTGCCGCCCACGCTGCGCTGCTCTGCGTCTCCTTTCCCTCTCGAGACTTTCTGTTACCTTATTTAAATTTTTCCCTATTACTTATCAAACGTCTTCCTCCACCACCACCTGACGCCCCGGGACACCCTTCTCTCAACCTCCTTCGTGCTCCATTTTATTTTCATTTGCCTCTCTAGTCCGGGTTCACTTGGTCTCTGCTCTCACGAGCCGAACGGGCCTAAAAATTAGATCGGCCCACGGACACTTGCGCCGCGTTCTTCAACTTTCCCCTTACTCGCCCTCCTCTCCCACGCACCGCACCGCTGCTGCTAATCATCCTCGGGCCCTCCTTTCCTCTCCTAACCTCATCCACTTTCTGGGACCAAGTAAAAAAAGAGCCCCCCCTTCTTGCGCGCCCGGCTTGGTACTTTCCCCTGCCTTCTTTCCTCAACCGGCTTGTTCGCCTGTCACGTCTCGCAAACCTCTTGAGAAGCATAGGAGCGGATTCGGTCTGGGTAAGTTGCAGCTGAGACAAGCATGACATCGAGTGATAGGCGCGCGCAAAGTCAAAGTCGAAATTATTTTTTTTCCCGCCGCGCATGCCATGATTTCCTCGCTCCGCACTCACTCCAAACACCACTTTCCTTCCTAGAACCTCTCAAACGCACTGTCCTACGCACGTCACACTTACCTCAAGAGTATTTTGCGCGCCGCCGTACTAATACAATAACCTCGCAGAGTCCTTTCAAGACGGCGAACCTACTTCCTCCCTCCCCATCTCTGCGAACACCAGCCTGCGGCTAGCCGATCCAGCTCCGAGACTCTAGAAGACAGCGAGCGATCATGTCATATTACGATAACTCACAATGGCCAGCTGCTGGACAGTCCGGATGGGATCACCAGACTCCACCCGCTCGTTCTGGTTTGTTGCCAGTATCTTAGCGTGGCACTGGCATTGATTGACAATTGTTACAAACAGGCGCCAGCTCGGCGATACCACGGGAAGAGCCTGCCGCGTTCACACATCAGATTGAGGGTATGTTGCCTTTTGGGGATTTTTTGGGGGATTTGCGCAAGCACTTGATATCTGCCTCCGCGCATATCATTCATTATGGTTGTGGTGGAGGAATTTGCGACTCAGAGTTGGTGAAGCGACTGCGTGCTGACATGCGACTTTCAGAGGTCGACAGAGCCATTGATAATCTCGTTAAGAGCGGGAAGATGTTTGGAGGCCCCGGCCGACGTGAGTCCGCTACCTAATTACAGCCTTGCCAGGTTATATCCAGACTTTGCTTGATCCGTCTGGGACTGGCCGGGCTGAGCCGCCAACGTACGGAAAACTGACTTGAATATCACAGATGGGCGTTCGGGGGCGGGAGCCGGTAACCGACCGCCATCCGTAGGCGAATTCGGAGAGGGTCGAGGCGCTCACCAGCAATCGAACTTGCAGAACTTTTACGCCTCCCAGAGACACCAGACCTCGCGCGGCTCCAACGAGGCGGAGCAGGTGATGCAGGCAAAGAGGAGGATGGCGGCTCAGCGGGAGCGAGAGCTTCGAAATTACCATCAAGAGCAGCAATACAACCGAAGTAGGCCGCCCTCTTCTGTATAGCATCAAACTCCTATCGCAAATTCAAAAAAAGACGCATTCCGCCTCCAGGGGTCAGAAGCTTTGTTGTTCCACATGTTCTTGCCCCAGCGGTCGAAGCATCCTGTCCTCGCTGCTTCTCTTGATATTCTTGCGTAAAGATCGGCACTGCGATGTTCACGGCTTCTGGCATATCGTTCATGACTTAGATAAGATCATTGGCTAACTTGTGCTACTTAGCTGTTCTCGCTGAATTGTCTTCCTACGGCAACAAGCCCGATCGTACCCTCAGCCCAAGCGGTATGTCCGAGGATGATCGCCGTGAACTCATTGCGCGTCAGCGCGAGGCCCTCTATCGCGAGGGAGCCGCCAGCTACGTTGATGAAACTGGTACTCCACGCTCGGGTCCGCCAGCGCCTCCAAACGGGCCAGCTAGCATGCGCGGACAGTCTCCATTGACCTATGAATACGGTCGCACTCCACCGATCCACCCCGATGCTGGATCACAACCTCCTGTTGAAGGTGCGCAGGGATCGCAGTCCGCAGGACCAAACCAACGGTCGCGTGCAAACAGCAATGCCAGCCCTCAATCCAACAATGCTGGAAACAAGGGCGTGTTTGAAGGCACAAGCCGTACCAGCAACTCTTCTCCTGGCGGATCCCCGAGCAATGTGAAGCCGCAGGGCGGCAATGCCGTAGCGCCAATTGGTACACGGCCGTCCGGCACTGTGCCTGGAGCGTCAAACCAAGCCGCACAGAATCCGGCTCTAAACAAGCGCTCGACGACGCCGCTGCCTTCTCCTCTCAGCCAAGGCTACAGTGCTCCAGGAAGCGGTGACAACAACACGCCTACAAGCACGGGTGCTCCGTCCAACCCAACATCAGCAGCCGGCGAGGGACCAGTTGGTCTGTCTGGTTGGGGTGGCCGCCCTGGTGTCTGGGGCAACAAGTCTGGCCTAGGAGTTCAGGCTAGCGTCTGGGGCTAAGTATCGCTAGGACAGGATCCTGCTATACATGCCTCACATTCAAAAGTTTTGGCGGCAGCAACGGTGTAATAGGATGTTATCATTTGCAGACGACGTGGCTGGGGACAGGACAAAATCGACTTAGGTGTTTTTGGTGGCATTCAGGGTGGGCGTGAAAGCAAATTCCTGCATTGGTATTGGCGTCAGGCCCTTCGCTGGGTCTTACATGGAAGACAACGGAATTTTTACAAGGGCAACCCAAACACCTTGGGTCAACATACCCGTTGTCGGGGTGGGAGTTTTGAAGTTTGCTGCGGTTTCCTCCTCGCTAATATTATTATCATGGGTCTTCATCTTCTCTATTATCTCGGCTTTTACCTACCCCCTTTATTAGTTTCATTTTGGTCGTCGGTCGTTGGGGTGTTTTTAGTTGCATCGAAGGCATACGGCTAAGATTCCCGGCAAAAGAATACCTGATATATAGGACTCGGGGCGGAAAGGCACCAAAAATTTGCGTGGGGCGGAATTTGGAAGTTATTGGATGGATATCTCTAGCTCTTTCCTCATTTTTACTCGCGAAGCTCTCACAGGGCGACTGCTGGTGGTGTTTGTGCGTAGTGGAATGGGCATTCATTGATCTATACATCTCATCATTCCCTCTTTAATACTCATCCGATCTTGCCTTGACCCCTGTCGTCGCCAACGGATCCTCTGTGCAGTGACTTGGCTTGCAGAGCTGGAGCTAATATCTGGTCATCACCGCACGAACTGGAAGACCGTATGGATATGGTGGGCACATGGTCTGACGAGAGATGGTCATACCTGGCGTTGTCGCTTTCTTTCTATCGAGTAGAAATTCTCTGGTATGCCGGCATGCAAACGGGGGGGTGACGGCGCTCGTTCTTGCTACGCTTTCTACGGTCCGGACATCTCTATATATATGCTAGAGCTGCTATCTAAGAATATCATATACTAACTTAAACTTATACTACGTAATGATCAAACAAGAACACACAACAATACCCCCAGCAAGTTAATAGACTAGCATATTGCCGAGTCGTTCATGCTTGACTATTGGATACGAAAATATGTGGATACTACAGCGTTGTCAACCTCCCCCCGAACGTGACAATGCTTCTTATTGGAACAGACTGCATATTTAAGTGCTGCAACATTCATGAGAACACAGAGTGTATCGTATCCGTTGAGAATATGTGAGGCTCTATGTGAAGGAAGCGCATCGTCGAGAGTTACTCTATGCTAAGTATGGTGTGTGGAAAAACTGCTAATATCAAAGAAAGCGTCTCAGCGGCATTTTGCATTAAAACTAACTCGTGTCTCTGTCAGGTAAAGGATCATCTGGGTCAATTTCCGGCGATATCGAAAGAACTGTGAACGACTGCGGGAGGAGAGAAATGGAACATCACGGTTAGGTTCTTTCTCACGAAGGTTATCACAATGGTGTCTACTTGATATACGTTGACTTAGCAGCATTAGATGCCCGTTATGCCATGCGTGTTATAGAATCATCTACCTGAGTCATCTTTTCTGTGAAAAGGGCAAGAAGACTGGCAATGAAGCTACATGTGCGAGTTGGAAGACCCTGCGCTACGTTCCATGACCTTTTGCGAGTAAGACTTCACTGCACTTTTAGCCTCTACGGAAGGCATGAGATGCGCCAACATACGGACCCAATATTTCATTGCCTCTTTCACTGCAATTTTAGGTTCTTTGGACAATGTCAAGACAGGCACAAAATGAGCTCAGAGCAGTACCCTAGCAGGTTCGTCCAACACACCATTTAGATGTGCAGTGCTTCTCACATAATGCCCTGGGACAATTACCTTCTTGTGCCATTGAAACGGGTCGCCGACAAGAAGATGAAATGACATTGTCGTTTCGCAATTCCGGAGATCTGTGTTAGTCCCGCCGTCCCCACAACGGCGCCGGAACAGAACAGGGGCAATTGAGATCGGGGGGCCGAACTCAGGAATATGGCGGATTAACACGTATCTCCCCCGTCGCCGGCTTTTGTAGCTATCTAGGTATTTCATAGTTTTATCGAATTTAACAGAGTCAACTCAGCCATCCCTGTCATGCACTCTGTGGTGGCACCATAGACTTCACACCGTTCCTGCACCGAAGCAAACTCCACTGAGCGGAGACTGTTGGGATTGTTGGGCATCGACTCTTCGGCTTGCATCTGCTTGTCTGTTCCTGCGTCTAGATGTATGCCACACGCCGTGGGACAATCTGAATGAGCGATGACTTGCAGATTTCCTGCGTACGGGCACGAATGCGGGGCATGTCGGGCGTGGTGACAAGGACATGGGCACGAACGAAAGGAGGCGGAGCAGCTGTGCTATGCACGGTGAGTGTGCCCTCCCGACCCGACGACCTGGAACCGAGCAATCTTTTCACAATATGATCTTTCTCTGCGATCTTGTTGGTTGGGCAGAAATGACAAATTATACTGATGGTTATCGGGCACAATGAGGTTTATGCCCTAGAATATGAGCTATGAAATGTGTTGTTCATTGGAACAACGGCTTCGTCCAACCTAAACGCCTTGATGTCATGTAGTGACATGAAATCCACTGGGAATACTATACAATGATGCCGAGCACTCAGACAGGCCGCTATTATCGCGTACTTCTCAAGCTGTTCGCACTTACATGCCCAGAGCCTTCGCACCCATGTCCAAGTCCATCAGGTCGTCTGCACTCCGAGCTTTGCCGCCCCATACCACTGTGCCCCGCCCGTCCACAGCAAAGGCGCCCGCCTGCTGCCACTTATTGCCCATGACAGTCGTGGGCCCTTCGGCGGCCGCATCTATCACGCCAGTGCCGCCTGTGCTATGCTCCTTGGGTATGGTGTGCGCGCCTGTTACGCCCCTGCCCATGGTGCCGCTCCGCTGGATCGCGCCAGCTACAGTGGCGCCGAGCCAGCCCTTCTCCTTCCAGGCTGCTGTCTGTGTTGTCGGGTTGAAATAATACCACACGGAGCTCAGTCCTAGTCCCCAGGCGGCGTAAATGGCGCGGTCCTCGTCGATGACGACCTGGACGTTCCAGGCTCCGCCGAGTAGGTCAATCCACTTCTGGGTGGCGGCCGCGGACGAGTGCGACACGGCGATGCAGGTGATGTTGTTGGCGTGCTTGTTGGCAAGGGCCCGCAGGTTGAGGAAGGTCTTTTGTGCAACTGGATGAAGATTTGGTGTCAGTACAGTGCCTCGAGCAGTAGCGTGCGATCAGAAGGGTCTTAGACTTACATGCACAGCCCACGCAGCGCAGAAAGACGACGATGACTTTCCTCCCGCCACCGAAGGTCAATTTCCTGTCGCGATCCAGCGGCGCCAGGTCACCGATCTTGGGGCACTCTGCAGCAACTGCGACAGGCGGAGGCGGAGGTGCTAGCCACGGCTGCACCGTCAGCGGGAGGCTCTTCATCGTCATCCATTTGGGCCAGCCCTTTGACTCCTCCTCCTCATCATCTAGGCCGGGCACGACACCGGGCGGGAGGTCTTTCCGGGTCTTCTTCAGCTTCTTGGGCTCTGGCTGGTCGGGCGACGAGAAGTTGAACGTGTCGCTCGACATGCCGATCTTCTTGAGCGCGATCTTGGTGGTTAGGCTTGAGAACATCTTGGCGACTTGTCAAGGACCTGCAGATATAACACAATAACGGCAATTTGGGTATCAAAGTTTGGATCAATATCAAAGAAACATAAAATTAGAATCGATGCTGCGAATTGCGAGGATGACAGGACAGAAATACGACAGAGGAGGTAGTTTAGCGTTTAGAAACAGTAAGGAACAGCCAGCAGATCTTGAAACACGAAGTCAGAAACAAAAGACGATAAGAGAGCGTGAGCACAAGGCTAACGGGGTATTTTGGCAGGGACCCTGAGACAGGGGACGTCGCATCCTCTGTGCAGCGCTCTGGCCGCTGAGGCCCCATGCTCTTGGGTTTGGAGCTTACCCCTGAGCCCCGCGAGGCTGAAGGAATGTGGGCAATGGGAGCGTGTGGGGCGGGGACTCCCGATTCGCTGGGTGAATTGCGGGGTTGTCGAGCGGGTCTCAGCCTGGTCTCGATATCTCTGAGACTCATAGCAGAATCGAGCAGCGTCACTTGTGACGTCGCGAACAACATACACTAGATGGGATGGCCAATTTGGAAAAGTAGAGTCCTTGACAAGACTTGTTGAAGACCTTGATTTTATGTCGCCTTATCAATATGATGAGCACTTCATCTCGCAATAAAAGCCACTCATCAGCGATTCATCCTCATGAGTCTTCTCACCTGGTTACATCTTGTGAAAATGGCAGTGACTTGCAAATGACGAACTGAGTCAGGAATGATAGTCGCCACTTCATAAGGATCGGATAAGGCTCCCGGAGTGACCAGTCTATGTGATCAAGGCGATGTCTGATAACAGGCGGAGTTGCCACGTCTCGGACAGCTATTCTCCGTCTTAGGGTCCGCTGGCTGGCTGCTCCGGGACCTAAAAAACTGATTTGACGAGTCTGGCCGAGCAAAAGAGCGTCGCTAGGCAGTTGCAATTGTGTCTTGTCCCGAAGTCCCGAAGTTCATCTGGAGCCCGGATTGGCAGGCTTCGATCCGAAACGGGCTCTGCAATCTGCCGAGCTGTTGTGCGAGGGAATGTGGAAGTATTAGTGGTTCGTGCCACTTTCAAGAGTAAAATGTCGCTTCGATCAGACAGCGAGCCCTGCGATCCATTCGGTACTAGGATACTGACAGCATAGAGTCATGGCGGAGAACCCTGGCCAGGAATAGAACATAGTGGAAGCTCGCGAGAACATTGCAATCAATACCGTGTGGAGTCTATCGGCCTCAATCATCGGTGGTCAACCCGGATCGCGTGCGGGAAGAATTAGAATTGAATTTGTCAAATAGACGGCTTCGTCTCCTCAAGACGGGAATACTCTTAGACATGCCTTAGACGCAAGGCAACGCGACCCTTCGGAACGCCACGGTCGATCTTCCCTAGGCTAAGGCAAGCCCACAAGGGGGTTACCAGGAACAGGTAGATGGTGGCGGCCCTAACGGAGGCAAAAGATTGGCAGCCCCGGCTATTTGGATGAATCTGAAGCGACAGCAGGTTCGTGATGGCGGCGGGATGCAAGTCTATACTGCATAGTATCGCAGTCGGATATGGATTGGTGGAAGCAATAGAGAGCGGTAGAGGAGCTGACGTAGGTAGCCTTTGGGCCAAAGTAAGTACTGTAGTGACGAGCAGCGGAAGAGATGCACCACTGCAAGGAAGCGAGTGTGGGGTATCCGCATTTCATGACCAAGCAGACGGCCCTATTGCATCGCGGTCTGATGTGACTGAGACCGACTGGCTTTACGCGTGCGCTCGCGCGAGAACCCGCCCGGTTCCTGGCATACCCGCTGCGGCAGCGGGTCATCTACAGTAGCCCGGAGCAAGCGCCTCTTACTGTCTGTATACGTATTCGCCGAAGAGATGACGAGTAACAGTCTCCTAGTGCTCGTTTTCAAGGCATTTGGAGTTCGTCTCCAGCAGATAGCATTGCCGATCGACAGTTACAGACCCCTGGCTAATATGGATCTAGCTAGACGGCGATCACAAACTTGTTACGGATGGCTTGAAGCTTAAATTCCACCATACAATAAGTGAGCTACGGGGCGGCACGAAAGAGGTATCCTCGTCATAGCCTGACTGGGGAGCAAAGAACTAGGCACAAGAGAAAGGGAGGAGGACTTCTAGAATAGGAGACCGGACTACCCGGTTCTATTGGGTTCACACGGGCCTTTGAGGCGTATAATAGTCAGATATGCTGAACAGTATATGCTCCAGCGTTACTCCAGCCTTCAAAGAAGAGAAATGGTGGGGGAGAGACTTGTCGCATCTCACATCAGTCTCTAGTCAGCTTCCTAAGTGATGTGGAATGAAGTAGGTGTTTCGTCCGGTAGCACATTGCTTTGCGAATCGGACTGTTCGATGCAATGTAACCCACCACCTGCCTTGCTTGTAATGCTCAGTGTGTGAGGGATCGCCTGCCTGTTGGCGATCTCTACGTATTCAGACGAAGTTGAAGTCATATCAATTCTGTTGGAGAAGACGACACCTGAGACGTATTCTGTCCGTGGATTTGGCTTGGTAAACACCTGTAGTGCTCGCTACGAAGTCCATCAGCCTGACCTCGCAGCAGTGCCACGGTTGAGCGGTGGCCGGTTACTGTCAGCGCCATTGTCTAGAGGGCTTACACGACCGCTGAGCCGTGATCAGGAACTCGGCCACTCTGGAGCCTCATTGGGCGGGCGAGGCTGCTCAGCCAGGCTCCTACTTACTCCAGGCGGTAACACAGCTGACCGGAGGATCGGATTACGACCAACCCACAGGGCCTGCCCCAGACTACAGATCGCATCGGTTGCGGTGTATGAGACGGGCTGACTGGCCTGTCTCTTCCTCCTACCGGAGGAGACACCGGGCGCTCAGCCTTGCCTGCGCCAGCATTGGAAGCCGGGACAGCACAGCTGGAATAGCCGGGTGGATGGGTGGGTGAGACACACCGAGCAGATATTGACCGAATGGGGGGCAGTGGGATGCTCATGGACCTGCGTACAGAAGCACCTGTTGCGGTGGTAGTGGTGTTGTTTTGAGGCCCTGAAGATGGCTTATGATGTGAGGGGTGTCAAGTTCTCAGGCAGCGGCCCCTCTGAGAAAGCATAGCAGTGTATTGCACCCGACGACGATACCCTAAAGGTAGTCACCCAGACCGATGCGAATTGCCGCTTCTAAGGCGGTTTCGCTGTCAGTCATGGTTGCCAAGTTGGCTACATGAATCTGGCGTTGTTTGATCTTGAACACGATCTGCCCCAGCTTTCTATCTTTAGACTGGACCTTGATGGGGTAGTGGTCTCGGCAGCACATCGACAACGGCACGCTTTTCAGCACCCGATTATCCGACCTACAAGAAGCTTAGGATGGAACACGAGCTACGTTAGGTAAGATAAGCTACGGCCTTCGAGATACGAGGGAATGGGATAAGTGCAATGGCAATGGCAATGGCAATGAATGAATGAATGGCTTGTTATGCATCAGACAAAAACAGCCCAGGTTCTTTCTTAGGGCGCGCTCTTCGCGTGTTAGCTAGAGTGAAATGGGAGAGTCTGAGGAAGCGCGTGTGTTTCCTTTCATTTAAAGTCTCGACCCAGTAAAGGGGGTGCTGCACATACACAAACCCCACAAGCCAAATTGAGGTAGAGTCAAGTCCCTGCTTGCCCTGAGATGTGCGAGCGAGTGATTGAATTGAGCAATAAGCAGAAATCAATCAAGTCAGTGAGCACTTTTTTGCAATGTATGTGTCATCAAGGCGAAGTAAGTGTCACCAACAGGACCAACAGCCATTTATACTTTCATATCTGATAGTCTAAACAACAGAGTCATTGTGTAGGTGTTGTAGGTGTTTGTTGGTGTTGGTGTTGGCCTTCGTCATGCCTGTAGGTATGGCACCAAATGGATATGCGGAAGACAACCTTAGTGCAGCAGCATCCACCACGTCGTGATCCACTCAACACGGACCCCTCCACACCGCGTCCCACAGTGCAATTCCCACCAACTTGACAAGGCCCAGCACCTTCTCCTGGCTGGTTCTGCCTCAGTTTACCATTGCTACTCTACCTACTGCGGCGCAGGGATCTGACCTGAAGCGAGCACTACATACCTGCCTAGGTACCTACCAAGGTCCTAGACTAGAAGACTACAGGTGTTTCTGTCCACTGCACTGCATTTGCACCGTGCTACGCTATCCTGCGCTCTTTCTCTTTTCGTCAGGCCGGGTCAGTTGCCGCTCGTCGTTCCTGCAACGCCTAGACTATTTTCCAGCCAGTCGCTCTTGCACTCTTTCCACGCACCTGCACCTGCACTTGCACTTGCACTTGCTTGCTGGAGTATCGTACTGGACAGACAGTACTACATACATCGTACCTTCCCTTACTTACCTCAGAGAGCAGTAGGGACGACGACAGCATACATTGCAAGAAAGAGGCACACCTGCGACAAACCAGACAGACGACCCCTTCTCCTCTGCTCGCCTCCCTCCCACGATCATCCATCCAAAGCCGCCTTGCAACAACCTGCTCCTGAGCTGGCTGTCTCCTCCTTACCTTCATGGGGATCCAAGTCGCTGGCAATCTCTAGCACCACCACGACGACTCCAGACACGTCGATTTCTCCTCATTTCTCCATTCATCGTTATCGCGATTACATTCTCTTACTCTCTCTTTCTTGGCCTCCGGCCAACTGCTTCCTGACAGCACGGTCACATCGCTGCTCTGTTCCAGGTCCTTTGACGACTCACTTCTCTCAACATTTGCCTCCATGCCAGCACGGCACGTCTGCTGGTGCTTCAGACCGTGACTGACAGAGCTCACTCTTTCGGCTTTTTTTGTTCAAGTTGGCTTGGCCTTGCCAGGTTTTAGCTCCAGTGGAATTCCCTTTCTGGCACTCTCCACGACTTGTCTTTGAAAAAAGAGGATTGATTACCCGCTATCGCTCCTTTGATCTTTGAGACTCCCGAGGAACAACGACATCATCGAGACCCCACCGATTCATCACTCGAATCCAGGGCTCATAGCTCATACGATACCACCGTCT